AACCCAATGGCGCATCCACAACGTTTTCCATGCCAGTCTTCTCTCACCCTTCAAAGAAACCGACGAACACGGAACTGCCTTCTCCGAACCCCCACCGGACATTTATCAATGACGAAGAAGAATGGGAAGTAGAAGCGATCATCGCGCATCGCCGACGAGGACGGGGTTACCAATATCTCACCCACTTCAAAGGCTACCCATCAAGCGAAGATTGCTGGTTACCAGAGCGAAACTTCGAAAACGCACAGGAAATACTCAACGCCTACAAACAACGACACGACCTATAAAACCTTTACCCAGACTCCCCATCCGACAGCATGTACAACCACACCAACTACTACAAACGCTTCCAAGTCTACATCGGCCGACCAGAAACTGTCCAAGAAGCTTCCGACCGCTACGATAAAGAACTCAAACACTCCCGCGAACACTATTACTTCTGTCGCGCGTCCTTCTGCATCTACCACTTTCGCTATTAATCCCCTCTTCATCCCTTCCATGACGGAACGTCCCTCTAACAATTCGCTCCTCCCTCCATCTATCCGCAAATACCTTGAAGAATCAGAAGAACAAATCCAAGCCATCAAGACCGTCAACGATATCAAGGAAGTCGTCGGTGCCGACGCCGCCCTCCTCCTTGTTGGAGAACGTACCCCTGCCATCTGTCGCCTATACGCCACCCTTGTCCAGGAACACGAACGCATCATCAAAGAGAAGTTTCACCTTATCGGACATTACCAAGCCCTCGACGCATCAGTCACCAAATTCTTCGAAGCCACCCAGAAGGTCCTAGACGGACTCAACGCTCAAGACCAGATCCTCGAACAATCTCGCCAACGGGTTGAAGCAGAGCTCCTTCGTGACCTCGACGAACTCAAGAATGCCATTGGACAAGCCCAACTCATTTCTGCTTTCGATCGTCGACGAGTCCATCTCGCTTCCCCCGTACCTTCTTCCTCTGGCAATCACGGATCAGTTTCCACCATGGCTCCCGGACTAAGGCTGTACACGGGTGCACCCGCACGGGTACCCGGAGCCGCCAAGCAGGTACCCGCAGCCCCAAAAGCGACACCTACACCCTTGAAGGTAAAGCTTCGCGGATCACCTGGACCCACAGGTCAGGTACCCTCGGGTACGGTGGGTACCTTCCTGTCACAGGTATACAAGGGTACCTCCAGGTATACCCGGAGGTACCTGCAGGCATAGATCAACAATGACCAACGAAAATTAATTTCACAACCAAAGAAATACAGATTTATGGTATAGACACAGTACAAATCAATCAACCAGCTCGATGACAGTAGAAGTGTCACCTGCATCCATGCGAACCTTCTTCCGCTGGGGACGACGGCGGACCTTCTCCTTAAAGATCTCGAGGACAGTGTCAAGAGGGACCAACGACTGTGAGGCCCAAGACCCCAATACAGTAGCAGCACGGGTAGAGCTGTCTAAAAGAGAATGGCGGAGCTTCGACACTGTAAGCCCACCTCGGGAGAACGCACGCTCGATATCAGTAGACGCAGCTGGAATCAAGGTCAATACTTATTGACCACAGATGGGAGAGACAACATACCCGGTATAGTGAGAAAGTCCAAAGCCATACGTGCAAGTGGATGACCAGCCGCCTGCATCTGAGACCAGTACTTGAGAGGATCAATGACCCCAGGAATCGGAGGGGAAGCCATCCATTCCTCGAGAGGGTCAAGAGATGCAGAGGTCACCGAACGCGAGTGGACCAAAGTGAAATGCTTGCGCGTTACCGCAAAGCGCTACAACAAGATTGTCATTAGTGATACTCCACTAACGACAATGATCGCAAACTTACACCATCCTTATCATTGCCCGCAGTAGCCGACGACGATGACACGGGTGTGGAGGTCGAAGATGCGGGGGTGATAGCAGACTTGTAGTATGTTACCCACTCATCTCGTGCAATGGCCTTGGCCGCCACAATCCACTCCGGTTCCCATTTTGCTGTCATGAAATAGTTCGTTTTGTAACCCGGATGGAGAACTGTGAAGATGTCAGCCAAGAGGTAACTACAGACTGAGCAAACACTTACTCATAGCAATACGATACACGATGCTCTTGTCAGTCTTCGAATAATACTTGTTCAGCATTTTGAGACCACGTAATGCGGCATGGCGGACAGCGGGATGGCGCTCAGTGTTATCGATGAATTCGTCAAACATTGAGGTGAGCGAGTCGATAAAGGGGATGACTTCGTGGATCAGCGGGATGCTCGACTTGGAGACCTCCTTTGTCGCGTAGAGAATGCCCTACAGTCAAGAATTAATTCGCATCAGTTGAGGATGGGAATCAAAACAAATACATACATCGAGAAGGGGAGCAAGCTGCTCCAAGACTTTCCACTCATCGGGAGACAGTCGGTACTGCTTGAGGCGAGCCCCTCGAGAACGGTTGTGCTCTGGCATGAGACAGAGGCGGTCCAGAGCAGCACGGAGCTCCAAGGCACGGTCGAGTAACTCCGCAGTACTGTTCCATCGGGTTGGAACATCACGGACCATCTTCTTTGCAAAGACACCGACGCGCTCACAGCAGGCCTTGAGGTCTTCAGAGATAGTGGGGCTATGAACAATCTTGATGGCGAGCTTCCGGAGCTGATGACTTGTGTCAGTACACTGTTCCGGCCATGCATCAACAAGAGCATACCTTTGTGATACTACTCTGCGCAACCTTTGCGTCGGCAGCAGAGAGAGGATCAAGGCGCGAGACAAAATCTGCCTCAATCTCCCTCACAAGGTCCGAAACCTCCCTCTGGTCACTCTCAATGAGGCCCTCGGGTACTTCGAACTCGCCGTCATCGTCGTCATCATCGTCACTGACATCGTCGTCGTCATCACCATCTTGGTCCTCACTTGGGGGTACCTCGACATCAGGGTGTGCGGTGGACTGACTGTCTTCTTCAGCTGGGTTGTCAACCTCAGGATCAACATCGTCGTTGGGGCCACGCTTCGCCTTCGCAAAGGGTGACATGACAGACTGAGTTGACAAAGTTAGCATAGCGTAAAAGTGAAGAGTTCTAACAGACCTTGACAACCAGGTTAAGGATGTGGGCAAAGCACCGCACCTGGACCTCAGGACCACGGAAGCTCGGCATGAGCTCCTTCAGTTCTTCAAGCATTGTATCGTTGTTCGAAGCGTTGTCACCGGTGAACGCGAGGATCTGCGGACGTGAGTTGTGGTGGATCATATCAATGAGATATGACAGTACATACCTTATCGGCAATCCCAAACTCATGCAGACATTCCATCAACTTGGACGCAAGATATTGTCCAGTGTGAGCCTTCTTCAGCTTGATGAAGTCGAGAAGGGTCGCGTTAATCGAGGCATCCTTCAAGCGATGGACCGTGACACCAAGGAACGAGATGACATTCGGACTGGTCCATCCATCAGCGGCAAGATTAAGCCTGCCCGGGTAATCCTACGGTGAGTGTCAGCATTCATAGATGGGGGAGAATCGTTGCCAGCGCACCTGAAGACTCTTCTTGAGTGCCTCGCGTGTAATGGTAAAGATCTCCCGGACGTCTCGGGATACCATGTTACGTGAAGGCGTTTCGACGAGGGTGTTGAGCTCCTTGAAGATCTGCAAAAGTTCAGGATCTTCAACAATGGAGAACGGCCGACGTTGCTTTGCAACCCAAATGGCGAGGAGGACCCGATGCCGGAGCTTGTTGAACTTGTGGCCCGCTGTGAAGGTGGCCATTGCCTGCACCTCAGAGGAGTCTGCTGGGACACATTTGTCGACGTGGCGCTTGAGGTTACCCGTGCTCTCGTCGTGGCGAGCACGAGTGATGGAGACACTGGGATGACTGATAGGTAGCCATGAGTTAGTCAATGACAGGTGCTCAGTGTCAAAAAACAGACTCACGCCTTGCAGGTAAAAATGTACCAGACCTTGTCACCCTCACGTTTGATGGTCGGCGAGTCGAAATGGTCGTAGCATCTTGAAGTCCAAGCGTTTCGCTGCGCCGCTAAAATCAATGGTCAACACGCGGTGCCCCCTCAGACAATGGTGAGAAACATACCAAGGACCTCTTCGTCAGTGCGAGTCTCAGTCTTGTACCTGGCTGCGAACCGAGACAAGCGTGCCGCATCCTTCGAAGCTGTGGAAGGGTTTACCGGCGCGGTCGTGGGTGTTGATGATGCAGATGCCATATCCTGGGTGGGCGGGGGTTCAGAGTCAGAGCCAGACTGGCTGGCATCGGAGACAGACTCGTCGCTGTCACCAACAGCGCCAAGGTCAGGCATAATGCCAGCATCCACAGCGTCTCGCGCTCGCTTGGTAAGCCGTCGTCGTCGTTTGGGGCGAGTGTTGGTCATGGGAGAGAGGAGGGCGAATAGTTGGGCGCTAGGCGTCGGGCTTTGGAGCCGTGAATGGTGGGTTAAAGAATCTCCAGAATTTTCGAGTCCTGCTGTCGTCGAAGACACCTCTGAGCAACGTGATAAAGGAACAAAATAGGAGGCACTCACCCTCAGCCAATCGTCGACGAATTCGACGATAAAGAGATAGCCGTAGCCGACCAAAAGACGGAAACCGTCACGCAGTTGAACCGGTCGCAGCATTGGTGGTGGTCTCGACTCTCATCGATCGATGACAGGAGGCGCAATGCAAAGAGCAGGGAGCTGGGGAGAGGGGAACTGTGGAATCGTTGAGCAAGCATGACTTGTTGATAAAGGGCTGCCACGTCGCCAGAATGAAGGAGACTCGTTGTGGGCGCTGTTTTGTGTAAACGACGCCCATAGACAGTGCCCACAGCGGCATTCTGCGAGCGGAATGACGTCTGACGTGAATGCTTGGCATCTAATTCACGTCACCAACGGGTATCGTCGGCCACTGACTTTTGCCGGCACCTGGATGTTCAATGAGCCGGGTATGGCTGCAAGGCGCGATAAGGGGGTTTGGGATGCGCGTTTGGGGGGAATGATAAGAGCCAGCACCCAGTGAGGCAGTCCGTCAATGTGCACAAGCGCCCAAATGCAAGACAACCTGCCATTGACGGCACCATCCGATTCGGGCAATCCCACGGCTGCCAACCGGCCTAATTCGGATTTATCGACGAGAATTCCTTCGGTTGTCATCGACAATGCTGCCGAGCCTGTGTAAGTCGACCATCCTTTCTGTTTTCCAGATGTGTGCTTAGTACACTCATGTCATTCCGAAATGTAGTGAGCGCATGTTCTCAAACAGTGTCCCCGCCACGCGCTCGCGATGTCAAAGCCACCAAGAGCTTTTGCAATTAGTGAGTGTCTAAATGCCATCACAGCCTGAGCATTGACTTATCTCCGAATGTAGAAAGCGTTCATTTTGTCGTTCCATGATGATGTTTCGGAGCCCGAGAATAAATCTTAGTAGTTAGAGTGTATGCACGGTTAAAATTAACATTTTTTCTGCGCGGGTACCTGCAGGTATGACCTGCATACATGAAAGCCACACCTGCACCTGCGCGGGTTTTTTGGTGAGGATCACCCGCACCTGCGGGTCCGTTTACCTGCAGGTTTCTTGGCGGCTCCAGGTCCAGGTACCCGGGTGCAACCCGCACCCGCGTACAGCCTTATCCCGGACCGGTCGCCAGAAGCAACGTTCCTTCTGAGCCCGACGGCTTGGTTCGACCTTTGTCGAAGAAAGAACTACGCAAGAGGGATGGTCATAGGTGCAACAAATGTGGCGAAACCGGACACTGGCAATGCGACCATTACTCCTACAAATGCACCCTATGCGGCAAGAACGCTCCCGGACACAACTCTGGTTCCAGGTGGTGTCCCGATTACCGACCAACGCCCCGCAACACTTCACCCGATCAGTATGACGCACTCTTGGACGACGGAGACTATGACGACTACTTATGGGGAGACGAAGGAGAACACAATCTGAACACCTGATGCGGAGCATCAGGCATACGAAGGGGGTACTGTTACGAACTCCCCTATTTCTTCCTTTGTTTCCCTCTACGCACTCTACCTTTCCGAACCTTCCGGACTTCCGTTCTCTCCGTAGTTCCGTTACCTTCGCTTCTTCGATTCTCCCGCATCTCCGAACCTTTCGTACTTCCGTTTCTCTCGTATTCCGTACTCATCGATACTCCTTACTTGTCGCTTTCACACCTTCTTTCGCTCTCTTCCAAACCTCTTGATAGCTCGCCAACTCTACTATAAATACTGTCTCTCTGTAGTAGATATTCCTCAGCCTGTTATCGAGAACCTTTCCCTCAGAACTTCTATCGCTCTCAGCTCGATCCTCTCTGTCTGCGATAGCGACAGGCCTCTTGAACTTGATTCCAGAACCAGAACTTCGATCCAGAACTCCAGAACTCCAGAACTCCAGAACGACTGTTGGCAACGATAAGTCCTCGTTGCCCGAAGTCGTAACAATGACCTCACCAAGAAGAACGTCCCCTGGCAATGGAACGAACCCCAACAGCAGGCTTTCGACACCCTCCGCAACGCCTTCACGTCCGCCCCCATCCTGGCACTCTGGGATCCTGACCGCCCCACTTGCATTGAAGTCGACGCCTCCGGCTTTGCCACTGGAGGAGCCCTTCTCCAGAAGCAGGACGACGGTCTCTGGCACCCTGTTGCATTCCGATCCGCCTCCATGCAGCCCGCCGAACGGAACTACGAGATCTATGACCGGGAGATGTTGGCCATTGTCGAGGCTCTCAAAGACTGGCATCACTTCCTGGAAGGACTCCCCAAACCATTCGAGATCGTCACCGACCATTCCAACCTCGAATACTGGCGCACCGCACAAGACCTCAGTCGTCGACAAGCTCGTTGGGCCCTCTACCTTTCCCGCTTCCGGTTCTCGCTCACCCATCGCCCTGGAAAATCCAACACCCAAGCCGACGCCCTCTCCCGCCTCGATATTCACCAGGTCTCTGACGCTGAGGACAACAAGCAACAGGTGGTACTCAAACCCGAGCTGTTTGCCAAGCTCGCCGCCTCAAGCATGGTCGTCAACCCCTTGGAGGACCGTATCCGGCAGGCCAGCGCCCGAGAATCCCAGGTTCTGGATGGACTCGCTCAGCTCCGCAAGACAGGTCCCCGCCGTCTCACCTCTGGTCTCGCTGAATGGGAGGAAGATAATGGCCTTGTTTACTACAAGGGTCGAGTCTACGTTCCCCCCGACGATGAACTTCGACGCGACGTTCTCAAACAGTGCCACGACGATCCTACCTCTGGACATCCCGGAGTACACGGAACCCTCGAACGAGTTGAACGACAGTACTGGTGGCCGACCATGCGAGCCTTTGTCAGGAAGTATGTGGAAGGTTGCGACATCTGTGCCCGGAAGAAACACGCCCAGCACCCCCGCGCCTCGACCCAGCCCTTGGAGGTACCCGATGGCCCCTGGGAGACCGTTGGAGTCGACCTTATTACCCAGCTTCCTGATGCCAATGGACATGATGCCATCATCGTCTTTGTCGACCACTACAGCAAGCTCCTCCACGCCCTTCCCTGCACTTCCGACATCACCACCGAAGGTGTCGCCGACATCTATTACCGAGAAGTCTTTCGCCTCCCGCGGCCTCCCACTCCGGTTCATCAGCGATCGCGGTCCTCAGTTTGCCTCCAAGGTCATGCGCACCCTCCCTCAAGCGTCTAGGCATCGAGTCAAACCTCACCACTGCCTACCACCCTCAGGCCAACGGACAAACCGAACGAGCCAACCAAGAAGTCGAGAAGTATCTCCGCCTCTACGTCAGCCGCCGACAAGATGATTGGGACAAACACCTTCCTATGGCCGAATTCGTTATCAACTCCCAAATCCACTCTGCCCACGACCGATCCCCCTTTGAAGTCCTCTACGGCTACATCCCTCACTTCAACATCCCTGTCGGTAAACGAATCTGACATTCGCCCCGTCGATGAACGCATCCAACAGCTTCAAGAAGTCCGCAAGGATGCCGAAGCCGCCTAACGCCTTGAGAAAGCGCAACAGAAAGGACTCGTACGAATCCGGCAAGCGATCAGCTCACCAGTTCAAGGTTGGAGACTACGTCTGGCTCAACGCTAAGGACATCCAGATCAAAGTTCCTACTCGGAAACTTGGCGACCTCCAACTCGGCCCTTACAAGATCATCGAACGAATTGGCGACCTCGACTATCGTCTTGAACTTCCCCCATCCCATCTCCCGCATTCATCCTGTGTTCCACGTTGACAAGCTCTCTCCCTGGAAAGGCAATGAGGTCAATGGCATTCTGCCACCTCCGCCTGAGCCTGTTGAACTGGAGGGGGAGCTTGAATATGAGGTTCACGACATCCTCGACAGTCGTTGGAAAGGACGAGGGAAGAATCGCAGGCTGGAGTACCTGGTCAGTTGGAAGGGCTACGGATCGACAGAGGATACTTGGGAACCAGAAGGGAACTTGGAGCACGCCCCCGACGCCGTCAAGGAGTTCCATCAACGTCACCCCTCTGCACCCCGCCGCATCTCAGCCACCACCTTCACTTCTCTCCCTTGGCGCTCGCTTGAGAACTTCACGGACACACCGCCTACCGACTTCGACTGGGAGCTTGGACGACGCCTACCAGTGATCATCGAGGACGATGAAGCTTAGAAGGGGGGTAATGTCGTGAACAGCAAGTACGAGCCCCTATTTTTCCTTATCTTATCTTATCGCTTTCATCGCTCTTATCACCTTCTCTTTATTCTCATTTTTGCCCTTATTCTCGACACGGACACTTTCTCCCATGGAACACTGCCTCGTTATGCCCTTCGCCCTACATCTTATTGTTCTCTCCATTCTTGCACTGCCTCGTCACTCCGTTATTGTTTTCTTCGTTCTTCGCGCAGCCTTGTGACTCTCCTTATTGTTCTTTTGTATCTCACCATCCGTTCGTCATCTTGACTCATCGCGGCTATGTAGACTGTAGAATAGGTATATAAGCTAGGTAGATCCCTCTGTATTTCCTCAGCTTGACCTCTTCGTCAATATACCGCTTCAGCATTCATCTGCCTTAGTCGCTCATCGCTCTTACCTCGCTCTCCGCTCTCATCCGCTCCGCTCTTCTGGTCTTTGGTTTGGTTTAGTGTTCGCTCTTCGCGACATTAGGTCAAGCTACCTTTGTGCACCGGCAACGCCGATCGTTGCTCCTGCATCATCCGCATTTCTGGCTCCTGGTTGACCTGCCGATCAGGTCCCTCTCTGGCAACTCTGGTCCCCGCACTCCGTCAAGATTTCCGCCGCACCGGAAGACACCTCTTGCCTGTTTAAGCCACACTTCGTTATCCGAATTGGTGACGGGCCCGTCGTCGTCTTAGACGTTCACCTACCGAGCTTCAACAACTGGGTTGTCTGCTCCGAACAGCCCTGCCCCAACCGCTATCACGAACCATCCATACACGACTGGGTTTACATCAATTCCCTCAAGCTAAACGCCGAATCACCGTCCCCCGTTAATCTCTGGTCTTTGGTTTGGTTTAGTGTTCGCTCTTCGCAACACTGGAGAAGGGGCCGAGAGCGCCAGTTCACATCCTCCGCGAGCTTTGTGATGTCCTCGAAGAGCTCCTCCTGGATATCTGCCTCGGTACGCATGGTGTGATCCAGGAAGACATCCTTCAACACTCGATTGGACTTTCCAGGGATGGGGACAGGGTTCGAGGCAGATTCCACCTGCTGAACCTCCCAGATACGCAAGCGGCGACCAGAGACGAGACGGGGAGCCGAGTCACTGATCGGCGCGACGGTTTTGTAGTAGAGGGATCCAGTACAGCTAGCGGAGGGAATCTCGTAGACATAGTTGAAATCGGGAAGTAGGGTGATGAGAGGATCGTGCCCCAGGTCACTCGCGGGTGAGTACAAGAGCGACGTAAGCAATCGGATGAGGAGGTCAGGGCGCTGCGGGCCAAACGTCGAAAATGAATCGGAATGAAGCTGAAACCCACCTGAGTCATATCGAAGGGTGTCGACTTCAAGGAGATGGACCTGGTAAAACGCCACATAGTGACCTCTGGACCATCGAACGTAACCTAATACGGCGGTAAGTCAGTTGCCTCGCACCTGTTTCAGAGAGAGAAAGGCCGACGTACCCCATAGCAAAAGATGTGTCGTGCATCCGAATTCATGATTTGGGCAGCACAGGATAAAGCCAATGTGTCCTAATCAATACAAACCATAAGCACCTCCTGAAAACGGATGAAGCTGACCTTAATACATACCTCGTCGGAGTCTGGTTGACCATGGTAGTCGTCAGAGATAGCCATAATGGGCACGGTTGACGACGCGGGTTTTGAACAAGGATTTGAACGATTTGAAGGTACTGGAAAACATGGATCCGTTCTGAGATGGTGACGGTTTCTGGCGAGAGGAATCTCCTTTCTGAACGAGCACCTTTTGTTGCTCGAGGCCTTCGACAATCGCGTCGAACTCGATGTCAGCGCTGGGTAGGTATTTGGCGAAGAATTCTTCAAAAGTGCAGGTTGATAATTCTTCACTCATGATGAGGACCTTTCGAGGTGAGAGACTGAGTGTAACAGGTGAAGTTGAAAAATTGGTTTTGAGATGGTGGTGGTTTAAAGACAAGGAGTGGCGGCGCTCATAATGGCACACCAATGCGGATGCATTAGCCACAGGGTTTCCCACGCATCGAGCAGGTGATCGCGTCAACCACGTGGGTTGTTCCGGCTAAGGCTGTACGCGGGTGCGGGTTGCACCCGGGTACCTGGACCTGGAGCCGCCAAGAAACCTGCAGGTAAACGGACCCGCAGGTGCGGGTGATCCTGCCGACCCTTCAACTTGCCTCGGAACCACCATCATCTCAAAAATCATGTCTTGTTTCCTGTCCTGAAAAAGGGTACAATCATGACCGAATCATATACCTGCAGTTTTGAAGAATTCTTCGACAGCCACCTACCCAGCAATGGAATCGAGCTCGACCCGGTTATCGGAGATCTGAAGAAACAAAAGATGCTCGTTTCTCGAGGGCAGTATGTGTACCAGAAATCGTCCTCATCCACGCAGAAGCCACCGTTCATGCAGACGTTTAAGTCGTTCAAAAGTCTGTTTCGATCGACGATCTCACACCACAAATCCAAGTCGAGTCATGAAGACGCTTCAAACCATTGGTACCGCCGTCCGTAAAGCGCTTGGAAGGGTCACCAAGAGTGAGGTGAATAACTTTTCGATCAGATTGGAGGAGAATGTCGAATACATCGCCCATGGCTGTATAACCTCGAATTCGGAGGGCCCATTACGATTGATGGACGTCGTGGTGCCGATTATGGGCGTGGACAGCCGCGACGTTCACCCATTGTCCGACGAGGTACGCATAATTATTTCAAACTCCTGTATAATCGGTGCATGGACTGAAGTGAGTCTCTTTAAGGTTGATGTTGTACTTCTGTCCCATTTTGCGCAAATCGTGAACGGAGACGCCCGTGGAAGGTTCTGCTTTGCGGTATGTTGTCGCCTAACTCCTTCACGCGCACACCAGTGCAGATCGCTGACTGTAGTAACAGGTAACCTTCATAGATTCTCAAGTAACACTGTGGCGGTTCAGTAGGTCGCTAACCATCAAATCCACGCCATTTGACATGACCGAGGTTCGTTCCACCTTTATTGACCACTTCGAGGTGTTGCTGACGGATCTCTCACAGCACCCAGACCTTCTGATCCAACTTCTCGTGATTTTTCTCGGGTCACAGACACATCTACTGGGGTACGATTCCCTGGTCACCCTGCTCCCCGACTCAAACTATGTCTACGAGATACCGTCCGATGGCGATTCGGGACCCCTTTACTACAAAACCGCCGCCCTTATCTGCGACTCCCAGCCTACGTACGTCTCCGGTCGCTCCCTGCGGATCTGGGAAGTCGAGCAGGTGGAGTCAGTTTCGAACCCCGTGCGCGTACCAGGAACGCCCAACAGGGTATTGAAGGACGTCATCCTAGATGCCACCGCGCGCACAGAGGCCGACATCCAAGAGGAGCTTTTCGCTGATATGGCGAAATTGGCCAAAGACGAATCCTGGTCGTCACGGCCCTTCCTCAAGGATTTCCCCCAGTGTGATATCGACGTTCTCGCGGATGCGTTGGAGGGCGAAAGGTTCAAGCGCTACTTTTCCTGCATCATTGCGAAATACATTGGGGAAGTTGACAACGCCTGTGGTCACGGCCGCCCCATACGTCGCTGCCATTTCGTCTATGAACGCATTTGCACCCCTCTTGACGACATCACCACCCTCGGGGAAGCGGTCGATGTGCTCAGACAAGCACTGATACGTACGTTCTCAATCCCGATAGGATTCCCTTGAAAATGCTAATACCTTTTTCCCAGCGCTGCGCCTCATGTTCTGCGCTGGTTGGGTCCACCGCGACGTTAGTCCAGGCAACATTCTCGCATACCGACAAGCACCCGGGTCGCCCTGGACGGTTAAACTCTCCGACCTCGAGCACGCAAAGAAGTTCCCTGATCCTGAGTCCACTGGGGGGGACCGTATCACAGTACGTTTAGTTGCAGCATTGTAACACATAGCTTGGAGCTAACATCATACTTTGATAGGGAACGCCATATTTCATTGCCTGCGAAGTCCTCGATGGCGATTACCCGTCCCCGCAAGAGCAAGACGAAGATTGCACAGACGATGATGATCCGGACATGTCTCCTCCACCGCATGAATTCGTTCCTGTCTGCCACAACTTCCAACATGACTTAGAATCCATCTTCTGGATTCTGCTGTGGTTGATTTCGATGCGAATTAACCAAAAGATGTCAAGAGCGTTCGGTGAAAGGCATTTTCAACAGCGCGTTGACGGGGGATATGCCATCACCCGTTAGGGAATGATGGGGGGTACCCTGGGGTAAACTGAGAGCTACCCTTACCCCTACCCCTGTAAACCCTTACCCCTCAGTCAGGGGTAGGGGTAGTACCCTTACCCCCCAACCCTGGGGGTTTTGGCCAAGGGTTTTTAGAATTTTGGCACTAATCATTAATTACAGTAGTTTATATAGATATTTTGATGTGTTTTATCACTCATACAGCAGTTATTTGGTAGAAACTATATACAGATGTTGAAATAGGCAGGTTTTGGCTGATTTTTATCAAAACCCTTACCCCCGGCTAGGGGTAGGGGTTTGGCCAAGGGTAGCCAAAGACCTACCCTTACCCCTACCCCCCCTCTACCCCTGGCCTCTACCCTGGGGGTTTTAAAACCCCTTGACCATCCCTATCACCCGTTGCAGGGCTCTGGCATCTAACCTTCTTAGACAGGTGGAGCTGGTGAAGTCGCTCCCTAAAGCACTACTCCATTCTCGATTCCTCAGGCACCTCAATAGGTTACGAAAGAACCTCCACGGCCAGTACATCGCACGGAACAACGATGGAAAGTACAGCGACATTTCTACCTACTCTTGGATCGCGAGCGGTGCTTTCGATAGCTTCTTCAATGAGGTGGAGGCACGCAGGGACGAATGGGCTGACATCGAGGTTGTGGGCAGTTCGACAGCGCCTCGTAGAGAATTAGCGCCAGCCGACAAATCTACTACGATTTTCGCCGCTGATGCACCGCCTCCCCCTTCACGTTCGCCCCCGAACCAACACCAACAGCCCGAGGGCAAGCCGTCCCGTAAGCGCCCAGTCGCCGACTCGGCTGAAGGCGGAAGAGCCCAGAAGAGGGCCCGAAAGAACCCTGTGCGTGATGATATTGTTGTTCCACGCCGGAGTGGACCAACAACGCGATCGATGGCGTTGAACGAACGTCGAGTCACAAGATCAACCACTCGCCGTCTTGAAGAAGAGAAGAAGAAACGTCGTTTGAAGTAAATGGCACCACTCCTGAGTCTTGTGTACTAGTAGCGATAGCAATCTCATAGCAGTGTAGAATACCAGACCCTAGACTTTGAATTCATGCACTAGATAATTCGTTGCAGCATTTCACAGGCCTTTGAGCCTGCAGGATTCCTGCAGTGTCGGCGAGACTCGAGAGGCTGATCGTTCCAAGCATCTGGAGAAGTGAGGGCTCCGAGTGAGACGGACCTCCTGTGAACTTTCACCATCAAAACTGATGGCCACTTGTTCGCGCGACGATTGATCTCGACTTGACTTTGAACCACTACCATCTCCAAACCAAATATTCGTTTACACCTCTCACTCCAGTCGTTCACCTCTCTAAGGGCGTCTCATCATGGTTAACGACGTAACGGTTTGCAATTTCGAAGAATTCTTCGAGAAATATCTGCCCAACCCTGGCGTCCAACTCGACGCGGTCGTTGACGAACTAAAGAAACAAAAGATGCTGGTTTCGAGAGGGGGATCCTTGCACCAGAAGTCATATTCTTCAAAGAAAGGATCTCTGCTCTCGCACACCTTCAAGTCGTTCAAATCTCTGTTCAGATCCCGGACCACCAACCCAACGCGCGTCATGAAGGCGATACAAACCATCGGTAACGCTGTTCGTAGCGCACTTGGGAAGGCTACAGACTGTGAAGCCAGCGACTTCAGTGTGAGAGCGGAGAAAAGTACTGGACTCTCTGCTTATGGCTCTATCACTTCGAAACTGGAGGGCCCACTGCGACCTACAGACGTCATGGTACCCATTATGGTCAACCCTGACAACAATGTCAATGAACCAGATTTGAACCAGGTACGTCTATTCTCGGGCTTCATGTGGCATATCAGTCTGCTTACTTTGGGCTTTGACTAGGAGAACGCTGCCTTTCTGTCCTGCGCTGCTGAAGTTATGCATGGGGACGCACGGCGCATCTTTTGTTTTGGGGTACGTGTATTTCCGTCATTGAACAGCGCATCCATACAGGTGGCTCACCATCGTCGTAGATTACTCTTGAAGGTCCGGAGGTCACGATGTGGCGGTTCTCCAGGACCCTAACCATGAAAACGACTCCATTCGATATGACAGAGGTGCGTTCAAACGAGTTCGCCAGACACTTGCGCGATTTACTGATAGTGCTTTCCCCTCAGCGCCCGGATCTCCTCATCCAAATGTTTACGTCGCTCTTGTCCTCGAGTGCGTGCGATTTAGGTCACGATCCTCTCGTAACACTGCTCCCCGATGCCAACTACATCTACGAAATTCCCTCCGATGGTGGCACTGGGCCTCTCTACTACAGGACGATCACGTCTATCTGTGATGCACGACCCTCCGGCGTCTCTGGTCGCCGCTTGCGTGTCTGGGAAGTTGAGCAGGTGGAATCAATTTCGAACCCTGTTCGCGTTCCAGGAACAGCGACTAGGGCACTGAAAGACGTTTTCCTCGATTCCGGCGTACGTACCGAGGCAGATATTCAGCAGGATCTCTTCGACGACATCGAAAAGCTTGCACAGGATGCAGCCTGGCGTTCTCGACCGCTCCTGAAGGACTTTCCCCAGCGTGATATCAACGATCTCGCATACGCGCTGGAAGGCGGAAAGTTCCGACAATACTTCTCTTGCATCGTCGCGAAGCACGTCAGGGAAGCCAATCCACTCGACAATGTTGAGGAAGAAGACGAAACCGGGGTGGCTGCGCCAGAGGATTACCAGATCAACAGCATAGGGGAGTCGGAGGTGGTCCCGCCAGTCCCCCGGCGTGTCAGGCGTCGATGTCTGTTCGTATACGAGCACGTCTGCACACCCCTCAACGATATTCCCGCCCTTGGAGAAGCCATCGACGTACTGAAGCTCGTCCTTAGGCGTAAGTCGCTGTCAAATAACTCATCCGATGAAGCCATACTCAAGACACTGCTTTAGCGCTCCGCTTGATGTTCCTCGCAGGCTGGGTCCACCGCGACATCAGTCCAGGCAATATACTTGCGTATCGAGAAGTCCCGGGGTCGCCTTGGACGGTCAAGCTCTCCGATCTCGAGCACGCGAAGCGGTTCCCCGACTCTGAGTCGAGTGGCGCGGATCGCATCGTTGTAAGTCGACCCTCAAAACCTTTCCCGGTCTCACAGCTGACGCTACCTGACAGGGAACACCCTATTTCATTGCCCATGAAATCAACGCAGGGTCACGCATTTTCCCCCGAAGTCTCCCCTCGGGATGCTCCATGCTGGTTACAGGATCCTGGCCCCGTCGTTCACAATTACCAACACGACTTGGAGTCGATCTGGTGGATCCTCCTTTGGCTGGTCGCTATGCGTATCAACCAGAAGCTACCACGAAAATTCGCTGCAACCTACTTCAAACAAAAGGTCGGATACCATCGCGGCAGCCTGATTACCAATAACCTGGCCTATGACATCGAGTTGCACAAATCACTTCCCCCGGTGCTTCAACGTTCTGCATTCTTCATAGCCCTGGACCATCTTCGACACTACTTGTATATCGCGTACACGACCCGAAGCACTAACCTCAACCACGACGACGTCTCCTCGTTTTCATCTATTGTCAGCGAGGGAATGAATGGTTTCTTTGACGCGATTAAGGCGAGTAGGGAACAATGGGCCGACATTGATCTCATTGTCGACTCAAAACCCCGCAAGGCGGAAGCACCACCCGCGTCTACATCACCACCTTCGACTCTCGAACAGCGTCACGACGACTCGTCGACCAATAAGCGCCAGGCTGAGGATTCTGGCGAAGGGGGAAGAGCGAGAAAGAGGGCCCGACCCAGCGCTGTGCGCTACACTGCCATCGCTCCTCGCAGAACTGGACCAACGACGAGGGCGATGGCGAAGAATGAGGTGCGAGTTACGAGATCCATGACGCGTCGTCTTCAGGAAGAAGAGAAGCAGAAAAAAGGCGATTGATGTAGTAACCCCACTTTTGTGCATCCATAGGATATACAACTAGGCTGCATAACTTGCCTGTAGGATTGTCTGAAACTTACGATCCGAGGACGATCGAGAAATAAGACGTCTTGAGGTCTTGAGGTCTTGGACGAATCACGATGGCGCCGGGCTCGTGTACACGGTTGGGTATATAGTCATTGAAGAAAATCTCGAAACTGCAAATAGATACCTCGCTTATACGATTCTCGTTACTACTCTTATCCCAGTAACACATTCTGCCAACCGACATAACCCAAGTCTTTCATGTCAAGACACCCCGGTCGTACCCTTTGCTCAATGGAATATTGCGGTGAACCAGGTCTTCCAAAGGTTATACCTTTTCGAGAAGGATGGTAAGTGAGGAATACATCGGTGCGGAGAGGGAAGAGAGGAAAATGTAGATCGTGGTAAGCCGAATGGAGGAGGCAAACTGCTGTAGGTGGACTAACTTCTTTCCAGTTCTACAATCGAACATAGACGCACGACTTGTGAACAACCTCTCTCATTGTCAACACGAGGACCTAAGTTGCGAGTGGTGTATGCCAATGTACGAGAAATGTGTAATTGACCATAATGTGAAGTCTAAATGTACAAAAAATCCTGATCTACGACGCTACTTTATTGGTGCCACTACTACAACCGACGTTGCTTCTGTCTTTCCTCTTCTTGAAGACGACGAGTGGTGGACCTTGTGATTCGACCTTCGTTTCTCGCCATCGATCTAGTAATCGGTCCACTTCGGCGAGGAACAACAGCGGGGGCGTGGGCTGGGTTCGGTCGAGCTTTCTTTGAGACCCTTCTCTCTTCACCCGAGTCGACGGCGCGGCGCTTATTCGACGGCGCGGCCCGGTGGGATTGGTTATGAGGCGACAGGCGGGGTTGAGGTGGGACCGGGCCACCAGATGCTTGACGCGTGTTGAGGACTTTGCGAGGCTCCGAATCGACCATGAGCTCTATCTCGGCCCAGACGCTCTTGAAGGCCTCGACGCCATCGAAGAAATTACTGATCCCCTGTCCCACAATCCACGAATAGGAAGACAGGTCGTTGTGGGTTGCATCGCGGTTCCGTGCAGTGTACTGCTCGTAGAGGTTGCGTCGTAAAAGGTTGAGGCAGTAGAAGAACTTGCAAGAGCGGAGCAGTGTTTGGGGGAGCGCCTCAAGCAATTCCAGGTGGTAGAAAAGGGAGTGTGTGAAGACGCGGTTGCGGAGACCAGCATGGCCTTTGTCGACGCGCTGTTGGAAGTACTTTTGCCCAAATTCCCTTGGAAGGTTCTGATTGATGCGCATAGAAACAAGCCAGAGAAGGATCCAGAAAATGGATTCCACGTCATGTTGGTAGTTGTGAACCAAGGGAATAAACCGATATGATGGGAGGGGAGTATCGAGAGGGAGATCCACGGGGAAGAGTCTCCTGCCTAGAAGGATCTCGCAAGCAATGAAGTAGGGTGTTCCCTGTCACATAGTATGGTGTTAGCTTGGGCTTTCCCGCAGATTCTAAGTGAAACCTACTGTGATACGATCTTCGTCTGTAGCCTCAGCGTCGGGATATTTCTTCGCGTGCTCGAGGTCCGAGAGCTTAACAACCGAAGGTGAACCCGGTTCGCCTCGATACACGAGGATGTTTCCAGGGCTGATGTCACGGTGGACCCAACCAGCCAAGAACATGAGGCGGAGCGCTACGAGAAAGGCATTAGCGGATGTTCAGTGTAGTAAGATTGAGTACGTACGGACGAGAACTTGTCTGAGAGCATCGACCGCTTCTCCGAGGGTGGGAATGTCGTTGAGAGGGGTGCAGATGTGTTCGAATACGAAAAAGCATCGGCGCTTCGGTGGGCAGGGGGTGTCGTCTGATGGAGATGGATCGCTCACTTGATCAGCTTCCCCAATGTTCTTCGCGAGGATGCGGGAAAAGAATTTCTTAAATTTGCCGTCCTGCAATGTGTCTGCTAGTACGTCTATATCAGACTGGGGGAAGTCCTTGAGCAGGGGGCGAGACGACCAGGATTCGTCCACGGCTAATTTTGCTATATCCGCGAAAAGGTCCTCTTGGATGTCCGCCTCGGTCCGGACGGCGGCATCCAGAACGACGTCCTTCAGGACCCTGTGGGGTACCCCTGGGACGCGCACTGGATTGGCGACGGAATAAACTTGTTCAACTTCCCAGATTCGCATGCGACGACCGGAAAGATAGCCAGGCTCGGAATCACAGATTAAGGAAACAGTTTTGTAGTAAAGAGGCTCCATACGAGATGGGATCTCGTAAACGTAATTTGAGTCGGGAAGCAGCGTGACGAGCGGGTCATACCCCAGTTGACGCATTTCTGAGGAGAAAAAAGCCACGAGGAGTCGGACAAGAAGGTCAGGATGCTGTAATGCGAGATGTATCAGTAAGGGCTCGCACTGGAGAATGACATTGGAACGGACCTCGACCATGTTGAAGGGCGATGACTTTATGCAAAGGGACCTAGTAAACCGCCACAATGTTACATCGAAGCCTTCCAAAGACACCTGTTCTCTCAATCAGTCACCGATACTCGCCGTGTGAAGGGATAATGAATCAACGTACTCCGAAGCAAAACGTTCGACGGGCGTCCTCATTCATGATTTGCGCGACACGGGATAGGAGTATCGACTGCGTCTGGTGTATACACTTTCAGAAAATTGACCGAATAGAGTAGAATGTGCACTGTCGCACGTACCTTGTCGGACGATAAATAACCGTCCTGACTGTCGATGGCCATGATCGGTACCACGACGTCTGTTGGATGCGAGACACCCTCCGAGTTGGAGCTGATGCAGGCTTGGGCCCTGGATTCAATATCTTCTTCCAGCCTGATGGCGCAGTTATTCCCCTCTCGATTTTCAACCTTCCGTAGCGCTTTGCGAACGGCGCTTCCAATGGATTGTAGTGCCTTCACGACGCGACTACGATTGGGGTTGTTGGATCGGAGCAGGTTTTTGAAGGTCTTGAAGGTCTGAGAAAAGGGTGGTCTGTGTGTGGATGAAGTCGGTGTCTGGTGCAAGGACCGGCCTCGCGAAACCAGCATCTTTTGTTTCTTCAGATCTCCAATAACCGCGTCGAGCTCAATTTCGGAGTTGGGTAGATGACTTTCGAAGAATTCTTCGAAATTGCAGGTTGGTATTTCGTCGTTCATAATGGCAGTTGGGTTGGAGACGTAAGAACCGCGATTCAATTTTGAAGATGGTGGTGGTTCAAAGACAAGAAGCGGCGGAACTTGTAATTCCACACTTGAAGTATTCCTATTCCCACGGCTCGCGCGCCAGGTGATCGCGTCGCTCACGTGAATCCGATATGGAGTCCGGGTGGCTCGAAGGCCCATTCTGACACAACGCGCATGCGAATTGGGGTATAAAACTTGGATGTCAGAAGGTTTACCGTGAGGGGAGGGACTGTCTTGATCTCACATTTCCATCCGTACCTTACCGTGAGAGCCAGGGGAGAGCAGGGAACTCAGCGACAGGTCACGGAGCTCAACCAGGAGGTGACTCGCCCCTTCTCGCTTGGTACTCCCAACATGGCGCCATGACGAACGTTGTGGAGTTCATGTTGGGTGCCACCTGCTATTTCATAGTCCAAGTATCTGGTATATAAGTCATCGATAGATGAATAACGGAATGTGTGAGCTGAAGATCTTCAATGATATTAGAATCGGATCACTTCAATCACTACTACTAATGTCTGTACTCAAGAGGGAAGCACAAGCGAGATTTTCTGGACAGACTCCTTTGTAGCTCTGACTTAAGCATCGATACATCAACGACTACTTCTCATAATCGTATTTTTAACAAACAGGATTGTGTAACTATGGCCAGCACTAAAGGTGTTTGAGAATCCTCCGTCCCGCGATAGAAACTCCGTCCAGCGATATGCGCATGATTATGAATCCATGTTCAAAGTGCTTGTTGAGAGAGACGGGAGCAACGCTAATAGCGGGCCCTCTTGAATGACCTTGATTCTTCCGGCTGGCCCTCGATGGCCTTCGTCATGGATCTAGTCCTCACCCCGGTGGTCCTCGGCACTGCATTCGACCTTCTAGTATTCGATTTGGACTTTGCTTTTCCCTTGGTCTTGCTCTGAACCTTGGCCTTTGGTTGGTTTGTGTCGTCCACTTCATTATCAATATCCTCCGCCTTTCTCTTCTTAGATCCATTCTCTGTGTTCCCTTCTTCTTGTATCTCCCAACCGATCTTCAGTTCCACTGACCTCCATGGATCCTGAGACTCTTCAAGAATGCTGAAAAAGACCTGGAAAGGCTTGCTGATGATGAATGAGTAGGACTCTGCAAGGTCCTGTTTGCCTTGCATGTTCCGGTCCCGATAGGCAGTGTACAGCTCTCGTCGAAGTATGTTGAGGGCAACCAGGAACGAGCGCGAGAGTTGTGGAGGAAAGAGAGGGGACAATTCATCACTGGCAGCAATGTTCGTTAGCAGGATGTGCTCTCGTGACCCGGCGTCTGGAATTTCCCCTTTGGTATCAAACGGGTTTTCAACAAAGCAGGGCGCGATGAACCACTTTACTCTCGCGATAGCCAGCCATAGCAAAATCCACCAGATCGATTCGAGATCGTGTTGATAATTGTGTATGACCGGTTTCCGTAGTGCGGAAGCGCTTGCCAAATGCTCGTCGACATTAGTGGAGCTTGACTGAGCTTCGGGAGGAAGAATATTGTATTGGCCCTGCATCTCCACCGCCATGAAAAATATAGTTCCCTGCGTGAGATAGTCAGATTTGATGGTTATGAATGAGCCTGCTAGATTGACTCACCGTCTTAGCTATAGCACTTGAAGAGTCAGGCTTGTCATTCGGGAACTTCTTCGCGTACTCAAGGTCGGATAGCTTGACCTGCCACTTCTGCTTCGACTCATCCCAAAAGGCCAGAATATTGCCGGGGCTGACATCGCGATGTACCCATCCCGCGCAAAACATCACTTGAAGAGCTGGGAAGATGGTCAGTTTAGACGTCGATAATGGAATTTGATACTAAAATACGCACCCAAAACGCATTGCTTCAGAATGTCAATCGCTTGACCGAGAATAGGAATCTCGGAGAGTGGAGTGTAGACGTCCGGACAAACATGACGAAACTGCTTCTTTGGAGGAAAGTTGTCTCGACAAGGACCCGCTGATCGGCCGGCTGGAGCATTGGGTTTCGAAGGTATTCGATACCTGGGACCCGGTCGATTTGTCTTGTAGTAGTCGACCAAATGCTCATCTTTGTCCGAGGCAGGGAAAAGAGTTGGATCGGCCCAGACTGTGGGAGCCACAGGGAGGGTAGGTTCGCTGGCAGAGGATCTCACAATACAGGCGAAAAGCTCCTTGAACCTTTCACCGTCCCCTAATAGCTCTGCAAGAGATGCCCTCTCTTCGTCGTCGAAGTCTTTTGCAATTGGGCGCGTTTGCCAGGGCTTGCTCGAATCGGTACCAAGTTCCTTGATGTCGGCAAACATATCCTTCTGTATTTCTCCCTCAGTACGTGCGTCGGCGTCCAAAGAGACATCTTTCAAAATCATGTCCTTTGTTCCTTCGACCTGGGCATAACCTTTGTCGGGATCAACTTGCTGAACCTTCCAAACACGAGTGCAACGGCCAGTAAGCGTGAGAGGGCGGCTTTGGAAAATGTTGCTTTGGGTTCGATAAAACGTGTCTTTGTCGTTGTCTCCATCCGCAGGGAACTTGTAGACGAAGCTACCGTCGCCCAGTACCTCCACAAGGGGATCGATACCCAACTGCTCGTCGGTAGCACAGAATAGGGCAATCATGATTTTAACGAACAAATCTGGCTGCTATTGAATGGTCTCAGCCTCGGCAATCATAGATATGTAGACCTCAAAATGACTCACCTCGACCATATTAAACGCCCGCGACTTTGCCGAGTGAGAGCGAGAGAAGTACCAAAGAGAGAACCCTCCATCCTCGATAGTGATCTAGAGACTTGCAATCAGTGAACTGGAAAAGGACGAGATGAGCTGGAACTGGCTTACTCCGAGCGTAAATTTGCGGCGTGCGTCCTCGTTCATGGCGTGGTTGGAATGCGAAACCATCTGCGCCCGATTCTGAGAACAAGTGTTAGCATAGTCATTGGAACGCAGACAACAGCCGTACCGTCATAACCATAATACCCGTGCGGGTTGTCTTGAATTCGAAAGCGACCATTACGTCGGTGATGCGCAGTTTCTCGTTCATGTTCTTCGTCATACAGGCATCGATCTTCTGGTCGCAACCAATGGTTTCCGAGTCCATCTTGTTTGCGCCACACATGCGGACGGAGTATCCATTTAACGCGACACCATCCACGTTGCGGAGAGCCTCACAAATGGCCTCACAGATCGAGGTCAGCGGTGCGAAGACATCTTTCTCGTGGTCTTTACTCTTTCCGCCCGCGCAGGGAGGTTTAAAGTCCTTCAAAGTATAATCGTATGGCGTTCCAGGTGCCGATTTCGCCTTAGACTTTGCTTTGGATTTGGCTTTCGACTTCGCTTTGGATTTGGCTTTGGATTTGGCTCTCGGATTTCCAGATGATGCCGTCGTTTCCTCTCGAGCTACGAGGACCTCCTTCTTGATCATATCCGAAAGTACATGCGATAGTACCTTGTCTTCAACCTTGGGGAGGTAGTGATCTATGAAAATCTCGACGTCGCAAACGAAGGTTTCTTTGTTCATAGCCCCTGCGATATCATAGCGGATCTTGGTCGTCTTTGCTTCGGCTGCTGCAATACGCTTTGGTTTACGGGGTGTGTCCTTGGTGATTGTCTTAGCCCCAGGCTTCTGCGGCGTGTGCTGGGGCGTGCTATGTAGAGTTCGGTCAGTGGCGACAAGATTAGGTGTGATGAATCCAATACATACTTGTGGGGAAAGGTCTTTAAACGCCCCATTGGAACGCTAACAAGAACTTGGGAGAATGCCTAAAAGGCTGTTGTGGATCTGTTGTATTTGGGAGATGAAGTGGATGTCGTGGTAGGAGGTCAAGAGGCGTTTCGTCGAGTTTGGGCTTTCGAACCGCATCAGTGTGTCTTTGATGGAGATACAATGCACATTCTGCCAATCAAGAAGGTTGGACCCACAGTCACATGATCCGTTAGGACCACGCGCGTCCTTCCTACCTCCATTATCCTGGTCCAAACCTCCTCCCCAGATAACCAGTGACTTGTCTTTAATTACGAAAGTTAATAGTCATGTTTATAGCATTGAAATAGTCTAGTACTTGTACCGACGAACGCCATTTATCGCGCTTACTGTGAATTGAACCTCCGTCATCCTGCCTTCGACCCATGGCCTGTGTGAATCCTGCCAGGGAGTTCCCGCCAACCTTACAGGCGTCCTCCATTATCCAAACCTCGTCCCCAATTACCGGTGACTCGTTTTTATTTAGCATATTGAATAATATGTACATCGGGACCACACTCAATCATTCCGTTAGGTCGTCGTAACCCGCGTTTACTCAGACTGCCACGATGCCAGTGGCATGCAAACCTCTGACTGCCCCACGTCAGCCCGATCTCTGGTAAATGAGGGATGGTCCACGAAGGTCGTGTACTCTGTGGCACATATCTAAAACGACCCAGATTCGTCAGCTTTTCAAGCCAGACCCGTGCGTCGTGACCAATCGCTTGATGAGTGAACCTCTCATCCAAAAAGAAACCTACTTACGAGTAAAGTGTATCCCTATACACTGCCTTGCCGCGTATAGATGAATGTTCGGTTTCAATTAGATGAAGCTACATACGATACATGGAGCAACTAATGAAACCCTTCGTAACAGTAAATTCGACTACCCAGAACCCCATGCATAGGCGACCACCTGAGCGAGAAACAAAGAGGGATCCATATTGTCGCCACCCCTCTTCAACTCTGGCCCAATCCCACAAATCAAAACCAACACTACCCTCCTCGAAACATCCATATGCATCCTCACGGCGCCCAACACTCCCTCCTCGTCTGAAAGTTATCCATATTACCCTTATACCTACGCAAGATGGATATTAAAGATCCTCCCGGGATTCCTGTTGGATTCCTGCCTACATTTCCAACAACGCTCCCTCGCAACTCGCAGCTATCGCTCCCTCGATCCGCTCTGGTCGACCCAGCTATCCGAATCCAGGTTCGAACTTCTTCGAAGACTTCTCCAAAGTCCATATGGGAAGCATTGACGGTTGATCCATGTTTGAAGACCGACATCGTTTCTCACCCAGCGTTCTATTGGTTCTGTGCATCGAGCGCTTCCCGTCGGCCACATCCCCCACCCCTACCCTGCTTTCTCGACCAATACCAGCTTCTTAGAGCGCCTACATACCAGAAACGGAACAAGGTGTTCTTTGAAGTTTAATCCACGTTACCTCCCCCCTCCTCGTCATCACCCTCAACCCTTCCCGTCGTCAGCCCTTCTACCGCCCTCCTCATTACATATCCACGAACGCACCCTTCAAGTACAACGCGAAAAGCTTCTGCTTCTTGGACTAACGCTGCGTCGCTGCTCATGCATCATGATCAGGTTACCCATTGATCCTTGTGATCCCTACCTTGAAATCCTAGTGTTCCAATAGTCGTATGTACTCGAGTACATCAGTAGCGTCGTGTTCTCCCCGTTCTCCGCGGAGCAATCACACGAGTGACGAGCACGTTCGTTATCGCATTCTGGTAAGTAAGTGTTCCGTAAGAAAGTCGCCGTGTTGCACCATTCGAGCCCGAGTCCCGTGGCTAGTCCATAGAGGGTATGCAGTCCAGTGGTAGATGGACAGCGTGAATGTTGGGGGTATGTCCAGACATAAGTATGTTCGACGTTCGACGACAGCAGGTATGCCTACAAACGTCCGACATGTGTTGGACATCCCCGATTCGAGGGTGTTGGCGTAGGGCGTACCGTATACGTGCATCAGCAGATGACCGGCCACTCGTGATGGTGAAGAGACAACGAGGCGCCCCGAGCCAGCGAGAGCCAGTCAGTCGTCCGCTCGTGAGCAAGGAGCATCCGAATAACTCGTCAACGGTAGCTAGCACCAGCGAAGCCTTAGCGCTCCGCAGCAAAAGCCCGATGCCAGCAGAGAGCCCCACACCAGTACCAGCAGACAACCCTTACCAGCACCAGCAAAGAGCCCAGACCAGCACTTTGTAGCATCAGTCTACGCACTCCTGGCATCCCGCTTCCGATACCACTCAGGTACCCAGGGTTCCCCCAGCACCCCAAACCCCCGAGCCACAACATCGGGAATTTGGAAACCACCAGTCACACCACCGGAAAACCGCGACGGACCTGCGATGTGGCGCTCCAATCCGTACACGAGGGCGGTCATGTGTCCCCTCTCGCCCCTCGCAAGCTGGGAATCGCCGAATCATAATCCTAGCGTCTGGGAGTCGTCAACTGGAGGATTAACGAGACAGGGAGAGAGGAGGAACGAGGACTTGGAGTTAGGCGCATAGCGAGGGCGTGTGAGAGGCGATGATGACGATGACGTCGGGGATCCCAATCGGGAATGAAGGCGGGCCGCGGTAATTCCCGAAATGGAAATAAGGCGGTTGACAGAAAGAGCGCGCCGATGCGGACGGCGGTAGTCGACAGCGATAGAGGTTGACAACGGAGCCGTAAGAAGATATGACCCCTCTCCTTAACCCCTCTGAAGCGGTTTGGTGAAATTCAAGACCTACCGAGGGCTAGGATACCAAAGCATTTCCTAAACGGTTTAGTATAGTGTTCAGGGGGTAGAATAGGCTAGTAAAACATTTGGGGATGCGTATAGCTCTCGGGCATTGGCAGAGCATTTAGGTATTAGTAAGTCACCAGAAGGGCTAGCGTAACATTCGTAGGAAACCCAAAACGAAACCAGGAAATGGAAGATTTCAGAGAGCGCACCTATAGACCGGTTTGGTTGTCCCGACTCCGTGTTCCCGCCTTCATCTCCGCGTCTTTTCATCGCACCACCATCTTCATCGCGCCACCACATCCCGCCTAGACGATCACCCCCAAGCCACCCCAGGGCGAACAGAATATCCCGACGAGGCGAGATGGATGAAAATTAAGTATGAGGGTGATGGTGATATGAGATGTGAAGGTGAGACAGCGGGACGCAAATGAGGGTGTACCCTAGGTGTATCGTGCAATGTCGTAAACCAGACGGAGGTGCAGCCGAGGTCGGGAAACAGCAATGCCGACGTGACTATCAAGAACGTCAAATTCTCTTCTGCGTTTGTCGGGGAGCAGAGCGTGGATAGACATGTTCGTCAGTGTCGGCCCCGAGTCGATAACAGTCGTCGTCGTTCTCCGTACGTAGTGCTGGCATCCAATCCAGGCCTTCCATGACAGCGTCCCGGCGATCAACAACGATGCCAGCCGACGTCGAAGAAAAATCAAGTCGCAGCGTTGATGGGTTAAACGTCGAATTGTAAATGTTTTCATCTCATGGATTCGCCGAGAGCTGGCCTAGACGTCCTCATCTGTTCGATGACGGCGAGCACGATGGATACGTAGAATCAGGATGGATATACAGGGAAATATCCCGAGAAACCCAAGATTTTAATAGAATGTAGTACACACCCTTGGAGGAATAGCACCCATCAACCAACCCAATAGAGCTAATCGCGCGGCAATCCATCACCCGACCCCAACAGTCCCGATCCCCATCGCATAGTCCCTAACGTAGAGGTAGAAGCACGAGGCCCGAGTCGCATGGTGAGCTATAGCCTTGAGAAGGTGAGTACGTGCAACGAGGAAAGGCTATCCATCCCGGGAGGCAAAGAGAAACAAGAGCGAAAGCAAAAACGGCGGGTTCATAAAACCTAGAGGGAGGATGGTGGAAAGCAAAACAATCGAGGGCGAAGAAGAAAGGAAGGGGAAGCAAGAATGCGAAAGCGCCAACCCCACCCACCCACTGTGGGTTTATAAGAACCAACCCACCCCTCGAACCCGACCACGCAGCAGCAACGTTGCAGTCAGAGCAACGGATAAGACGAGTGGATCGCAACTCGTCGTCGCATTATCAACGACTAATCGACGACAAGGACGGGGTCTGTAATCTGATCCTATATCCGAAGCCACTTCGTCCTACCCTTTCTGCTCGCCTTACCCTTGAAACGGCCTAATCGATGATGGTGATCTGTGCGGAAAGGGTAAAAACGAGGGTTAGGCAAGCCTCGTTGCGTTGGGGTTGGTCCGAAGATACCTCGAATCCGCACCTCGAGCTGGTGGGTGCACACACAGTGGACCATAGATGGAGTGAACGTGGTGGAAAAGATTGTTCTCGGAGTTTGGGTTACCCTTGTCCTGGCTTATCGAGGGCATGAGGCCTGTCATCGTGCATGTGAGCAGTGGATGGGCGTCTAACAGAGTTCTTGGCGTAAGGGTTCACAAGTCTGCAGATGAACGCGTACAGATGGTGGGGAAGGCTGGTTTGTGGCCAAACCGCGCCAAACGCGTCGTCGACATCGCCCAGCGGTGTTGAACGCGTTCAGTGGCGCGCAACCTCCTTCCATGAGAGATTCATCATCCTATGATTGTCGAATATATCGTGATTGTCCTGAAAGGTGGGGAGAACAGATAGAATTGGCGGTCGACGACGCGGCTGGATGTGGTTTGGGTGGAAGAGTCCCCCGCCCGATAATCCCGATGACCGGAACGCGCCTTTGCTTGACGTTGTTTGGTTTGAAGGGTGTCGGCTCCTCGCCAGCGGCTCGGAGGGGGCTTGGAGAATACCCTTCTCCCAATGCACTTGAATCTACTATGCGGACTGAGCTACAACAACTTCATTCATCCTCAAGATAAGTGGGCTGAGCGCGCGAGGCTCAAACCCCTGAATTTCTCCACGATTCAAACACAATGGAAGCTCGTTAACGACTGGAGAGGTCCGCCTCCGTCTCCGTCGTTATCATGTATTTACAACTCATAAGGCAGGTCTCCAGAGTTCTCAACGTGAATTCTCTGTGTGTCAGTTCATACCCCCAGTCGCGATCGACCGGCTAGCGATCATTGGGTATATAACGTGGTCGAGGGTGCTGAATGGATCATGGCTCGAACTTGGACCAATTCTTCGTCCTTGCGTAGCTCTACGTCCGTGCTTACTACCGCGTACCGTTTCTCAATCCCGACGTCGCGATCGTTGAGTGGGAGCTCTGGATCTGGGAGTTCGGTTGTCGGCTTAGGGGCCGTTGTGGGTGTACTCCGGGGTCTGATTTATCGCACGTCGAAAAGGTAGAGTCTCGTGGTTCAAGAGATCATATGCGACGAGGGCTTATAGGACCAGGAGAATAGGATCGTGGGAGGATACTCATATTTAACTCATGAGAAGAATAACGACACAGGGTAGGTATACTACATTCCACCCCAGTCCTCCTGATTCTCACTTCTCGCTCCCTTCTACCTCATAACACCACCCCGGGCAAACCATACCGCGATGAGATGCATCGACCGCAACTCTAATTTTAAGAACGCGGTGTTCCCAAAGGCTGGACGCGCCCTGATCGTCGCATTCCCACATCACTTCGAGTCACTTCGAACACTGGGTGGTATAACTTTCTGACAGTCTAGGTTAGCGCTGGTATAGCCTTCTGACATGGAAATATATAACTTTCTGTCAGACGAGTTTGTGTATGCACGTCGCCGAGGGCATTAATTATTCGAGTAGACTACTCGAAATGCTATATGAGCAGGTGTAAAGATATCGTGATATTGCAAAACATCAAGATGCTATAAGTGTACCTAGATATAGATAGAAACCCCTGACACTGTGCGGGAGCCGAGACAATGGCAGACTGATCTAGACGGCAGTGAGGAAAACGACAAGACCATGAATGACTAGACTATGAAAGAGGATCGGTGTGGTGACTGCCAGTGGAGTAGCACCTCAGATTCTACCCCCCAATCCAAGGATTTTCGTCAGATCTTTCCGACCCAAGTGGATAAAGACTCATGCGTGCTTGATGGAGTCTGGTTCTCTCCGACAGCTCAAGCTTCCAGTCAATCTAGGATAACAGAACAATGTTGACCCTTTCTCTGACTCTCTCTCTCGTCTTTGAATTCTTCCATATACACACCAATATGAACACACTGATAACACGCATGTAGAAGTCCCATCCAAACAACACCTCGGGAAATACAAACTCAAAAACGCCGGCGGGAGGACTAGAAGTTACCGCGAGGCACGCCCCTACTCGAATTGATGATAACGGAGAAATACAGATCCCCCTTCCAAATAGGGGCAACAATGGCCAATCAATTCGAAGTTCGAAGCTTCTTTCCTTGGGGACTTGACTCTATCACTCTAGATGGAAACCTGAGTCGGATGAAGGAACAAGACTCGTAATCGCGTGGAATGTCAGAACCATAGGTTACGATATGAAAATTCGAGTCCCAGGCAGACCCTTGAAGCCGTCGAGGGGTCGCCACCGGGAGAATACCGGTGGTCTCGAGACCATTGTCGATTCTTCTTGCCTTGGTACTTAGTGGTGTACTCAGTAGCGCCCTCAATCCTGGGATACGCTCTTGACATTGCGAAAACTGCGATCTACTACCCGGAAGGGAGATTGATAAACATCAAGAGGGACGATGGAGAAAACCACCGAGCCTGAGCGAGTCACTGTTATGCGAACGAAATCCTATAAGAACGACGGTGAGCGGGCCAAATACTACCCTTCCCTGATCTCTTAATGTGTACCCACGCACAGCTGAAACGCCGTCCCTTCTCAAGACTCGCGCTCCCTATCCCACCTCGCAGCTACCAGATTCCCATGACTCTTCTACCTACGCAGTTTCGGCACCTCCTAATGCCCATAAACCCGCAAACCCCATACACGTTCGCGTGTCAATCATATCGTGTTCCATACGGGCTCAAGAGCATAGACGACAACTCCTATGGCATCACGGATTTCGATAGGAAGAGAGTCTGGATTATGAATAGGTCAGGGTATTTATGTGACTGCATCTGAACTCGTGCTATGGAGAAGTTTGAACTGTGTGGAGACTTTCTAACTGGATATAGGGAACAATGGACTTTTTGAAATGACGCGAAGCCCGAAGATAGCCATTCGATGAAGTCTGGAAGACAATTGTCAGCCATTAAAGCGGTTGGGATTCGGAATTCAGAAGTATGATTCAGGGTATCCCGGGTTAAGAGGATCGCGTTCGGAATGAGGACATTGGTGAGTAATCCTTATGTGTTCGAAAACAAAAACTGTGCTGCGCACTGGACCCTCGAAAGTCCTCTAGTCCTCGGAGAAAAGGGAAATGCATCCATATTGTGACTCCAGTCGGGAGTCGGGTTCGAACTTCTTGATGCGACCCGCCATTGACCTGCGGCTATTGAAATTGGGACGAGTCAGACAAGCAATACCCTATAGTTAGATTACACGTACGTAGTGACGATAATCTCAAAAGGCAGACGGAGACGACGTCTCATGCCATGAGTTTCCGCTGCACAAATTTGTCGGAGGCTGATCACCGCCTACCCTTCTCAGAGCCACGGACCGATTATGTGCCAATTTTGTCCAAGTGCGATGCGCACGATGAAGTGGGAAGTGGATAGCTAAGTGCGACCTACATGAATTGCATCTCAGGAGTTACTTGGCTGTAGCGCAAGCGGGCCACGGTAGCACGCTTCTCACCTTAGGTCCGCAGGGAGTTCTTTTACTGAAGTAGTTGGGACAGCCGTTGATCGATGTATGGGTTTTATCATTCAAATTTGTGACCAGCACCAGCTAACCAAGAGCAATACACGTCGAGTTGACTACATCTGTACAACAGAAGTCCCGTCCAGGGGCATTGAATGATAATGACGTTCCAGAACCAAAATACTTCGTCTCCTCCGAGGGAGGGAAGTGTACAAGCAATAGATCATTAACGACGAGCTCTCTTCGAAGGCTTAGGTCCACCGTGATCGACTTTCTTCGATTTCTCTTGAGGTTTGGCAGCCGATCTCGCCTTGCCTGCACCTCCAGCCTGGGTCATCGACCTAGTCGTTGGCCCGTTCTCTCTCTGGATCCTGGCTGAAGCCCTCTTTCCCTCTTCGACACCCTTCTGCGGTTCTTCAGGCCCATCACTCGCCTCCTCTTGCTCTGGGACCAAGGTGAATGTTACCTTCTTTACACTGCCTCTGCTGAGTGTGCTCGTCGCAGTTCCTTCTTCGTAGTCCTTCTCTACATCAAGGGCGAAAGTGACCTTCTTCACCCCAATCACACTCGTGTCTTCTGCTTCCAACTCATCCGTCGCCTTTCGCTTTTGCAACAAACCCGAATCGGGCTCTCGTTCTGTCAGTCCATGTCCATCTTCTCCCCCTTTACGTGTCACATCCTGCTCGGCGAGTAGCTCAATTGCATTCCATTTCTCCCTGGACCCTTCGATCTTCTGGAAAAACTTTTGGAAGGCCGTACTCATGATGTAGGAGTAGGTACCAAGGTCATCCTGCTTTCCTTCGACGTTGCGTTTCCTGTACTCAGAAACCAAGTCCTTGCGGAGTCGATCGAGGGCGAAAGTGAAATCAGGCTTCATCTCTTCCGGGAGCGATGGGCGGAAGTTCTTGTCAGTCAGGAGGCTGGTTGTGAGAGCAAGCTTTCGGCTTTTGAGATGCGCCTCAGCCTCCTTTTTCCCTAAATATCCAGCCTGAAAGATGGCATCGGCGAACAATTGTGGAAGGGTTCGATTTACTCTCGCCGTCGAAAGCCAGAGAAAGAGCCACCAAAACGGCTCCAGATCATGCTGGAAGGTGTGCATCACGAACTTCCCAAGCTGAGAAAGGCTATCCAGGTCCTCTTCATCGGAAATGACCTCATCAATGAAGTCCTGAGGGAGCAGGAGAGCGCCATCCTGGATCTCAACAGCCATGAAGAACGGTGTTCCCTGTAAAACGTTGAGACTCTAGTCTCTCAATCTAAACCAAGCAATGTACTCACTGTCTTGGGTATACCACTCGACATACGGCCTTTCTTGCCTGGGAATTTCTTCGCGTACTTGAGATCGGATAATTTGACTTGCCATTTTTTCTTTGATCCATCCCACCAGGCAAGGATATTCCCCGCGCTAATATCGCGGTGCACCCATCCCGCACAGAAGATGAGTCGGAGCACTATATGACAAAAAGGGTTAATGTTGTTGAGCATACAAGAAGGAGAGAAGGGATGATGCACCATCGAGGCATTGCTTCAAGACGTCGACAGCCTCTCCTAAGGTGGAGATGTTGGAAAGCGGTGTGTAAACACGCTCAAAGATGTAAAGACACCGCTTCTTGGGCACTATTTCTCCTAGAGTTCGCTTCTCCGCGTGCTTGGTCTCATCGCAAGACTTCTGAATTCCAGGGGTCGGTCGTATCGTCTGGAAAGGATTAACAGACAAGGTATCGAGCTCTGAAACCGGGAATATAGTGTCATCAGCCCAAACTTGGGGAGCTACAGAATGTCCGGGCGGCCGGATGGCTGTTGCGATTATGCGAGAAAATAAGTCCTTCCATCTCTCGCCGCCGCCTTCAAAGAGGTCTTCTAGGAAGGCTTTGTGTTCGTCAGCAAAACCCTTCACCATGGGATGCTCTCTCCATGGATTCTCGGTGTCCTCCTTCAGTTTCTCAATGTCGCTGAAAATCCTTTCCTGTATGTCCGTCTCAGTGGGGGTGTCGGCGTCCAGCGATACGTCCTTCAAGATCATGTCCTCGACACCAGCGACTTGGAGGTAGTCATTCTTCGGGTCCACGAGCTCAACTTGCCAAATCCGAGTGGAACGACCCGCGAGACCGAGGGACCGTGATTCGAAAATGGAGTGCTTGGTCCGGTAGTGCTTGGCCTCGGGGCAGTCGTCGCTTGCAGGGAACGTGTAGATGAAGTTGTAGTCATTTGTTAGCTGTACAAGCGGGTCGAATCCAAGCTGCTCGTCGGTGGCACAAAACAGGGATATCATGATCTTGACATAAAGGTCTGCGTGCTAATTTCCATGAAGCATGTGAGCTTTCTAGTGGAGGTGTTAGGTCGAGAAGGAAAACGAACCTCAACCATACTGAACGACCTTGCTTTCACGGAGTGAGAGCGGGAGCAGTACCATAGGGAAACGCGGTCGTCTTCAATCGTTATCTAGGACTTCACGTTAGCACGTAGACACAATATGTGGGCTTGGTTACCACTTACCCCGAGGATAAAGGTGCGTCGAGCATCGTCGTTCATGGCGTGGTTGAAATGAGATACTATCTGCAGGCGATTCTAAAGAAGCTTGCGTGTTAGTACCTATCCAACTCAAAGGGTCGCACAGAAGCCCATACCTCCTTTACTTTGGCCCGCTTCGCTTTGAACTCGAACGCAACAGCAACATCGGTAATCCGAAGTTGCCATTTCTTATTCTTGGTCATACAGGCATCGATTTTGTGGTTCCCACCGTTGATTCGAGATCTCAACGGATTATCGCCGCACATGCGAATGACATAGCCATTGGGCTTGATACCTGCCTCCCGTTTGAGAATGTTGCAAATCGCCGCACCGATCGCGGTCAAGGGCTTGAACGTCTTATTCTCCAACGCCCTATCATTGTCGCCGGTCGTCTCCATTGTGCAGGGTGGCTTGAACGATTTGAATACATGTGAATAGGGCTCAGGTGGTGGCGAGGGTGGAGTGGCACCCGATGTCGTCTCTACTGGTGTGGTGGCTGAAGATCCAGTCGTCTGGCGAGGGACAAGGACCTTTCTCTTCTGAAGGCCCTCAAGTACGAGTGCATGAGTCTCATCTTTGACCTCTGGGAGATAGTGGTCCATGAAGATGTCCACTTCGCAAACGAAAATCTCTCTGTTCATCGCCAACCCAACCTCATAGCGAATCAATGTCGTCTTCGCTTCTGCAGCTGCAAGTGGTCGTGCTTCACGCGGTGTTTCAGTCACATTAGGTACAGTTGCTATACCACATTTCTGCGGTGTATGTTGGGGTGTCCTATCAGTAGTATTGTCAGATATTTTTGCACACGGAGGGCCATGTTTGGTTTGAAGAACGTACTCATAATTCGGGTAGGTATTACTACGCTCCGTTGGCATGACGGGCGCCGTTTGCGTGTCAAGAGTGAAAGGTGTGGACTGGATGTTCTCTTTGGCTAGTTACCAAGGTAGTGGCAAGAGGTTAAGAGGCGTTTTGTGCAGGAGTGTGAACAAGTCCCCTTGGGTCAGCATTGATCGTTCATCATTGTCGAGGCAATTGATTTAGTAATTGTTACTCACGCCAAGCTCAATCTTGATCGCGATTTCTCCTGTGGCATTTGTGCTGAAGATTTCACGGAAACTGCACATCATTGGATATACTCGTACAGATTCATGGTCGGAAACCTTACTGACTTAGAGGACGATTACCTTCTCCGACTAGAGTCTGGTTCACAAGACTAACTCAACGCCATTCATAATCCGCTTGTTAGAATGAGCAAGGAAGGTCACGGTACTGTAACCACATTGCGGAAGACGTTGGTACCTTCGCCATGAGCAAGAAGTACAAATGTCCCGGGAGGCTCTGATCCAGGATCTGAATGTATCCGTAGATACATTTCTGCACTTCTGGACCCTCTGGGTGCTTAGACTTCACTCTGGGATCTGATTCGATAATTCAACAACGTGGATATGATAAGGTCGAGGTAGTAATACATACTCTAGTCTACAGTATAAAATTACACGAGTAAGGTCTAGTTGCTCCTATCTACGCTGCTTCTGTAGCTTGGCCTCCCGAAGACGTCGAGTCGCAGACCGTGTCATCCGACCAGCGTTCCTCGTCATCGACCGTGTCGTTGGACCGCTCCTCTGGGGATCGCAGGCGCCACGCATAGGCCGCAGCCTCTTCGGTGCTCTGCTCTCTTCTCCCAATTCGACATTTTGACGTTTCTTGGGACGTTGGACGGTGGGTGGTTGGGCAGGACGCAAAGTCACCTGTACATGGTTGTCGACCTTGTTCCCAGCCTCCATTTGACGTACGTCTGTGTCGACGATGAGTTCAATACCACCCCATTGATCCCTGCATCCTTCGACACCGTCGAAGAAGGTCCGCATCCCTTCGCTGATGATCCACGAGAAAGTCTCCATCTCATTGAACCTTCCCTCCTTGTTGCGATTGAGGTAAACAGCGTAAAGGTTGTGGCGTAGGATGTTGAGGCGTTTGTAGAACGAACCGTGCAGTGCTGGAGGAAGTGACTCCTTCACCTTGGGTTCGTGTGAGAGGGGGTTTATGAGTAGAAGAGCCCTCGTTCGGGCATAAATTTGATCGACTCGCTGCTGGAAATGAAGTCGCCCAAACTGTCTGGGCAGGTTTTGGTTTATCCGCATGGTCGTCAACCAGAGAAGAATCCACCAGATGGACTCTAAATCGTGCTGGTAGTTGTGGACGACCGGTGCGGTAGGAAAAGGGGGAACTAGCCCTTCGGGGTCTATCCGGTCCGGGTCGACTTCTGTAGGGTAGAGATGTTGACTATCGAGGACCTCATATGCAATGAAGTAGGGGGTACCCTATCACCATGGGTATTCAATAGCAAGTTCAAACACGAGCAGGGATATGCTTACCGTTGTTCGATCCCCATCGCTTGATCCAGGGTCGGGAAACCTTTTTGCATGCTCGAGATCTGACAGTTTGACCTGCCAGGGCGCGTCCGCCGTTGCTCGAAAAGCAAAAATGTTCCCTGGACTGACGTCCCTGTGAACCCAACCCGCACAGAACATCAACCGTAATGCTAAAGAAAAGATGTGAGGGCGGTGTTCGAGCTGCGAGGCGGATGGTTTATGACGTACGAATGAGCGATTGCTTAAGAACATTTACCGCTTCACCGAGTGTGGAGATGTTGTTGAGCGGTGTACAGACACGTTCGTACAAGAAGAGACACCGGCGCTTTGGTGGAGACGTGGGTGGAGTGACCGACGCAAGCTGATCATCCTCCCCCAGGTGATTTGCAATGACGCAGGAGAAATAGTTCTTGAAGCGATCGCCTTCTAGCGTGCGGGCAAGCATATCAAGGTCGGCTGGAGAAAAGTCCTTGAGGAGCGGCCGGGATCGCCACTTGGAATCCTGGCCGAGTTTCGCTATATCAGCGAAAAGATCATCCTGAATGTCAGCTTCGGTCCTCGCGTTGGAAGACAGGAACACATCCTTCAGGGCCCTGGTAGGAGTCCCTGGGATGCGGGTTGGCTGAACTGGCGAGATCACCTGTTCAACCTCCCAGATGCGCGTGCGTCGTCCGGAGAGGGAGGTGGGGCGGACATCCCAGATAGGACGGATGGTTTTAAAATAGAGCGGTGTCGACGAAGGGAGCTGATAGATGTAGTTCCCATCGGGAAGTAAAGTGACCAACGGATCATATCCGAGGTCGTGGAGAGGGGCGGAGAACAGAGCAATGAAAAGTTGGACCAGAAGTTCTGGTTGCTGAAGGACGATTCGCGTTAATCATAGGTCGTAAAAGAAATGTAAGGCTCAACACAAACATACCTCCGTCATGTCGAACGGTGTTGATTTAACGACGATGGATCTGGAGAAGCGCCAGAGAGTGACCTCGGGCCCCTCACAGGTTACCTGGTGCCACATTAGTCAATTGAATCGGTCCGAGAGGGGGATAGTCTACGTACACCATAACAAAACCTTCGACGAGCGTCCTCGTTCATGATCTCCGTGGCACGGGACAGCAGCTTAACCTTCGCCTGAGAAATGCTGTCTTCAGTAAGCAGACCAAAGTAAGGAGATTGATACTACGTACCTCATTCGACGACGCATAGTCGCAATTGTCGGCAACGACTGTCATCGGCACCACAACCTCGGTGGGGGGCAGCGCGCCATCTGCACTCGGGGTGAGGCATCCATGAGAGACCAATCCGACGTTATCTTCAACTCTAACGAAACGGTCGTTGACCTCGCCGTCTGGGGTCTTCCCCAGGGCTTTACGGATGGCATTACCGATTGTTTGTAGCGCCTTCACGACGCGGGTGGGGTTGGTTGTGCGAGATCGAAAAAGAGTTTTGAAGGATTTGAACGTATGGGTGAACGGCGGCCGTCTTGGGGACGAAGAAGGCTCCTGGTCCAAAGGACTGACTCGAGAGACAAGCATCTTCTGCTTCTTTAGGTCCCCAACCACCGCGTCGAACCCTATTCCGTGGTTAGGAAGATAATTTTCCAAGAATTTCCCAACAGTGCAGGTCGAAACTTCAGACGCCATGATCGTTTAGTTTCAAAATCCAAGCCGATAGAGGAAAAAAGAGATCTGGTTTTCGAGATGGTGGTGGCTCAAGGACAAGGAGCGATGGCCGTCAATCCACGGCTCGGTTGCAGTGACTAGGCCATTCCCACGAGGCCAGGTGATCGCGTCTCTCACGTGACACGTGGATCCAACGGGCGGGGTGGCGACGCGTCACGCTCTGCCTCCTATGGTCAAAATCGCTGAGACGATGCTTGAGAAGGGATCATCTCTGTTCTTTGCTGAAGGGGCTGTCATCGATGTCATCCTCGAAGAAACGGAATACCCGAGAGATGACAATGACGCAAGAGGTTCTCCAGGACACTACGCCAGTGCCGAGCCTGCCGATCCTCCATACGGCATCACATCAAAACTAAACGTTAAACCGTCGTCGGCGGCCGACTCAGCGCTGAGTCGCCGAACGCGCGTCGCGGCTCAAGCGCTCAAGCTTCATGGTGTTCGCGTCTATGCCTTTGACATTCGCGTCTACATGCCGATAGGCGACCAGACCACATATAAAGGCGGGCGGTGTCTCGAGTGAAGTCACTATCTTCTCTACGACACTATCCTCCCATGGTCTCCCTAACCGCCATCCGAGCCTCGAATATCGTCTCCGCCAGCGCCGTCACTGGGTCTCCTGTAGCCGTCTTCGTTGGTGGGACATCAGGTATAGGCCAGGGTATGGCTGAAGCATTTGGGAGAATGACGAATGGCAACGCGCACATTATCATTGTTGGGCGGAACCGCCAAGCTGCCGAATCTGTGCTGAGCAACATTCCATCACCTACTTCACCTCCTTCCCAACCTCAATCCGGAGCTTCGACGACAAAGGAATGGACCAGGGAATTCATCCAATGCGACGCAACTCTGATGAAGAGTGTCCAAACCGCCTCCAACGAAATCCTCGCGAAACACGGCAAGATCAACTATCTCATCCAAAGTCCAGGGATCATGACTACCGGCGGTCGCGACGAGACTTCCGAAGGGATCGACAAGAAACTCGCGCTACACTACTACGCTCGGTGGAAATTCATCGACGAGCTCCTTCCTGCTTTGAGGAGAGCGAACAAGGATGGGGAAGATGCGAAGGTTATGTCGGTGTTAGGTGCTGGCTATGGAGGGGAGATTGACGTCGACGATCTGGGGTTGGTGAAGGGGTATTCCACGAGGGCGGCGGCACTGCAGGGCACGACGTATAATGATCTCATGATGGAGGTTCGTGCATCGTCAATTCCTCTCCTAATTCTCAAGAAACCAAACCTCTGTCTTTCCCATATGGTCCATGCAGGAATTCTCCAACAGAAACCCAGGCTTAACCTTTATCCACGCTCAACCAGGTGGCGTCAAAACCAACATTGCCAACAACTCTCCGTCTCTCTTGGTCCGTCTGGCTGGAAAGATCGGGCTATTCTTCGTAGCACCCTTCCTCTCCACCTCGGAGCAGTGCGCACACTATATGTGGAAGGCCATATTCAATCATGCAGGTGGTGCATTTAGGACAAACCCGAAGGGGGCGGATATAGGGAAGTGGCGGTACTTTGGGAACGAAGAACAAAGGAAGAAGTTGTGGGAACATACCATTGAGATGACGAGGACGAGCGTTCCTTCAACTTAGACAACCAATTCACCTTTATAACAGGTTTGACCTGTAATGAACGATAGTGATTGATTAAGATATCAACAGTATTCCTTCAATTCCTTCAGTCTAGCTCATCCCACACCCAGTCGATCGCCCTCTTTTGGTTACCTGACGGAACCGACTGTCAGTTTCGTGGATTATTCATGATCCTCTGAACAGCGATAGCGTCATTCCCAGCTGTCCTCCTAAACACGAACACGCGTTAGTCAACTGATGTAAGTAAACCTACTCGAGTAATGAAGTGCGAGTTGGGGGATGTACAGCTTCTGAATAGGAGTGTGAACTGGCTGTGGCTCTGCACTGTACTCTGCCCCTCGAGCTGGGCCTCCACCACGCCGTGCACCTCCTCGACTTGGACCTCCACGAGGACCTCCTCGTCCCCGTCCACCTCTAGTCCGAGCTTCGAGAACGTCTGTATCACTGACAACGCTTTGGAGCGACAGCGAGAGTGCAAGGAGGGGGAGTGCAATAGACGTCGAGAAGCGCATGATTTCGTTATGAAGTTCGATTGGTAGGATCTGAATGGTATGGATAGACGTTGGGGAAGTTCCGAGTCTGTGTTGTTGGATTCTTTGTGGGAGAGGACCAGCCTGAGGATATGAAGCGGCAAAATGGCACTCTTTATAGCACCCCTCTCATTCTGGTTTATGGCTGCTCGGGTGTCGGTGGCAAGAAGCGCTCAGAACGGACGGCGCGCAACCGCACTGATATGATACCACAGAAAAGTTCCTCAGTCTCACGGGCGGTGAAGCAACGGAAGAAACGTAGCACCGGATAGCTATCCCGGAGAGCTGCTTGTGTGGGGACTGCGCGAGAACTGAGTAGGAACGCCATTTCATATGCCAGATGGGTGATCATTCATAGTAGTGATACAGTTCTATAATACAACATACGGGATGGGTAGTATTACACCAAGCTCAGTTGTTTCTGCTGCTTCTTCGTGAAGCCGACGTGTCATAGATCTCGTCTATCGATACACAAAAGTGGGTTTTACTACATCAATCACCGTTTTTTCTGCCTCTCTTCTTCCTGAAGACGACGCGTCATGGATCTCGTAAATCGCACCTCATTCTTCGCCATCGACCTCGTCGTTGGTCCATCTGTGCGAGGAGCGACGGCAGTGTCGCGCACAGTGTTGGGTCGGGCCCTCTTTCTCGCTCTTCCCCCTTCGCCAGAGTCCTCAGCCTGGCGCTTATTGGTCGATGAGTTGTCGTGACGCTGTTCGAGAGTCGAAGGTGGTGATGTGGACGCGGGTGGTGCTTCCGCCTTGCGGGGTTTTGAGTCGACAATGAGCTCAATGTCGGCCCATTGTTCCCTACTCGCCTTAATCGCGTCAAAGAAACCATTCATTCCCTCGCTCACAATGGATGAAAACGAGGAGACGTCGTCGTGGGTGGCGTTACTGCTTCGGGTGGTGTACGCGATATACAAGTGGTGTCGAAGATGGTCCAGGGCTATGAAGAATGCAGAACGTTGAAGCACCGGGGGGAGTGATTTGTGCAACTCGATGTCATAGGCCAGGTTATTGGTAATCAGGCTGCTGCGATGGTATCCGACCTTTTGTTTGAAGTAGGTTGCAGCGAATTTTCGTGGTAGCTTCTGGTTGATGCGCATAGCGACCAGCCAAATGAGGATCCACCAGATCGACTCTAAGTCGTGTTGGTAATTGTGAACGACGGGGCCAGGATCCTGTAACCAGCATGGAGCATCCCGAGGGAGACTTCGGGGGAAAATGCGTGACCCTACGTTGATTTCATGGGCAATGAAATAGGGTGTTCCCTGTCAGGTAGCGTCAGCTGTGAGACCGGGAAAGGTTTTGAGGGTCGACTTACAACGATGCGATCCGCGCCACTCGACTCAGAGTCGGGGAACCGCTTCGCGTGCTCGAGATCGGAGAGCTTGACCGTCCAAGGCGACCCCGGGACTTCTCGATACGCAAGTATATTGCCTGGACTGATGTCGCGGTGGACCCAGCCTGCGAGGAACATCAAGCGGAGCGCTAAAGCAGTGTTTTGAGTACGGCTTCATCGGATGAGTTCTTAGACAGCGACTTACGCGTAAGGACGAGCTTCAGTACGTCGATGGCTTCTCCAAGGGCGGGAATATCGTTGAGGGGTGTGCAGACGTGCTCGTATACGAACAGACATCGACGCCTGACACGCCGGGGGACTGGCGGGACCACCTCCGACTCCCCTATGCTGTTGATCTGGTAATCCTCTGGCGCAGCCACCCCGGTTTCGTCTTCTTCCTCAACATTGTCGAGTGGATTGGCTTCCCTGACGTGCTTCGCGACGATGCAAGAGAAGTATTGTCGGAACTTGCCGCCTTCCAGCGCATCTGCGATATCGTCGATATCACGCTGAGGAAAATCCTTCAGGAGCGGTCGGGAACGCCAGGCTGCATCCTGTGCAAGCCTTTCGATGTCGTCAAAGAGATCCTGTTGAATATCTGCCTCGGTACGCGCGCCGGAATCGAGGAAAACGTCTTTCAGTGCCCTAGTCGCTGTTCCTGGAACGCGAACAGGGTTCGAGATTGATTCCACCTGCTCAACTTCCCAGACACGCAAGCGGCGACCAGAGACGCCGGAGGGTCGTGCATCACAGATAGACGTGATCGTCCTGTAGTAGAGAGGCCCAGTGCCACCATCGGAGGGAATTTCGTAGATGTAGTTGGCATCGGGGAGCAGTGTTACGAGAGGATCGTGACCCAAATCGCACGCACTCGAGGACAAGAGCGACGTAAACATTTGGATGAGGAGATCCGGGCGCTGAGGGGAAAGCACTATCAGTAAATCGCGCAAGTGTCTGGCAAACTCGTTTGAACGCACCTCTGTCATATCGAATGGAGTCGTTTTCATGCTTAGGGTCCTGGAGAACCGCCACATCGTGACCTCCGGACCTTCAAGAGTAATCTACGACGATGGTGAGCCACCTGTATGGATGCGCTGTTCAATGACGGAAATACACGTACCCCAAAACAAAAGATGTGCCGTGCGTCCCCATGCATAACTTCAGCAGCGCAGGACAGAAAGGCAGCGTTCTCCTAGTCAAAGCCCAAGGTAAGCAGACTGATATGCCACATGAAGCCCGAGAATAGACGTACCTGGTTCAATTCTGGTTCATTGTCATTATTGTCAGGGTTGACCATAATGGGTACCATGACGTCTGTAGGTCGCAGTGGGCCCTCCAGTTTCAAAGTGATAGAGCCATAAGCAGAGAGTCCAGTACTTTTCTCCGCTCTCACACTGAAGTCGCTGGCTTCACAGTCTGTAGCCTTCCCGAGTGCGCTACGAACAGCGTTACCGATGGTTTGTATCGCCTTCATGACGCGCGTTGGGTTGGTGGTCCGGGATCTGAACAGAGATTTGAACGACTTGAAGGTGTGCGAGAGCAGAGATCCTTTCTTTGAAGAAGATGACTTCTGGTGCAAGGATCCCCCTCTCGAAACCAGCATCTTTTGTTTCTTTAGTTCTTCAACGACCGCGTCGAGTTGGATGCCAGGGTTGGGCAGATATTTCTCGAAGAATTCTTCAAAATTGTATGTGGACACTTCGTTGCTCATATTGGGTCCTTTTGTGAGGTGGGTGGCTCGGTATAACAGATAAAACGGAGATTGGTTTTCGAGATGATGGTGGTTCAAAGACATGGAGCGACCGCCGTAGGTCCACATTTGCCACCGCGCTAGATTCCCACGACCTGGCCAAGTGATCGCGTCATGCACGTGAGTCCGATCCACTCGGAGACAGACAATTCAGATCCTTCACCGTCAGACTCCTAAGGAGTCTGCTTCACCGTTAACTTTTAAGTTCATATACACGTTATTCAAACGCGCTCGCGCTTCTCCGCAAAGGCTTGCTGATATGGAACCTCAATTTACAGTAGAGCGTCAGTAAGTATAACCTCTCTGGAGGGCGAGTAGTAAGCACGCTTCCTTTCCTCAGGAGAGGGACATCCAGCATCGTTATCAAAGATCTTCGCGACATTGCGATCTTGACATTGATTGACCCCTTCGTACACGTTCACGTAGATGCGAGTCCACTGTCCAACTTCGTGAACGTTGACCACTCTCAATATTAAGCGAGTATCTTAGATCTACGAAAGCGAAATTGATGCGATGAAATTAGGAGACCATATTCCTTTACGTGCAACATCACTCCCCTGTCCTATGACATTTTCGCTCATCTCCCACGTTAAGCCGTGGCGCCTTCATGATCCAGGCAATATCCCGCCATTGCTCTACGCAGTCACGTCAGGGAATAGATGACTTCGGATTATAACGGCCATTCACGAAATATCTTAGAAACGTAGCGCTGGGATTTATGGGGTCTGATTTCAAAGAGTCGAATACAGAAATGACCTGCACTACTATACACAGCTGGCCGTATCAAACGGCCAAAATCAGATACATTCCGTACAACAGAATATCCATCCAGGGATGGTGCATATGGACGAACAGTTCAATTGCAATGTGCATCAAAACCTTCCAACGTCATCAGCGACGAGCCCTCTTTGCAGGCCTCGTACTCCACGCTTGATCCGGGTGACTCTCAATATCCTGTCTGCCTTGGGCGGCTTTGGTCATCGATCGAGTCTTTGGTCCTGTCGTCCTTAGTATTCCCACTGCCCCACCCCTGGTCGCCTTTTTGGCTGCTACTTTGGCTTTAGGTGGACCTGAAGTCCAGGTGACCTTGCCACCTTTCCGGGACTCTATAGCGTCATCCACCGCCTTTCGCTTATTCGCTGTAAATTGAACTTTCTCCTGTTCAATAATCAATTCCACCGATTGCCAGGCGTCCTTTGACCTATCGAGCGTCTCGAAGAATTTTCGGAAAGGCTTGCTGATTACATTCGAGTACGATCCGATATCTTCTTGCTTTTCTTGCAAATTCCGGGTCAAGTAGGCGGAATGAAGGGTATCCCGAAGTTCCTCCAGGGCGATGAGATAGCTACGCTTTAGTGGGAAAGGAAGGGAAATCAGGACACTGGAATCTTTGCCGAGGGAGGTTGAGAAGAGCTGAGTGCGCTTCTCAGTCAATGAATCGTCCGGTTTCAATGGGAACACCTCCTTCGCGAGCTGGTACGGGATAACGGGCTTCGCTCGGGCTGCACCAAGCCACATAAATGTCCACCAGATTGACTCGAAATCGTGTTGGTATGCATGTACCACTGTCGGCGTTTGCAGTCCAATTTGAACATCACTATCAATCGTGTCACATTTCAAAGAAAGATAGGGACGAATTTGGCGCTGGGACTGCACTTCGACCGCCATAAAAAACGGTGATCCCTAATAGAAAGGTACGTTAATTTACTCCTGAATCTCTCAGGGCGACAATTCATACTCACCGTTTTGGGACGGCACTTGCGGTGCACTTCTCATTGGGAAACTTCTTCGCGTATTCGAGGTCGGATAGCTTGACCTGCCACCTGTGTTCCGACTTATCCCACAGGGCCAAAATATTCCCAGCGCTGATATCGCGGTGAACCCATCCCGCGCAGGACATCAATTGAAGAACTAGTCGAGTCGCTGCATTAGACACTGCCATTGCTGGATAAGCTGCCGAAAACACTTACCCAAAACACATTGACGTAAGATATGGACGGCCTCACCCAAGGTGGGGATGTTGAATAGAGGCGTGTAGACGTCTGGAAAGACATACCAGCACTGCTTCTTTGGGGGGAACTGATCTGGAGAGGGAGGATCCTTTGGTTCTGTAGCCTCGTCCTCCTTAGTTCTCTGATAACCGGGATCGGGCCGAATTGACTCGAACTGGTGAATCAAAGGTTCGTCTTCGTTCTCCTCTGAGGTCGGGAAGAGATGGATCCACCGAGGCGTTGGGAACAACCGGAAGGCTGGGAGCTCCAGCATGTGCTTGGATAATGGGGGAGAAGAAATCCATGAACCGGTCTCCCTCGAGGATGTGTGCCAGAGATTCCTTGTCTTCGTCGCCAAAGTCCCTCACGATCGGTTGACTCTGCCAGGGCTTCTGTTCATTGTTTCCAAAATCCCTGATATCAGTGAAAAGGCTTTTCTGAATGTCGTCTTCAGTGCGTGCGTCGGCATGAAGAGATATATCCTTCAAAATCATGACCTTTGTTCCGACCTTGGCGTAACCGTTGCTGGGATCGACTTGCCTAACCTTCCAGATACGGGTACAGCGACCAGTGAGAGTGGGAGACCGATTCTGGGAGCCAGCTCCCTGAGTTTGGTAAAATGTGGCATCGCCATTGTCTCCGCTCGATGGAAACTTAAAGACGAAACTACCATCTCCCAGCACCTCAACGAGGGAATTGAGGCCCAGCTGCTCATCGGTAGCGCAGAACAAGGAAACCATTATCTTGATGAACAGATCGGCTCGCTAATGAAGGGAGTTACGTTAGGTGGTGTTGTATATATAGGGAGAACCCACCTCAACCATATTGAACGCCCACGACTTTGCCGAGTGAGAACGAGAAAAGTACCAGAGAGACATCCCGCCGTCTTCGATCGTGATCTTTAAAGCAAGTGTCAGCGTTTTCCCCAGGGACTAGAAGCGACAAGCCCTTACTCCGAACATAAATTTACGGCGTGGATCCTCGTTCATTGTGTGATTGGAGTGCGACACAATCTGGGCACGGTTCTAGAAGATGATAAGATATTAACAGCACTCCAAAGAAGACACATAGATCCATACCTGTATCACCATCTTGACCGTTCGCGTTGTCTTGAATTCGAACGCGACAATTATGTCGGTGACGCGCAATCGCTTATCCATATTCGTCGTCATGCACGCATCAATCCTCTGGTTACACCCACTGATATCTGAGGCAAGGTTGCTTTCGCCGCACATACGAACAGAATACCCGTTTAACTCGACGCCATCCACGCTGCGGAGGGCCTCACAGATCGCCTCACAGATCGAGGCCAGGGGGGCAAAGACATGTTTCTCATGGTCGTTTTCCTTTCCGCCCGCGCATGGAGGCTTAAAGCCCTTGAGGGTATAGCCATAGGGCCTTGTCGGAGTAGAGAGTGGCGTCGCACTTGCTGATTTGGATCTCGCTTTGGATTTCCCTTTGGATTTCGCTTTCACATTTCCGGTTGATGAGGCAGTGGTTTCCTCTCGCGACACGAGGACATTCTTCTTGATCATATCAACGAGAACCTGCGATAGGACCTTGTCCTCGACCTTGGGGAGGTAGTGGCCCATGAACACCTCGATGTCGCAGAGGAACGTCTCCGAGTTCATAGCCTTGGCAATGCCATAGCGAATGCGGGTCGTTTTTGCTCTTGCAGCTACAATATTCCTCTTGGTACGCGGGGTGTCCTTAGTGATCGTCTTTGCGCCAGGCTTCTGCGGCGTGTGCTGGGGTGTACTGTGCAAAGTTCGGTCAGTGGCGACAAGATTAGGTGTGATGAATCCAATACATACTTGTGGGGAAAGGTCTTTAAACGCCCCATTGGAACGCTAACAAGAACTTGGGAATGCTTAAAAGGCTGTTGTGGATCTGTTGTATTTGGGAGATAAAGTGGATGTCGTGGTAGGAGGTCAAGAGGCGTTTCGTCGAGTTCGGGCTTTTGAACCGCATCAGTGTGTCTTTGATGGAGATACAATGCACATTTTGCCAATCAAGAAGGTTGGACCCACAGTCACATGATCCGTTAGGGCCACGCGCGTCCTTCCTACTAGTACCTCCATTGTCCTGGTCCAAACGGTAAACCTCCTCCCCAGATAACCAGTGACTTGGCTTTAATTACGAAAGTTAATAGTCATGTTTATAGCATTGGAATAGTCTAGTACTTGTATCGGCGAACACCATTTATTGCGCTTACTGTGAATTGAACCTCCGTCATCCTGCCTTCGACCCATGGCATGGCCTGTGTGAATCCTGCCGGGGAGTTCCCGCCAACCTTACTCATCCACACCCAAACCCTCATTCTCCGGCTACTTGGTTCGAGTCAAGTTTAACCTTCTACACACGTTACCCCGTATGTAAGGCCAAACCCCAACGGAAATCTAATGCGGGTGAGAACTACTATTGACGAATGTTCGATATCAATTAGATTAAGCTACATACAATTATCAATACATGGAACAACTAAACAAACCCTTCGTAGCCGTAACTTCCAACTACATGTGCCCAGAACCCCCAAAACGAAAGCATGCATAGGAGAAAACCTGAACGAGAAACAAAACGAGATCCATAATGTCGCCACCCCTCTTCCACTCTGGGCGCAATCCCCCGATCCAAAACCAACACTACCCTCCTCGAAACATCCATCCTCACGGCGCCCAAAACTCCCTCTTCGTATCCAGCGGATACAAACTGCTAATCTGTGGATCCTGAAAGTTATCCATCTCACCCTTATACCTGGGCTCAACCGGCTTCCCGCCCCTTGCCACGTGCTTACGGTTCCATTCCCGGACCCTTCGACGAAAATTTCGTGTTAATGAGTGCATGTTGACGTAGGATGCGTGGAGGCTGTGGCTATTAAAAATGTCATTAGGGCGTCGTTTCAACCCAGGTGATGAAGAATACCAACCTGACTCGACAAAGAAGAGTATCAAGCGTCGGATGCGGGTCTTCCCCTAAAAATAATAAACGCGTTAATCTCAGAATTACCAGCTCAAACAAGCGAGAGGAATAACATACGCAAGATGGATATTAAAGCCTGCGTCATAGACGCCCCATTGACATCTTCCCGAGATTCCTGTCCATCCTTCGCGGCAGAGAAACAAACCTACAGTTCCGCGGCCAAGTTAGATGACCAGGGTAAATGTGAAAAAGGTGAAACAACACGTACGACAAAGCCAGCCTCCCCCCTCCCACTCCAAGGCTTCTTATGCGCTTCACACCACCCCGTACAGAACAACCCCTTCGGGCTCAAATACCGCCTGACCACCTCCTTCCGCACCCTCTTCTTCCGTCGACGTTCCCCACCTGTCGTAAATCGGCGACTACCACAAGCGCACTCTCCGTTCGTGGGTGCGCAGTCCAATGAGTGCGCAGGTGGAGGTGTAGCATTCGCGGTGGAGTGCAATTCCCCATTCTGGAGTCCCCCAACCGTCGCAGTTTGTACCCCAGAGGACTCTAGTCGCCTAGAATCAGACGCATGCCGGTTCCGAACCAACGCCCGCCCGCGTTCAACGACACCCCCAACCTCGCGCTTAATCTCCCTCCCCCTCTCCACCACAAAGGATTTGATGGCTTCCGAGATGGCACGAGGACGGGTCTTGCTGTTGGCATTCCCGACACCCCCGGAGTCGGCGTGTGCGTCAGGATCCAAATGCCGCCCAGTAGGCACCCCTCTCGCGGACCCCAGCCCAGCCTCCAACTCTAACACTTGGGCCACCTCCATCTTCATCTCCACCTCATCCTCCCCATCCACTCCGACGACCTCCTCGACTTCCTCGGTAACAACCTCCCGATGAGGAAAGAACCACGGTACACTCCCCCCACCCTCCTCTGACGACGAGTAGTAGTAAACCCCACTACTATGACCGGACGTCGAAGTAAGAATCGTATCGTCGGTTTTACGAGACTGGCGGCGACTTCGAGGGTTAGCGGCACCGTTGGCGTTGGCATAGTGCGACGGAGGGGTGGGCTGGAACTGCTGCGCCGGTCCTCGAAAGTCTTGAAAGCCGTGTCCGCTGATGGGAGGAGCACTAGAGGGGTCGACTCCTCCGCCCAACGACCCCTTCCTCGACCCAGCAGGACTCTCCTTAATAGGCCCCATACTTGCCAGGCTCTCCCTAACAGACCCAGCACCACCAACACCCTCTCGCGACGAATGCATCTCGTCCACCGCATTCCGTCTCGCCCCAACCTTCCTCCCCGACGACACACCCACAGGACCTTGTGCGAGGGAAGCCGAGCTTGGTACACCTCGAGTTCCTTGGGTAAAGGAAGCGGAGCTTTTCGCGCCCATGGTGACGGCCTGGGCATACGAAATCGGACGAGGTGAGGTAGGCGTATACGCGTCTGTTGACCCTGTCTGGATACGCAGGGGCGGCCCTCGACTGCCCGTACGAGCCATAACAGGCGCGATTGTCATCACGCTAGAGCTCGGACTGGGACTGGGACCCTCCACCACATGCCCGTTCGCCAACGCGTTTGTGGATTCCACCGAGGTTGGATTGGTCGTAGAACCCTCCCGGTCTGGCGCGACAACTCCATTGGGTACACTCGATCGATTGGCGTGCGTCGTCGTCGTCGTCGTTTCTGGCCCAGCAGTAGCGCTCCCAATCGCACCTCCAGCAGCAATCTGGTCCATCACCACCTGATCAATCGACCCACGGTTCCACAGCTTCCTCTCACACCTCGTCGCAGAAGAGGGGGGATGTTGCTGGTGTTGCTGATGGGGGTGTTGGAAATGAGGAGGGAGAGCGTGCCGAGTCACCGTAGGTGGAGCGGACGCAGGTATAGCCGAGAACCCTTCTCTCTCCCCTCCGCCACCTCTCGTACGTCCTTCGACTGCCGCACGCTCAATCGACTCTCCACTGCCATCTTCTTGAACAGTAGCCAAACCCCCTCCGGCACCTTCTCCCGGAGCCGGAGGCAAAACCAACTCCCCAGGCCCATACTGACTCGCCCTCTTCCTCCTCTTCCGCACAGGCACAGGTAGTCCAGGGAATCTCCGACGTGTGGGTTGCGGATTTGGCGACAATGGACGAGCATCTTTGCGGACTGAAGTACGAGAAATAAAGATATGAAAATGAAGCCTAGTCAACCGACTCACTTTGATTGTTCCACAATGTGAACGACTTTCTCCTCCCCTTGTTCCGCCACGGCACATAACACCGATTGCACCTAAAGTGCGGGAGATCTAAATGTTATCAAGATGAACGTTGGTCAGCTAAACGTCCCCGACGCTTGGTTTGAGAAGTGCAAGCAGAAAACAAAGGGAAACGCGTGAGTGAAAAGTAAAAGGGGGTGATCCAGAGATCGATGATGAGATGAGACAGGGGATTTGCGAAGGACCAGCCTACTAGTCGAGACATCCCATCTCGTCAGTCCCGTCTCAGTCAATCCCTATCCGACTTTATATGACAGCCTTCCCTCGCCTCGGGTCCTCTCGAGCCCTCCTCCTTCACGCATTTAACCATCCAGAGACCTTCGAGTCGCCCACACCGCCACCATGCACTACCAACAGACTCCAAGCACACAGCACTAAAACGAAACGAGAACTCACCCAACAAACTAGCACTATGGCACGAATCAAACACCGCAAAGAGCGTCGCTCCAACAGGTAGCCGGTCAACGAGTAAAGCGCGAAGGGTGTCGTCTCTGATGCGGAGGTGGTCCGACGTTATGATGACTGCCAGACGAATCGTTAGTTTCGCGTTGGAATGGCAATTAGACCAGGTAGAAAAGGAAGGCATGGGGTGGGCGAAGAAGGAAAAAAGGAGATAAACGCACGTTCATCCATACCATCCTCTTCATCAGGCGCGTCCGTTGGTTCCTGCATCGAGTGGCCAGCGACTGTCGTCCATACCAAGACCAGGGTCCAGGCAATGGATGGTTCGTCGTTGAAGTGGGTTGATCATGGGTTCCAGTTGGCGGCGAAGTGATCCGCAATTGACGATCGTCGAACGGGGGCGGGTACAATGATATGTGGGTGGGTCCGGGATTAATCGACATTGGCGACATGAGAGGAAACATATGCAGTAAGTCGTTAGCGCGTACAGTCTCAACAGGATAAGCAGACAGACGCACAGAAGAAGAATAATCGATCTCCAGCTTTCACATCCTCCGTGAACCTCTCAAGCTCGCGTAGTATGTTGTCTTTCGTCGGCACAAGGCTTCGATCTGCACCTGTAAAATTCTTCTCATTCGTCTCAGGCTGGTTGGAATCAGGCGACGATGACGACGGGTCGGAAGACCAGGGCGAGGCAGGTTGGTCCAGCATGACGATGATATCTTCGGGCTTGTACGCATACAGCTCTAAATTCGAGGAAGTGAGAAGGCTAGTTAACGCGAGTGAAATGATAAACTCACCAATTAAAACCTTCCTCATATCGGCCACATCGTTATGGCACCCCTTCAACTCGTCCAGCTCACTTACACCCTCCACTGCCTCCGAACTCGCACTCGATGCTGCCTTCTTGTGTCCGGAATTGGCCACCTCTGGACCCGTGCTGGTAGTCGTTCCGCTCGAGCGACCGATACTAGCGACCGACGAGGCAAGTTTGGTTCCCGCGGCTTTCGCTTTCGAAACCAAGGTCGTCGAAGAAGCGGCTAGATCCTTCGACGTCGACGTACCCGTTCGAGGAGGGGGTGGAGTGACGGATGTCAGAGACGTTGCTGTCCGAGAAAGCGTTTGTACTGCGTCTTGATGCGTCGTTGTTTTAGGTGTCGAGGCAGGTCCTGGAGATTTTGCAGAAACCGTTGCAGATGTTCCCGTGGCCATCGCCGGCGTTGAAGATGAGATTGAAGTCGTAACTGGGACTGTTGAGGGAGAGGGAGAGGTCGAAGTGAGATGGCCGTCAGAGAGTGGGAGAGGGGGAACGGGGTCTGCAATCGGAGGGATAACCCCTCGTGTTGCTGGTGCAGCATCGCCTTCTCGAATCCCAGCCACTGCTGACCCTTCAGGAGCCATCCCATGGGAGTTTGTCGTCGGCTGACCGTCGGTGCTGGTCTGAGACTTTGGTTGAGACGAAGGAGACGGCTGGTCCTGATAAAACTGAATCCCAATCAATAGCGCTCTCCGTCTTCCAGCGTATACCGTATGTTCGACACACTCATCGCGTAGTTTCTCCGCGATTTCGACTACCTCCCGCGCCGCTTCTATGCCCTTGCCTACTCCTTGGTCCTCTGCCTCGCTATCTTTCTCGCAACCCTGCTCTCGATGCTTCACATCGCCCTGAACTCGACTTTCTGTCCCCTTCTCCCATCCCTCAGCGTCATCTCTCTCCCCAACGTCCTCGACAATCTGCTCGTTACTCTCGACGACCGCGCCTTGGGCCAGAAGCGCTGGTCGGTGCCGGTTGATGTTCTGAACGACCAAGCTGGCATGTCGCGATATGCGCTTCGAGGTCGTCGTGACGAACTTGATGATCTTCATCCTCGCTTTATCGTGTGTGTGTGTGGAGGCTACGAGCCTCGTGGTGTCGTCCCTGAGCGTGTGTGGCCGGTTTGGTCCCTAGCGTGTGTGCGAGTAAAGCGTAGAGTCGATGAATCACGGCAGGGGTTGTCCGATGTCGTCAAAGGTTGTGGACGCGACCGCGGGTGGGGGTGTAGGTGGTCGTTTGCGACTAGATGTAGCCGTCGATGTCGAAGTGCGGTGTGGTGGGGGCTGTTAACCGGTTCTTGGTGGTGTGAACATGGATCGAAGGGTGTGGTGTCGGCGTCGGCAGTGCGTGGCGCGGTATGTATGATATTGATCCAACCCTATCCCTCGATCGCCCACAGAAGTGATTATAACACCAATAGAACCGCAATAAAACACGAATCCAACAGCGATACAGCACAGACAACCGGCTGTGAGCAGACGAAGAAGTGTGGCAACTAGTTGGAGAAGCAAGTCAGTGATAACGATCCTCGAAGAAAATCGGTACCCACACGTCTCCGACCGCCAAACTCCAGAAATGACCCGTCGAATCCAAAAAGCCCTCCTAATCCGAACGTGGGATAAGGACCGTGCACAGATGGTTATCTCCTCCGCTTGGCTCTTCTTCCCCTTCGATAGATGTTGATTTGTGGGCGGGTGTCAGCGCTTCGCCCAAGTCCAACCCCCAGTATGCAGCCTGGACCCGTAATCACTTGCCGAGAAATGGTCGTGCGCTGTATGACAACCAACCCACCCCTGTCAGCGTCACAGCAGCCTCGAGGACGAAAGTGATAGCGAGGAGAACGGAGCGCCCAGGAGTGAATTGTGAGGGAGGTGAGCAGCGACATGATGTTGTGGGTCCCGCACTGCGTTGCACCGAACTTCGCTGACGGAAAATCAGCCCATCAATCAGAACAAACATCGGCCGAGCCCCGGCACTGAAATGGGCGCTGATTCGGCGCTTCTTTGAGCAGTCTTGCTGTTCAGCGAAATTGACGAGACCGGTGCGCCCAATGTCTCCAAGTACATTGATTTAGGTCAAAGAGTTAATTCCAGGGAGAATGGGGGTGGTTAGGCGCTTGAGCACGCAAATATATTTCATGGCGTTAGCGCCCCTCCCCTGGCCAGGGCTGTGCCAACTGATAGACCACTGCTCTATTGCTGTGGTGCATACAGCATCCTCATTTGAGCGCTGTATTTACATAGACATGTATGTAGTTAAGTGAAGCCACTAGAGCGCGCTGAGTGCCCTTTCAAATCTGCAGCCTGAGGCTGGCCCCCATCCACATAGTAATCTTCCCCAAACCACTGAATGGGCCTTGGGTTAAGAGAATTCGAAGCAGATAGCGAGGTGTAAAATACAGAATGGTTGATAAACGATATTTTGAGGCGGCGTTAAGGGAAAGAAGAGCCTGAGATTGAGCGCCAATCAGGTGGGGGCATCCGGCGTGATCGTGGGAATGGCCTCCGAGGCTATGGAACTCGTGATCAAACACGCGAGGCGCGTCTTGTTCAAGTTCAACCACCATCTCCAGATCCAAACCTCATTTCCACAATATTTTGTCTGACTAGAGACTCTCAGCTCACTAAATGTTACACATCATGGGTTCCGATGTCGTGTCTTTGGGTATCGAAAAGTTTATCGAACAGCAACTACCCGAGCGCCAAGTCGAGCTGGATGTGGTCGTTGCAGACCTCAAGAAACGAAAAGCGCTTGTTTATAGGGGAAGATCTAAGGTCAAATCGTCGAGCCAGAAACAATCCTCATCTGGTCATCCCTCGCCACGAGTGCTATCTCATACCTTCAAAAAATTCAAGACCTTGTTCCAATCTGACACTACCACCAAACCCAGCCGGGTCATGAAGACCCTCCAAACAATCGTAGCCACCGTTCGTAGTGCGCTGGCAAGGGTAACGAACTGTGAGGTTGCGGACTATGCTCTCAGGCTGGAGGATAACATCGAATCCACCGTCCACGGATGTATAACTTCGAAACTGGACGGCCCCGTGCGTTCCACGGACGTCCTAGTACCAATTATGGGTATCGACAGTGGCGACGTCCACCTCTCACCCAAGGAGGTATGTGAAAGTTCTCTCCTTATGCCCGGTATTCTAACAGTGCGCCGCCAGATTGACTTCATTCTTATGTCTCTCATTGCGCGAATCATGAACAAGGACGCCCGTAGAAAGTTTTGCTTCGCGGTACGTTGGTTCCTAGCCCCATCATGCACCGAGTATGGGATACTCATGCACCTTTAGGTCACATTCGAAGGCCCTGAAGTAACATTGTGGAAGTTTACTAGGTCCCTGCATATCAAGTCGACCGCGTTCGACATGTCCGAGGTTGGTTTCAATTTCTGATGTGACTCTCAAAAGCTTTACTGACCGACTCGCCTCAGTACCCCGATCTGCTAATCCAACTTTTCGTTTCTCTTCTCGGCGCACGAAATGATCTACTGGGATACGATCCTCTCGTCACCCTGCTCCCCGATGAAAACTACATCTACGAGATGCCCTCCGATGGCGATACAGGTCCACGTTATTACAGAACCATTGCCTCTATCTGTGACACGCAGGCTTCCTACGTCACTGGTCGATGCTTGCGCGTCTGGGAGGTTGAGCAGGTGGAGTCCGTGGCGAATCCCGTACGCGTCCCAGGTACGCCCACCAGGGTGTTGAAGGACGTCTTCCTGGACTCTGGCATGCGCACCGAGTCCGACATCCAGGAAGAGCTTTTCGCCGACATAGCCAATTTGGCCGCAGATGACTCATGGACCTCTCGGCCCTTGCTGAGGGACTTCCCTCGATCCGACATTGACGCGCTGGCAGATACGTTGGAGGGCGAGAAATTCAAGCGTTTCTTTTCGTGTATCATCGCGAAGCACGTCGGGGCTGCTGATGAAGTCGGTGGTGTCTTTGCCTCTTTGTCGCCCTCATCCGCTTCTGAAGATACACCACCCCCACCAAAACGACGCTGTCTATTCGTGTACGAGCACGTCTGCACCGCTCTTAACGACATTCCCGTCCTTGGAGATGCCGTAGAGATCCTGAAACAAGCGCTCATACGTATGTCCTCTATTTCTAATATCTTTTAACGGTCCTGCTGATGCCTTCCCAATAGCACTGCACCTAATGTTCTGCGCTGGATGGGTCCACCGCGATGTCAGCCCCGGGAACATCCTCGCCCTTCGAGCGACATCCGATGAGCCTTGGGTGGTAAAACTCTCCGACCTCGAGCACGCAAAGAGGTTCCCTGATCCCGAGTCACCTGGGGAGAAAAATGTGACGGTACGTCGTCTGCCCATTCTTGCACGCTAACGTCCATTCTGACTCATATTAATGACGATAGGGTACGCCGTACTTCATTGCCTATGAAATCATCTACGGCTATCAGCTTTTCCCTGCAACCGCCGATCCAAAATTCCCTTCGTGGTCGTACAAGTATGTCCCAATCGTACACAGCTTCCAACACGACCTAGAATCCATCTTCTGGATCATCCTCTGGCTGATTTCCATGCGCATTGACCAAGAGGTACCCCGGGAATTTGGAAAGACATACTTTCAACAGCGCGTTGACCACGGGTACGCTCTTGCCCGCTACCGAGCGTTTACAAAGCCGCTCTACATCCAAACCGACTTGGAGAAGTCCCTTCGCCCAACATCGTTGCTTCGCTCCAGGTTCGTCAGCACCCTCGAGAACCTGCGGAAAGACCTCTACGAGCAATATATATCCAGGAACAAGGAGGCGAGGTACCACGACCCCTCTTCGTACTCGTGGATTATGAGCAAGGCGTTCAACAAGTTCTTTGATGCTGTCGATGAGTGCAAGGACAGGTGGGGTGATATTGCCCTCATGGTGGACTCGAAACCTCGCAAAGTTTCGCCTCCCCCACCGCCCCCATCGTCTTCTCTCAACCAAGGTGACGACGTCACACCACCGATTAAGCGAAGAGCCAGGGATTCGGGGGAGGAGGGTAGAGCGTCAAAGAGAGTTCGAATCAATGCAGCGGAGGAACGTCCCATTGTTCCCCGCTGGACTGGCCCAAAAACTCGGTCCATGACAAGGAACGAGGGTCGAATCACAAGATCCACCACCCGCTGGCTTCAAGAAGAAGAGAAACAGAAGAAACGCCGCTTGTAGAATATTGTGGCATTGGAAAATAGCGCATTTTGGCCGTTTAATTTTACTCAATGGCTTATGTTTCCCTGCTGCATGATCTGAACCCTTGAGCAACTAGTTTGGAGTACTCCTACCAACTTGAACTTGAAGGTGTGATTCGGCTTGATCACAGTTGATCGTGGGAAAGGCAATGTTGCCAACTGATGGGACTCCGTTGGAATCGCGAGGCGCCTCTTGCTTAAACACGACCACCATCCCCAGATCCAAGCTTGCTTTCAACCTCATTTATTCGATCATTCTCCCTACACCTCTAATCAGAGCGCCACAATGGATATTGACGTGTCATTTATGGGTATCACAGACTTTGTCGAGCAAGAGCTACCCAGTGCCCCAGTCGAGCTCGATGCAGTCGTTCAAGACTTGAAGAAACGAAAAATACTTGTGAACCGGGGGGTCTCTAACACTATATCGTTCAATAAGCACCAGCGCTCGTCTGAACTCCACCGGAAAACCCGTTTCTCTCACACCTTTAAGTCTTTCCAAACACTGTTCCGACCTGGCACCATTACCAAACCAAGTCGCGTCATGAAGACGCTCCAATCGATTTCTAGCGCCATTCGTAAAGCCCTATCAAGGTTCTTTCGTAGTGAGATCAGCAACAGCCATATTATGCTGGAAAAGGACATTGAATCTACGACCCATGGTTGCATCACCTGTAATTGGGAGGGCCCCGTGGATGCTACCAATGCCCTAGTGCCAATTATGGGCATCGACAGCCACGACGTCCACCTCACGTCCAATCAAGTACGTCAAGTGCCTTCTACGATCCTTTCCTAGTATTCTAACAGTCCTACGCCAGATTGATTTTATTCTTCTGTCCCTCGTTGGGAAAATCATGAACAGCGACGCCGGTCGAAGGTTTTGCTTTGCGGTAAGTTGGTTTGAATTTATCTGTACGTCCGGTATGAGGCTCTAACTAATCCCTTAGGTCACATTTGAAGGATCTAAAGTGAATTTGTGGAAATTTACGAGATCTTTCTACATCAAGTCGACGCCATTTGATATGACCGAGGTACGTTTCTATCGCGCACCGCCGTAGCTATTGGAACTGTTACTGATAGGCGCTGTCCAGAACCCCGACCTTCTAATTGAAGTTCTCGTTTCCCTTCTCTGCGCACCGAGAGATCTACTGGGATATGATCTATGCTCAGTATACTGCACGGAACTGGGATCGAAAATGCAGCGACATATCATCCTATTCATGGATCATAAGTCAAGCCTTCAACACCTTTTTCGATGATGCCGAAGCTTGCAGGAACGAATGGGCGCACGTCGAGCTCCCAGTTGATTCTGAACCTCGCTCAGCGCTCCCTCCGCACTCCCATCAGGAATCTGGTCTCCCAGCGGATCCCGATCAAGAAGGAAGACCTCGTAAGAGGGCCCGGCCGAACCCACTCTGCACTCCCGCCATTGTTCCTCGTCGCAGTGGCCCAGTAACTAGATCCATGGCGAAGAGTGAAGGTCGTATTACAAGATCTACCACTCGTCGCCTTCAAGAAGAAGAGACGAGGAAGAAACACCGTTTGAAGTAATCATACTATCCGTGTTTGTAGCATCACACCTCGTGTTTTTACTTTCGATTAAAGTGTACTTGCAATACCACTTACTTTTCATACAGTGTTGGTGAACCCGCAGTTCAGGAGTGGTGATAGGACTGATAACCATGGGCGTTCTTACCATTTCAAATGGCTATGGAGCGCCTGCCAGTGAGCTCTCTGATGGAATAAAAATACCAAAGGTTAGCATACCATTGTTGCAGGTGGTTGCAAAAATACCTACGGTCCCGGAGTGTCTCGCAAGCGGACCTTGCTGCGTAAAAAGTGCGGAGGTCAATGAAGCTCATTGTGCGACGGCAACGAAAGCGTGAAATGAAATGAGATATGATCCAAGCTCGTCGTCACAGTAGCGACCATTGTCCAAATTATGGTGAACGCGCGCTTACTACCTTGACTCCCTGGTCCCTTTGTTCCATGAACCCCACCGTGAGAAAATGCGCAGCCCATTGGTCTTGCGCTTTGACTGCCGTGGACATATATAAAGCGATCCTCTACCTGCCCCAGTCGAATAAGCACTACCATCGACCTAGATCCTTGCCTGAGTTTAATCCAAAGCAATAATGGCAAACGAGTGGAGACTCATAGAATCTGGACCTCGAGCTGACATCGACCTTCTCACCCTTGCTAGATCCCACAGCAAGGACAGTCCCTACCTCTGGACGACCATCGCAGCCCGTACTCTCGCTCTCGTTGACCTGCCAGCACATACCCTCGTACAACTCGACCATCCAGATGGCCCTCGCGTGATCAATCACCTCGACCCAAGCACCCCCATTGACTATGTTTACACTGTCCCCCGCTTAATGAAATTCAATCCAGAGCCCTGCGTCATCGTCAATCTTATACTCAGCGACAACTCTTACCTCCGCGCACCCAAGCTCTCGGACCTCGTCTGCGACGAGACAGTTCAAAGACTGAAGGTGAGCGTTGAAGGCGTGGTCACACCCCACGCTGCTCTTCCTAAGGAAAAATTAATTCTGGTCCTTGATTTTTGCGGGTTCGTCAGGCCAGGGCCCATCGCAAGTCCAAGTAAACACGGTGTCTTGACGTTGGGGGAGATCTGTACGCCGTGGAAGCTCCGGCGTAAGGGTGTCGACGGAGAGTCCACTGAGGTGCGGATTACCTGGGCTGCCGAAATAGCGAGGCACTTGAAGCAGTGGATTGACGTGGTGATGGATGAGCGTATACCGCAAGTTCGCAATCAAGCAAACAAAGAGCTGTTCATGCTGAGGTATCCGGCGGAAGAGATTCGCGTTCTTGGATTTGCATATAATCCTGATGAGGGGTGGGTCACTCCACTACTCGCGATTTCGCCGAAAACACCTCTCAACGAAGAGACCGGGAGACATGCTGGATATTAGCAGTTGAGGAAAAATATAGTGCGCCTGTAAATAAACTCCAATCTATTCCAGTACTGAACTTGAGGACAAATGTAGTAGACACCTGTTTAGACACAAATATTTGCCAGTATTGAGCGATCCGTCGGGTCATAGATACAACTCATTGTTATCTACACTACATCAATAGTTCATAGGCATGCTCCTCGGTATTCAGGAGTTGAGTGTGTACTGGCTAATGGACTGATACAGACGCGGTCTCGCTGCTCTCAACTGGGTCAAGTCTAAATACAATAAATTCAATACTAACGATTGTCCACTAAACATGAGTTCTGGCAGCCCTCTATTGCGAGGAGGGTCTATCCGACATCCGGTTTCCGCTGAACGTGAACTATTTTGAGGTTCACATCAATCGTCACGAAAGGAGGCTAAGGCTGCCACCCTCCTTTGGAATTGAAAGGCACACTATACTCACACTTCCCTTTCATGTGGCCAACTCTGTTTCTGCCTACCCACCTAGGGACAGTCTGGATTCGATGCGTAAGGGAGACCTTGTGGTAGACCTCGTCACCCGATAGGTGTTCCTCGTCGTCGACCTTGTTGTCGGTCCTCTCCTCTGAGGGACCTCGTTGTCGCACACGCGGCGTGTCCGCATTCGCTTCGACGCCCGTCCCGCCACTTCAACGTTTTTACGTTTCTTTGAAGCATCGGAGGCTGGCGGTTGGAGATGAAGCATAGCTGCTGCAACGGACGTTGTCCGTGGCTCGGTATCAGTCATGAGCTCTGTATCGCTCCACTTGTCCCTGGAGCGGGCGACACCGTCGAAGAAGAGACGCATGCCTTCGCTGACAATCCACGAGAAAGACTCGACGTCACGGTGTTTCCGTTCCAAGTTGCGATTGATGTACGTGGCGTATAGGTTGTTACGCAATGTATTGAGGCGCTTGTAAAACGAGGTTTGGAGGGATTCAGGGAGTGATTCCCTTATAGGTGGCTCGAAGGAGAGGCTTTCCCTGAATATAACGCACCGCGCCCTGGCAAACTGCAGATCGACTCGCTGCTGGAAATAAGTCTGTCCGAATAGTCGTGGAAGGTTTTGATTGACTCGGGTGGTTGCAAGCCACAAGAGGATCCACCAAATAGACTCCAGGTCATGCTGATAGGTGTGGAGGACAGGTACAGGGCGATAGGGGGGATCGAGCTTGTCGGGGTCGACCATCAATGGAAAGAAGTGTCGGCCGTCGAGTACTTCACACGCGATAAAGGAAGGTGTTCCCTACATCATCAGTAGGCAACAGATTCAGAGAAAAGCATAGACATAACTTACCGTGATTGGGTCCCTTCCAATTGACCCAGGGTCAGGAAACCGTTTCGCGTGCTCGAGGTCCGATAATTTGACTGTCCATGTTGAGGTAGGCGATTCTCGATACGCTAGGACATTGCCCGGACTGACGTCTCGATGAACCCAGCCCGCGCAGAACATCAGACGCAAAGCTAAGGAAATGGCGTTAGGACCACGGGTAAGGGGAAGATGAACAATATATGGCGTACGGATGAGAGTCGATTTGAGGATGTCGACCGCTTCACCAAGTGTAGGGATGTTGTTCAGTGCCGTGCAAACATGCTCGTACAGGAAGAGACAACGGCGCTTCGGCGGAGGGGCCGTTGGATTGTCCAGGGCAGGCACATCGCCTTCCCCGACGTGCTTCGCGACTATGCGCGAAAAGTATTGCTTAAATAGGTCCCCTTCCAATGCCTCCGCCAGCCCTTCCAGGTCGGTTTGGGCGAAATCCTTCAGCAGAGGTCGAGAACGCCAGTTCTTGTGCCGGCCAAACTTCGCGATATCAGCGAACAGTTCTTCCTGGATGTCGGATTCGGTCCTCGTGTCCGAATTCAGGAAGACATCCTTCAAAGCCCGGTTAGGTGTGCCTGGAACTCGAGTCGGATCAGACGGTGAGAGGACCTGTTCGACTTCCCAGATACGCGTGCGGCGTCCAGCAAGGCAGGTCGGTTTGACGTCCCAGATCGGATGGACCGTTTTGAAGTAGAGCGGCGTTGTGGAACTATCAGACGGGATCTGGTAGACGTAGTTGAGATCGGGGAGCAGGTTAACCAGAGGGTCGTATCCTAGCTGATGTGGCGGGGCTGTGAACAGAGCGACGAACAGGCGAAGCAAAAGGTCTGGTTGCTGAAGTGCGCAGTGTATCAGTGCAAATCTCGAAAACGCGCGCAAAATGGGAAGCGCACCTCGGTCATGTCAAAAGGCGTGGACTTGATGACAATAGACCTGGAAAAGCGCCAGAGAGTGACCTCAGACCGTTCACAAGTGACCTGGAACTGAATCAATCGATGGATCTTAATTTCGAGGAGAAGCTACATACCCCGAAACAAAACCTTCGACGAGCGTCTTCATTCATGATTTCAGTGGCACGGGACAGTAGTTTTGCCTTTGCCTAATGGATGTCAGTTTCTAATAAGTAGTCCCAAGCAAGGACAGCGAAACACACGCACCTCTTCAGATGATGTATAATTACCATCGTCTGCGATGACTGTCATCGGAACCACAACTTCGGTGGGGTGTAATGGGTCCTCCAGGTTCGAGGTTAGGCATCCTTGAGCATTCTCTCGGATGTTATGCTCTTCTCTGAGGGAGTAGTCGGTGATCTCGCAGTCTGTGGCCCTCCCGAGGGCTTTACGAACAGCATTGCCGATCGTTTGTAGCGTCTTCATGACGCGGGTGGTGGTGGTGGTGCGAGACCGGAACAGGGTTTTAAGAGACTTGAAAGTCTGAGGGAACAGTGGCCTTTGTGTGGATGAGGACGGTTTCTGTTCCAAAGACCGGCCTCGAGAAACGAGTGTCTTTTGCTTTTTAAGATCATCAACAACAGCGTTGAACGGGACTCCCTGGGTGGGAAGATAATTTTCGAAGAATTTCCCAACTGAACACGTCGAAACTTCAGCGTCCATGGCGGTTAGCGTTCGGAAGCAAGATAAAAGAGGATGAAAGTGAGATTTAATATCGGAGAGATGGTTGTGGTTCAAAGACAAGATGCGATGGCCGTAATTCCACGCCTCGGGCGCATAGGGCATTTCCCACGACTCGCGCCAGACCATGTGATCGCGTCGCACACGTGAGCCCGACTCAGTCGGAGTGGCTTTGCACATCAGATGCAATGAGTGCAACCGTGAAGTGTCGACGCGCAGCTCGATGCCCAAAAGAAGTGCGTCTTCCAGATAGATTTCCTTGAAACAAGGTACTCAGCTCTGTCTAGTGACATTGAATTAACCACTGCCTAATATGCGTCCTCCGAATGTACCACTCGAACTCGCAATCTTGCATCGATCTAGAAGGTCATTCAAATCTCGAGGTGTGTTACGGCTCATACGTACTTGATATCACGCTTTCGACACCTGAATGGTTGAATCCACATTCATATGGCTATTCGTTGGGCGTCTATACCCCCTCGGCGTCTATTACCAGGCCTAGTCAAAATCCGCCAAGCCAGGCTATGTTTGGTTCTGTGATGGCCTCGGAGGCATTCACAAGATCCAGTGTGCAGCGCCCAAGCTCATTTGTCCTCCACTGCCCTTCATCTCCTCCGCCCACCGACTGTTCTCCCTTTACGAGTTTCTCTGCAACAATTTCATCAATATTTGAATATACCGCCACTGTCTCGGGGTATTACGACTCTGCTTGGACACACGATCTGACTTTCGGTAGATCCACTTCCGACCATGATAATAGGTCCGTTCTTTTCGTATTCTCCTACCATCTGAACGACCCACTGACATGCCTTCACTGCCGGCTCCTCCCCCGCCTGTATTACACCCCTCGAGCAGTAGAACCATCAGGCTCCAAAGCCAACCCGCCAGAGTGAATATGACGGTATTTCTGGAGGACGAGAAAGCTGAGAAGAGTACCGCTGACGACCTACCTGTCGTTGTTACGTCTAGCTATGGGACGGCGGTGAATAGGCCACGTCATCCGTGAGTGGTTATTTCTGTCGTCGTCTCGTATTTGTGAAGGCTGATCGCCCTATCGTGGCTCGAAGACCAGCATCAACCCCAACGCCCGCCATCTACCGCTTCACGCCTTGGACGGGCACCTCAATGCTCATTCTGCCACCTCAAGACGAACCGAATCAGCAGCCACTGTATAGGATAACGGTCGAGCTGGATCTGAATCCTTTCCTTCCCGTCAGCACGGTCACACGAATAGAGAGAGTGGGCGGGCGCCCGAGCCCAGGGTCTGAAGGAGCCGGTGTGGTGGCGGAATTCTCGTGCGTAGCCTATTGTTCACGAAGAGTCCTGTGAACGCTGAATTTATTTCCCTAACTCAGAATGTCGATGAACAGGAAACGCGGAACGCTCACAATGCCTTCGACCGGCATCTCCACGCGTCTTTCGAAGGTTATCCGGTCGGTTGGGTCTGGGTCTGGGAAGGTGTTTGAGTGGACGTTCAGAGATGTAGTTCTGAAGTGGGACTGTACGGAGGTTCTCCAGGATGGGAGTGGGATGCTGGTCGTACGTTGCTTCTCGCGCTCACTTCTCTGGTCTAGGCTAACGTGATATTCACTTTCCCTGATATCCAGTGTTATCGAGTCCTTGCTAATTCGGCCAGCACAGGTCCGGGTGGGATACCCCTGCGGCAAGAGATACAGATCGCGACATTCGTCACACCTCCGCTCGATGGCTCTCCGCCTCTACCGGATGCGACGCTCACGGTGTTTCCGCAGGGACATGCAGTGATGGACCAGTTGGTTCTTAGCGGGCTGGTGGCAGTGAGGATTCTGGTCAGATGATGGCTAGCGGTCGAGCTATTCAGTGAGGACTGCTCTAGCTTGCTATCTAACAAGTATCTCTCATATTTACACTCATTGAACGGAGATGATGGATATCTCCGCAGTATGTCCTTGATTTTGAAGAACGACGCCTTCCTCGCTCAAATCTCTAGACAGATCCACGACAGCTTTAAAATTGGAAACCACGATGTTTACCTCCCATCCATCGCACTGGGGTAGCTATTGTGGCCCTTGGACTCTCCGTCCGTGCAGTCGATTAAAGGATCAAAGCTACATCACATCTGGCTACTCCTTGCAGGTAGAGAGGGCAATGATACATATGTGGTTATTCCGCTGAAGTCCGAGTCGACACCAGAAATGCTCCTAGAACTAGGAAGAGGAATCCGAGTCGTAAGTCTGAATGCTATTTCACTTTTACGCTCGCTTGAGGTCATGACTCACGTGGCTGGACTGAGGATTATTCGGAATTGTGCCGTTGGAAAGACAGAGCTCACAATTCTCATTACTCGGTACGAGCGCCCGTTGGTCGTGGACGAATTAACTGCACTCTGACCCTTTGCATCGGACGATCTAACGACGAGGGATATAGTAGGCCAGACAGGCCAGCAGATCGATGTCAGTACTGCTAAAAGTGGGTTCCATCAATGTTTCTGGTCCCGATTCGTAAAAACCGATGTTCATCATGGCGTTTCTTCATCGCCGGCTCGACTTGCTCTTGCCACACGTCCGCGGCCGCCCGGCGCCACTGGGGTTTCTTACAAGTTACGCCCTTTGCAACGGACATCCTCTGGAGGCTCTGACATCTCGTGTCCGTCTTGTAGCGTGGCTCAACTATACGAGGGTACGATTCTGTACAGTCGACTACTTGTAATGATATTCTCTTATTTTTCACTGGACATGCTCGTGAAATCATTAGAGTGGTCCTGGAGAGTGCACGTCCATATGTACCAGCTGCACTCCTATGGAGCAGATACAGGGCAGAATTCCTTGATAGTTATCGCAAGCTGAGTGTATATCCTCTCTAAGTGCTAAAACCATGTCCACTCACTCGATGTATTCAATTTATGTAGGGACATGGAGGTCCAGGGAGGATGCATTTCGCGCCCGAGCAGTGATGGCATTGACAGTGTCCCGATAACCTCCTAGCTGTCGGAAATTCACCTCCCCAGCTAGCCGTTTCTTACTATTAAAAGCAGAAATGACGAGGGTAGCCTAAGTATACCCTTTAAAACGAGTCACTGGTAATAAATGGAGGGGGTACTACTACCGGGGTAGGAGGAAGGACGCGCGTGGCCCTAATAGATCATGTGACTGTGGGTCCAACCTTCTTGATTGGCAAAATGTGCATTGTATCTCCATCAAAGACACACTGATGCGGTTCAAAAAGCCCAAACTCGACGAAACGCCTCTTGATCTCCTACCACGACATCCACTTCACCTCCCAAATATATCAGATCCACAACGGCCTTTTAAGCATTCCCAAGTCCTTGTTAGCGTTCCAATGGGGCGTTTGAAGACCTTTCCCCACAAGTACGTCTCGAATTCATTAGTCCTAATCTTGTCGCCACTGACCGAGCTTTGCACAGTACACCCCAGCACACGCCGCAGAAGCCTGGCGCAAAGACGATTACCAAGGACACACCACGTACCTCAAGGCGTACTGCAGCATCGGAAGCAAAGACGACGGATATTCGCTATGATATTGCAGGGGCTATGAACGCAGAAACTTTCGTTTGCGATGTTGAGATTTTCATCAAACATTACCTCCCAAAAGTCGAGGACAAGGTCCTCTCCCATGTCCTCGCGGATATGATTAAGAAGGAGGTCCTCATAGCTCGAGAGGAAACCACGGGGACATCATCTGGAAAGGCGAAAGCGAAACCCAAAGCGAAGTCGAAAGCAAAGTCGACAGCGAGCTCCGGGGCAAAATCAGCCACTGCAGTGCCACCTTCCACTCCGACAAAGCCCTATGACTACTCCCTGAAGGACTTTAAACCTCCGTGCGCGGGCGGAGAGAAGGATGCCCATGAGAAGAATGTCTTTGCACCATTGACCTCCATCTGCGAGGTGATCTGTGAGGCCCTTCGCGATGTCGATGGCGTGGACTGGAACGGATATTCTGTTCGTATGTGTGGCGGAAACAAGATGGACTCGAAGATCAATGGCTGTGCCCAGAAGATCGATGCCTGTATGACTAAGAACATGGACGAGAAACTGCGCGTCACGGATGTAATGGTCGCTTTCGAGTTGAAGACGACACGAACGGACGCGATGGTAATGAAGGTACGGCTTTTGTGTTTCTTTTTAGCAAGTTACTAAATAAATTCCCTTTTCCAGAACCGTGCGCAGATAGTTTCGCATTCCAACCACGCAATGAGCGAGGACGCACGCCGTAAATTCATACTCGGAGTAAGTCGGTCTCTTTGTCGTCCCTGGAGCCTCGCTCATCGCAAATGTGCAGATCACTATCGAAGATGGCGGGGTCTCGCTCTGGTACTTTTCTCGTTCTCACTCAGCAAAGTCGCGGGCGTTTAATATGGTTGAGGTGAGTTATTTTGACATCGACGTTTCTGTTATTGCTGACGCCGAAGCCATTTAATAGCAACCCGATTTGCTTGTCAAGATCATGATTTCCCTGTTCTGTGCCACCGACGAGCAGCTGGGCATCGATCCCCTTGTTCAGGTGCTGGACGACGGTAGCTTCGTCTACAGATTTCCATCGGATGGAGACAATGACGGAGACACATTCTACCGAACACAGGGCATCGTCTTCCATGATCGCTCCCTCACACTCACTGGTCGTTCTACGCGTGTTTGGAAGGTTCAGCAAGTCGATCCCGACAACGACTACGCACAGGTCGAGGGGACAAAGAATATGATTTTGAAGGATGCCTCTGTGGACGCCGATGCACGTACTGAGGATGACATTCAAAAGAGCATGTTTACCGACATCAAAGACATCGGGGGCAATGGGAGCAGGGCTTGGCAGAAGCGCCCGATTGCGAAAGACTTCAGCGACGAGGAAAAGGCATCTCTCGAAGACTTACTGGATGGTACAGAACAGTTCAAGGACTTCTTCTCCTGCATCATCAAATCTTCAACCGCAGAGCCTAGCCTCCCCGTGGCTCCCGAGGTCTGGGCAGATCCAACCCTCTTCCCTTACTCAGAAAAAAAGAAGCTGTCCGTGGATCTGTACCAGACAAACCGCCCAGATTCTGGCCCGAAACCCTCGGGCAAGGCGACTGAAGTCAATGCGATGGAACCTGCCTGTCGAGATCTATTTCCGCCCAAGAAGCAGTGTCGTTACATATATCCGGACGTCTACGCGCCCCTCTACGACATCCCTACCTTGGGTGAAGCCGTCGATATTTTGAAGCAATGTGTGTTGGGTACGTGCGACTCAATATTCGCTGTTTTCTAATGGATTTCTAACCGTTTTGTCAGTCCTTCAAGTGATGTTTTGCGCCGGTTGGGTGCATCGCGACATTAGTCCTGGCAATATTTTGGCGTTGTGGGATGAGTCAAAGAGCAAGTGGCAAGTCAAGCTGGCCGACCTGGAATATGCAAAGAAGTTCCCAAATACTGGTCCTGACTCGTCAAGTGCTATACCCAAGACGGTGAGTCCACTGTCAAATCCATATTAACACCATTGAATGTGACTCCTTCGCTTAGGGAACACCATTTTTCATGGCCGTTGAAATCCAGGGCCAATTCCACATTCTTCCCCCTGAAGCTGAGCCGCGATATTCTGCTACTGGTGGCTTCCTGGTTGAACAATACCTCAATCAGGCTGCCGCACTTGAGAAGCCAGTTGTACACAGCCCCCAGCACGATCTTGAGTCCATCTGGTGGATTTTTCTCTGGCTAGCTTCCAAGAGAGTAAAGCGACCTTTCCCATCGTTGCTCGGCGAAGGCCCATTTGACACCAATGGCCCAGAAGTTCCAAGTGTTGAGAAGCGACAGAAGGTCCTTCAGAGCTGCCTTCTGTACAATAAAAAAGTTCGCCCCTTCATTCCTCAACAGCTAGCACGTTCATTCCTCGTCGCCATTGACGTAGTTCGAGCCGATCTCCACAACGGCTACCTCAGGCGCAATGCTGAAGGCAGACAAAACGATATTGCAAGCTACTCGCACATCGTGAGCAAGCCTTTCCAGATTTTATTCCAACTGCTGGAAGAGTCGCATGATCCATGGCGCTCGGTGAAGCTCGTGACTGGTAGGGACTCGGAACAAGAAGAGGAGACTGAACGGAATGGGCCAGAGAAACAAAAGGGAATGGACGATCATGGCGGTACTGGCACCAACCAACCAAAGGGGAAGAAGAGGAAATCGGCCGCACCGGAATCGAAGAAGGGCAGGTCGACCAGAAGGACAAAGGCGGTTGCGTTCAGATTACCGAGGACGACTGGGCCAACGACTAGATCCATGACTAAGGCTGCTCAGGACCAAGATATAGAGCCACGACCTTTGAAGAAGGCTCGCCGTTAACTGGTCAACACCGCTGACTTCAATGTTAGTATTTCATAGAAGATGTGTGACTTGGAAGAGCTGGACTCCTGGACATCACATTCATTATACATATCCCTGGATGGATTAGCGCATGTATAGAGTTGAATGTAATCTATCGCTGGACGTATCCACGCATTACACACTCAATGAAAACCCCGATAAATCATAAGCGTTACACATCCATCGCACCTGGCTACCTGGGAAGTTCGCGAGTAAAATCTTTAGTGATCCTGAAGCTTACTTGAATAATGGGGTACCAGGACGTAAGCATACCGTCGAGAACAAGAGCATCTTGAAAGGCGTCCCATTTGATTCGGTTTTGAAATTCACGTCTATACTTGCGCTGGCCTCTAACCATCCTGTCACCTGAATGCTGCACGGTGGGAGATGGTAGACATAAATCACTGGGTTACATTTATTTTTCGACGCACTCCAGGGCGCTGCGCGCACTTGAGCGGCAACTTGAATAACTCCAGCGCCGGCTCACTGCACACACGAATACGCCAGATCGGCTCTCGGTTACCCTTGTGCAACTTCCAATCTTTAAAGCAGGGGGGATACATATATCATGTTCTTCTATCTGTATAGAGTAGAGCAACTCGGAATCTAGAGACCGCCGGTCAGTCTCAACTGTTGAATCTACAATCGATGATTCGAACCCTACTCTTGAATCAGTTATCAACGTAGCTCCAATGGATTCCTACGTACTACGTATGCTTATAGTATGTAACTGGTGTGAATGGATTGGCTTTTTTCTGAATTCTAGCCTGTCAGCGCTGTGAGCCTTGAGGCGAGCGAGTGGCATGAATCGGACTCACGTGCAGTGGACGCGGTCACTGCCTGAGGCCGTGGGAACAGTCCACATACCGCGATTGATGTGTGCCACCACCGCCGTCGCCTCTTGTCTTTGAACCACTACCATCTCAAAATTCGAATTGGGGTTCTTGTCTCTTCTACTCAGTAATTATCTTCGAGCGAACATCCATCATGAACGACAACGTATCGACTTGCGCTTTTGAGGTATTCTTCGAAAGCCATCTACCCAGCTCCGAAATCGCGCTCGACGCGGTTATTGGAGAGCTCAAAAAGCAAAAGATGCTTGTTTCGCGAGGCCGGTCTTTGCATCAGACACCGTCCTCATCCACGCACAAATCATCTTTCTCGCACACTTTCAAATCATTCAAAACTCTGTTCCGATCTGGCAACGCAAAGCCAAGTCGCGTCATGAAGACGCTACAATCTGTTGGCAACGCCGTTCGTAAAGCGCTCGGGAGGATCGAAAACCGAGAGGTGAACTCCTGCGCCATCAGGCTGGAAGATGACGTGGAATCTACTGCCCATGGTTGCATCACCTCAAATTTGGAGGATCCCTTACATGCTACAGACGTTGTAGCGCCAATCATGGGCATTGACAGTAGCAACGTCCATTTTTCGTCGACGCAAGTACGTGCAATTTCTGCGGCTGTCAGTTCCTACGCTTACCATCTCTCCAACAGATCGATTTCATACTTTTTTCCCGTGTCGCGCAAATCATGAACAAGGACGCGCGTCGAAGGTCTTGCTTCGCGGTACGTCCATTCTTGTCTGCTGCCGCACACGATATGGATAGCTGACCGTAAATTCAGGTAACCTTCAAAGATTCCAATGTGTCGTTGTGGTGGTTCACGAGGTCGCTTACCGTCAAATCCACGCCGTTTGATATGATCGAGGTTAGTTTGAATAACATTCAACAGTTCGACATGTTGCTGACTGATTCTCGCCGCAGCACGCAGACCTTCTTATCCGAGTTTTTGTCTTTCTGTTCGGTTCGCAGAAGCACCTACTGGGGTACGATCCCCTGGTGACACTTCTCCCGGACAGAAACTACGTATACGAGGTCCCTTTCGATGGCCACGCAGGTCCCCTTTACTACAGAACCATCAACCTGATCTGCGACTCCGAGCCCGCCTTTGTTTCTGGTCGTCGCTTGCGGGTCTGGGAGGTTCAGCAGGTGGAGTCTGTCTCGAATCCAGTCCGCATCCCAGGCACACCCCGCAGGGTATTGAAAGACGTCATTCTGGACGCCGGCGTGCGCACCGAGGCGGATATCCAAGGGGAACTTTTCGCTGATATCGCGAAGTTGGCCCAGGACGAATCATGGGCTTCACGGCCTCTACTCAACGACTTCCCTAAGCGCGATCTGGACGTTCTTGCCGATGCATTGGAGGGAGACGAGTTCAAGCGTTACTTTTCCTGCATCATTGCGAAGCACGTCGGGGACGCTGATGAAGTCACCGGCCACTTTCATCCGCCAACGTCGCCCACGGGGGATACTCCCCCCAGGCCGAAGCGCCGATGTTTCTTCATCTACGAGCACGTCTGCACCGCCCTCAACAATATTTCGACCCTCGGAGAAGCGGTCGACGCTCTCAAGCAAACCCTCATTCGTACGTCGTCAATCCAATTACGCCGTTGAAATCTGCTAATACCTTGCCTTAACTAGCGCTACGCCTGATGTTCCTAGCTGGATGGGTCCATCGCGATATCAGTCCCGGCAATATCCTCGTGTATCGAGAGGAACGGGGCTCACCTTGGACCGTTAAGCTCTCTGACCTTGAGCACGCAAGGCGCTTCCCTGACCCTGAAACACCCGTTGAGGATCGTGTAACGGTACGTTTCATTTGTATTCATTTAGGTGTTGACGCAAGCTAACATCATGTAATGATAGGGAACGCCCTACTTCATTGCCTATGAAGTGTTAGATGCGCAAGAACTTCTCCCCAGCAAGGCAGTCTCTTATGAGGACTTGTCATACGAATTCCTTCCTATCGTGCACAACTACCAGCACGACCTCGAGTCCATCTTTTGGATCCTCCTCTGGCTCATCTCCATGCGCGTCAACGAAACTTTACCGAGAGTGTTCGGCAAAATGTACTTCCAACAACGCGTTGACAGTAACTACGCTGCTCTCCGCTATCGTGCACTGACGCACAGCCTCTTCTGCCACCTGGAGCTAATGAAGTCTCTCCCGCAACCACTACGCTGCTGCACGTTCTTCAATCACCTCGACTCATTGCGAGACGACCTTCACCTTCAGTACGTCGCGCGGAACCGTGATAAAATGTGCGACGACCTGGCCTCCTATTCGTGGATGGTAAGCCACGGGATCAACGCCTTTTTCGACGCCGTTGAGGCAATCAGGAGCGAATGGGCGCACGTCGAGCTTATGGTCGACTGGGAGTCGCGCTCGGCGTTCACTCCGCACCCCCCTCAGGAATCTGACGCCCAAGTGGCATCCCCGCCTCCTAGCCAACACCAGAACGTCGCGTCGTCGAATAAGCGCCGGGCAGCAGATACAGGTGAAGAAGGGAGAGCTCACAAGAGGGCCCGACCGAGCCCTGTCCGCATTCCCGCCATTGTACCTCGCCGCTGTGGCCCAGTAACCAGATCGATGGCGAGGAGTGAAGGTCGTATCACCAGATCTACCACTCGCCGTCTTCAAGAAGAAGCAAAAAGGAAGCAGCGCCGTTTGTAGAGTCATATCCATGCTTGTAGTATCATAGACCTGAGAACAGCTTTGTTTTACTTGTATTTTTATTTGAATAAATTGTACCCAATATTTCTCATACAGCGTTGGCTGACTCAGAGCTTGGAACCTGAAGGCGAGCCGCGAATTCAGGACTGGAAGTAGATATCGTGGATAGATACATGGAGAGGCATACACACGATGATCTGTTCTTTACGACCTAACCGCCATGCAGCACAATTGTTAGTTATCGCGGTGGATTAGTTCAACATGGACACACCTGGCACTTGACAGCCGAATGTCGGTCTTGGGGCACAATACCACGATGATACCGAATTCTTTGTGGGCGGGACAAGCCCTCACCTTTCGTCTCCGACGCCCGAGCAAGGACTGCCATCATTCCCGCCACATTACGGCGACTTTGCGGCTATTCAACCTGATTACATTGTAACCGTACGCGGCCGTGACTTTGAAACCCGATTGTTCCTTTTCAGTGCTAGGCCCACAAACGTCGATGACGCTCTACCTTTCGCTTCCACCTTCCCTCCATCCGTACTGGAAGTGACTCTGTCTCTCTCGTCCAAAGGCGTGGGCTGTCGTCCAGCAGCGATTCAGGTTGGGTAGAAGGGTTTGAATGGTCGAAACCGATCTGGAATGGCTGCGATAATTGAAAATATCGACCCTATCCTCCTGTGCGCCCCGCCCTTACTTCTCGAAATGTGAGCGCCGCGTACTGACCCCTCAATTTACATAACCTCACCACTAGGAGCGGGCCTCTTGTACGTCGGAGCAACCTCAATGAAATGCATTTCAGGATCCATTAACAAGGTTTCTCTCGGGCTGCAGTACATTGGAGTCCTAATTGCGCATTTGCTCTTTGGGGCTTATATTGTTCAACTCTGTGAGTTTCCCTGCTGTATTTATACTTGCCCCAGCTGATCAGCCTTGCCCAGTCTGTTATGTATACGAGATCCGACGCACCACCCCCAGGACATTGACTGCTATTGGTAAGTACGTTGGTCCAGATACGATTCCCCTTGCTAATTTGGACTGGTGCCTCGACAGTCGGATTAATCACCATCGTTGAAACGGTCAGCATATGTTTGATTACGGAAACAGGGTGGAAATGCCTTGTCGCCAGTAGCTCTGCCCCGGACCTCAACCAGCTTGCTACCTACACCCCGGGTATGGCGGCGTATCCTGCCCTGAACGGTGTCGGTAAGCAAATCGCTGTCTATTTTTCCATCTGGCGCCACTCTGACTTGTTCTCCTTCGACAGTGGCGTGTACAGTCCAGCTTTATTTTTCTCAGTGAGATCTACCAGCAAGTCATCTGTCTTGGACAACTGCTGACCCCGGCACTCGTCGTATAGTCGCATCTGGACGCTATCAAAGCTGAGCGCGCAAGCATACATTGCACTCGTAATAGCATTGGTAAGTTTCCTCTGAGCAACTCATAGTCAGATCTTCTGACCTCATTCCCCAGGTCGCATGCATAGGTCTAGGTTCGACCATCATCGTGTCCACCTTTGTGCGTAGTCCATTGAGTACGTCTTCTGGTACTAATCCCTCACCTAAATCTTCCTCTAGTTTGGTCGCATAGATCAACAAGTCCTCGGTATGCCCGACGAGAAAGGCCTGACGAGCAGCGTCAGTGTCGCCCTCTCCGCACATCTCACCGCGGATTTCCTTATCACTGTTGCCATGGTTCGCATTGTACGTCGTGACCCTCGCGCTCAACGTGCCTAAATCTGACACTCTGCTTTGTGGATTACCGACTCTTAGCTGAGAGGGTACAAAGATCGGACCGTCTTGCCAGCTGCAAAGAAGCTTTTGACATCGTTCACGGTCAACACCATTGAAAATGGGATGGTTACGACTATATGTGCAGCAACCAATTTGGCCCTCTTTTTCGCTCGCCCCCACGACGCCTTGCACGTGGTCTTGTGAGTTCTCTCGCGTTCTCTCGCCACCTAGGATGTGGGGCAATTCAGCTGAAGTAACCTGTCCTAGCCAAGTAATTATTGGGCGCATGTGAGTACATAACCTTCTCCTATTTTGACTTGCTTTTCTGTAAACTAAAAGAGGTTTGGACATGTAGATACGCAAACGTCCTCCTAACATACCTCAATCGACGAAGCGCAGCCGCGGCCCCCTCCCATTCAGGTCCCTCGGGGACATCTTCTGAGAGTTGCCCGCCTGTATCTTCATTCCCTCCCCCATCGAAGACAAGAACGACGACGATCCCTCGCTGGTCATTCCGAAGCCGACCAAGATCGCAAACCTCGACCATAAATCGGAGCAGCTTGGCGACCTCCGATTCAGGATCGTCTCGACGTACTGGTAGTTCTGAATGGAAGGGCAATAAATCTTAGGTCTTTTTTTTTGGCCTCGTTGGACTTGTAGCTTATATCCACAGCTAATGCGAGCTTAATCAGAACGATTCATCTTCCAATCGACGAGCTTCGGTTTTTTCCACTCGATTTCAATCCATGGCCTTTGTTTGGCGACAGCCTTCAAAACATACATTACCGTGACCATTATTAATATGAAATATCCGAACATAGGACAAACAACTGCAAAGGATGCGAGCATACCCATTGAATGTGAGTCTGTATGCTTACACCAGAACCAGGGTACTAAATGCTCCTCATTTGCGACACAACCATGGGATCCTTTGTCAAAAGAAAGGAAAACGCCGCTTATGTCGGTTGATTTTCCCCTTGGACTGACTCGGAGGGACTTTTCACTCCTCTCTTCCAACCCTTTGCCCACCAATTCTACACCAATTCCAGCGGTACATCTGACAGATATCCATATTTTCCATCAGATGGTGAGGAAAATTAAAGCCACTAGTATCCCATTGTCGTCCAAACTTACAGTTCAGACCACCTTTGTCCAAGGCGCCAAACATTGATGCAGGCGCGATCAGGTGCCGACATTTGTCCTTTTATGGAAACTATAAGCGCTACCGACGCAGGCGCTTAATATTTCTCATCAAATCCAAGGACGGCGCTCCTAGCGCACTTACTTGATATAGTAGGCGTCGTGTTGGATTGTGGTGTCCCTTCTGACTCGAATCAAACTTCGCTGCTAGATGTCGCTCAGGCCCGCTCGGCTTCCTTGATATGGTATTCCCGCCCATTGTTGATCGTGCTCAAACAACGACAACGTCGGGCGGGGTATAAGAGGAGCCCGACGCCTGGTGTGAGTCAACAGCATCCCCCGTCTCTCGTCTCAATTGGTCTGCATCCCCTTCCCCGCCCCCACTATGTCATATCACTCATCGCCTCATTGGCCCGTCAATAATAAGGATTGGCAGTCGAACTGTTCCCGTTCGGTTGCTCCTACTCCTGTCTCCTCATGGGGAACACGTACGTCGATCTCTTCCTCCGCACTTCCACCGCTCACGGAGCCCTCCCTCTGCAGTCCCCGATAGCTCGTCTGGGCATTCCGTTCCGCGATCCATCGGTACGTACGCCCGGGCCTGAGCTTATCGTCAATGCGTGATGTATTGATCCATGTTTTTATTCCAGCATTCTCATATACATCGGGAGGTTATCCCAGCTCGTCGCTTGATTCGCCGCATAGCAACTACAGCGTCGCATCGATCGAGAGTTTGTCGTCCCCTCTCCACCCGGGTCTCCAACCTCAAACTGCCCTTTCGCTCAACCTCGACCTCCTTTACACATCCTTCCCTCCAGAACTCCCTTTCGATCCGCGAGAAAGCGCTTTCAATCCTCCTGTATCCAGAGTCAATCTTGAATTCGAAGGTCTTCACCCTAACTGGAAAGTCTGCCTCAAACTTCCCTCCGCTATTCTTGTATGCCATGTTCTGGAACAAACCTATCGCCACTGTTATTCCGAGATACGACGAGAACAGGACCAGGAAGTTCCCCATCAATTAAGAGCCCAGGCGGCTGCCTATTTCCAAAAGCGCGCGTCACGTAACCCAGGTCAAGCCAACCCAGCGATGATGCTGATCGATGTTATGGGACCACGAACTCTATTCACGGGCCTGACGCCAAAGCCAAACGACCCGACGACATGGGTAGTTCGCTTTGGGCCATCACCGTTCTCCCGGTGAGGCCTATCTATGGCACGTCGATGACCTTGTGACCAGTCTCGCTCAATTGAAAAGCCTAAGTCCGCGATGTTGAGCCTCTCCCTTGGGCTGCGATGACGTTTCTTTTATACTGCCTTCCGGCTACTAACCACCCCTCACTTTGCTTTTTATTGGTTATTTGCTTTCGAGTCTCCATCACTTTCCGACGCTTTCGATATTCTCCTAGCTTTCCAAGGACATTGCAGCGTATAGCAGCTACACCCCCATTCGGACTACCCCTTAAACGACGCCGCGGACGTTTGTATTCATATACCACCGCTTGTATTCCCACCCAAGAGTATACCATGTATCCCTAGTCATGCTGTAAAACTATAATCTCCCTGTAGCAATATCATCACCACTCCACCCCCCTTCCAACGCGTGCCCATATCTTTCGCGGTTCCCTGCGTTATCTGCGGGCCACGAGTCCAATGTGCTGTTTCAACTTTCCCAGACTTTCCCGTCGTCAAGCGCAAATCAGCCCGTGTGTGACACCTCAGGGATACTCGGAAATCGACGTCTCCCCAGCCTGGCTCTGGGGGAATGGGATGAGGTAATAATTCCAAAGGAAAACAAGACAGCGACTATTATACAAGGTGCTACAAAACATTACAGTTACAACAAACCATGTTAATCCAGAGGACCCTAATGTACAAAGCAGACACGAGAGCGAAGACAACAACACGATAAGCAGACCGAGAGCATGGGATCGTACATAGCAAAAAGCATAATGTCCTTAAGTCCAGCCCCATTAAAACGTGTATACAAGGGGCGCACCATATGAGTCAACCAATAACGGAACGGACGAGCGAAAGCGATAATCGAAAGCGTGGCCCTTCACTTCTCCTCAGCAGCCTGAACCTCCCCAAAGAGAATCTTCCCAACAACGGGGATCTCATCTCCCCTGCCCAACATATCAGAAGCATACCTCTCACACTCCTCGACATCTTTCTTCTTTGAGGCAACCCCAACCATGCACGTCTTTTGCTTCAGGAAATCGATCCTCTTGACCCCATCGTTCAGGGAGTCCCCAGTATCCTTGCACCTCTTGCGATAAGCGCGAGCGACGCGACGCTGGTCTGGCGAATCGTTCCCGAGAGACTCCCACTCCTTCTGAGTGATAGGGGTCCCCAGGGAGGTGTGCACAGCGCAGAGAACGTCGAGGTTGCTAACAACAGCATCACTGGAGCCCTGCTCGACAGTCGCAGAATCAACGTCGTCGTCATCGTCGTCGTCGTAGTCAGAGTCCTCGTCCTCGTCGATGTAGAATTTGTGCTTGGGGACCGCAGTGGCCCTGGTCGTTGTCGGCGAGGAGTGCGGAGACGGTTTGAGCATTGCACCTGGACCACACGCGTTGCCAGAGGCATGAACTACGATAGTCCAAGGCAGATCCTCCGCCTCAAGAACGAGCTTTCCCCGGATGGGCGGCTCGGTCGCTGGTTCCAAAAGTGTGGACACTGGAATCTTGTCGCCTACGAAATCGAGAATGTTGGCGTTGGAAGGAGCGACCGCAGCGTCATAGTTGATGGGAGCTCGCTGAAGAGAGGGGGAAGATAAAGCGAAGAGAGGGTGCATGAAGACAGGTATTTGCTTGGTAGGGTTGCTGAATGAGACCCTGCATTCTGGAAGCAAAGGGTCAGCACTCGATGACGACGTTGAGCAAACACTGAACGACATACTTGATTTGACCGCAAGAGATATTTCCGATGCATTGGTCGGGTTTTTGGGGACAGGAGGAGTGGAGCAATCCTCACTGAAGACCGACGAGTCGGAGGAAACACTTGACAGGGACGAGAATGAGGAATCTCGCGAAAGGGGTGGTCGGCTGGGATAGATCGAATGGGAGTGAATGGTAGGGACTTCAGGTTTCTTGTAAGTAACTGAATTGACTCGGTGAGTCGAATTCGAAGAGATGAGACAGAATGACTTACAGTAGCATTCGTTGCTCTGAGCCTTGCTCTCGTTCCAGCTAATCATCGGCGAGCCAGCCGGACTCGAGTTGCATGATGAGACGTATGGATATCCGGGTGAGAATCCAGGAGAATAGTAGCCAGGGGAAAAGTTAAAGAAAGGTGGTTGAGTTGGACTGAAGGTGGGTTTCGCGGGCTCTGCCGGGAGCTTCTTGTTCTTCTCAGGAGACGAGGGCGGTGTGTTCTTTGACTGAGAGTTGAAGACGGAATGACCGAGGAACATCTTTCGGAGGTAGCCCATGATAGAGGAGTCGTAACGAGTCGTAAAGATGGGGATTCAGACGGTACCGAGGGAACAAGAATGGGAGCCCCAACTTACTTATATTCTTTGAACACTCGTACAGCCGGTGGTTCGGTTTGCCGTTGGGCGGTCATGAGGCTTCAGTTCCGTTTTCTCGGATACGCCAGAGGAAGCAACGTTGCGCCCTTGTTGTTGGATAGGTATCATGATCGAACACCGAGTGCAGGGACCAGGTCTTGTGAAAAGGAAGCCTGGCGGGATGCGCGCTCTACACGTGTAGGGACCTTTCTGTTAAGCGAGTGACTGCTGGCAGGGCTAGTAAGTCATAGACAGGACCAGCCAGTCCAACGTAGGACTTCTTGATAGCTTGCCGAAGGGCGAACATTTTCCCTCCCGCCAATGTATTCTGTTGGAAAGGTACGCTCGCCGACACCGGATTCCTGGATTCGGACTCGGAATTGCGCTAGGGCACGAGGATGTGAATGAATGTCCTCCAGCAAGCAATCTCTGAAGGAAATGAAGCTCAAAGGGCGCTGAATGACCTTTTTTGTCTCTAATATCAGCTCCCTTTGCTGCAGGCTTGTGTTGAAGTCCACAGAGAACGGAGGGGAAGAGATGGCTGTGGGTGGTTCTGCACCAAAAAGGTGAAAACCCGCCCAGGCGCTGCTGCCGCGCCTACTTCTCCCGAGCCGTCCATAGCCGCCGTCAACTTCAAATGGCCGGTAAAGGGTTCTCGAGGTTCTTAAAGCCGTCCCATACACTCGCTTGGAGACGGTCAGAGAACACGCCCTCGGTTAACGTAGATATCGGAATTAACGCACATCTACCATTCAACGCTGGGTTAACGTTAAATGTGATATCGAATTGTGAAAAACCAGGTAGAAGCCGGCCGGCATTTCATTTAGTCCCATAGGACGAGCGAAGAGGAGACTCAGAAGACGTACTGACGTCCTCAGCTTGGACGAGATTCTGGTCAGGGGGCATACAAGGAAAAAGACTTCAGATTCAACAAAGTCGATTGGAGAGAGCAATTACGCTCTCATAAAGGCTGATAAACGTGCCAAATGGGCGGATAGGCGATAACGTACAGTACAGCTTCGATAGGCGATAGGCGGGCAGCATCGAAATGTTTCCGCGAATCCACTTCGTTCAGCTCCCATGGACCCTTAACCAGGAGCGTACCACCAGAGCGTGGTGACACCCACCGGGAAAACGTATGTGGCCTGCAAAAGAATCAAGAGAAAAATCAGACAATGGACACCAGTGAGAACACCCAGGCTGACCTGCATCCCTCGGAAGCTAATCGTGGCCCGTACCGGCTTGGGGTTCCAGCCAGAGTTGGCGCTGTCATCCCCTGCACAATGACGCGAAACAGGTGTCAGTGAAAGGAAGAATGAGGGTACAAAATCCCAAGCGTACAATTCAAAACGACCATTGAATAACGCGTCCATTCACCGGGCGAGCTTCGACGAGTGGCAAACGCTGTAGCTCTCAACGCCCACCCCTTCGAGCCCTCCACAGATACGCCAATGCGCTGGCCAAATGGGCCGTTAGGGTCCTTTGGCGTCACAGCTTTCGAAGCTTGCGCCATTGCGTAAACTGTATCAATTTACATGACAAAGACAGAGGTCAGCAAAGCCCAGAAGAGGGCGAGAACAGGACTGAAGGGCCTCACATTCTTGATTGAAGGTATAGCTGCCGTCGTTGTTCACTGTGACGAGGGGTCGGCAGCCAGGCCCGCCGCAGCTCGTGGTGCCAGGCAGCTTGGGATTACCAGCGCCATCCAGCGCGATGTTCCACATCAAGCCCTGAGTTGGATAGTAAGTAATGATTATCCAACCATAACCCAATGGGAAACTTCATTTAGATGAAACTCCTTGGTAGTAAAGCTTGGACTAGAACGTACCGTACGCGAGAAACGTTCGACACTTCCGATCCACCTATGAGTAGAGGGGCAGAGGGTCAATGGGACTCCGGGGATGGATAATGGACTATGAGATCGAGACGACGTACAAATTGTCCATGTACCACTGGAGATGACGTTCAGCTACACTGTTACGGTGATAGGAGTGTCGTTAAACCCGCTTACCTTGATGTCCGACCACCAGTCCGAACCATAAGTTCCCGTGCACTCAGTGAAGTAAATATCCTACTTTCCGCGTCAGAACTGTCCGTGATGAAATTAGGCGGGAGCGCAGGAACCTACTTTATTAGGGAACCTTCGCTGGAACGAGGCCTGGTTAGACACCGGCCCTTCGTAACAGTGGAAAGCGACGCCCGAAACAGCGTCACCCGCTTGAGTGACCTTAATCAGATGATCGTTAATGAGTTAAGGCTGGGATAAGCGAAAGGAACAAGCCGTACCAGGTCCACAGGGTAGCTATTTGCGTTGTTCCAATTGTGCTAGTATTGATTAGATGGGTCAGCTGAACGATAGAAACATGAATCCAAGACTCACGTCATAGCCAACGACCTTCACTTGTCCGAGACCGCTCGAGTCCAACAGCGATCGTAGCTTGACAGCAATCCTCGCCTCGACGTCAGGTGTCATCGAACACGTTGGGTAGGTCGGGTTCGTGTGTTGAGGCTCGTTCTATGAACAAGGCATCGCGTCAGAAACGAAACGTAAACCGGTGGGATAAAAGAGTCGGGATAAGACAGCGCTTACCTGTACCGACACCGCGTGAACAGGGAATCCCTGAGCTCGGAATCCTTGGACTGATTTCAGTAAATAGAGGGCGTCTGTATGTAAACAACCAGGCAGGGCAAGGGGGTTTGTCAGAGTCCAGATTAAGAGTCCGAATCACCGGAGAGGGATGATAGAGCCACGGATTCAAGCTAGAACGTGTTCACTTACAGGCATCACTGTACTGCGGCAACAAGCTCCCGCCATTCATGGATCCGCCCGACTTCATCCAACCAGGCTGAAAAAGGCAAGTCAGTATCGAAATCAAGAGATAAAACGCGGGGAAATAAGGTCATAACATGAGGGGATGCGGGGTAATGTGAATCGAGTGAAGAGTCAAGGACGAATTTGGTTAAGACATACCGGGGACCAGGCTACCAGGTGGACCTTGAGCTGATTGTTCATTCCTTGGATGTCACGAAGAACCGAGATGACTTGGGAAGGGACCTTGCCCATGTCAAAGCGGGACATGGAAGTGTCCCCGCTGACGTCGTTCAGACTGTAGGCTGAAGCAGGGCGTTAGTGACATTCGTACATAGCGTCATTGTCGCGACTCACAGCTAGCTGAGAAATCGGATGCACCGATGGGAACGCGAATATAGTTCAATCCGGCCGAATCGGGGTTAAACATAGTCCTCATAACATTCCAATAGTTTCCAGAATTGCGGTTCTGAGGAAGTGAAAAAAGTGAAGCATGAGTGATTGCGTTGCCATTGAGTTGCACCCAAACCGAACGAGCAGTCGAACCTTGAGATTATTGAGGACAGTGGCCGACGAATCCGCTGTTCAACCAGTCCAAACGTCAATCAAGATCTAGGGATCGTTAGAGACTCAAAGACGTACTGAGAGAAGCACCAAATCCAAGCATCTCCTGGAACCGCGCACCATCGTCCACGACAATGTTGGCCTCTCCTATCGGACCAGGCTGGACAAAGTTGATGGGAGCAGGAGGGCCGACGGACGTAAAGAGCCTGCTTCGATCCCACGTCGTTTGCCACTGTAAGAGATTGAAGATGTGATCGATGAGCCAACCCGAGAGTGTCGATGACGATGATGAAAAGAAGAAAGACGACTACTCACAATATCCCAAATCTGTTGCGACGCCACGCCTGTGGCGAGGATCGACGCGATCCCAGCGAGTCGAACGTGGAGGGAGAGCATGCCCGCGATCCGAACTCGAAATCAGCACCTATCAAGTTGAGAAGGTGGATGTCGATGATATCAAGGAAAAGATGCGCGAGGTGAGCGACGATCGAGAGTTGTCAGAGGAGATGCCCAAGGTACTCGCAGGGAAGGAAAAAAACAAGTTCGAGGGGCGACAAAAAATCACCATCCGGACCTCACCCCACGCTTCTTATACAACACCCAACATGCCCTGTGTCCGACCATCTCTCCCCCCTCTCAGTCTTCTCCCATTCCATTCATTCCATACCACCAGAAATCAGCCTCCGTAGCCACGAGAGCAACGTGGCTCAGAACCCAAAATCTCCAGGACAAGAACGCGGAAAGAGGCGGCTACACTCATCGGCACACAGAATGCATTCAATTAACGGAGAGACGGACCATTCACGACCATGTGGGGGATCGCCCTTGGCAAGGCGAGAGGCGGCTCAAGTGAGCAAGTGAATGATCCCCTCGACGGTCGGACAAATATGGGAATGTGGTATGCCTTACTCGGCCATACGGATGGGGCTCCACCAGTTCGAGCATTCCGTACTCAGCGAAACTCAGCGAGCGCAGTGATCGCCTCTGTTTTTCAAGTTGCGCGGACTACGACACTATACCTAGAACCGACCGGTAAGTAAGTACGAAGGATAACCTTGGAGCATAAAAGCTTTGACCCCACTCACCCGCTACATCCAACTCTTCACCCCGAGTTGCTCAACCCGAGGTTTACGCAGCGTCGAGCGCTATCGATCACTATCGATACCGGCAAAGTTCAGCATCAAGACGGCAACAGCGCCAGAAACGGCACAAACAGTCAGAGCCCTCAGAGGGCTCCAGCATCACGGCTCGTAGTCAAATGCTCCACCATCGCGGCACGAAGACCATTCAGCGTGAAAAACCATCTCTAGTCACAAGACTACGACTGGCTTCTTCACCATTAGCCGTATGTCTTTTGCAACGTATGTATGCATACCAGGATGCCCAGTCATTGATTGTAGTCGTCCTAGTGTATGTTGATTGCCATAACCATCCCAGTACATGTCGTAGTCGCCATAGTATATGGGTTGACCGTAGTCATCCCAGTGCACCTTGATTGCCAGACTGGGCAAAGAACATCATCATCATCCATTCGTTATTGTCTCGTTCGCAGGGAAGTAGGCCAGCAAAGTTCAACACGGGTCAAAGGTAGAGGCAAATAGTTCGAGTTGCAGAGGCTCCCGGAAAAGGTGATGCGGTGTAATAGCCAACGGAGATGGACATGGTGGTGGTGGTAAGGGAAACCGAACGAACGAAAAAGGAGTGGCAGACGCGGCACAAGAGCGGACTATGGCAAAACCATTAAATAATTACATAATAAAAGATACGTGATAAAAATATCAAATAGCATTTTGTGCTAACTCGAGAAGGGCTTCGAATGAAAGTTGCGAATGTGAACTTGATGTGAACGAAGGACGGACCAAGGGTGGACAATGGACTTTGAACCGTGATGACAGACTGACACAGACACAAGCAATGGAGTAAGAGAGACAAGCAAAGCAAACACAAAAGATAAAAGGAAAAAATGGGATGCGTATAGTAGTAGTACAAATGCAGGAGTGTGTCGAAACAAACGAATTGACAAATATATGCAGCAATGCAGAAAAGAGAGCAAGAGAGGGTGAGAGAGATCGAGTGTCAACTTGCAAGAAAGGTCAGAAGGACGTTGAAGAACGCCGTGAATGGGCTGTTGTATCAAGAGAGGGAGAGAGAGAGAAAGAAAGTTCCAAAACGGTATGAGACATGAAAGGTAGAAAAGAACACCAATGGCAAAAACTCTATAAGCGTAAAAAGTAGGTAGATATGGTAATAGATAAGAAGATGATGACTTGCGATATGATAAGATTGACACGACGATAAATGAAAAAGTGACCAAGATAAAGGGAAACACCAAAACGAACATGAAAACACCGAAAAGGAGAGTATGTGGCAAGGGTTCGACGACGATACAAGTTGGATAGACAGAACGCAAGAATAGGGAAACCAAGAGCAAGAAACTTCGCTGAGAACAGAAGACCAAATGGAATGTGGGAAGGGCGTAAACAGGGACGGATGGGTGACGGTTGCCCTTCAAGCGAACAAGGAACGGCGAAGAAGCAACCTGTCCAAGTCCAACGGAAGGCGAGTAGCGAGCACAGAAATAGAACTGGACCCTGGTGGTCAGACTGCAACCCGTCAACGAAGATCCGGTATACTCCAGGGATAAGCGCTAAACCAGGGATGGAACGACCAGAGCCCCCCAAACGCAGAACCTACAAGGTTCCAGCGTTCAACGGACCAAAATGGCACCTCTCATTCCGAGCAACCTATACCCGGAGCAGTCACCGGAAATTGAGGGCCACGCACCTATCCACCATCTCCAAACGCAACCCTCACGACACCCACAGGAGCCATCGCGGATAATCACGAGCCTCCTTGATGCATCCCTCCAAGCCCACGAACGCCAGCCTCAACCGTATCCCACTCCTCCGGGTTACGAGCCAACCCTAACTCCATATGATGCCCTGACGGATGGGGCTGCATGTGCGAGTTGTTGTTCCAAGGGTCTCGTACTGGAGGCTGAGGTTGGGTGTGCCACTCGCTGAGAGGTGTAGAAAAGCTCGCCCGAGCTGGTGGATTCGAGGTCGGAAGCGGTGGGACATGCCCTTTCGAAACCATCGACAGCGGCTGGTGAGGATGGTGCTGCGGCTGCTGGTGGTGGTGCTGTGGGTGTGGGTGCGGCTGATGAAGGTGCAACGGAGAGGGTTGATGCTGCTGATGGTGTGGATGATAACTCAACTCCCCCGCCCAGCCGGTGAGGGTGGAATACGATGTTGCAGCGAATTGGGGCTGAACGTGCACTTGAGGTTGAGATTGAGGATGATACAAGAAAGGGGCTCCAGGGGCCGCAGTCGAAGGAGGGGCTCCGATCGCTGACGGTCCAGCTGATGAATTTGCAGTGAGCGATGACCGATGGGTATGGCTGGGGAGGACTCTGTTGTTCGACGGTGAAACGGTAAGAGCCATCAATGGCGTCGAAGGAAGAGCGTGAGTGTGAGACAGTGCTGTCGGAGGGGATGATCCAGGGAACGGCGGGGAATGCTCTCCTTCAAGGCCCTCTCCTTCCATGAGACAGGGATCTTGGATCGTGGCGCACAGTCCATGGCGATTAGCTCCGTCACTCGAGGTGGTCGTCCATCCAGTAACCGTATCGCTTCCATCCGAAGGGAGATCGTTTAACGATCCATAGGCACCCTGTCCAACGAGGATCTACATGAGTTGTCCGAATCGCGAAGAGAACAAGATGGAGGAAAGAAGCTTACCTTTTCGAATCTGTTACTCCAATCGTCCATGGTGTTTGTGCGCTCGTATCCAAGGTCAGCGAGGTTTTCGTGCTTCAGGTCGGCGCCACTACGAGCCGGCGGCAAGGTCTTGTCGTCGAATGATAGTGTCGCAGAGGGGTTGGGTGTTGCAGAGCTGGTATCCCACCAGAATTGATCTCCAGTCGGTGATGACCGATGGAAGGTGGATGGTGGAGAGGGTTCGATATCGCCCTGACCCCAGCCGGATGGCTTGGGGTATCCCGAAGAACGTGGGGAGGTCGAAGGGGATGGCGGACAAAGCTCAGCGATGGACGGCGTCGCCGAGCTAGGAGAAGTGAACATCTGAGTGAGAGGAACGCTTGAGATCCCTTTGATAGGGGCGCTCCTTGCAGTCGAATCATAGTGCTGAGTCGGAGAAGGCAGTTGGTGCTGTGAATGGTGATGTGGACCGGCGAAACTCGATGACGCAGATAGGGGCTGGGGACGTGGATCTGGGGTATCGCCAAGGTTAGAAGTAGATGAGGACGGTGGCTGACCGGAAATTGGGGATGACGTTGGAGTATATGAACCCAGCGATGTCGGACTTGGGCCTGGAGAACTCGTATTCACCTCCTTCCCCAGCACAGAGTTTCGCCTCTTGTTGCCTTCCTCCCATTCTTCGACAGCATTGGCGAGCTCGGCTCCAGATTTTCCTTCGACGAGAAGAGTGGCGATCTTGTCGCAGCGAGAGTTGCGTTGTTCGAGGATGGTGCGTGCTTTGGCGGCCCCTACGCTCTCCTTCTCCTTCCCTTTACCCTTCCCTTTGGACTTGCTCCCGCTGGTGCCCTCAGGATGCTCCTTGGTATCGACAGGAGAAGATGAAGAAGACTCGGGGTCGTCGGGTGGATCCTTGGCATTGCTGACGGTGTTACGGCGTCCGGACGACGACGAAGCTCCACCAGTCTCCCTAGTCTTCGGCTTGCCTCCCATCTCATACGGGCCAGGCCGGAACCGCCAGTCCGGGTACTTTTCTCGATGCTCCTGCGCAGCCTCCTGCGCCTTGGCCTCCCACTCTGCGCGTTCCTCTGGGGGCAGTGTCTTCCAGTACCTCCCTACAAAACAAAGACGGGCGTCAATCAATCAACACGTGTACAACGCATGGCGGGGTACGCACCAATGATCTTTGAGAGGTTGCTGTGGTTGCCCTCGACGCGATCTGGGATGTGCTGGCTGCGGATAAAGGCGGAGCGGAAGAGGATGAAAGCGTTGGGGGGTCTCGGGATGCGGCCTTCGTCGCGTCTGGGACGTGGTTTGGACCTCGAGCGGCGAGCAGAAGCGGCTTTGGCGCCCGCCGACGACGATGAGGACGACGAGGCGACGGGCATGTGGTGGGTGGGGTCGGCGGGGTCAGGCTTGGACAAGGGTTGAGCTACACCTGGTATTGGAGCGGTGTTGGCGGTGGGGGACGTGATGTTGATTGCTGACGGTGTTACCTGGGAAGATAACGCAAGGTGGCCGTCATACGCGTGGTAGGACGTCTTGTTTAAGCTATTCGGGTTGTCAACGAGCGGCGGCATGTCTTTGAGCGTGTTCAGAGCAGGTGTGGGTGGTACTAGAAGCTGAGGCTGTGCGCACCATCGTCCTCGACACCGTCGTCGTTGACAACAACAGCTGGTGCAGCTGGCTGCATCTATCTAAACCCTCTAAATAAAAAAGAAAGGGTGATTAGAAGTCGTTTACGACACTCGCTTTCGCCCGATTCCCAAGAACAAGAAAGAACTCACTCGTGGTAACAGGAGAATCGAATTACTGGATCAGAGGGTACGCAGAGTCAGCAACATCGTGCTTTATGATGAACAGCTCTTTTCCCACAAAGCCAGGGATAGGTAAAGACGTCTGTATGTACCCTCTTCGATATCATACACGTCCTTCCTCATGTCCGTACGACAATAAGAAACAAATCACTTCCAACACGATGCCATCGCTGATATCCCGCTAAGACCCAAAACAACGGATCGAAGCCCCTTTATGGGAATATGGGCCCGGTACTTTGGATCCGCCCGATGTCGACAAGATTCGTGACGTGTGACCGTCACCTGACGGAGGCTTGCCTTTTCGAGCCTTGAGTTTGTCTTGGATGGATTGGCGACTCGACTGCCCTCCTTGGGATCATCGCGAATAGGGCCCCTTCCTGTCTTCTCCACTCACAAAATCGTGCACGTCGCGGAACTGCGGGGACTCTATAGGTACTTTGGGATTCAAAAACACCCCATTCCGCGCTCCCTCGGAAGAAAGACGCCACTCCGTACGGACTACACTCAAATCCTTCAACCTTCACGGTGAAATACGTCTTCTCAAAAGCGAAATTTCTCCTCCCATTCCATGAGGCGCCTGCATTCAATGTAATCAATGACTTAATTTTCCCATAATCTCTCTCTTTACGACATTTCATGGACTCTGTCACCTAGGTCGCTGACCAAAAGTCATACTGGGTTTTCTTTATCCACCTTGAGGAGAAGCTCTGGACGCCCTGATGCAAACGGAAAAGAACCATCTTAATCTCCGATCTGAACGAATCACCCCAGCCTTGTACCTCGCCGTCGGTCCACATACCTGGGTAAGATATGCTTTGAATTGATTCATACCCGTCCTCGAACATCGATTACATATCGCCTATTGCTGTGCAACACGTTCCCTTCGTCAGACCCAAACTGGGACAACGGTCGACAACTAACCATCTACGCAACTCAGCATCGCGCGCCCTCTTGTGATCACTTTTACCCTAAACCGAACGTCCAAACGGCACATTGACCTGACTCGTCTCGTTCCCTTCTTTCTTTCTGGAATACCCTAACTAGGAATTCGACATGCACACCATGCATAAGGGGCTTGACCTACTTGTCCAAAAATACCCCAAAGCGCACTTTGAAGTTTGAAGTGACCCGCAATGAAATCAACGACCTACCTCCATCGTCTCACATTTTCTCCGGGAAGCTGTATATATACGTTACTATTCGCGTTATGTACGCACTCTCCAAACGTCCAAAGAACAATAAGAAAGCATAAACACAATAAGACCTTCGTACGTACATCGAGCCTCAAGGCTCGCCTAAACCTCCCATCCCATCGCATCCCGTCGTACCCAATGAACCCGTTCGAACCCAGAACCCAACCGCGCTTCCCAGAAGACCCACTGGAAGAAAATTAAAAAACGAACGAGTTGTGGCTTATCGATAATCATAATTAAAACGGTACACCCCCCACCACCACAATCTGATTCTTGGTTATTTCAAGAGTCTGAGCCACCCGCCACTGCCATCCAAAAATATGAGCGTGTGTCCGACCCCCATCCGCTTAGGGCAGTCGGTATACCCTTTCGTTCTCCTCGTTCTGATTTTCGGGCAATGGGGCTGTGTGTGCTAGAGTTATATTTAGGTAAAAAAAGGGACACTGACGACGTACGTTATGTACCTGTGACTTCAGAATTTCGCATTGAGCAACGAGGCTGTCCACCCACGGCAAGTGTTTGCCACCCGTGTACTCGAACGTCGACCTTGAGATTCTAGACCCCTCCCAATCCCCAGTATGTATGACGTGAGTGCTGAAGTCGAAACTCCCCAACACATACCGCATCAAGACAAACCGTCCAGTCGCGGCGTAACCTCACCTTCCCAACCAAACTTACCTCGGCCCACCGGAAAAAGGCCTCGAATTCGGGTTATGCTCGCACGCAACAACAAAAAAGCGCGGTAGAAGACTGTCAAACTTTGAACACCCGTCAAACCTTCATAAGTAAGTAGGTGAATTCCTCAATTGAAAGAAACAGGGAGTCAGCCGGTACATAAATATCAATTGAGTTGAAAGGAGAGTGGAGGATGGAGGATGGAGGATGGAAGATGGAAGATACCGTAGGCAAGTTCCATCGGAATTTTTGGTCCCGTCAGTTATTCAATGGACCTGTCGAATGAGCCTCTCCTGTGACGTTTCCATGCCTTCCCCTAACGCCCAATCGAGTAAATCGAGTAAGTAAGTGGGTATGCTGGTAGCATTTAGAGTGGGTATACGCGCAGCACAGAGCACCCTTTGAGGATCTTTGAGTCTTTGTCTTCGGAAAGGACCCAAATAAATCATCTCCGTGTGTACACTTAAGTCTGCGAAGGTAAGATGGCTTTGTACTCATTGATGGCCGCTCTATTCTGATAGCTATATCCCTAGGACAAAGGGAACGCGGCAAGGTATACGGGAGCGCTGAGCGCCTTGCCTAAATCACCCCTGACCCACATCCACACCGACGTTCGTCTCAACTCTGAACTCTCCCATCCCCACGGAGTATTGTACTCGGCTCCTCATTCCACGGACCTCGAGGCAGGAACTTACTCAAAGGGCATTCCTCCATGGTATGCGGACGCCTTACGGACTGACCGGGTAGAGGGTAACCGAGTGGACCGGTGGACGTGCTAAGCGCCTGTCTTGGCGAATAGGCGCTCGAGAGGGCAGCGGGCGGCGCTGCGCTACACGGAGAGGTTTAGCAAGAGGATAGCTAGCGAAGTGCCTTTCTGATCCAGGAAGATTTTTTGAAAGAGAACTAATTAGATATCAGAGCGGTATTGAACGGAGGACGTGACGTTCGGCGACAGTGTCGGGCTCGTCCATTCTGGCTGTCAGCAACTTCATCTCGTACTATTTCCCCTCTTCGCAGCCGCTAGATTTACCGACCAGCTCACCGCCAGTAACCCTTATTGCAGAGATATCTGGTTCCACTGTCATATCTCGATCATGCTAGCGTCGTATAAAGTCGATTTCCCCCCTCGCCCTCCCAACAAACTCGGATATGGTCCTCTATAAACCTGACATTAACTTCATTAGCAGTGGACGTCAGACTCGCTAGATTGTCGAACTGGTGGCCGATGCCCAAAAAACGACCAAGGTATGCATCCACTCCAGATTCTCATGTTCAAGGACATCTCGTCGGTCGTCGGTCGTCGGTCGAAAGAGACCTACTCCGCCCTCTGCTAGCTTGCGATGAGAAGTGGGTATGTGGGCTTCTGAGACGTCGCTTAACCACTAGTGGACACCTCGGCTAACCCTCGAACCAATCGCCAAGGGCAGTTCGAATCAGAGTACTTAGTGCAGTGAATTTATCCACGACAAACGAAGGTGCGTGCTTAGCGAGCAATGAACTGTGGGCGATTGGTTGAGAGCTGCCACACCCAGACCGCTTGAATTCGCGTCCCGACTCTAGTGTGGTGTCACCGACCTTCAGGATGTCGTTCCAACGGTTGCACGGACGGAGCGTCCAAGGCCAGAGAGAGTTCTAGTCGGTGGAGCCATTTGAGTGACTCGTGAGAAAGGCGTCGTTCTCGGGACTCAAGGGCAGTCTGCGGGGTTAACATTCATCCCCTGGGTGTAGTTGAACCTGAGAGACACTTGATAGAAACAGATGGTTATGAGTGAGCTGAGGCAGTCCTCACCGGAATAGCTCGACCACTAACCATCGTCTGACCAGGACTCCTGTGAGCGTCGCATCTGGTAGAGGCGGCTGAACCATCGAGCGGAGGGCGTGACGAATGCTGCAATCTGTATCTCTTGCCGCAGGGGTATCCCGCCCCGACCTGTATTGGCCGCGCAAGTGAGTATCACGTTAACCTAGACCGCAAACGTGAGGGCCAACAGCAACTTACGGTCAGAAGTAAGAGCGAGAGCATCCCACTTCATCCTGGAGAACCTCCGTACAGTACCATGAGTTCACAACTACATCCCGGAACGTCCACTCAAACACTTTTCTAGACCCAGACCCAACCGACCGGATACCCTTCGCAAGACGTGTTGAAATGCCGTTCGAGGGCATTGTGAAGTTCCGCGCTTCCTGCTCATCGACATCCTGAAGTGTGTAGTTGCCATGAGCATTCGCATCGAGAACAAGAGGCTACGTACGAGAATTCGACCACCACTCCCCTACCTTTATACCCTGGGCTTGGGCGCCCATCTACTTTCTTTCTCTCTCTCTCTCTCTATTTGTGTGACCGTACTGACTGGAAGGAACGGGTTCAGAGTCGCTGCACTGGCTCCCAGCGAACGCCCACGACGATCGATGCAAGATTGAGAGTTCGAAGTTCGACAAATAACTTCTGAGAACGCATGGTAGGCAGTGGTAAACTGAATGGCTCACTGGATGGACCTCAGTCGCGCTTCTTTTGGGCATCGAGCTGCGCGTCGACACTTCACGGTTGCGCTCATTGTACAAGGCCACTCCGATTGAGCCGGGCTCACGTGTGCTACGCGATCACATGGTCTGGCGCGAGTCGTGGGAAATGAGAGTATATACTATCGTAGTGGAGTGGGATTGGGAATATTAGTAGGGTTGCACAAAAAAGCGGGATGATGCCGCAAAAGAGTGGGATTGATATTTGACTGCGGCTCCCTTCAAAGTTAGTGTATGAAGACGCGCCAGGGGCGCAAAATACAATATATCCCCCTCCCTAACCTCTAACCACTAACCCCAACACTAAAGCCCAACCCTAAACCATACTCTAACCCCAACCCCTATCCTAACGGCTGCGCTACGCGCAGCGACTAACGCCCACTCTAACAGCCGCCCTTCGGGCGGCGGGGCTATCGAGCGAAAGGAGGCGCGAGCAAAAGAGTGGGATGATGGCGTGATCCCACTCTTTTGTCTCAATCCCACTCTTTTGCTCGCCATCCCACTTTCTTTCCCAATCCCACTCCACTAAAGTTGTCATCGCCCGGGAAATGACCTAAGAACTGCGCCCGATGCGTGCCGTGACTCTTGTCTTTGAACCACAACCATCTCTGATACTGAATCTCATTTCAAACTCCTTTTACTTTGCTTCTAAAAGCTAATCGCCATGGACACTGAATTTTCGACGTGCTCAGTTGGGAAATTCTTCGAAAACTATCTTCCCACCGAGGGAGTCCCGTTCGACGCTGTTGTTGACGATCTCAAAAAGCAAAAGACACTCGTTTCTCGAGGCCGGTCTTTGGAACAGAAACCGTCCTCAACCATACAAAGGCCACTGTTCCCTCAGACTTTCAAGTCTCTTAAAAACCTTGTTCCGGTCTCGCACCACCACCACCACCCGCGTCATGAAGACGCTACAAACGATCGGCAATGCTGTTCGTAAAGCCCTCGGGAGGGCCACAGACTGCGAGATCACCGACTACTCCCTCAGAGAAGAGCATAACATCCGAGAGAATGCTCAAGGATGCCTAACCTCGAACCTGGAGGACCCATTACACCCCACCGAAGTTGTGGTTCCGATGACAGTCATCGCAGACGATGGTAATTATACATCATCTGAAGAGGTGCGTGTTTTCGCTGTCCTTGCTTGGGACTACTTATTAGAAACTGACATCCATTAGGCAAAGGCAAAACTACTGTCCCGTGCCACTGAAATCATGAATGAAGACGCTCGTCGAAGGTTTTGTTTCGGGGTATGTAGCTTCTCCTCGAAAATTAAGATCCATCGACTGATTCAGTTCCAGGTCACTTGTGAACGGTCTGAAGTCACTCTGTGGCGCTTCTCCAGGTCCATCGTCGTCAAGTCCACGCCTTTTGACATGACCGAGGTGCGCTTCCCATTTTGCGTGTGTTTTCGAGATTTGGACTGATATACCTCGCACTTCAGCAACCAGACCTCTTGCTTCGCCTGTTCGTCGCTCTGTTCACAGCCCCGCCACACCAGCTAGGATACGACCCTCTGGTTACCCTGCTCCCCGATCGCAACTACGTCTATCATATTCCATCTGATAGTTCTACAACCCCGCTCTACTTTAAAACGGTCCATCCGATCTGGGACGTCAAACCGACCTGCCTTGCTGGACGCCGCACGCGTATTTGGGAAGTCGAGCAGGTCCTCTCACCGTCTGATCCGACTCGAGTTCCGGGCACACCTAACCGGGCTTTGAAGGACGTCTTCCTGAATTCGGACACGAGGACCGAATCCGATATCCAGGAAGAACTGTTCGCTGATATCGCGAAGTTTGGCCGGCACAAGAACTGGCGTTCTCGACCTCTGCTGAAGGATTTCGCCCAAACCGACCTGGAAGGGCTGGCGGAGGCATTGGAAGGGGACCTATTTAAGCAATACTTTTCGCGCATAGTCGCGAAGCACGTCGGGGAAGGCGATGTGCCTGCCCTGGTCAATCCAACCGCGCCTCCGCCGAAGCGCCGTTGTCTCTTCCTGTACGAGCATGTTTGCACGGCACTGAACAACATCCCTACACTTGGTGAAGCGGTCGACATCCTCAAATCGACTCTCATCCGTACGCCATCTGTTGTGTCATCTTCCCCTTACCCGTGGTCCTAATGCCATTTCCTTAGCTTTGCGTCTGATGTTCTGCGCGGGCTGGGTTCATCGAGACGTCAGTCCGGGCAATATCCTAGCGTATCGAGAATCGCCTACCCTCAACATGGACAGTCAAATTATCGGACCTCGAGCATGCGAAACGGTTCCCTGACCCTTTATCCAGTGGAGGTGATCAAACCACGGTAAGCCACCATTTTCAGCGTCGTCGAACTCATGACTGATTTTTGATGATCTCAGGGAACCCCTTATTTTATCGCGTACGAAGTCCTTGACGGACGACACCTCTTCCCCACGGGGATTGACCTTGCTCGCATTGACCCCAGCCAACTAGCCCCCCCTTATCCCATCGTACCTGTCCTTCACAGCTACCAGCACGACTTGGAGTCGATCTGGTGGATACTTCTCTGGCTTACGACCATGCGGGTCAATCAAAACCTGCCGAGACGGTTCGGGCGACTGTACTTCCAGCACAGCGTCGATCAGCAGTACGCCCGAGCGAGGGCCCTTCTACTCATGGACACGCTCTCATACAAGCCCGACATGAAGGAATCCCTCCCTCCAGCCTTACGAACTTCGTCGTTCTACAATCGCCTGGACATGCTACGCCACAACCTCTACGCTGTATACCTAAACCGCAACAAGGAGGGGAAATTCAGTGACATGGATACTTACTCGTGGATCATCAGTGAGGGAATGCGCAACTTCTTCGATGGTGTCGACGGCTCTAGGCAACAGTGGGGTAATATTGAGCTTATGGTCGACACTCAGCCACGAAGCTTGGGCGTCGGAGCCATCGGCTGCGGCCTCGTAGAAGCGCCCTCGCCCTCCAACCAACCAACCACGGACAATGTGATAAAGACGCGTAACCGTGATGAGTTGGATGAAGACAACCGAGTGCTCCAAGAGAATGAGGCCTATTCGAGCGCGGGAGACAGCCATGTTCACGCAGAGGAGTGGAGCGACGACTAGATCGATGACAAGGAATACTGGGCCGATGACGAGATCTATGACCAGACGTCTTCGTGAGGCTGAGCAACAGGGACGAAGTAGCCGATAGCAGCGACAATGGCTTTACATACCTCAAGAAAAGGTCGATTCTGGCTCTGGCCAGGCAGCCCACATTAGGGTTAGCTCTTGCCCGCCATGAGCGGATTGCACTGTACCTTCACCATCTAATACGGTAAGCAAATCTTGTCATGTTGTTTGACTTCTACTTAACCGCCTACCTTTCCCCAGTCATCACCAATCGAATTGAAGGCCGTTTGAACCATCATGTCTTGTTTATCCTCGCTTGGCCTTCGCGCAATTTTCCACTCGTATTCCACCATCAACCTTCAGTTTCGCTGGTCCTTTCCCAGCCCGAATTTAGCCACCGCGAAAGGCAGGAGAAGCGTGATCCCCTCGACTTTGATAGTAGGTGTCCCCTCATGTGAGAATTACGCTCCTTTTCACGAATACTACTCAGGGGAGGCATGTATAGAACCTGCACCTCCACCCAGGCTCCAGCTCGCAATACGCGCCCGTGGTCGATTGGAATTTTTTCAAGCACTGACACCAATTGGTTTGCAGTTGAGTATGTTCCGAGTTCCGAGATCATCCTGTATTTCGAGGTGTCGTTGCCTAGTTATTGGGATAGATATATCGAATGTGCCATCTCTTTAACTTAAGAGGTACCCAGGTAGAATACTTCAGCCCCAATCACTGATTGCAGCGAGTCGAGAAATCAAATCGACCGCGTTCTGCTCTGTTCTTTTTTCGACTCGGGTGCGAAGCACTGGTGAAGGGTACCACCAAAAAAACGAAAAAAAGGCGACCGCATTCCCATCGAGATAACGTTCGATCGATGTATAGTCGAAAGCGTCTTCCGGCATTGAACTATGTAAAAGCTGGATTGTGGTTGAGAATATATCTCCTCTCCCATCTATTACACTGCTCCTATCAGATCTAAAGTCGGCTTGAGTGACAATGCAATTCGCGCACAAATGCCACGGGACAATGATCGATATGGCTTGGCGTGGGTAATATTTTCCGAATCGAAACAACTGGACAATGATCACCAATGCTGCCTAGCGGGACTAAAAAGCGAGGATGGTGAAACGCCTCTTGAACTTCAACCACCACCATCCATTGTTTGAACTGGAGTTAACAGAATACGAAGTATACTCATATCCAAAGCACCCAGAGCGCAACGATGACGCTTTACTCGTTGCCATTTTTGTATGTCCAACTTGGCCACTTGACTCTCCTCTTCTCACTGACGCCTCTAATAGAACACCCCCGGGCAAGAAAAGATCCACCCACTGGAGCGCCCTCGCGAAAATGCTCGTAACTCCACGAACCGCACCAGCTAGGGCAGGGCTCAATGCCACAACCACGCAGCTCCGAGGAGGGATCGCGGAAGTGATGAACTCGGAGATGGTTGGCTGCTCGATTGAAGAGTTCCTCAACCATTACATGCCCAAGTGCAACAAGAAGACTGTCATATCAGTCATAGCAAATCTGAAGAAGGAGAACGTCCTCGTACCACGCGCGAAGTCCAAGAAGAAGAAAGCCACAGTATCTTCGAGTGAAGACGGAAGAAAGGTATATTCCCATATCTTCAACAACTTCCGCCCGCCCGCCATTATCGAAGAGAGTACCGACGCCAACAGCACGGAGAAGCCCAACGAGATAATGGTCTTTGACTCTTTGGCGACAATCGGTGCATCAGTCATCGAGAGTCTGCGCAAAGTGAAAGGTGCCACTGTTAATGGTCATTCCATTCGCATGTGCCCCCATGCTCGTCTCAAATCCCCCATCGAAGGGTCAGATCATCGGATTGACGCAGCGATTACAAGAAACACGAATTTGAACAAGCGACTTTTTGATCACGGACATTGCAGTGCCCTTTGAATTCAAACTAAATCGTTCGCCGGGCGAGGTTTATCAGGTATGAGAGCACTGTGCTTGTCTGACTATACCACTGATGAGCGCTTTCAGAACCGCATTCAGCTCGCGTCTCACGTCAACCACACCATGACCGATGATGCACGCCGAAAATGGACCTACGGTGTAGGTCCTGTGTTCACACTACCACAGTAGACTGGTGCTCATTGTTCTCTCTTCTAGATTACCATTGAGAACGATCGGGTTTCTCTTTGGTATTTCTCTCGCTCTCATTCTGCCAAATCCAGATCCTTCAGCATGGTCGAGGTACGTCCAACGTTGGTCAGACCTTTGACATTAATACGTATCTAACCCGTCTTTCAGCACCCCGACATCTTTGTCCAGATTCTGGTTTCGTTATTTTCCGCCACAGACGAGCAACTCGGATTTGACCCGCTTGTTACGTTGGTGGGAGACAAAGACTACGTCTACGAGTTCCCACCCAGTGGCGAGAGGACGGATAGCAACTTCTATCTCACCCTCGGGTCTCTCTCCGAATTTCGTGTGCTAAACCTGATTGGGCGCAACACCCGCATCTGGAAGGTCATGCAAGTGGTCTCCGCGAAGGATCGCAGTCGAGTCCCAGGTACGCACGACATGATACTCAAGGATGTCTCCCTTTATCGCAACACGCCAACGGAAGGGGACATCCAGAGAGGTCTATTCCTTGACATCGACACCTTTGGGAAAACGGAATGGCGAAAGCACGAGTTGTTGAAGGACCTATCTGACGAAGGGAAAGCAGCTTTGGCACAGCTACTGGAAGGCGACGGAAAGAAGTACAGGGATTATTTCTCATGCGTTATCGACGAGCACGTTGGGGGCCCCAGCCTTCCTGTTGCAAGTGAGGCATGGGACGCCCCTGACACGTTCAAGAATGTCGAGCCCGTGGAAGAGAATGCCACCGAGTCGATTCGCAAAGACCAGGCCACAAAGGGTTTAGATGATGATGATAGCGAATCCGACTGGGACGATGAGTTCGAAGACGACACGGACTGTGGAGGCAGTGTTGAAAGCACAGATGGAGATGAACTTTCTCGTCCCTTCGAGCCGAAACAGCAGTGCAGGCTAATCTACAAGGATGTATGCACCCCACTTCACAACGTCCATACCATGGGAGAAGCGATTGACATTCTAGAGCAATGTCTTTTGGGTAAGTAGCGTCCAAGTTATCTCCGAGACTCTCGGTAACCACCGTTGATTGATATTCGATTGCAGTTCTTACCCTGATGTTCTGCGCGGGATGGGTTCATCGAGACATCAGCACCGGGAACATACTCGCCCATCGCTCCGCACCAGGCGCACCATGGCGGGTCAAGCTCTCCGATCTTGAGTACGCCAAACGGTTTCCGGGTAATCCTACAGCAACTGCAAGTACGGAGGTCAAAACGGTAATGTCCCATGGTTTTGGTCGCATACTATATTTGAAACTTATCACTTCTCATTTCAGGGAACCATGTATTTCATGGCCACTGAAGTCCAGCAATCGCAGGTTCTTCTTCCCGGGGTCCCCGGTACAAACGGAGCAGTCATCGCGCACAACTACCAACATGACCTGGAGTCCATCTGGTGGATCGTACTCTGGCTTGTGACAATGCGGGTCAAACAGAACCTTCCACGTATCTTTGGAAAAGAAACATTCCAGCAGACCATGACAATCACATACATCAAGGCGCGTATATGGTGCCTGACAAACCCGTTAACGGGTGACAAGAACCTGCTCGCTTCCCTGCCACGGACCTTGCGATCAACCATTCTTCATGGGCTCGAAAATGTACGTGAAGACCTCCAGCACGAGTATACCAAGCGGAACCAGAGCCAAGAGCAGAATGTAGTGGGGTCTTACTCACGTATTTTGGGAATAACTTTCCCAAGTTTCTTCTCCGAGCTACGAGCAAGGCGAGACGAATGGGAGTTTGTCAGGCTGAAAGTATCGAAGAAAGTCCAGAAGGAGGAGTTGAAAGATGCCTCCAACAAGTTGAAGCGTAAGGCAGAGAAGATGGAAGCAGCTGGCAATGACGACACGGACATGATCACCGACAGTATGGCGCAGAGCAGCAACATTGTAGGAGACTTGCGACAATATGCGCTCTTGCCTTCAACCCGCCACCATGTCCAAAGCAAGAGTGTCTCTGGCAACAGACCCACAGGGCCTATAACTAGGTCAATGACAAAGAGCTCAACTGATGAGGCACCGAGGCCTTCGAAGCGTCCTCGTCGCCGATGAGTCCTAGTACAGTGCCGATGCTTACCTACTCCATTGAATAGGCCCGGGGCCCACAAAGTTTCATCAGGTTACTACAATGTATCTCTCTCGCTAGACGACTTGCCTAGTACTATTGCATAGTTACCGTTTCAGGGCCAATCGATACATATGTTAACAGTAATATACACATTTCAAACTTCAAAATTTATGAGCATGCGAGGTCACGTCTATACTCAGTTCGACATGGATATCTGAACGGGATGATGTCTTCAATCTTCAATACCTGTGTTCCCACTTTAGGGCTCTGCGTCGAGACAGGCTATTCACTGTACGCCATTCAAGGTAAAAGCATATCATATAACTAAGGTATACTAATGACAGTGCTCCTAATCAGCGATGTTGCGAACTCTTAGCCTGTTCAAGTTGACGCGCTACTGACCTCGTCATCGGACGAGCATTCCTGGTCATCGACCTAGTGACTGGACCACCCTGACGTACGGCTACTGCGGGCACATGACGGCGGGTTCTCTTGGAGGGTAACTCATTGCGATCAGCCTCGGCCTTGCGTTTCTTCGGTTGAACGGGGTGGTCTGGCGGTTGAGACAATTGTTGCTGGCGTCTCGCCTCCTGCTTTTTCCTTCGTCTCTCGCGGCGTTCACTCTCGACGATGAGGGCAATTGCTCCCCACTCATCACGAGAAGGCTCAATACTGGCAAGGAACCTGGGAAATGCTTTGGATATAATCCAGGAGTAGCTCCCGATGTCGCTTTGTCTATTATCCCCATTCCGCGCGATGTATTGGTGATGGAGATCTTGCCGCAGAGTGTCAAGGGCGTTGAGAAAGGCCGAGGAGCGCAATGACTGGGGAAGGGACCTGAGAAGATCACCGGCGCGGGTGAGCGGGTACGTCAAGACGTAGTGTCGCGCCTTGGCATAGGGCCCATTGACATGTTGCTGGAACATCTCGCTGAACGTGCGAGGAAGCTTTTCTTTAACCCTTGTCCCCACTAGCCAGAGGATAATCCACCAGATTGACTCCAGGTCGTGCTGGTAGTTGTGGATGACCAAGGATTCCGGGTCTATAGGGAATCGCTCCCCCGTTGGAGTGTATTTGGGGAGGAGATGCCGCGAGTGGAGTAGCTCGTAGGCCATGAAATGAGGCGTACCCTAATAAAACCTCTGGTGTAAGTTATACGGTTTGAATATCGAGTCGATGAAACCCACCGTCAATTGTTCTGAAACAGTCACGACCCCCGATGCTGGGAACCTCCTCGCAAACTCAAGATCGGAGATCTTGGCGTGCCAAGGGGAGTTAAGCGTTGCGCGAAAGGCGAGGATGTTGCCGGGGCTTAGGTCGCGATGTACCCACCCTGCACAAAACATGAGACAGAGCCCTACCGAACGAGGTGAATAAGTATTCAACATGCGTCAAATTCAAGGGCACGTACCAAGGAGAGTCTGCTTGACGATATCAATGGCCTCCCCGAGAGTAGGAATGTCATGCAGCGCAGTGCAGACATTTTCGTAAACGAGGCGTACTCGACGATGACGATCGGTGCCTTGATCCATGTTGGAGATAGGGTCGATCAGGGAGACATGCTTCGAAACAATGCATGAGAAGAACTGCTTGAAATTATCACCCTTCAAAGCCTCCCCGAGAGCGTGCAGGTCGTCGTTGTTGGCGTCCTTCAGCAACGGATGGGACCGCCAATTCTTGCTTCGCGCAAAGTCCGTGATATCTCCGAACAGCCTGTCTTGTACGTCCGATTCGACGGGTGCGAGAGCATCGATGGACGAATCCTTCAAAACCATGGTCGACGTCCCCAAGACTCTCTGTGGATCTGAGGCAGAGGTCACCTGCTCGACTTTCCATACTCGGGACTGACGCTCGCAGAGGTGTGCGGATTGGCGGTCGCAGATGACCTCCAACGTTCTGTAGAACAAAGGGAAGGTCCTGTCGCCATCGGGAGGGAACTGATACACGAAGCTCCTGTCTGGGAGGAGGGTTACGAGCGGATCGTATCCCAACTGCTCGTTTGAAGAGCAGAACAACGAGACGAGGAGCTGGACGAGGAGATCTGCGTGCTACGATAAAAAGGTCTTCAGTACCCAGTGGCAGAATAACGGACTTGGGGCTCACCTGTTGCATATCAAACGGCTTAGACTTGACGGCCACGGCCCTGGACAGGTACCACACTGACAGGTTTTGATTTTCGATCGTGACCTGCAGGGAAATCAGCATCATGAAACGGTAGGGGTGCGATCCGACATACCGCGTATGAGAATTCTCGCCGAGCATCGCGGTTAAGAATCATTGCGGCGTGAGTCATGATTTTGGTTTCCTGAAGAATGGGGTGCGTTAGGATCACAATAATGTTCGAAATGAACGTCACGTACCTTTGAAGTTGTGATCTCAATCGGGACCACGACATCCGTCAGATGGGCTGGAGAACGAAGATTCGTTGTAAGATAGGCACTGGCGCCATTCTCGCTGCTTTCATCCACCCGAATGCCCCGTTCGTTGGTTGGCGCTTTGGCCTTCCCCAGGGCTTTGCGAACCGCGTTCCCGACGGTCTGAAAGGACTTTAGAATACGATTGGGTGCTGCAGACCCAGTTTGGAACAAGTTGTTGAGCGTCTTAAAGACATGGGAAAATGCGGGCCTATTCTTCGATGACGAAGAACGACTGCGCTTTTGCTGGGACGGGCTACGATCGACGAGAGTCTTTTGTTTCTTCAGGTCTGCAATAACAGCGTCGAAGTGCATCCTGTGGTCTGGGAGATAAGATTTGAAAAAATCATCGACCTGACACGTCGAAAATTCGCTGGACATTGTGACAGAAAATCTAATAGAAGAGGTTTCGACGCAGATAGATTCGGAGATGGTGGTGGTTAGAAGTCAAGCTGTGGCCGCGGTCGCGCCAGCCACGGCGGACATCAGATAACTGCAACCGAACTTTCCCACAGTCCACCATGTGATCGCGAACCACACGAAGTTCCAAGTTCGAGCCACGAAGGAGCCTCGATCGACTCGTTATTGTTCACCGATGGGAGTCCATTATTCGACAATACCGATATACACAGCAGGTACGACCAACTGACTATTCAAACTACAGTCACCGCAACGCCCACCGACGCGGCGCTACACATCGACCCACATGCGTTAAACCGAATCCATTCACATCAGTTAGGTCAATAATAAGTAATACGCAGGACTCCAATAGACTCTCTCTAAGTTTCTAGAAACCAGTAGAGTTTGAATTCACGACTTGGGTTTGCGAATCCTTTGGTTTCCAACGCGAATGAACCGGCCCTAAAGTGAACACAGCCACCAGACCCTAAGGGACGCGAATTCAGACTGTCCGGCGTATTCCAAGTGAGATTCTAAGCCAAGTTAGAGTTGTAAACAGGTGAAGGTCATCGCCTTTTATATAGTTAAGCAGCGAATTCAAATGGCACATGAGGAGAAATCGTAATTAAGGGGAAATTGTAAACATGTGCTAGAATCCGGGGTGGCGATTCGTATCCTTGCATATCGCCTTCTGTGGGGAAACCAGCAAAATGGGAGTGATAATATTGGCGTAAGGGTCATAGATAAACCCTCCCACCCGAAGAGAGTTGACAGGATATAAACCTATGAAACTGTCTCGGTGAAGATTGGGTAGCGCGGACAGCTCCGTCACCGATTCGTGCACTTCCTTGACCCATTTCAACAGCTGGGACGCAATGAAATACGCCCAAGTAATGATAAAACCAGGGTCATCGTCGCTCCTCTTGAGAACAAACCGTTTGACGATATCATCAAAAGTGCTCACCAGCTCCGGCGTCTCAATTTCCATCTCCCTGACATACGAGGCAAAGTCCAGACGGAGTGTATTCTTCTCGGCCACTTTCGCATGAGGGGTGATGACCTTTTCTACAAGCTCGAGTCGAAGCGAAGTGGATGTCGCGTACCTACCGAGCTCTACGAGTCTGGGTGCCATCGAACCATTGGACATGAGACTGACAACCGTGATGCACGCTATCTCTCTTCGAGGAAGGATATATGCGTAATCCACGTGTTCATTCTCGTTCAACTCTTGAATGGCACGGGGACCAGAAGGGCCGTCAAGTCTGATGAGAGTGTGCGCAGGAAGAGTCAACACATGGACTGCGTCGTTCGGGATTGGGGCGGACATCGTCTGAATCAGCGTTGGATGGATAGATGTGGAGGTTGGTGGATGATCCAGCTCGTCGAGATTCCACCTGGCTTATATACGCAGAAGCCACTCAAGCCACAACGCGTCCTTCACGATGAGTCAAAGCGGGGATCAACAGTTTCGGCTCACGGTAGCCATGTCAAAGCCTATGCCACGGGCGTCAGTGGTAGCGCTTGGCCCATCGAGACCTATTGGACTGGCGTTTAAGCAATCATATCATCCTGCCTATCCTTGACAATGCATGTGTATAAACGTCTTCAATGAATCATCTGTCAAACAACCGTATAGAATTGGGCGAGATTAAACAAAGGCTTTCGTACCTCTGCCTTCATTCGTAGCGCGAACGCTTTAAAAACCAGACAATTCAGAGGGAACAACACTTCCAAACCAGGTCCTGAAAGGCGACCGGGATTATAAATGAGAGGTATCGCAGGAGTCAGCCAATCTAATGAGCCTTTTATGAGTGGTGTAGATACGTATCAGTTGCAAGAGTCTATCTGTACGAAGTATGGCAGAAAAACAATATGTACTATGTACGAGATCGCCTATTCGAAGATCCCGTCTGTCGGGAGGAGCTAGTAGCAGTAGCTTTCTGGAGGCGGCGTGTCATGGATCTCGTCGTCGGGCCTGCGTTGCGTTGTTCCCTAGTCATGGACCTTGTTACAGGTCTCGAGCGTTGTTCCAGACGAGTGGTGGAGTTGGACGCTGTGAGTCGTGGTCGCTTTCGAGGCCGGTGAAGCTGCTTCTCTTCATACTGTTCAACCGCCGGGGCCGGGTTAACCGCATTCGGAGCTGCCGCCACCGCCTCAAGCTTTCTCTTCTTGGACAACGCCGCCTGTGGGACAGCCTGCCTGGCCTCCCGTGACTCTGTCTCGACGATAAGCTGGACAGAAGTCCACGCGTCCCTAGATTTTTCGATACCTCGGAAGAACTTGGAAACGCCCTTGCCCATCATCCACGAATAGCTGCCCGGGTCTTCTTGAGCTTTGGCTCTGAATCGCAGCTTGTACAAGCGCCACAGATCAAGCCTAAAAGCATCGAGGCACCGTATGAAGCTTAACGGCTTCCTATGCAGAACTGGTGGGAGGTCCGTTGGAAAATTGGCACTTGAGTCGATAGTATCCAAGCGGGACAGGAGCATTTCACGTGTCCTACCATGCCAATGGTCGTTGCTGTGTTTGAAGTACTTTTGGCTCCATTGACGCGAAAAGCTGGCACGGGTCCTGGCGGTGACGAGCCAGAGGACGATCCACCATATTGATTCGAGATCGTGCTGGAAGCTGTGCAATATTGGCAGGAAAGGTGCAAAATCTTCTGCCGAGAATTCGGGGTCGCTGTCGTGGTCGGTCTCCGCCGTGGGGTCATCACCAGGTACAAACGGCATTCCAGTTTGCAGCTCACAGGCCATAAAAAATGGGGTTCCCTTCGAAAAGAAATAACAGATTAGCTTTTGCCCGAGGACCTGATAAACGTGATCGCTTACAATTGGTTTTTCGTCTTTCTGAATCTCAGGGTCAAGGAATTTTCTCGCGAATTCCAGATCAGATAGCTTCATCTCCCAGAGGCCCTCTGATGCCCGGCGAATAGCGAGAATATTCCCCACACTGATGTCCCGGTGGATCCATCCAGCGCAGTACATCAATCGCATGGCTGATACAAAAGTCAGGCTCTGGTCGGCGAACAAGGACAGCTTACGTACCTGTGACGCACTGCTTGAGGATGTCGATGGCTTCTCCGAGTGTGGGGATGTCCCAAAGTGGCGTGCAGATGAATTCGTAGAGGTAGAAGCACTGGCGCTTCGGTATACAGCTCGATTTGGCGTCGTCGGTGAGAGGAAGAGCGGGATATGGATGAGATTTGCCGACATGACTGGCGACGATACATGAAAAATATTTCTTGAAGTTCTCCCCGTGCAAGGCATCCGCGATCGCGTCCATATCTTCCTCCCGCATGTCCTTCAGAGCTTCTGCCGAACGCCAGTTAGCGCGCTTCCCAAAGTCAGCAATATCAGCGAAGAGCTGTCGCTGAATGTCCACCTCGGGTTTCACAGTGCGCGCATCGAGGGACACGTCTTTGAGGATCCTGTTGGAAGTCCCGGGAACGCGCCTCAGGTCAGTGGGCGAGAAAACCTGCTTCACCTTCCAAATCCGGGCACTGCGTCCGACAGGATCGTCGGAGTGGAACTCGGAAACGAGCTCGACGGTCTGGTAATAGAGAGAGCCTTTTCTTCCCTCATCTGGTGGCAGTTCGTAGACGTAGGTAAGGTCCGGGAGCAGGGTGACCAAGGGATCGTATCCGAGGTTCTCATCTGTGGCTGCCATCAAAGCTATAAAGGTTTGGACGACGAAATTGGTGTTCTGGGCGTCGATTGTCATTAAGGGCGATGGTTTGAGATTGGAAATTGGGACACATACCTCGAGAATGTTGAACGGAGTAGATTTAATGCATAGAGACCGAGAAAGATACCAGACCGACATGTTGGAACCGTTGATGGTGATCTAATGGGCAAACAAGCCATTAGCCCTCGATCGTTTTCTAAGATAAGGTACCTACTGCGTAGAGGTGCCTTCGGCGACCGTCTTTATTCAACACACGGAGAAAGTCTGGGAGGGGATCGGGAATGTTCTAAGAGGTCACCAAGCCATTAGCCGATGTAGATGGACACAACCAAACGTTACTACATACGTGGTCATTACCACTGGTCCCAGTTGTCACGCGTAAAGGGATCACAACGTCGGTCGACCGCAGAGGTACACCCTTGTTGGCGGTCAGGCAAGTGGCTATAGTGGCATCTTCCCCCTCGACACTGCGGAAGGAGTGGTTGTTGATGTTTGCCTCAGCGATCCTCTCCATCGCCTTGCGTACGCTATTCCATGTTGCCTGCAGCGCCTTCAGCACACGATCCGGTTTGGCGTAACCTGAACGAAAGAGCCCATTAAAGAAATTAAAGATATAACCGCTTCGAGATACGGCTGCAGCGGGCTGGGCGAGAGGGCGACCACGAACTGCCAGGACCTTTTGTGCCTGCAGCTCTGCCATAATTGCGTCGAAGTTGCTCAAGCCGTCCTTTGGTAGGTAAGTTTGAATAAATTCTTCAGCAGGGCATGTAACAGGTTCGTATCCCATGGTGGATGTAGGAGCTGAGTCGTGAAAAACAGATATTGAGTAAAACGATGGTGGTGGTGCAAAGACACGCAGAACAGTTTGTTCGTTGTGCTTTGGTCGGAAAGTCGGAAAGGGAGAAAGTTCCCACACAGCCACAATATGATCGCGAGGATTGCGGACGCTATGCGCCGTCTTTGAAGGGCTGTGGCACTTCCCCACAACACCCTTCTCAGCGCCCACCACACAATGCTACATTGATTTCCCCCATATACATAGGGCCAGTCAGGCTGCTTTTCCCCCCAATGTATACTTGATAGTCTGCTAAATTGGGCAGCCATGTAGTCCCATCCTCGTCAGTTCAATTGGACTCTACCCTTTTTGCTATGATGTACCTTGTAACCTTGTAACTAAGCCAATTGGTCAAACGTACTTGCTAGGTATTCCTCATCGTATAATTGGACTCTACCCTTTTCTATTCTGTACCTAGTAACAAGCTAATTGGTCAGATATACCTGCTAGCAACTCCACTCTATAGGAACCCATAAAACACGCCAACGAAGGACCAAATCGGTCATAGACCCCCAATTGAGCAGACCATGTTGAACTCCCTAGAAAAACATACCAATTGGGGAATCAAGTCAGCTGTCCGGTTGCCCAGTTCTCAAAGAAGCACGATCCCATCGGCTCCATTAGGGAGCCGGACCCCCTCACCTCGGTTACATTCCAATCATGCTCCCCAATTGACTCGATGAAATGCCGCGCTGATTTGAATACCCCGATTTAGGGTACGAGCACCGAACGCTCCCCGATTGACTCGATGAGATGGCGCGCTGATTTGAACACCCCAATTAAAGGTACGAGCACCCCATTACCCCTACTTCGCATTAATTGAGCGCCCCAACCGACTCGAGCAAACCGAACGGCAGTAGCCCCGCGCCAATCCGAAGCATTGGGTTTGTGGCGGACGATTGGTCAGTATAAGGTCTCCCCACATGCTCTTCCCTCCAATTCAACTATAAGTCGTCCACAGCCGGACTCTCGACCCAACGACACGCCCTTCCGCGCCTCCATCATTCAACTGCACTAGAACCTATCATGCCTCCCAAGACTTCGGCAAGTGCTCGCATGCTCGATGCCCTCCAATCGTTCTTTCTCGTGATCGCAACCATCCCCCGATGGCGACACCTCGACGAGAAAATAGTTCAACGCAACAAACTTGCCCTCAGAGACTCTACAGTCAGATTAACCTCAACATAACCCTCGATACTTAATTTCACTGACACGTCTGCTTAGAGAACCATCTACTCGTGCGCCAACGCCGAGAACTTGCGCGAGTCGATTCATCTCGGCGATGACCTGTTGCGGTGGATAGGCAAGGATGGCAAAAAATACGACGGGAGGCCTGAAGAAATCCCCCTCGATTTCTTAGAGTCATCTGCTCTAGGTCAACCCGCCCCCCTCCTCGCTCGACTCCGTCCCTCCTGCAAGAAGCTACTCACTGACCAGGCCGTCCTCAAGAAGTATCTCACTCTCGACGGCGGCGACGATAACGAAGCAGCGCCCAGCAAACGAGTCACGATCAAGCAGGAACCCAGCAGCCGTCCTCCCAAGCGCAATATCCCTGAAGACGATGAGTCGAACCACTCCCGTCCAGGCCCCGCGACCAAGAAGTCTCGGGCTGACTCGTCTTCCACTCAGCCTCCCACAGATGCTCGTCCACCAGCACCCCGCGTAAGTCGCCACCCCCATCCAGCGCTTTCTGACTCTTACACTACTTTCTTCCCCCAGAGTACCGCACAAACGAATTCTCAGAAGGGCGACAAGCAATCAACCATTTTCAAACCGACCCCAGTACGTATATACCTCTGCTACTCGATGAATTGGCTAAGTCCGGCAGGTCAAGCTCCCTCAAACCCCTCAAAATTCGGAAACCGCCCAACAGGATCGTGACGAAGACGAGGTTCGTGCGTCCCCACCCCTACTAGTGCCTCAGTTACTGACTCCAACAAAACCCTTCCCTCCATGCACCAGTCCGAAAGCGACGATGAACCACCCCCAGCCACCCATTCTCGTTACCGACCGATCAGATCACCGTGTCGCGACGATCTGCCTTCTACTGACCCGTCTCGGGATCTCGCTGACCTCATTCAGCTACACGTCAATCAGACCGCGAGGATTACCGAGGTCCAAGGTCACTGTCGGGTTCTCATGGATTACTACACCAGGGAAAGAAATTTCTACCGCATGCAGCTCGATGAGCTTAAGAAGACGGTCGACGCGCGAGAATCCGAGGTCGAAGGGTTGAGGCAGCAGGTACAGCAGATTCGTCGGTACCTAGGGTTTGGGCAAGTGCGTCTACAATCCCACCTTGTGAAGCTTTGTAGCCGTTTCTGATCTACATTCTCAAGGACTCGAAACAGCCGCCTCAACACCATTCTCAGCACCCTCCACGTCCCCATTCTGTTCCTGCCGTCGCCCCAGGCCATTCTGCACATTCTGCAGACTTCGTCGTACCCCAGGGACTCTCGATGCATCCGCCGCAACCCACCACTCCGCATATTCCCAACAATACGCCTCCCACTTCGCTCCAGAACATGCACGCCAACACCAACAACTTCGAAAACTCCAACAACTTTGGAAGTTCTATGGAGTTCCAAGGCCAGTTCGCCAATGGCTCCTCTTACCCTCCATTTCCTTCTAGTGCCCCACCCCAGGACAGGATGTTCGACGTGAACAATTTAAACCCACTCGATCCCAATTTCATTCCTCAGAACCAGAATGGTCCTCCTCTCACTCTCCCCCAACAGGAGCCTGGGTCTATGTAGTGTTATTTCTATCCTCATTCTGTTAATCTTCATGGCATCTCCCTTGTCCTTGTAAAATTTTCTTTCCTGAATCTAATGCCTCTTGAACTTCACTTCATCCTCACCAGAATGAACTTGTGCCATTCAGCCGGACGTTGTAAGAATATCATAATGGAATTACAGTGAGCGCCTCTATCTAATGCTTTTCACATGTTTCCGATTGTACCGATGTTTTCCCGCACCAGAGTTCACTTTGCCCCACCCACGCCTTGCCCAAGCCCAAAATTGGTCCGTCCAATTCGACACACCTCTTTCATCGGCCCAATTAGGCCTGGCTCTAGTTGAAGACGTCTAATTGGATTGTACCATATGGCACCCCATGTTGATCGTCCCAATTAGGCCTGGCTCTCGTTGCCCACGCCTAATTGGAGTGTACCATATGGCACCACACGTTGATCGTCCCAATTAGTCCCCGTCGCAGACGTCTAATTGGAGGGTACCATGTGGCACCCCATGTCAATCGTCCCAATTAGTCTACCTTCTCAAGGCAAATTCCCGACTCGACACACCAGGTTCACCGGCCCAATTGGACCTTACAGTCGGTCTAAGCTTCCAATATGCCCATCTAAAAAGTAGTCCATAGATGCTCATGTAACAGTAGTCATTCTTTTCGAATTTCAATAATAAAGAAACCGCACCATGTATATACGACGAAAAGTGAAGCCATTAGGAAATGCCAGAGACAATGAAGACGCCAAATGCAAGAGTGAATGAAAATGAGTCCAAAGCAACTATGTCATCGCCTCCCTCCCCTCCCTCCCCTCCCTCCCCGGCTACGAGTGTTGGGACGAGGCTGTGGTAATTCATCTTCGGCAGCACGCTTCCGAGACGCACCTCGGGTGGTGCGAGGTAGCTTGAGGACGTCATCCGGTAAGGCCTCCAAACCGGAGCCAATGTTCTTGGGAACACGAGAACTGCCTGGAGTCTTACCCGGGGGTCGATTTCTTGAAATCGACCTTGCGGATGCTGGCGTGGACGGAAGGTCATCGCCAAGCTGCTCGTCGCCCGAGGCAGGAGGCGGAGAGAAAGCAAAAGTTGAGTCGGGGGTCGGAGATCGTGTGGACGTAGGAGGCGGTGAGAAAGCAAACCTTGCGGGCGATGGCGGTCGAGTGGACGAAGGGCGTCTAAATTGATTGGGCGTGGGAGGAGGTGGCGAGAAAGTAAAAGATCTGTTTGGGGACTGAGGTGGTGGGGAGAACCCGGAGAAATTGCTATGTCGAGGGGATGAAGGTGGAGGCGAGAATCCACCGAACAACGATTGGACAGTGTGGGGGGAATCAGGAGGGGAAAACCCGCCAAAAAAGGTAGACGAGGAGGGGGAAGGAGCTGGGCTAAACCCCCGAAACCCAAGAGGTGACGATTGAGGCGGTGGGGAAAATCCCTCAAAGCCCCCTGGCGATGAAGGACGATCGGGGGAGAAGCCCTCGAAAGCAGCACCTTTGAGTGAGTGTTAGGATAGAGCTGACGCGGAACTGAAGCGAACGTACCGTCTACAAATGGACCACGATCAACCCTCTTGCCCTTTGCACGCTTCTTGTTCGACTTGTTCTGTTTGACGAGGCCTTGGAGGGCCGTTCCCTCCTCTCTTGCATGAGGAGGTACAAAATCGTACCCGGTCATGTCGTTGCTAGCGTGCGCACCTTTGGGCGACCTGACAGGGGCAAGCTTGAAACGAAAGACTTCATCGACCGAAGGGTCTTCCTGGCGGGCGAAGAGATGTTTGTAGTACATCATCTGGGGACCCACTTTCATATGCGCGGGATCCTTAAACAGACCCCAAAGGTCTTTGTCCAAGCACTCCTCGTCGAAGCACAGCTCATTGTGTTCCTTGAGGGCGGACCAAGGGGCAGATAGCCGGCCACTGTTTGGAGGTACCTCCTCCGGGAGGGCTTTACCCGTGACGTGGATGACTATTGGGGCAATCAATACACCATTAGAATGTCGAAAATGAAGGATACATTACCGTAGTACCGCGTAAAGTAGCTGCGAAAGATGTCTCCCAGCCATGTGTTGAGGTTCACCCTCGGTGGCTGAGCGGAGAGAGGGGGGAGGAGAGGTCTCCCGTGCTCGTCACACTCCAGAGTCACCAACGGTCTCCCTCTCACCCGAGAAACCTTTCCTTTCTCGGTCTCCCCCCTGGCCTCCTCACCATAAACCTCACTCACCCAATCCCTCCACATTTCCACCAAGTCATCAGTCTCATCTGCGTATACCGACGAGAATGCCTCCTTACATCCTCCGAGTTCTTTGTTGAACTCCACCTTCAGGGCCACGGGTTCCTTCTTCAAGTCGCGGAAGCCAACCATCAACCAAACGCGTGCATCCATGTCATTATGTAAAGCGATAGCGAAATCCATACATCGACCACGAATGAAACGATCTGCGCATCTAGATATACAAATGGTAAATAAAATGTCCCACAGCCGACGGTTGAACGTTGAGGATGTACCGGAGCTTCTCCTCGAGGGGCGGTCCCTGCATCCTCCACTCCTCAGCCTTGGTCGTGTATTGGGCACGCTCCGCCTCAGTGAGAGCCCCCCAGAGAAGTGTCGTGGCGGTTTGATATTTGGTGAAAGGAGTGGCCGGCACGCCATCGTCGTCGTCGTCGTCGGCCTCGTCGTCCTCCTCATCGGACTCGGGGGGTAAGAGATCGGTGTGTGTCTCGTTTGGGGGGATGACAAGGTCGGGATCTTCATACAAATCACGAAGGTTGGGGATGTTGGGGTTTGGGCCTGAAGCGAGGACTCTGGCGAGGTACATGATGGCGCGGGCGTTGGAATGCTGGAACACCAGGCGCGCATGCCAACGTATCCCCCAGATGTGTTTGGGGGCGCCCTTGGTGGAGAGCGCGTTTTGATCCAGCCAGTGCGCCACGGCCTACACGAGAAGAGGATCAGAACGCGAAGAGCCGAGATGTAACCACATACGCACCTTGCGCAACGACTTCTCCATCTCCGACGACATGGATTGGTGAACCATCTGCTCGTAGTCCTCCTTTAATGCACGAGCACAGGAGGCCGCCACCTTCTCCTTCGCAGCTTTCTTCTTCTTGTCGCGGTACTGGTCGACGCGTGTTCTGAGATACGCGACCTGCGACGCGGTCAGCTGATATCCCCTAAGGGGTTGGGACGCTTCTTGGGGCATGGCTAAAGGGCTCGTGTCAGTATATGGAACAGTGGGAGGAGGTAGAGGACTTCCTTCGTGGTCACGATGAAGGAGTTTAGGGACGATGGTGGGGAAATTTGCAGGGTGTGCCGTGGTTTTATATAGAAAAAGTGCAATCCAGATTTGGCAAGGCTGTTAATACGCCCGAGATTGCGATCACGATCTACGTCTCGATCTAAATCATCATCCCTACTCCCTAATCTCCTTCTCCCCTAAAATCGACTTCAAAAATGGGCTTTGGGAAGGAGAGACGAGGGTTCACTGACGGCGGAAAGGGCAGGGCAAAGATCATGCACGCGAAGCTAGTTCGCACAAAAACAGGTCGACGTAAAGTTGAATTTGTCCAGGTGCAGTCGAGTCCTTCACCTACCAAGTCAACTCACGGCTCTCCCAGTCCGAAACGAAGGAGGACCATGGACGACAGTGATGATGAGTCGTCCAGAGGTGTCTTTGTTCGATTTGAAGATAACGACCTCAGTGAGACGATGAACAGGACCAAGGTAAGGCGGACCATGTCAGTATGACCAGTCTGACCCAGGTTTTAGGACTCAAATGATTATATGCTCGAGTGGAAACCAAAGGAAAGGCTATATCTGGAGGAGGTGATAAGACGCGAGGCACCCCCTGAACAACTACTCTGTGACTCTTGCGGCTCCGCAGAATCTCCTACCTGGTGGCGATGTCGGGACTGCACTGGGCGCTCTCTATCGTGCTTGACATGCATCAAAGGCCTACATCTGCGCTTGCCTCTCCATAGGGTTGAAGTCCTGATGGACTGCTATTTCTCCCCAGCCTGGCTATGGCACTGTGGCGTCTATGTCAGTCTCTGTGCCAACGGTGTCTGCCAGCCTCAAGAGACAGTCGAAATAGATACCACCAGTGAGGAAGAAGAAGAAAAGGGCGATGAAGATTGGTTGGACAACGACGACTGTACATTCGGCGCTAAGCCTCGAGGACGAACTCTCCGGGGGATGAAGATTGTTACTGTTATCCACAGCAATGGCGTCCACCATCTCCCATTTCTCTTTTGCTCCTGTCTGGATGCACCCGATGCCGAGATACAAATGCTTCGCAATGATTTCTATCCCTCCACCCCCAAAGCCATCCGAACGGTCTTCTCGTTTTCTATGCTGGACGAATATCTTCTGGAGACGTTGGAGTGCTACACATCGACGCACCACTACTACTCAAAGATTCGCCGACTCACAAACGAGCCATTCCCCGACACAGTCCCGGTGTGTAAAACTTTGACTTGCATTTATCTAATGAGCTCTTCTAATCGTATCCATGAACAAGGACCGCACCAGGGAGCTTCGTCGAGTAGGGAGACAGTGGAGGAGGTTGAAAGAGCTCAAGAGGAACGGCTACGGGCATTGCTCTGAGACGCCGGGCAAGGGAGACCTCGCCCTCTGCTGCGCAGCTTGCCCGCAGCCCGGTGTCAACCTTGAGGCTGATTGGGAGCAGGACAAGGATCAATGGAAGTTCACCCGCAGTTTTGTAGCAGACGGGAACTTTACATGCATTCACCGCAAACAGAAGAGGGGCGAACTAGACGTCTACTTGAAGAATGGGGAAGGATACATGGTGGAAACTACAGAATATGGTAGGCATCTAGCGACTGCAAAGGAAACAGCCGAGGTGAGTACATCATCTGTGCTCTGGAATAGCCTTTCTATATTAAACCGACACTACCATCCAGCCTCCAACTTGTCACGAGCATCGAGCCATCGCAGACAAATCCAAAGTTCGCAAGGGCCTTGATGCGACTGGTATAGGTGCTATAGCCTGTATGAGACATGGAGCGTTTGTACCCAGCTCTATCGTCGATTTTCAGAAAGGGGAACGGTCAGTGAGGCATTAACTTTGAGAGACTTGGTCGCTTATCTCGTTTCCCTGCCTTCTAGCCATATTAACATGGACTACGCGCTCTCTGAAGCATTGAAGCACTCGAACATGGATAAAATCCAAAGGGTCATTTTCGTTTACGACATCAATTGCCAGTACAGCAAGAAGGCGCTGGAAAGGCTACGCTCAGGAGACTATCTCGAGCTAAACGAATCCCTTAACTTCATTTTTGGGATTGGTCTGTTTCACGTTCACGGGCATCAGGAAGCATGTCTTCCCAGATATTCCTTGACATTCATTCGTGGTGCTGGTGTTGCAGCAGGAGAGATACTCGAGTCTCTGTGGGCAGTTATCAATGAGGTAGCGCGAAGTACCTCAACCATGACCCTCGCACATCGTCTCGAAGTGTTGGATGCTGTAATTGGGGACAGCAACTGGAAAAAAATGCTTAAATTGGGTGTGTAGCACAGTACTAGACGCTATACCTACTACTCACCTATCTCTCTCAACAGTGTCCGCGATCTGCAAGAATTGGAAGAACGCCCTCAGACAATATGCGAGGGCCAAGGAGGACTTCGATCTCCTCAACGAGACTGCCGCCCCGGCTCAGCGCGTTAAATGGCAACAGCAGCTGGACCAGGCCCAAGAACGGCGTACTACGGACGTATCTGCCATGGACATACTGTCAGCCAAGATCAGCCGTCGTAAGTCCATTCCACAAGGAATCACATAAGTTGCTGAGTGCCTGTTTAAGCGCCCTCCCTCGCCAAAGTCCGAACAAATCTAATGGAGGCTGAGAAACGTTTGGGGACAGACGTCGGGACTACGTCTTGGTTAGCATTTGGTCTTAAGATCCAGGAGTCACAGTAAGCGGCAAAAAACGTCGGTGTATTGCGAGGTGGCTTACCTAGTTCGAAGGATCTATCTGAAATCGCATATTCGAAATCTACCCAAGGAGAAAACCGACCCTCAACTCCTGGAGCTCTCAAGGAGGCGCGAATCTCTCTATAACGACCTCAATAGCCTGTATGAAACGGCTGCCACCCTCTTCCCAGATGCCGATCTTGTCACTCTGAAGTTTGACGCGCCACCCCGCGAGAGAGTCGACCTGGATGACGACGAAGATTCCGACGAAGAGGATAACCCATTTTCCCTGTCTCAAAACGAGATGGAGGACGTCAAGATACCCCTGCCTTCCTCTTTCTCTGAACACAACATGCCGATAACCCTTGCTCGCGCGAGATCCAAAGAGCTGGAACTTCGTATAGCGCAGGCAGACGACATTCTGGAAGCCATCCGTACCGACATCGGTCACAAGTCTTTCCTTTATCGCTCGAATGTGCGACTAGCAGAGGGGAAGAAACAAAAAACCAGGGGATATGCTGCCGTAAATGCGGTAAACCAAAGCCTTCGCGACTCCATTCGTGTCTACAACCAGGCCCGTTGGGCAATACGGCGCTTGGGTGCCGACGACTCCACGATTCGAAGATACCGAGTTCTGAAACCCGAAGATACCAGAGCCGTGACAACGATTTATCAACCCAACATGCGCGGAGAGAGAAATCGACCTCTCTCTTGGATCTGGAACCTCGACGTGAGTGGGGATTCGGCTCGTTCGGAGTACCTTGAGGAATGTAAGTGGGGATCTCTACGCGATTTCGGTCGATTCTGGACTCATTTCCTGCAGTGTACAGGGTAAACTGGCTACGCGCACAGTCTCGAGTTGAACGGTGGAAAGAAGAATACGTGCTTCTTAGTTCTGAAATGCGATGGGTACTGAATTTCTTCGATTTCAAGAGGCGAAAGTGCCTGGAGTGGGTAGATCTGCGCGGAGACTCACCTGGACACATCGCATACGCCCATCGCCAGGCCCAGATGTGGAAACTCCTTTACATGCAGGCCGAGAAGGCTCTCGAGAAAGCTCGAAAGACATCGTCTACTGTACATGTTTGATAGCCAGTTTTCTTGGTCCATTCTCATCTTCGACGGGCACGCAATTATTCGTAGAGTGGAAATCGACGCCTTTATTCACTACTCACTACTACATGGTATGATATACGGTGATGGCTACATGTCAGTGTCGCGATCCAGACCCAATTCCGGTGAAAGTGAACTATATTCCGCAGGACTCCATTTGCGACTGAAGAGGTGCATGTCATCGGGGATGGTACGCTTCATCACAGCCTCGTCAAAAGAGGCGATGGCCACAATGTGTGGGTCGTAACCAGCCGCTGTCCATCCATGGTAAAGAATGCGAGTCATGCCAATGAATAGCGTACCTGGATGAAAGTAAAATTCGTGCCCTAGGTTGGGGCAAACAAAGCGGTTGATCTGGGAAGTTCCCGCAGAGAGAATGGTATCGAAGGCGAGGGGTGGTGTGACATCTTCCCGACGAACACCGGAGTTGTAATTGTTGTATATGCGGAATAAAGAGTGGGGGGATGTCCAGAGGGAGAGGACGTCAGTGACGATGTACTGAGGGGTCACGGATTTGGATGGCTTTGAGAGCTGTTCTAGAGCTTGAAGTCCGGCGAAGAACGATGGTGGGTGGATCACGGAAATGGCTGCCCCAATGATGGCGAAAGTTTCTGAGAGTTCGTCGAGAAGTCTCATTCCCCGATACCTGGACTCAAGGAGGACCGGAGAGGGAGAAAAGAGACCCTATACACTCGTCAGGGTATGAGAAATAGGGGAAAAAAAGGCTGGGAACACACCCTTCCCTCGTCTATGAGATGTGCTGGTGCCAGGCGAGCGCAACCGTTAACCAGATCATCGTGCGTATATAGAAAACCTTGGGGCGATGCGCATGTTTCGTCGATTGACATAAAAGGGGTGGCTGGGTCGATCGATTCCCTCCGTCGGTTAGCCGACAGTTCGATATGCAAGTTGAGTAATTCCTTCAAAAATCAAGGGGTCAGACGCGCATTGAGAAGGGGGAGATTGGAACGCACTAGACGATGTTGCTGAATGGCGGAAGGAAGATGGTATGCGACGGGATGCCCATCGTCATCGTAGTAGATGGCCGGACCGATTTGGATCGTATGGTGGTCGGACCCTCGAGGAAAACGAACAAACCCGCCAGCGGGAGGATTCTGGGTCTGGAAATCGGAGCGGGGAAGAAATCCAGGCTCATATTCCCTGACTTTGAGATGGCGGACATTGACTAGGGGAAGAGGAGAGAAGAAGCTTAACAGTAGGTGACCGAAGGTAGGGCAGGACTGAATACTGGTGCGTGTTGCCTGGTAGATGACCGAGACCAGCTGGTGCAATTCACTCTTGATTTCAATGGGAATTGCAGAGAACGTGGGGATCTTGTGACGAGGGTTTTGAAAGCGATGATAGGCGTGCTGGCAGTAGCGACCATACAGGAGGGCAAGGCGGAGGGACTGGGGGAGAGTGTAGTCAACGCGGAAAGGGCGGACTGGAGTGGGGTGTTTTTTCATGTTGGAGAGTATCAAAGGGGGAGGTTAGGACTCTCGACCGTGAAGTCGGTACGAAATATATCAAACGGGAGCAGTACGAGGGCCCACATATCACATGTGAACATGGTACTTCCATTTTTCTGTTTTCACAAATCTCCCAATTGGACTGTAGCAATTGGGGTTAGATATTTGCCCCACATATTGAACGATCCAATTAGATACGCAGCGGGATCGAGTTGCCCAATGGGACCGTTCAGAACGATGAGGATCGATCACAGCCTAATCGGTCAGTGGAAATTGGTGCGACTCGTATGTAACGGTACAATTATGGCTCACTGATACACACTATGATTGAGGTGCCCAATTGGACGGTACGGTACGAGGTCTACGTGTGAAACGACCTAATTAGATATGTACTATGTTTGAGGTGCCCAATTGGACGGTACAGTACGAGGTCTACGTGTGAAACGACCTAATTAGATACGTACTATGTTTGAGGTGCCCAATTGGACGGTACAGTACGCTGCACGTACGGAGCAGGCCAATTAGACAAGGTTGTTATCATGGTCCCCAATTAGGCCGACGTCATTGATGGTCGGCAATCAACGATCCAATTGGACCAGCGTACTCTAACATAGTTATTTTCAAACTGAAGTGGGGTCTAAATGCTTAAGGGCAGGCGTACTTCTCCTCTGAAGGGAGAAGAATGTCCAACAAATGACGACGATTGATGACACAAAAGTAATAACAGCGGCAGGGGGGAGGGAATTCTGTCTACTGGTCGTCAATGCCTAAGAGAGGAACAGGGGGCAGCTGGTCGGCACGGAAAAGGACATCATGGGTGTGCGAGCGTATGAGAGCGGCCAGGGCCCTGGTGCGAGCAACAGAAGGTGATAACGCTGGATCTTGAAGTACGGTCAACGTGTCCCGAATGAGGCGAGACAACGTCACCCAGGTTTGTCGCATTCGGACTGCACCTGGGGATGTTTCTTTGGATACTGTCCTCCACCCAAGTGTAAACGAGTTTACTCACTGGCTGTAACGCGTGCGTTCTCCTTCCTAAGGTCTTCCAAATGGTCTTGAAGCTGTTTGATGGTCTCCTTGGGGTCGTTCTTCTTGGACCCAAGGCGAGGGGTCTCTGCAAGGAAAACAATGTTAATAAATGCCATGGGATTCATGATCAATACAGACCAGGCAACTGAGATGAGATTTTATCGACGAAATCCCGCGCTTGTAAAAGACCTGGCAAAGAGTCGGGGTATGTAAAAGAATTTCTATAGTGTATGGCATGGGAGACTCACCAATGAATAGGCGACCATCAACACCTGCTCCAGAGCATGACATGGGCTCGTTACCGAGGAGACGAGCCTTCAGGTCCCTGTATTCATGGAGGAAGGGGGCGATGTCCTCCTCGGGTAACTCACAATCACTTTCCAGGAAGTGAGCGATGGCCTCCTCGAGTAGCCCACAGTTTCCAGTAACGCCACGGGCGGTCTTAAAACAGTTGACACAGGACTGGTGATCGAGGAGTGCTTCGCAGGAGTTGTTACACCCCTCCTCCCCGCAGTTAAGGTCGGGATCGTTGTTCCAAATTCGAGACGCCCAGGTGTTCCAAAACTCCAGGCGGCCCTCAAGTTGGAAAGCGAGTTCGTTTCTTCTTTGTCGATGAAGGCGATTGGGATGTTGTCCATGGCTTCAAGAGCAGTTAGGGGAACGGGGAAGGATGGAGAGAAGGAGAAGTGACGGGGTGATGAGGGGAAGGAAGGGGGGACACCAATGAAGTGACCAACCCATGGATTGAAAATGGTGGCCAAACAAACAGTGCATCGGCATTGCGCGCTAGATTGCTTGTCCTGGGAGATGGGTCGTTCGATTGGGCAGTACATGGCCTTTACTGGTGCTATACCAGATGATTGGAGCCGATGTCGTGAGGGTAGGTCCTCCTACGTCATCGGCCCAATTAGGCGCGCGGTAAACCAGGTATGCGATCCTCCCAAGTACCCCTCCTCGAGTATTCAACCCCTTTTTCTAGCATCCTGATGCGCTCGTCAGGCTACTAGTTGCTCTATTCCTTGCAAAGGAAGAGCAACTTGGGTACGACCCCCTCGTGACGCGGCTTTCCGATGGAAGCTACGTGTACGAGCTCCCGCCGGATGGAGAGAGGCCATCATCAGTGTACTACAGGACCGTCGCTCTCCTGTCCCAGTATCACTCCCCCTCGCTCACCGGTCGACGTGCGCGCGTCTGGAGGGTCAAGCAGGTTGTCTCCCCTACAGACCCCAGGAGAGTGCATGGGACGATTGACCGCGTGCTCAAAGATGTTTTGCTTGACGCGACGATGAAGACGGAGGCTGAAATCCAACAGCAGCTATTCCACGACATCGACGCGTTTTCGCAGGACGCCAATTGGCGTAACCGCGACATCCTGAAGGAATTCGACCAAACAACGATAGACTCGATCGCGGAAGCGTTGGAGGGGGGAAACTTTCGACGATATTTCTCCACAATCGTCGATAAACACATCGATTTCCTTTCCTCCACTTTATCCTCACCCTCGTCGCCTGTGACCTCCCCTCGAAACCGGCGATGTCTGTTCGTATACGAGTATTTTTGCACCCCGCTTTACAGTGTTCCAACCTTGGGAGAAGTCTTTGATATTGTCAAGCAATGCCTCACTGGTACGTTCCTCACTCCTCTAGCTAAGATTTCTCGAATTCTGAATCAGTTTTTCGTAGCTCTTCGCTTGATGTTCTGTGCGGGATGGGTTCACCGAGACGTCAGCCCCGGAAATATCCTTGCTGTTCGTCAAACACCCGGATCTCCTTGGAGGGTGCAGCTGTCCGATCTTGAATTTGCTAGGAGATTCCCTGACGTTGGAGCTCCTCCCTCGTCACAAATTACGGTAAGTCCCCAAGATACCATAGTCCCCTTTGTCCACAGCCTCACCACTCTTTTCAGGGAACCCCTCCGTTCATGGCCTGCGAGATACACACATCGAAATATCTCCTGCCTCCACCGACCTTGGAAAGGATTCCACCAGGTGGCAAGGTGCCGGTTGTGCCGCGCCCCAAGGGTCCGGTGGTATACCACTACCAGCACGATCTGGAGTCGCTGTGGTGGATCGTCCTCTGGATCGTAACGATGAGAGTAAGGCAGAACCTGCCTCGAAGGTTCGGCGAGGCCATGTTCCTTTCGGAGGCGGGCATGCGAAATGGTCTGGCCCGGACTACTCTTTTCTCCGAATGTATCGCCGACGACGACATGTTTCTCGAATCACTACCACCATCCCTCGAATCACTGGCCGTCCCCCTCGAAAATCTCCGCTATGATCTCTACGCCGCCTACACCTCACGGAACCAGGAGGACAGGATTAATGACATCGGAACCTATTCGTACATCATGGGCCGTGCTTTCACACTTTTCTTCGATGATGTCGGCAACTCTCGCTCGGAATGGGAGTCGGTAGACCTGGTTGTTGAACACGATGCTCCCTATCCTATTCGAACCAGTACTGTGGTTAGTGGTCCACATCCCCGACCTTCATACCCAGTCCTCACCCTCAACAACCCCTCCCCAAAAAAGCGACAGCTACAAGACACGGACACACAAGGGAGACCTGCGAAGAGGGCGCGTTGTAGTCCGACCGTCAACCGCCCAGTCACTCGGTCGATGACGCGACAAGACGGTCCCATCACGCGGTCTCAGAGCCGTCGTCTGCTGCAGATTCGGCAAGGTAGATGCTAGACCCCTTTCTCTGAATGCGATCCAGATTCTTCCTTCCTTTCATGTGTCTTTTTCACCGTGTGTTTGCATTTCAACTGTACTCTATAGTAGAGTAGTGAGCTCAACCATAAATGAATATTTTCGTCTTCCACCGTTGTTGGTTCTGAGTCGAATGAAACCCACGCTGGCCTGCTGGCATTCTCGGACTAGGGAAGATTCATGGGATAAGAGTAGGTACACTTAGGGACGTAACTCATGAGGCTCGGTCCCCTGACCGAACTTGGTGATAGTGATAGTGATAGTGATTGGCCGCCATGAGGACCCACTTTCTGGATCACCGGTTTCTGGGACTATCAAATACAGGTAGCTATTTCTAACTAACTTTGGTGATGGGATGTGTACGGTCTAACTGTTTGCTTGACCGCGCTTGACGGATCGACAACTCGCGTAGCGTTGATGCATCAGTGTCCGGTTAAGCAGCATGAGGGAATGCAGTATACTTATGTTAATAACGTACCAGTACATCTCTGTATCTGTCACTTTACAGCAAAGCAAGTACATCCATGCCTGCTACTACTAGCGTAGCATCAGGTTTACTATACACTGCTGTGGGCAAACGTCTCTTCTCACGCCTTCACTTGCCGCGGTGGCGGTTCTCCCACTCCTCCGTCGCCCTTGTCGCCCAACCATGGTCATTTCTCTTTCTCAGTCAACAATGCAAACTTCCTTACCCTCTGGGCATTAGGTAGGTGGTTAGTAGCAGGTTGTGCGACGAAGTGCGCTGTAGTAGTTATACCTTCCTTGAACATCGACCAGGAGGCGGCTGGACGGCACCCACTGGTGCCGAAGGCGTGGGATTGATGGGCCCGATTAGCTAAGGAGGCGATTACTGTCCATGCAAACCAATACCTTGTGGCCGACACAGCTTGACTCTTAACCACATTGAAATCCGATCCTTCTTGCTCATAAACAACTCTCAAGTTTAATCCAATCAACGAAGAAGAGATAAGTGAACCTTCTAAGGACTGGACTCAGCATGCCGTCCAGATCCGTTGTTTTTTCGTACGTCTTTCCCTTGTCACGCCAGTGGCATCTGTTCACAATCGCTAATTTCGCCCTGACTATCGAGCAGAACACCACAACGCCCGCCTACTGAGAGGGCCGTTACTTACAGAAGAGAAACCCCGCGGAAGAAGCCACCAAAGACCATGTTCACCGTCAAGACGGTGGACCTTCGCCCTGAAATTGGCGACGCTATGAATTCCGAGATGTTTATGTGCGAAGTCGATTATTTCATGGCACATTATCTTCCCGCATACGACAAAGAAACTGCTCAGGCAGTAATCGCCTTCTTGAAAAGCGAAGGTGTTCTCAAGGCCTGCAGCGATGTTCCCAGTCACTCGGATGTCAGTCCCGAGCTCAACCTTAACAGCCAACCGGAGACAGTCCCCTATTCGCACATCTTTGCCTCGTTTCATGAACCACGCAAGATTAAGCAGGTTCAAGATTCCAGCATCGCCCAGCTCCGAACCCCACCTAAGACTGACGAAAAGGCCGCGTTCGACCCCCTAGGACGCATTTGCAACAAGGTTCGCCAGGGCCTTCGAAATGTCAAGGGGGCCAGACCGAATAATTACTGGGTTCGAATGTGCCCCGACACGCGCCTCCAGTCTGCCTTCAAGCCGTGTAATCATCGTATCGACGCGTGCTTGACTAAAAACAGATTTAAGAAAGACCCACTGCACATCACCGACATCATCATCGCATTCGAATTCAAACTGTCTAGGCTGCTAGACGATATCTTTGGGGTATGCAGTGTAACATGTTCCAATCTTTCCGACGATAACTGAAAGCCTCCATAGAACCGACAACAGCTAGCTTCTCACGTCAATCATACTATGAATGAAGATCCTCGTCGCAAGTTCATGTATGGTGTAAGTTAAAATACCCGCCTTCATTAAGCACTATTAACGACTCATCCGCTATAGATCACCATCGAGAACTCGCAAGTCTCCCTGTGGTACTTCTCTCGATCACATTCCATCAAAGCGCGATCGTTCGATATAATCGAGGTATGTTTCTCACTTTCTGGATGGTTATAGTCCCTCATATTTGGAAATGGCGCAGTACCCCGAATTATTCGTTGAAGTGATGGTGTCATTCTTCTGCGCCACAGACGAGCAGCTTGGATTCGACCCATTGGTTACGTTCGTGCGCGGCCGAGAATACATCTATAAGTTTCCGGCCAACGAGAGCCGGCTTCAACCGGCCTATTACCTCACTGTTGAACCCATCTTTGAGTACCGTTCTCTCTGCCTCACAGGACGATCTACTCGTATCTGGAAGGTTAGACAGGTTGTCTCTACCACTGACCACACTTCAGTTGAGGGAACAAAAGAGATGGTCATGAAAGAGGTCGCGTTAGGCTTGGGAATGCCCACAGAGGCAGATATACAGAAGTCGCTCTTCTCCGATCTCGAAGCGTTCAGAGAGTCTCCCTGGCGCCAGAGCCCACTTGTTTCAGACCTCAAGGAAGGTCTAGTGGCTCGACTCGGACGTGCTTTGGAAGGCGATAACTTCAAGAGGTTTTTTTCCTGTGTCGTCGACCACCATGTTGGAGACTTCAACCGTGCTCTCTGCTCCAAGGCGTGGGCTGCTCCTGACACTTTTCCGACCGCTAAGCCCAAGCAGAATGGTATATACAAGACCGTCCATGGCCCACCAATGGCCTTGACACTTGAAGGAACATTTCCCCCAACTCACCAGTGTTGGCTCTTGTTCGACGATATTTGCACCCCTCTTCACGACATTCCCAAACTGGGGGAAGCCATGGAAATCCTCAGCCAGGCTAGTATGGGTAAGTCTCTCATCTCTCCAACCATCTAAAGTCAGTCACTCAACCTAACCACCTTGGAATTTGAAGGTCTTCTACTCATGTTCTGCGCCGGCTGGGTACATCGAGATGTCAGTGCGGGTAATATTCTTGCCTTCCGTGCCACACCCGACGAACCATGGCAAGCCAAGCTTTCCGACCTTGAATATGCCAAGAAGTTCCCTCACCAAGGACTCACCGGCGCTGAACCCAAGACAGTAAGTTTTCATTTCTACGGAAACATGTATAGACACTGATGATAGTGCACTCACCCAGGGAACACCGTTTTATATGCCCTGCGAGATCCAATGTCAGAAATACATGGTCCTGGCAGCTCAACCGGGCAGACTCGAAGGCGGCGCCAAAGTACCTGCAAACAATCTACGCGGCTTGCCCATCCTCCACACTTTCCAACATGATTTCGAGTCGGCTTGGTGGATCACCCTCTGGCTTTGTAGTGCCAGAGTCAACCAAGATGATCTTCCAAAGAACTTTGCAGGCGAAATGTTTCTCCAAGACACGAGCGTGAATCACGGGAAGACTCGCATGCGCGTTTTGGACGAGTCCCTGGCAGACAATGAAGATCTCATGGACTCACTTCCACCATCCTTGCAAACGGACGGTGGCTTCCTGGAGAAGCTCGACATTTTGCGATCCAACCTCAGCTCCGAATTTAAGCGACGAAACATGGCGCGAGCACATGATGATATTGGCAGCTACTCGTGGATCATAGGCAACTTCATGACTTTCTTCGATGAAATTTCGTACTCGCGTGATCAATGGAGCTCGATCAAATTGTTGGTAGAGAAGGACTTACCAAAGAGATCAGAGTCCTCCGACGAGGCACGCGATGATCTGCCCGTTGATGTAACTGGCCAAGAGAGAGCTGCAGGAGAACAGCAACATCAGAACAACGCCAATGTCCAGGTAAAAAAAGAGAAAGATGATCATGATCACAGTGCTGCCGTTGCGACCGTCAATGAACTGGAGAAGAAGATCACGCGATCCAGGAAACGTAAAGCGCCGGAGGACATTAGGGAAGGACAGAATGATACTAACCATGATGGTGGGGTTGAAGTTCCAGTGCCATCCAAGAAGGCTCGCGTCAAGGCAAAGTGGAAGATGCCCACACCTTGCGGTGAGGGTGGACGAGTGACGAGGTCCATGACGCGTAACTCAGCGGGAGTGGGGGGACCATCAACAGGGGTTTAAGGACATTGAAAAGGAAAAGATCGGAGTAGCTGTGGATAGCAGATGACGTACGTAGTTGCCTGGTGCATGCCTATCCTGTATTGCATTGTTTCTGCTGGACGGTACATATGGTAGTGATGTAGGAAGCGCTTGGTCGAAAGTACATACCTAGCAATGCAGTCATTGACTTATCATCCTAGAGACTCCACATTAGTATTTGATTGTCTGGATTACAAGACACCGAAACGGAGCAGGAACTCTCAGAGGAAGAGTCTGTGGAGGAGAAATTCCTCTCAAGCACCATTGTGAATAAAACAAAGGGGCAACGACATACTTCCCATAGCGTAAGGGAAGGGAAATTTAAACGAACACGAATATATGAAGAATTTGAAGTTCACCACTTTCGCGTTGAACTGAGGGGCACGGGGGCGTGCTTGTATTAGGCGAATCGGAGTGTGCAGAGTGGCTGGCGTTTTGTCAGTTGAGTTACGTGGTATTGTGACAGAGAGTAAGTACAACTACAGCAATGTAGGGAGTCTAAACATACGAGGGGTCGAAAAAAACATAGAGATGCTAGCTAAAGGTACGACGGGAAAGGGGTAAACTGTACAGTAACAGTAAGAAAAAGGTCACGCGAGGGTCGCAAAAGCCAACGCCAAAGTCGGTTGGGTTGTAACCGTCATCTACGAAGCTTCGATGCATGAGCCTCCCGCATGCGACGAGCAGCTCCCCTCGTAATGGGACCGGTGATGAGAGCATTCCGGGTCATCGACCTTGTTACTGGACCTGCTCTCGGTTTTGGACCTTGACTGCTCAGTGCAGGGTCACCGCGGCGTTGTTATGGTGGGCGCGGAATTTTGACCTTCCTGTGGGTCTTGACCCCGCCATCATCATGCGATTCAGACGCTTCTACCTCAGCCGACTTGCGCTTTCGAACTGGTGAGTGAGTCAGGTCGGTTGGAAGGCGTTCTTGTTTTTTGTTAACGGGAGGGGCGCTCTTGTCGATGAGCCTCACGCTTCCCCATTCCGATTGGGAGGCCTCGATTCCACCAAAAAAGTTCGCGAAGGCTTGGCCAATCGCCCACGAATAAGTTGAGATGTCCCCTATCTCGTTCCGGGAGAGGTATTTGCCAGGAAATCGCGCCGTTAAACGTTTGCATCTCTGCCGTTTACTTCGTGGTCAGCCAGTATATTTCTTCTGTATTCACTCTGTGTACTTACGATACCCTATCCTGTCCTAACCTTGCCGTTGGCGGTTACATTCTCTTTGGTCCATTTTCTCGCGATCCCGATGATACCTTGTTAACGATTAGCTTATACCTATCTCTTTCGCGATACCCAATGTCTTCTAGAGCTCCCACGTTATACCCCTCCATAGATCCTTTTTTCATGGTTAGTAGCACATTCCGTACAATGACATTTATGACGTTTATCTTTTGTTCCACACATCTGGCATCTGCATGACTCGGATAATGGATGGCTCAATTGCGAAGCATTTTTAGGACGTGAAAAAAGCAGATGTGAATGTGCGGGACATTGTGCGTCGAAATTTGCGAGATCTTGGATATAACGTTTGGCACTTTAGTTATAGTTGCACGAAAGAGACGAAGCAGATAGAACGTGTGTGGGTCCCGCCATACCCCTTGGTTTGTAGTTGCTTGAGAGTTGCTTGAGATTTGGACATCGTCGACGGTGGCCTCCGGTCTGGAGACTGGATCGTCTAGCTTCTTAAAGCCATCCTCCATCTGACTGCCGACCGGCTTTCTCCAATTTCTACTTCGTCGCCTCAGTAAATCAGCTCATGGTATGGATCGTGCAACGTTGTCAATTCCGATTGTTTCGGAGCCACGATTAACCGTGGGAACATCTTGATGGGGACTCTCGTGATGATTCGTCCTCAAGGTTCGGAGCATCTTTTGTCCTCGAACCGCTACCATCCTCCAAGGGTCTTTCTCTTTTGACACCTTTACTTCACTTTCATACCTTAAGGGACACTCCAAAATGAAACGCTCGCCTTCTTTGACTGACATTGAACATTTCCTTACCAATCACCTCCCCAACCACGACATCAGCACGTTCAACGCAGTTGTTGCGGCTCTTAAGAAAGAGAATGCCCTGGTTTCCGCTCGCCAGGAAGTCCAGAAGTCATCAAATCCTGGTTATGAATTTATATCACTCAGGTCATTGTTGAAAACCCATTCTCCCAGTCCGACCCAAGTCATTGATTGTTTGCGAGCAATCTGCGAGGTCGTCAACAATGCTTTGGAAAGTCTTGGAATTCAAGTGGCTGGCGACGACAGGCTTTCGATTTGTGCCAACAACGGGATAGACCTCTCTGCAAACGCTTGCTTCACAAAGAAGTCGGAAGGGCCCTTGAGTGCTTTCGATGTCGTCGTTCCTATTTCCATAGTTCCCCTAGCAGAGAATAAAAAGGTACGGATCGCTCGTATCTCAACTATGTCATTAAGCTCAAAAATATCTCATCAGGTTGGAAGGCACGTCATGGAACGCATAGCGACTACCATGAACGACGACGCTCGCAGAGCTTTCGCATATGGGGTGAGTTGGTCTGTTCAGTGTAACTGGGCTTGGGCTAATGCGCTGTTTCAGATCACCATTAGCCACGACCAAATGACTCTCCATCAGGCCACTCGAACTCGTGTTATCCATTCACATCCCTTTAGCTTGACTGAGGTACGAATCTGCTGCTCGAAGACAGGTCCCCTGATACTTACCGTGCCTATCTAGTCTGCCGACGTCCTCCTCCGATTATTTATCTCACTTCTCACTGCCACTGATGAGCAGCTGGGAATGGACCCCTTCGTGACCTTGCTCCCAGTGGGGAGTTTTCTCTATCAGCTACCCCCGGAAGGCGAATGGACGACCCCTCGTTTCTACGAGACCCTCGACCTCATCTCCTACTACCCGTCGACAACTCTCGGCGGTCGTCACGCCCGTATCTGGAAGGTCAAGGAGGTCATCTCTCCAAGCGACCTGCGCCGTGTGGCCGGAACGCCCGACAGAGTTCTTAAGGACGTGTGGGTTAACGCTGGGACGCGCACCGAGGCTGATGTCCAGGACGCTTTGTTCCGGGACATATCGGCTATTACAAAGGCAAGAGGCTGGCGGAAGAGGCCAATCTTCCAGGATTTCCTTGAGTCCGACGTTGACTCGCTCGCTGAAGCCCTGCAAGGCGACAACTTCAAACGCTATTTCTCGTGTATTGTTGCTAGGCACATTCGTCAGCCTGCCCCAGACCTCGCGCCTTCCGATAAACACCGGTGCTTCTTCGTGTACGAATCCGTCTGTACTCCACTCCACGAGGTTTCGACCTTTGGGGAAGTCATCGATATTCTCAAGCAGTGCGTCACAGGTACGAACACTACGTCTCATTGTCGCTGTGATTTTGCATACTGACGCCTTCCTTCAGCACTTCGGCTTATGTTCTGCGCTGGGTGGGTCCACCGGGATATCAGCACCGGGAACATACTTGCATTTAAAACATCGTCGTCGTGGCAAGTCAAGCTTTCCGACTTGGAGTACGCAACACGGTTTCCGGATACAGACCGCGCGGGACGCGAAGAGATTGTGGTAAGAAATATGATGCCCTCTGACGTGCCTTGTATCCTATACTGACCATGGTTCTCTCAGGGGACTCCTTACTTCACACCCCATTACATAACATCACCCATAAGTAATGGTGCCACGTCGCGGATCATTCCCATCACCCAATGGCTCAACGGCGAGAGCTCTGCCTATGCCGGACGGCCATCACCAATGGGTGAGCTCTCGGCTAGCACCTAACCATCACCCCTTGGCTGCGCTGTCACCCTCCCACCATAAGCGATGGCCCTAGCGCTGCGGTGCCAGCTTGGGGTTCCCGATTTCGGTTGTTCCCCGCCGCCATCAAAATCCCAACACCGCCTGTTTACTGCTGCGTGGGATATCGCGTCCGCTTCCTACAGAAGCCGGCCGACAGATTTTTTGTGGCCGCGCCTTGAGCACCCCCCAAACCCCAGCACATCCAAAAGTCCGAGAACACGAGGGTGCCACGAGGCGCCTCGACTCTCGCCATAAAGTTCTTGTGAATTAGCGCAGGATTGATTCTAGGTTGATATGTCACCAGCTCCTCCAAACGCGGAGGATGTGGACCTCCTGGCCATCGCTGACCCCATGATTGCCCTCGACTACCTCCACGAAAAGGCTATCTATTTCCATCAACTCTGTTTCACCAAATATACCGCACCGACCGAGCCGCTGCCCCACCCGGACTGGCTGGACCTGGCCGAAAGGTTGCAACTATACGCGGCCTCTGACCTTGTAATGGCGGCTCTGAAAAACCAAAGTGACTGCGTTTGCCTTTGCCCTCCCGGAGTCCCCAGCCACTAACTTGTACAACAGTCGTCATCGATGTAAAGTTGCAGACCCTTGCTACGCAAGAAAAAAGTACACAGGCGGTCGATCCCCAGTTTCCACCCAAGCAGGACGGTGTTAGCAGGTTGATTAGCGGACCAGTGCACATCTGCGACAGCAATGGCCATGTCCTCTACTTTCACCTACCTAGGCTCCTTACAAATGAGCAATTAGATGTCGTCGAAGAGGCATGCCGCGACCTGGTCAATGCACCGCACGCCAAGTTGGAGATTTCCCCCGAGAAAAAGTCTTGGCGGACCGACCCGAAGTTTTTCAAAGACAGCAACTTTTGCGACTTTACCCCGGGTGTTCTCAGTCTCTCGCCGTGCTGGTTCATGCAAAACCACTTGGTAGGTGATTTCATCTCAGCTTGCTCAGAGCCGCAGCATACTCACCCGGAGCATTCCAGCCGCCGAAACATCAGCCAATGGTGTCCGCCTCAATTCGGCGTCGGGACGGAAAGGACGGCGCAATCCCATTCCTAAGGGCTATGCGCAGCGCATTCAGTCTTATTGGCGCAGTTCTATACGTTCTTAGCCCGGCCCAATATGACCAGGGGGTGGATGCCTGGAGGGAAATGCTGGATACGAATTGCGAGGCGGCCGCTCCGAAGTATGCCGATTTGATGTCGGGAGTTTTGAAGATCTGGGCCTCTCCCTTTACAGTCACCCAAGTCATCTCCAACCGTCAAACTCCCTTCCATTTTGATACGTCTGGGGATCAGAATTGGTATGACTGCTTGTTGACCGTCGGGCCGTACAAGGAAGGGAGGTTTGAACTAAAAGGCGTCGGGTGTCGCTTCAGATATGAACGCGGGACGGTATCCTTTCTTCTTAGCCGATTATTGGAGCACGGAACGGGTGAGGTCGATGGAGAGCGAGTTTGCCTCGCCAGCTTTATGCGACCTGAGGTAGTAAAGTACATCCTGAAGGAGCGGTTTTACAGCTCCCGCCCTGAAACCTTCATCAGCTTGCAGGAACGGCTTGGGGTCCCAGCTGAGCATAGAGTTGCATTTACTCACATGTAATTACCCCTTTTGAGGCGGGCAATCATCGAGCGGTATATGTTATCCAATTGAGCGGTACCGGTAACAAGGCGGGGATCGCCCGATCGGACGGTGCGTGAATTGAGGCGGGTGTTTGTCCGACCGAGCGGTACGTGAATCGAGGCGGAGGCGGGGATCGCCCGACCGGACGGTGCGTGAATTGAGGCGGGTGTTTATCCGATCGAGCGGTACGTGAATCGAGGCGGAGGCGGGGATCGCCCGACCGGACGGTGCGTGAATTGAGGCGGGTGTTTATCCGATCGAGCGGTACGTGAATCGAGGCGGAGGCGGGGATCACCCGACCGGACGGTGCGTGAATTGAGGCGGGTGTTTGTCCGATCGAGCGGATGTAGCAGGTGGTATATTACAGAAAATTGAAGGGCATTAATGAGGACAGTAATTATTTAGCTAAATTCTCTCTCCGACGTGTCTGCGTAGCTTGTCTGTTCCCGATTTTGTACCAATCCAAATAAAGAGGGTACAAACAAATATCCGAAATGCGATTCACTGCCTCTTGTAATGCCGGAATGACTTGCTGAGCGGTGTGATCCAACATGTCTGCTGCGCCATCGGGGTAGCCAGCAAGGTCCTGGACGCAGAAAGTGAGAGCGTCGGCATAGTCCTCCATGTAGCCGACGGGCGGAACGCGTGACCGAAGGTAATTGCAGTACGACATCCAAGCCGACATTGCCTTGTCAAATCCCAAAAGCGCTGCGGGGGGGGGGGGGGGGGGGATTCTGCCTTTATCGTCGGGGCTACCGCTGAGTCGTCGTATGGTGTGCCGCTGGCAGCTGGGTCGGCGGCCACGTCCTAGCGGCCCGTTGAGCGCAAAAGGACTACTATTGACCACGAACCAACGCTCACCTTCCACCATGCTAAAGGCATTGCCTCGTGAAATGCTTGAGAGTCCATCACCCAGCCCTCCGCCCGGGAAAAGTCTGGCATCCGCCCTTGTTCCACTTCATCAAACATTACGTCCCAATCTTCGATCAGCTTCGCTGTGAACCTGCCGATGGAAAGCCCTGCATGGAACATCCGTGATAACCCCACGAAATGAAGCGCTTGCAGCTTCGAAGCGTCAGTGTGGTGTCTTGAAATCCCGGCCAGACTTACAAACTCTTCGGTGAATTGCGTCCGACAGGCTTTCCACAGTCGGCCAGTCTCATCGCGGGCAAACGCGGTGAATGCCAGCTGGAGGCGGACGGAAAGAAATTCATGGAAAGATTCCCATTCATCGGGAGACAGCGTGGCATAGGATAACGGTTTAGGCATGAGGTGATACAAAAATTTACAATGTAGCGTTCGAAACACGCGGTTGTGGGTAAGGCATGAATCAGTCAGGGGCGGGTCACGTGCTTTCGTTGATTTGCCCACGCCAAGATATCCTCCAACACCGCCTTGCTCAGGCCCTGCTCACTCAAGCCCTGCAATCGGGCCTCGTGGCGACGGCGGTCATCCTCAATCCGGGATTTCACCAGCAAAGCCTTCCAGCGACAATACAAGTTGACCGCTTTGGCGATCTCGCGGGCGGTGATTTGCGTATCTTTCTTCACCAAGCTTGCACATTGCTCGATTGATTCAGCGCAAGCGACCAGTTGCTTGTGGCTGAGGTCGGAGAGACGGTTGCTGGGAAGAGGGAGCGGATCGAGCGGGAGTAGGAAATGCCTTTGGTGACGAAACGTTCGGGCGATGAACGACACGTTGCTGGCGTCCCAGTTCTTGGATGGATCAAAGGGTCTCCACCAATTGCATTCGTAGTGTGCCAAAATGCGGTCGGGGACTCGGGCATGGGATGGCTTGCAGGCGGCAAGAATTTGCATCGGGTCACCCTGCTTGAGGACGGTGAGGAGGGTCACCAGCTCTCGATGGGCTTCTCCTGGATTAATCTTCGGGAAACGAGTTGCGGCGAATCCGAAAAGGGTGGTGTGCCAAACCTGCATCGTGTTTGACATTACGATGTAGAGGCGGGCGGACATACGAGTTTGTACTCACAATCTCTTCGTAGAAAATTTTAAGAAATTCCGCCCGTTGGTTCATGTCTAAATCGGCAAACATGTGAGCATAAGCAGTCCCTGCGGCGCGTTGTCGGGAGGATAGGTAATATAGAAATTGCTGCATGGTGGCGCTATCGTAGTTGTCTAAGTCGGCAAACATATCAGTGACGAGCTCAGGCGTGTTTCCTGGGGGACTGTACTTGTAGTCCATGATGGCTGTGAACAAACGTGTAATTACCCAACCTGGCAATGTGACAAGGGGTGATCGATTATGTAAAAGGCGGTCTCTCTTCTTGGGGCGGATCATAAAAAGGACTAAAAGCGGCGGCCGCCTGATAAGCAAGTTTCCGCCATGTGGCCGCGTGATACATTGCCACCGCACGCGCCCCCATGTCATTAGCCCTTAACGCTAAGGCATCCCAATGTTTTGCCTGGTTTTCCATATACCTCGCAGTCCATCCCGTCTCCGCCTTCACCAAGTCTACCTCCTCTTGCCACCTTTTCAAGCGAGACGTTGTTCTAAGCCAATTCAACCTGCATACTAGGCAAGGGTCAAGCGGCGCCAGAGGGTACAAAAATCGATACACACTTTCCAATAGAAATTCCGGATTTGAGCTGTGTCCTTGGTGCCTCCAACCCCAAATCCAACTCACGATTTGGCGACTTTGACCCGGCGCATTCGGTTGATAAACAGACTCTAATGGCTTGGCATCGCCTTTATTGAGTTTTTGATAGGTCTCCCGAATGGACACGTCATCGGTCAGCTGCCAGATCGCCCATTGAGCTTGATTGTAGATCCTCGTGCTCCTCTGAATTGCTTTCTCGGCGGAGGCTACTGCAGCATAACCGCGGGTTTTCTGCGCTTTATTCTGGGCGAGCTGGATGTTAGCCTTAAACAAGAATGACTTGTACCCGACTTGTGTCCGCAGGTTTGCAAGGGCTTCATCGGCTTGAGCTTTCCGCAACTCCAGCTCAGCGTCCTTGGCCTCCACAGGCATAATTTGGGATCCCGGCGGTTCAGATGATGGCATCAGTACCGCCAACTTCTCCAGCGGACCTTTGGGTACCGCCTCGAATGGATTCAAGTCCATGCCCGAGTGACCGCACGGTATGTGCTCACAGTCGCATGGCTCTCGAATTGGAGCGTGGAGGAACGCTGAGCGGGGATCTGCATCGTTGTGCTGAGATAAACGTGGGAATAGCTGGAGTCCTTTCTCGAGATGTTGGTCGTGCTTAGCTTTCAAGGCTGCCCGCTTCCTTTCGAGCTCTAGCCTTCGGTCATCTGTCGGAGTTGGGCCTAATTCCTTGGCGGCCGATAGGACATCCATCCTGTACATATATCAGTTGAGTAATTGTACGAGCTGAAACAAGCCTGCGCACTGTAACTCCTGAATCATCATGCCATCGTGGACCCAGGAAGTCAACCCTACGTGGCGACTTTGCTTGAGCTCGGTGGTTATCAAACTGGCCTCGATAGCTTTCCGAGACGGCGCTGCGGCAGGTCAGATTCGGTTAAAGCGACACAAGTCAGGACGAAGTCAGGACGTGCCTTTGTCAATTGTGGACATTAGAATGTCCATGGCATCGGGATGGTGCTTCTCCCGCTTCTTCTGAGCCTCCGCTAACTGATGATCCCATTGTTCCCGCTGTGCTGCTGAAGCTGAAGTCTTGAGCATATCCACGGCGTCCACCAACTCAGCCAAATTCTCGTAGGCTCTTTCGAGCGCTTTAGGAAGGGTCTTATCTGCAAATCGGTTAACTCGTGGCATTTGGATTACGACACAGGCGGCGGACCCGCCCTATGGATCGCATCGGACCCGCCCAAATAGCCGCTCCGAAATAAAGCCGCTTTGTATGCCGCCCCGATCTATTATTTGGCTGGGTCCGCCTGTAGACTTACAAAGATTTGTCATTTTCTTCCAGTTCAAGTCCATCATCTTGCTGTCTAGAACTTCCATGCGGTGCGCCTCGGTCATTGTACTTGTCATCGTCCCTGTCGAATTTAGCAGAGACCAATTAGGCTCCAAAATCTCCCCGTGATTCCAGCCGATCCCTTCGATGTAGAGGGGAGAAAACCGCGGCAGACATTTTTCTTGATGTCCATGGACATGGAATTGACCAATGGAGAACACCATGCGATCATACCATGGAAGCTTGATGTCTTTGTATGCCTTGATGCGTGCCGCCAGGTTTTTCCAATACTGACAGCAAATATCATAAATGAAGATTATCCGTGGTACCTTTGAAGAGACGACGGCCTTCAATCCTTCACATAGGGCGTAATCCATGTTCATTTGCCGTTCTCCTTTCTGGAAATCGACCACAGATGAAGGCACGAAGGCTCCATGCCTAGCGCAAGCCAGAGCGCCGATACCAGTGGCATCGTAACCCTTGTGCGCTTTGTTCTTATCGGCGACCGCTCTGTGCTCATTGCATGTTGAATGCTGGCCGACAAAAGCATTTAAATGTCTCCCCTCTAAGCTGCGATTATTGGACACTTACCTCTGTGTTCTCTGTAGCGGAAGCGAGGTGGTGCTTGTATGCTCTGCTCTCCACAAAATAACCTTCCCCTTGCTTGAGGAACAAATCTTGTCCTGCGCCCTTTTTACTTTGCCTGACGCAGACGAAGTTGCCGTCGGCCACAAATGACATGCTGTACTTCCATCTCCAGGAACGTGGGCATTGTCGGCAATGACTAACAATGAAGAAGAAGTCCCACTCACTGTTGTTTGTCCTTCTCCCAATTTTCCTCCAGATTGACGTCAGGTTGCGGACACGCCGCGCAGAACAGGGCCATGCTACCAGGCTTTGACGCGGCCTCCCTGGTCGTATAGCCAAAACGGATCAGTTCTTGCAAGTGACGGAATTGTCTGGCCGCTCGCAAGAGTTCACGATGACGATTCTTTGCTGCACTGTTAGCTCTATTCAAAGACCAAAATTCAGCCACTTACAGGGACAGTGTCGGGAAAATCTGGGTTGGTTAGCCGTCTGAGCTTACTGAAGTATTCTCCCGCCGAGGTGCAGCATTCAAGGACCGCGAGGTTGAAGTCCCGGAGGAGTTGGACAGTGAATACTGTTTCCACCGATTTAAAAGTGCTCGGGTACATCCCCGCCATCAGGTATTGTTCGTCTAGTGCAACCGCCCCTGGACATATGCAAGGATAAGCCACTAGGTGGTGCACACCGTTGACGTGAACAACAACAATCTCCTGGCCGCTGCCATGCTTTCCATGGTGTGGACTTGAACCAAATGTGAAGTCGGCGTAGTTATTCCAGTCGGATTTGGCTGACGCCAAATACTGATCGTTGGGGTGTGTGATTGGCGACTGATAAGGGACTAGAGGACAAGGCTTTCCTCCATGCCCCAGGAAGATGCACACTCCCAGCTTCCACAGCCAGGAAGGCTCATAGAAGTCCCCTGTCCATATTTCGACGCGATGAAAAGGGTGGTGGACAGAATGCATTTCCCGGCAACAATCCGAGCACAGATTTGGAGTACCGAAGCAAGATATGCACCGCCATAGGGCGTCCTGTGTACCACAGACGGCGCAACGTCGATCGTCTGCCGGGATGGTAGAGTTGTATAAGTGTTTCAAGTAGACGTTTATCCGCGGTTCCCATTGGAGCATATAATCATAGTTGCTCTTCCCCCATCAGCTGCGTTGGTGGTCTGGATATGACTGATATCAACAAAGTACGTACATTTTCAACGACAGGTTCTTGCGGATTAACCCATCCACTACCAAAGGGATTGGCTGGATCAGAGGGTTGATCCTGCTCGTAGTATAGCTCTTCAACTCGGCGGCGTTTGCCTGCAGGAGTCGGTATACCGATTGTTGGTTTGGGGGGGAGCGGAGCCAGTTGGTACTTGGTTCCTTTGCTTGTATAGACTTCCACGAGCCTTCCTCCAATCGGTCCATCCTTAATGACTGACTTCTTAGTCCGCTTTGTCATCTTTGAGGGTGGAGAGATGCTGAGACGACGAATGTTGGAACACTTACCGCCCCTGATTATCGATGTTTGTGTAGGCCCGACCCGATCATTGATTTCCCCTTATGGATTGTCTGGCCAGCGGGGGTTCGTGGCGGACCTTGGTGGTATAAGTTCCCGACTCTCCTGACGTGGCGTTCTACCCCACCACCGTTCACTCATTGACATGGCACCTGGGAAGCAACCTGTACGCACATGGACGGAAGACCAGCTCAAGGTCCTCAACAACGCCAAGAGGGAATTTCACACCGCCGACAATGTCAAGCGGCAGGCCGTCGCCGATGCCGCCGCAACAGAAATCCAAGCCGCGTTGGAGGGGGCAGGTGAGCGGTTCGACAGCAAGGCTAGTCAGGCTCTGTTTACTGTAGGTGCTCATCTTTTTGTCGTCAAGGACATTGTTCTGACTAGGCTATAGGCGGTCCGTGGATGGTTGAAGGCGCGGTGTAAAGCAAAGCGGAAGGCGGATGCTATTACCTGGAAGGGTGTAAAGGCGCGCAACGTGTTCATTCGCCACAACCGCCGCTCTATTAAGGAAACACAGAAAGCCTTGTACGAGAAGGCTACTGGTGATATATTTCCTTACGCCGTGGATACATTCGTTGATACACCCTTGCCCGCCTTGGACGAACAGGACATGGCTTTCTTGGAGGAGAATGGAATGAGCCCCGATGACCCTGAACTCGACGCGGCGCTCGGCATGGACGACGATGAAGATGAAACAGATGAGGAAATCACTTCGTCGGATGACGACAGTGACAACGACGAAGACAACAGCCACGGCTCCGCCAAGAAGACCAAGAGCGGTGCTACGTCAACTAGAAACCGTGGCGGTAAGAAGACCAAAGCCTCAGAGCCAACTCCATTCCAGAAGCGCAGCAACCAAGTCTTTTCGTACTTTCAAGATGCTGTGTCGCTCCTTTGGAAGAAGCTGCCCGCCGAGGAAAAGCGACGGTACCGCCTTCGGGCATTTATCAACAAACAGCGGGGTCCGACTGTCGAGGAACAGGCAGAGTGAGTCATTGTTGACTGAGCAACATGGGCACCTGAGCTAATGCATAACTAGAATGGCTGACAAGGAGCTTCCGGCGTGGTTAGAAGGAGTCGCAGCGCAGGGGCAACAGAAATACAATGTCCGCATGGTGTTCACTCTGGTATTTCTGGACAGGAACGGCGTCATGAATATCTGGACCTCCGATTACAACAGCAACATTGGAGGAACCAATTTCACTGACATCCACCCGAGACTGTTTGAAGACAGTGGCCTCAACGCCGCCTTTGGTGCTTGGGGCCGCAGGGAGTTCCGACAGGACAATGCCCCCATCAAAATTATCTCCAAGCGACAAGGAGCTCATGCTCTTATAAACCTGCCCTCAGGATCGGATGGTGCGCGCTTGGTCGACCCTACCAAGCCTCCGATACCTCCCGTGGCAAAGCCATGGTTGATGGACTTGCTGAGGTCGTACTTCACTCATAAGTATGGTGCGTACAATTTTCAGGAATACACGAGAGTCTTCCTTAAAATTTCACTTAGTCGAAGCTTGCAATGCCAAAGAACGCGTGAAATGTCCATGGGCGGATATTGAGAAGGGGCCGTCCCGCTTCTTCGACAGCGACATCCTCCCCACCGACTATCAGGCAATGATTAGGGAGCCCTCAAGGATGACGGTGGCCGAATTGAAAGCGGTGCTGGGTTATCTGTACACCCGGCAGGAAAGTGGGATCCAACCTCCCTTCCGCTTCGACTATTACATCGACAAGTCCAGCGGCACCGGCAATATGGTCAGGTCCCACCAGCTAAGTGGGCAAACCCCTGACCGCCAGCAGCCTATTCGTGCGCCTGTCGCCGGTCCCGTTATAAAGCCGGCCTCAACCCCCACCCCCGAACCCGCCGTTACCACCCCCAGGGTTAAGCCTGCTGCCACTAAACCGATGGTCAACACCGCCACGAAACCGGCCAACAGCCCCGCCCCCGATATCGACACCGCTTTCGAACCGCCTTTTGTACCCGCCGTTACCCCGCCCAGGATTAATCCTGCCACCAAACCCACAGTCAATACAGCAACGAAGCCGATCGTTAACCCTGCCACGTCACCCCCAGTTAACATGGCTACCAAACCCGCGATTCCCACCTCTACCAAACCAACTGCCACCCCCATTAGCAAGGCCACGCCCGCCCCATTGACGCCCATCACCCCATCGGCAACCTTGCCCGACATCGAGGAGGAGGCAGAGTTCGAGCAGCATGGTTCTACAGATGAGACCCTGCCTAGCGTTGCCCCATTTCTCGAACCACCCCTACCTCAACCACCCATACTTTCTGCACGTCCGAAACCGAGGCCGCGCCCCTCAGGGACACCCTGGACACCAGACAAACCCAGACGTTCGGCTGCAGAGCTGGTGAGAGCTCTTGGAGGATCGCCCTCAAAACTGCACATCCAACCTCCCACCCCCTCCGCCGGGCCATCTTCAACAAAGACAGTGGAACCGCCTTCAAAGAAACCTGCGCGGAAGCGCACGAGGGAAGGCATTGAACTGTTGCCTTTGCCGACGGAAGGTGTAACTACTAGATCCCGCGGTGGCCTTAACCGCAGGCAAACCAGGAGCATGAAATAGATAGTCGGCAGGTAGTTTCCATTCACGTAGTCTCCCTCTATCCGTACAATATTACAGTCAGAGAGTATTACTTTTATATTCGAAAAATAAGAAAATACAGTGGTGTCCGATTACTATGCGAATGTATCTAACTCTTTTTTGGTCGCTTAGACCGCCGGGTTCCAATGGCCGCCGCACCTTCTGGATTGACCTGGACTTTGGTGGCCTTCCGCCGAGCACCCACCACCAAGTCCTCAGGATCGTCTGGAGGGGGGGACAACGGTGAGTCAGGGGCTACATCATCAGGAGCCGGAGACGGTCCTTCAGACCCGGCGCTATCAGGAGGAATAAAGAGTGGCGCTGGCGGCGATCGAAGGGCGGTGGCGGCTGCCACTGAGGCGGACGGCGGGGCGGTGAATGTAGAGGCGGGGCGGTCAATCGGGGCGGCATCCGTGATATTGAGGCGGGTCGGGTGCAGTGTTTGGTCGGGGATGGGACTCGTCGCTCGGTCGGTGAAATCGGTTTGAAGCGGGGCGGGAAGCGGACTCGTCGCTCGACTCACCACCTGCGGAGGCGCTGCGGCTGGAATTTCTCCTGCAGGACTTGTCCCTCTGTCGACCAAAGTGCGACTGTCGCTGCATCGTGGAGCCCCTCCTAACCTGTCAAGTACCGCCTCAAGGGTACTCTGGTTGACCGATGTCGTAAGGCGATCCCAAATCTCGTCGCTGTCGCCCTGTAACCCTTGGCACCGCTCGCCCAGCGCTTCCAACTGCCGTTCGGCATCCGCCATCCTGCCCAGGAGTTCCCGGACGTTTCCTTCCACAACGTAAAGACCTTTGAGGTCCCTCTTGACTTCTTGCTGAAGATTCTCTGCCTCGCGCGATGCCTTGGAGCATGTCGTAACCGCGTGCTCGACTTTTCTGTCGAGATCCGACACCCGTTGGTTGACCGAATTGTTGGCCGCACTATCCACTTTATTGGTGAGTTCCACCATCCTCTCCTCAATGCCTTCCATCCGCGCCTCATACGCCTTCATCCGCTCCTCCCAGGTCCGAACCAATGCCAGTGCGCTGTCAGTTGTTTTTTCAAGTCTGGCCTCGCGTTCGTTGAAGTCCTTCTCCAGAAATGCGATCTTCCGGTGCAGCTCATCGAATTCACCGCGACGAACAGTGGGGGTACGAGTTGTCTCTTCCAACCTGTTCACGGCGGCAGTCAGACCGCGAACGCGCGACTCCGCCTGGTTCATCCGACCTTCGAAGGCGTCTTGCTTCGATGTACAGTTCACTAAGTCAGCCACAATATTGCCGGTGGGCAACTCTGTGTGATAGGCGGGGATTACCGTGGAGTCGGTGGGCGGCGCAATTGACAGCGGTTTGCTGAAAACCATGGGTTGGGCGTTTGTCGGGTGATACAGCGGGCCCAGTTCTTTCGTCCCGGCGTAGACAATCTGCGCGTCCACGGTCGATGGACCAGGCGGCATTGCCGAGACGTACAGAGGATCCAGAGGTGTGGTGGCCTTGGACCCCTTGCCCATCCGTTTCGCGATAGGCTTGGCCTTCACCCCCGCTTTTGAACTGTCGTGCTCGGAGGCGGGCACGGACTTTGCGTGGTCCATGCGCGGTTTCTTGGCGGCGGGGGTATTCTCTGAATCGGCGGCGGCGGCAGGGCTGTTGCTGTCGACGTCGGAGTCCTCAATGTAAGCGGCGCTCTTGCGCTTGGAGGACTTCTTGACGGTCGATACTTCTTGGTTGCTTTGCGGCGGTTGGAGGGCGGGGTCGTCGGGGGCTACTGCGCTCTTACGCTGGCGACCGCGCTTCAGAGCAACGGCTAGGGCTTTGATGGCGTCACCGTTGAGAAGCCTTTCGCATTTTTTCTTGCCGTTAGCGCAACGAGGACAACTTCCACTGCCGGGAGGTGTACAGGGCGGTTCGAGATTGCTTTGGTCGAATTTCTTGCCTAGAGCTTTCGAATGTTCGGCGAGAGCCTTGGCTTTCAAACATCGGTCGCAGAGAACGAAGGCGGCGCGAGTTCCTGAACCAGATCCTCCACCAGGAGCACCCGAAGTAGTGGCTGCGAAAGGATTGCATTATGCTTAACGTACCATTAGGTCTGAACGAAACATACCTCGTTTGCGCGGGGACCGCCTGATAGCCATGGGGCTCCGGTTGTGCACCTCCTTGTCCTTGTCCTCGTCCTCCTCGTCCTCCTCCTCCTCCTCGTCCCCTGCTTCGCCGTTTGCTTCGCGGTCGGCAGTACCACCACCCTCGTTCTCCTTTTCCTTTCCTTTCCCTGTGGAGGTTCCCTTGTCGTTGGCCATTCCCGATTGGTGGGCAGGTGGATCCGAAGAAAGTGGAGGGATCTGCCATTGGGCGATAAAGTCGAGGGTTTGGTCGATATACGCGTGGGGGTGGTGCTCGTCAAATGGGTCAAGGTATAAGGATTCGTCTGGTTTGACGTCCTTCAAGAAGGATAGGTCGAGCGGGGTGCCGGGATGGAGCAGTCCGGGTTTGGCACGAATCTGGTCGAAGAGCGCTTTGATGGGGTGACCGGCATAGAGGGGACACGTCGATGGGATTTTATTACATATCTTCTATTAACGTTATTTTCCTTCCAGTCAGTCAACATAATCCTTGGACTAGCAGCTACATTACGCACCACAAGACCCATAACCGCCCGCCGCACCTTGTGCGGCCAGTCTTCATCCTGAGGCAAATGCTGGTGATTATTGAGGATTGTTCGAAGTCGTTGAAGGGCGGGTTTGAAGATTTTACGCAATTCTTCATTGCTGAACGCAGATAAGGACTGGGTACTAGTCGCCATTGCAGTATGACAGAGTAGTGTTGTTGCAGGTTGTGGACAAATTGTGCGAGTTGTCTCCGCGCGCGATTGATGACGGTCACGTGATCGGCGGATAAAGCCGACTGATTTTTAGCCCGCCGCGGTTGTTGAACCCCGCCTGTTCATCGATATCGATCAAGAGAACTAGCACTATGGACGGCACTAATCGCACGGCTGGTAAGTTTGTCAAACCATTACCTTATGATTTGCTCGTGTATACAAGGCATAACTCGACCCAGATGATTCCGAGATGCTCGCCGCCGGAAGCAGCGCGATGGAGGTGGAGGTCCCTGATGACCTCCGCTTTGTCCCATTCGATTATGACATCGACGAAGGAACTACCCTACTACAGGAGGAGGGCGGCGAGGAGGTTTGGAGAACATTCAGCACCCAAGAAGCCGAGGGTCCCCCTCCCTCTCAGTCGTCAGCTTCAGTCCCCGCCCAGCATGTCAAAGGAGCGGACGGTACCGCCCAACCTGAAGGTAAGCATCTTTGGGGCGGAAGGCTACGTAGAATCGTCTTACATTTTTTCCCTTAGGCACGGGAACTCTGAAGGCCGATAAGGGGAAGCAGAGAGAAGGATGGGCTCCATTCGCCGATGAGGCGGCCGCCATCGCTTGGTTTTCCACCCTACCAGAGGACAATGCCGCTTCCCTCATGCGCGCCTACCTTGCCAACACCGTTGCGATGTCCGGGCCGCCTCATCGGGAGGCATTTCCAAAAGACAGCAAATTCCCTTTGGCCACCGCGCTCAAGTCCGCCCGCGAGGCATCGGCGCAGCAATCGGGTGCCAGCGCGAATAAGGAGATGGAGGAAATACTCAAAGGTGTCGTCGATTCGATGCCCGAGAATATCCGCCAGGAGATCCTCTCTGATGATTCTGAGTTAATCTGGAACATTCCGAGCCTCGAAAGCGCAGGCATGTCGGCCGATCTCATCGACGCTCAGCTGAACTACATGTCATCGTGGTTGGCCACTCTCGTAAACCACTATATGCACAATTGCGAGGTCCACGAGAGACTGGAGAATCACCTGAGGGCGGTGAAAGCAGCCTTGGTGCTCAGGGAACAGAGCACGGCTCTTTCCGACTCCCTCAAAGGCCTATGCAACATGTATGATAGTTAGACGACGCCTTTGCTCCCTTTTGTTCATTTGGCACATTCATATTACATTGGATTTGTTCCTACCATAAGATTGCTGGAAATGATATATCGGCGGCGACTTCCCGACGTATATCGTTTTGGTGGCGGGTTTGAAGGCGGGATGGCTAAGCGGCGGTTTGGGTCGTGGTGCTCTGGCCATTCGGTTATGGTGGGGGCCCCGACAGCGCAGCCAAGGGGTGATGGTTAGGTGCTAGCCGAGAGCTCACCCATTGGTGATGGCCGTCCGGCATAGGCAGAGCTCTCGCCGTTGAGCCATTGGGTGATGGGAATGATCCGCGACGTGGCACCATTACTTATGGGTGATGTTATGTAATGGGGTGTACTTCATGCCTTGCGAGATGCACATGGGAGAACACATGTTCCCCCTCGTGCTCGTAAACGGAAAGCTCAAGCAACACCCCGATAAACCCCTCGTTTACGGCTACCAGCACGATCTAGAGGGTATCTGGTGGATCATTCTCTGGTTTGCCACCATGCGGATCGACCAAGACCTCTGCCGTGAATTCGGTGACTTGCACTTCCAGCAGCCGATCGACCGGGGCTGTATCAGTCGACGTTGGACACTCTTGACGAGTTGACGGGGTCTGGAGGCGAATCCATCACTCGTTGATGCCCTACCATCCGAGCTCATCGACTCTGGCTTCCTCCAAATCCTGGGACTTCTGAGATACCAGATCCACGGAGAATACATGATGCGCAACGCGGAAGGGAAGCAGGAGGACATCGGGACTTACTCATTCATCATCAGCCCGTCATTCACTCACTTCTTCGAACAGCTTGATGAGTCCCGCGCTATGTGGGAGGACCTGAAGCTTTCCACCACCACCGAACTACGACACCAACACGAACGCGAAGTGGTGAGACAAGTGTACCGCCGCCGACCAAAGCGAAAGGTGGATGAGGACACCGGAATCGAGCGAAAGGGAATGGATGGGAGGGGGAGGAAGGATGAGCAAGGCCCTCCGACGAAGAGGGCCCGCTTTACTGCCCCTGTCGCGGAAGTCGAAGCCCCGGTTCGAAGATCAGGACCGGTGACTAGAGCGATGACCCGTGCAGCCCAAAACACCGGTCCCACCACGAGAGCCGCTGCTCGCCGCATGCGCGAGGCTGCAGCATCGAAGAATCAAACGGCTACCGCCACCGCCACTAAGACCCGAAAATCCCGCCGTTAACGCCCGTTTCTTCTTTCTTGATTTCCAGTAGCGCTTGCAATACCTTATTCACTCGCATCTCCTATCCCATAGACTTCATACCAATATCTATTATTGTTCCTGTTTAACTTCACTTACCGACTCGATTTTGTCGTCGTGCGTTCTGATTTTACCAATGTTTCATTGTGCCAAGCAGAGCATTCCGTCCAATAGCACCAATTTTTATCCCTACGTCAAGGATCAGTATGATAAGGAGTGACAGTTGCACGACGGTCGTCATCAGGTCGTGGATTGTGGATGAGACTGACCTAAATGCCGGACTCCCTCAATTTGGATCGTAAGCGAAGGGAACGAGCAATGAGGGCGAAACCACCAAAAGAAACAAGCCAAACGGCGAGACGTAGAGCGCTCGTACCGAAGACACATACATCTTTAAGTTTGATAAAGCGTGATAGATTTACGCCATTACGAACATACCAAAAAGGGCACCAATCCCAACGACCTCGCACCCGCAGCCCCGGGTCACCCACAAACGCAACACCAAGTGGATCGCGAATGCAAAGAGGGGGTGATTATTGAAGGGGAAGATGTTGCTCTTGTTGGCGAGGGGGTTGAAGTCGCGCGAGTAGTACGAAGTTGGGGAGCTCATTAGCGGTAACGATGGCGGCTACTCCACGACAGAGTTATTCAGGAACCCTCCACCATCCTGGTCATACAATACCCGAACCCACATTGGGGATCGTCCCAGAGATACGCTGCTCGACTGCCCCGAGGTGCAGAGTTTGAGGTTCGATCCCAACACGTGCCTGAGTACCTTGATTCAAGGATATCGATCTGGAAAACGATCCACCTTTGGGTATCGAACTGCCATGGACGCTTCACTATGCAAGGCCGTGGTACTTTCGGAGGACGCATAGTAGGCAGTGGATGGCTCATCGGACGGACCTTATTAGTGTGCATTCCTTCAAGGATATCTATCCTGAAGACCGGCCTCTCTTGGGCGTCGAGCTGCGCGTCGACACTTCACGGTTGCACTCATGGCATCTGATGTGAAAAGCCACTCCGTCTGAGTCGGGCTCACGTGTGCCACGCGATCACATGGTCTGGCGCGAGTCGTGGGAAATGACCTATGCGCCCGAGGCGTGGAATTACGGCCATCGCATCTTGTCTTTGAACCACAACCATCTCTCCGATATTAAATCCCACTTTCATCCTCTTTTATCTTGCTTCCGAACGCTAACCGCCATGGACGCTGAAATTTCGACGTGTTCAGTTGGGAAATTCTTCGAAAACCATCTTCCGACCCAGGGAGTCCCGTTCGACGCTGTAGTTGATGACCTCAAAAAGCAAAAGACACTCGTTTCTCGAGGCCAGTCTTTGGAACAGAAACCGTCCTCATCCACACAGAGGCCACTGTTTCCTCAGACTTTCAAGTCTCTCAAATCTCTGTTCCGATCTCGTACCACCAGCACCACCCGCGTCGTGAAGACGCTGCAGACGATCGGCAATGCTGTTCGTAAAGCACTCGGGAGGGCCACAGACTGCGAGATCAACGACTACTCCCTCAGAGTGGAGGATAGCGTCGGAGATCACGCTCGAGGATGCCTAACCTCGAACCTGGAGGACGCATTACACCCCACCGAAGTTGTGGTTCCGATGACAGTCATTGCAGACGATGGCAATTACACATCATCTGAAGAGGTGCGTGTTTTCGCTGTCCTTATTTTGGATTAGTTATAGAAATTGACATCCATTAGGCGAAGGCAAAATTACTGTCCCGTGCCACTGAAATCATGAATGAAGACGCACGTCGAAGGTTTTGTTTCGGGGTATGTAGCTTCTCCTCGAAATCTGGCTCCATCGGCTGATTCAGTTCCAGGTCACTTGTGAACGGTCTGAGGTCACTCTCTGGCGCTTTGCCAGGTCTATTGTCGTCAAGTCCACGCCTTTTGACATGACCGAGGTGCGCTTCCCATTTTGCGCGCGTTTTCGAGATTTGCACTGATACACCGCGCACTTCAGCAACCAGACCTTTTGCTTCATCTTTTCGTCGCTCTGTTCACAGCCTCACTACACCAGCTCGGATATGACCCATTGGTAACCCTGCTCCCCGATCGCAACTACGTCTACCAGATCCCGTCTGATAGTTCCACAACGCCACTCTACTTTAAAACGGTCCATCCGATCTGGGACGTCAAACCGACCTGCCTTTCTGGACGCCGCACGCGTATCTGGGAAGTCGAGCAGGTCCTCTCACAGTCCGACCCGACTCGAGTTCCAGGCACACCTAACCGAGCTTTGAAGGACGTCTTCCTGAATTCGGACACGAGGACCGAATCCGACATCCAGGAAGAACTGTTCGCTGATATAGCGATGTTTGGCCAGGACGAAAATTGGCGTTCTCGACCTCTCTTGAAAGATTTCGTCCAAGCCGACCTGGAAGCGCTGGCGGAAGCGTTAAAGGGCGACCAATATAAACACTACTTTTCGTGCATAGTCGCCAAGCACGTCGGGGAAGGCGACGTGCCTGGCCTGGACAGTCCAACGGCCCCTCCGCCGAAGCGCCGTTGTCTCTTCCTGTACGAGCGTGTCTGCACGGCACTGAACAACATCCCCACACTTGGTGAAGCGGTCGATGTCCTCAAAGCAGCTATCATCCGTACGTGATTTATGGGTTTTCTCTCCCTAACCCGTGGTCCTGACGCTATATCCTTAGCTTTGCGCCTGATGTTCTGCGCAGGCTGGGTTCATCGAGACATCAGTCCGGGCAACATCCTAGCGTATCGAGAATCGCCTACCTCACCATGGGCAGTGAAGTTATCGGACCTCGAGCATGCGAAGAGGTTCCCTGACCCACAAGCAAATACAAAGGATCCAATTACAGTAAGTCACGCATATTCTCTCTCCGAATTTGTGGCCAACTGCCAGTATTCACAGGGAACCCCTCCTTTCATTGCGTGCGAAATCCTTGACGGTCACCACTTCTTCCCGATCAGTATTAACCCCAAAAACATGGTTCCCCCTTATCGACCCGTTCCCGTTGTTCATACCTACCAGCATGACCTGGAGTCCATTTGGTGGATTCTCTTGTGGCTCGCGACCGCTCGTGTCAACCGGAAGCTTCCGCGAATTTTTGGACAGACATATTTCCAGCACAGAGTTGACCTGCAGTACGCCAGGTCGCGGTGTGGCTTGCTCATGCAAAGCCTCTCGACCGACCCACAGGTCAAGGAATCTCTCCCTCAGACACTGAGAACCTCATTCTACAAACGCCTCGACATCCTGCGCAATAACATTTACGTGACCTACGTGACTCGGACCATGGAACAGAAACATAACGACATCGAGTCTTTTTCGTGGATAATAAGCGAAGGCATGCGTCTCTTCTTCGATGCTGTGGCACGCTCCAGGGACAAGTGGGGGGGTGTGGAGCTTGTGGTTGACTCAGAGCGACGGGTATTCCCAGTAGCAGCACCTTTACTCCTTCCTGAATCACCCAAGGTCGAAGCTCCAAGGAAACGCAAAAATGTCGGACTAGAAGGCCGAGCACCAAAACGATTGCGGACAGGTCCGGGGCGCGACACGGATATGCCGACACGTACGACTGGGCCAATAACAAGATCGATGACACGGAACTCTGGACCAGTGACGAGGTCCGCAACTCGCCGTCTTCGCGAAGCTCGGAAGTAGAACCAGGGGCTCTCGACAAAGGCTCGTTAATAGAAGTGAATAATCCAATTCATGTGATGCTATACTAGGGTAGTCCGGACACCGTCACGTATTCCACGTTCCCGTCTTTGAGTGTAATTTACATCTGCCACGAATTTAATTTACTCACTGTCCCTGCTATAACTCGTCGGTCCACCGAGGCTGGAAGACTGCGCGTTTGCGCCACTCATCTTTGTCCTCGAACACTAGCAATGCACGTCTTAGTTTCAACGAGGCAGTGGATGGCAAAGAATATGGGATGGCTTTGATCACTTTTGCCACTCACACTACCAAAGAGGGTCAAACGATAGGCTTTTGACTCCAGGCATATGGGGAACGCTAACATTTTAACCCTGCCCCCGGGGAAACATCCATCTGTTCAAATGGGTCGAAGTATGCTAACGCTAACATGCTCTCATGATAACTCCCCGCGAATACTTTTTCAGTTAATCACCCTGTGTATATGGTGAAAATAGGCCTGAATATAGGCCTATGCATTGCAACCTAATAAGACTGCGACACAGTGTGCTGGAAAAGCTGTGCGTGGGTAAAATCTGCTAGATCGAAACAACGGACAATGATCTCTCATCAGTGCTCAACGCGTGGGTCCTAGACTGTCCACAGGTCGGGTCATGACCCTCTGACCCCAGGGTCGACCTGACCCAACCCTAGAGGGTCAGGGTCAAGGGTCGGTTGCTTGCTGACCCTGACCCAACTTGGGCAAAATCACACATGTCAGAAGCCGAATTGTATAGGAATCTCTTCTAGTATTGCATAGAGTAATTTGGATAATATAAGTACACTCTAAGTGTATGTTTTATCAGCATGAATGATGAAAATGGTCCTATAATCTTACTCAGAATAACTTTTTGACTGCTGGGCACCCCATCAATACCAGATATCTTGCTTATAGTTCAATCCAAATGACATAGCACTGGCCTAAACATGAAAAATAGATGAATAAAAACAGAAATAAGCATCAAAAAATTCAAAATCTAATTGACCTAAAAATTAGGGTCGACCCGGGGTCGACCCTAGGGTCAAGGGTCAGGGTCAGGGTCACTAGGTGCCGACCCGACCCTAGGGGGGTCAGGGTCAGGGTCAGGGAAAAAGTGCTGACCCTGACCCGACCCGACCCGTGGACAGTCTAGTGGGTCCTTTTCGTGTTCATTTTGAATGAGACGCCTCTTGACCTCTTTCCACTACCTTAGTGATTACTAGGACAGAGTACCTACCTACTGTCATTGACTCTCGCCTTATCCAAAGACGGTGCCATGACGGCGAATAACGCTGCCACCTACCCGAGCTCTGAGTACGTCCACCAACAACTTCCTTCTATTGGATCACTGACTAGATTTGTGACAGAACGCCCAAGCACACGCCACAGAAATGCGGCCCATCGACTGTCCCCGAGGACACCCCGCGCGAAGTACGGCCTCTTGCACCTGCAGAAGCAAACACGACCTTGATTCGCTATAACATTGGTTTGGCGATGAACGGAGAGATACTCGTTTGCGAGGTTGACATCTTCATCAATCATTATCTCCCCAAAGTCAGCAACGAGACACTTGAGTTGGTTCTGAAACGCCTAAAGAGGAGGTGTCATGAACAGGCGAAATCATGACATAGAATGGTGCTTATATACCACGGTCTGCCTGTCCACCTAAGCTGGACATGGGCGCCTTTTTGGCGCAGTGGTTAGTGTGACCGTCTAATCACGACATTATGTCCAGCTTCAACAGGTCGAGGGTTCAACTCCCGGGATGTACACATTTACTGGCCGGTTTGAGTCATGTGAGCTTAAGGTCATGTGACAATAAGAACCATGTGATAGGCGCAAATGTAATGGATCACCCGGGCACCTTCTGGGCCCTCATAGACCTGCAGGCATGACAGTTGTCCGCTGCCTGGAAAGGCCGGTATAGGGGATGCATCATTCTCGTCTTACGAGGACGTAAGCCAGAGAAGGGGGCTAATGTCATGAACAGGCGAAATCATGACATAGAATGGTGCTTATATACCACGGTCTGCCTGTCCACCTAAGCTGGACATGGGCGCCTTTTTGGCGCAGTGGTTAGTGTGACCGTCTAATCACGACAGGAGGAGAATTCTCGTACCTCGCGAAGACACTGGAGTCTCAGCCACTGCACCAGGAGAGTTGACATCGGGTGCCACTCCAGCCTCTCCACCACCTGAGCCGTATTCCCATGTCTTCAAGAAGTTCAACCCGCCTTGTACGCCCGGATATGATGGCGCGCTCGAGAAGGACATTTTCGCGCCCCTCACCTTTTTTGGCGAGGCGATTTGTGAAGCTCTCGAACGGGAGGCCGGGATCAAGCCCAATGGCTATGTCATTCGCATGTGCGGTGGCAATCCACTTCGGTCCCGAATCAATGGCTGCAACCACAAGATAGATGCGTGTATGACCAAGAATACTGACCAGCAGCTCCGCATTACCGACGTGGCCATCGCGTTCGAGTTCAAAGCAAAGCGGGCCAATCTAAAGGAGGTACGACCCCATATTCTGCACGCCGTCCGTGACACCGCAACTGACACGATAACGTCGGCAGAATCGGCTCCAGTTTATTTCACACATCAACCACGCAATGAACGACGATGCTCGCCGCACATTCGCTCTTGGGGTAAGCTCAACCACGGTTTTAAATGACTGCACTGCGCTGATATTATTTCTAGATAACGATTGAAGATGACCGTGTCTCCCTCTGGTACTGCTCCAGGTCTCATTCCATTACAAGCAAGATCCTTCAGCATGGTTGAGGTTCGTCTTACCTTTTGGTTTACGCCAATGATCATGCTGACACTAAACTGTCTTGCTAGCACGCGGATCTCTTTGTCAAGATTATAGTGATTTCCCTCTTTTGTGCCACGGATGAGCAGCTCGGATTCGACCCTCTCGTAGAGCTGACCAACGACTATAATTTCATCTACACATTCCCACCAAACAAGGATTGTCCCAAGGGCAGGCATTATCGCACCAAGCATTCCATCTTCGAGACCCGGGCGCTGAGTCTCGCTGGTCGCTCTACCCGTATCTGGCAGGTTGAGCTTGTGGACCCCACAAACAATTATCTCCAGGTTGCGGGTGCGGAAGACATGGTTTTGAAGGATGTGTCGCTGGATGAAGACACGCCTACAGAGGATGATATCCAAAAGAAATTATTCGCCGATATCAGGAAGCTAAGGGATGACACCAAGATTCCCTGGCGCGAGCACCCAATGGTGAAGGGATTTACGAAAGAACATAAAGGGTCCCTGGCAGACATGCTCGAAGGCGATGGGGAGCCATGGAAGCACTTCTTCTCTCGCATTATTGCCACTGCCATTGGCGCCAAAGGCTTACCTGTGGCGCCGGAGGTTTGGCGTGACAATACTATTTTCCCAATTTCGCCACTCGAAACCCTTGAAGTTAATCCATTTCAGACGATACGACCAACTTCAGGGATCCAACAAGTTTTCGATGGCGTCGAAACCGCCGAGAGGCCAAATCTTCCTGTCATCCCACGGAAGAAACGATGCTTTTATGTCTTTGGAGGAGTATAAGGCTGTCCACGAGTCAGCCCTACTTGCAAGTACTTGCAAGTAGACCCGTGGGAATACTTGTGAGTATCCTGACTCGCGGATCCGAGTCACCCGTGCCAAAATACTCATGCAAGTCCGAGTTTGGGATTTTGGCCCATGAGTACTTGTAAAAAGGCCTTAAACAAGGCTTTACGGCCCTCTAGTGCTGTATATCTGCTTTAAGTAGGGTCTATCCCATGAAAGGAACACTAAACAAAGGTACATTGATAGAGATATCACAGATTAAAAGCATACAAACCCTTGTGAGTATTTGACTTGTGGATCCGAGTCACTCGTGCCAAGAAACTTATGTGAGTCCAAGTTTGGCTTTTGGTACTGTGAGTACTTGCCTTGCGGCTCCGAGTCAACTCGCGAGTTGACTCATGGACAGCCTTAGAGGAGTATACACGCCGCTCTCCAGAATTCCGACCATGGGAGAAGCCATGGATATTTTGAAGCAGTGCCTTTCCGGTATGTCCTGTCCATTTCATGCGACACTCACAGAGCTGACAGTTCACTTGACTACAGTTCTCCGTCTGGTCTTTTGTGCGGGATGGGTGCACCGTGATCTCAGCGCGGGGAATATTCTTGCTTTGAGGGATGGGCCAAACAAGAAATGGCAAGTTAAACTATCGGACCTCGAGTATGCGAAGAGGTTTCCGAGCGACGACCATTGTGCAAGTCCTGTACCTAAGACAGTATGTCGTCAGAACGGTTACCAGAGAATACCAGATTGACTCTTATCTCTAGGGCACGCCATACTTCATGGCCATTGAAATCCAGCAAAGAAAACCACTTCTTCCTGCTGTATTCTCAACGAACACTACTCTTGCAGAGGATTCTGGGGAGGACGACGAATCGGAAGGGGAGGAAGAGGAAGAAAACACAAAGGCCAGCGCTCTCCAAAAGTTCCAGAGGCCCGTGAAACACAACTACCAGCACGATCTCGAGTCGATTTGGTGGTTGTTTGTGTGGCTGGGAAGTGCAAGAGTGAAGCGAGCACTTTCACGATTGTTTGCAAAGGGGTTATTCCAGGCTGGTGCTCCGACAGGAGTAAATATTCAAAACCCAGCCAATGCTCGTTTTGTCGCTTTCGTGAGTAACCTCGAACTCGACGAGAACTTCCCCCTATCCCTTCCCGAAGAAATGAAACCATCCTTCATCTCGGGTCTCGAGACCCTTCGGTGTGATCTCTATACTGCTTATACTCGGCGCAACGTAGAAGGGAGACAGGATGATCTGGAAACCTACTCCTACATCATGAGTAAGGCTTTTCATCGGTTTTTCCGAAAGATCGAGAAATCGAGGGACAAGTGGGAGGCGATTGAGTTAAAGGTCGACCAGGATGCTGGGGTGGAAGGACAAGGAGACGGGGAAGGCGACCCATCAAAGAAGCGAAAGACGATGGACGAAGAAGAACAAGAGGCAGAAGAGACGGATTTACAAGTCGGAGTCGTGAAGAAGCTCACCTTTGCTTCTGATACAGAGAAGGATGACGAAGAGAATGGCACGAATGAAGCAATCAAGCTCAAGGATGGCAGAAAGAAAGATTCCATCACTCTGAGCCCAGAAGAAGGGAACGCCGGAGATGGAACGAAGAAATCAGGCAAGGCAGGGGCTACAGCACGAGAGCATGTTGCCACCCCAGCCCAGACGCAGAGGGCGGCAGGTCCAACGACAAGGTCGATGACCCAGGCTGGTGGTACAGGGAAAGAGAAGCCAACTGCAAAAGCACATGGAGGAACGAAGAAAGGCAATGGGGATGGACCCAAACCGTCAAAGAGAGCTCGACGATAAAGTGTTGACGTGTTCAAGCATCGCGTCCGAGGCAATGCCACGACCTCCACACCCTCCACAGCGATTCTCTTTTCCTGACGATGTCTGTAAATTTCAAATATCATCCCTTGAAGGGATTTCTGTTGTACAGATATAGTCGCTAGGTCGACATAGACCGCTGCTGGCACAGGTTCTAATAATAAAATCTAAATTACCATGTAACTTGTCACGACTGAATTTTAAGAGTTAGAGCAACAGAGTGGAGGAAAGTAAGTACTAATAACTCGACATTCCGTGTCACTTTCTTCAAAGACTGTGTTGGGATTCGGTGGGATCTCCTACAGACATGTCACAGGCGCTATATTCAGACTCGCCAGCACCTCTCACCAAGTGGCATATCTTGCTCTGGCGCTGGTACATGCTTTGTAGCGGAGAGGCTGAGTGTCAAGTCTTCGAGACCCGATATCGTACCCAAGGAATGTGGTCAGCGTTGTTATCCGATCGAACGTGAAGGTTCTCAATATAACGGAAAGGACTCAGCGTACGGTTACGAAATTGGACGGATATCGAAACGCATGGATTCATTGGCCCTGTAGTACTAGTAAGCGGCAGTACCAGATACAACTTGAAGTTATCCTACTACGCCTCAATAGCCGCCCTATAATGCTAGAAGCCTACATGTTTCCCAGTCCGCTCGTTGAAATGAACGGAGTCGGGGGAAACAGCCAACACCGGCGTGATATATTCACCAACATGGTCATACGCAAATCCAACAACGCGAATCTGCTTCACGGGGTATTTCATCATGAACAGGACAAAGTCACTGGACGACAATCTCCCCGCCAGCTCAAGTGCCGTTCTCTCTAGCACCGTCAATACCGTCCTCGCCAGGTCCGAGGCCCACGTGACTGGAGTTTCTTCCCCTTCAATAGGTTGCCCATCACAGTCCAACGTTGGGGTCCAGTCATACGTACAACAGATGTCGGCCATCGTTAAGACTGTCTTCGGAAGCCAGACGTCCATCTCCGTTACGTACCCGCAATAGTCCACAACCAACTTTATGCTGTTCTGAGGGAGCGCGACGTGGGGTATGATGTCGCCCTCGACGCCGATCTCCATAGTTTCGGTCATTTCGTTGGAGGCGAGTATTGACAACATGGGTGCGCGGCTAGAAGGATCGTCGTAGAAGATCAGGTTTGCGAAGACACAGTTGTCTGGGCTGATTTTAAGGCTGCGGGGGAGCGTGTAGGCGTAGTCGAATGTGCTGTTCGGATCATCGAGGTAGTCGATAGCATAAGGGCAGTCTCGGCTGCTGAGGTCGACGAGGGTGTCCGCTGGTAAGTTGATGAGACCACGAGCGTAGGGCGAGTATTTACGGGACATGAGGATGGGACAGCGCTCCCCCATTTCTGTTACTGAAGGTAGCCAGGACATGATGATTGTTTCTTCGGATTTGATTCAAAGTCGAGTATGTGTTTGTCGTGTGCAGTTCTGGTATTTCAGGATGAACATGAACCTTGTTTTATACCTCACTGAAGGCGGCCAATGCGAGGAGTCGAAGACCTGCGCATTGACTGGAGCTGTGTTGCCATATCATCAGAAGTGCGCAGGAGGTCAACGAGCTTAGCGCGCGCCTATAGTAGAAAGTTGTTCCTTGTCGTTACGGCAACAGGCTAGGACCATTTGTACTCAATATTCTTGCAATCTTCTTTGTCTCGCACTGAAGGTAGATTAACTACGTAGGTCAAGGGGCCAAGGCATATCTACCTTCGGTATAAACAGAGAAAACCCTGCTTATCGTCACAGCAATACCGATGACCCAAGTGTCGCGACTAGACAGACCACGGCCCTTAATGACAGGACGAGCCTAATCACGACCACAACCATGGCACACCCGGACCTTCAACATCTTATCAGCGCCTCTATGACTTCTCGATTCTCGATGGACATTTCGGTAGCGCCAGGTAGGCAGAGCTACTACCTCCAGACAGGATCTAAAGTCCGCTCGTAGACGTTCTTCCTCCAGACCAGAATTCAAAAGGCGAGTACTTCCCGTTCCAAATGTGACGTCATCGATCATCCTTTACAGAGAGACGAGGACCCGCTAGTCCATCGACGGTCCTAGAGTGCTTTCTCGACCGACTCGCTGCGCTTAACGCCGACAGCGATATGTCCAGGCGCCTTCTATTGATTCTGATGGACTCTCCATTGACGAGGCTGGGACTTCGAATGGGCGGAGTAATTCCACTTTCGAGCGCTGCAAATATCCGAGTTAAGTTCATTTCTCTAGGGTTGCTCGTGGAGGGATAACGCTATACTGTAGTTAGCCTTTATGGCGATGTCAAGATGGCGGTGACGACGACTCTGAGCAGATCATGCGTTGAAGGATACCTCGACTTGCTACCATCCTGACATTAGCCCTCCGCGTTTTGGACTAGCACTCGGCATGTGGACAATTGCTGATACTTATGGGGATGCATGAGGTCACTGAGATCGTAGCGTGGTATCGAGATGGGGATAGAGAGGTCGGTATGTTGCTTTTCTCGGAGTAAGTCCTTTGAGGGCATTGCTGATCGTTCAGAATCATACATCTCGGTGTCATACATAGTCTGAGCCCTAAGTGACCAGGTGAAGGATGAGAGTATAAGTGACATTCTGTCAAGTGTAAGTCAGTGTCAGGCGGATGACACAAGATGACACATAACTACTGGTAAGACAGGAAGGTGAAGACGGTGAAGAGAGTGTAGACAGGGACTTATGACCTTTACGAACGCGACGGAAGCGCACGATTTACCTTGGATCATGATCAGTCGATGATTGTATTGAGTTGACTCGTGTTCGACGGAGATTTGGGATTCTGTCAGAACTCGGAGAACGCGGTCATAGGAGTCATACCCGGCTAACCTAACTTCTGGAAAATGGATATGAAAGTGAGTGAGTGAGGCAAGGTCGAGTGGAGTCGAGTGAATCCGAGTCGTCCTCCCATGGTTCTGCAGTCTGTCAATGTTGGCTTTGAGATTGGGCTACGGAGATATATCATCGCTCCCATATCGTTCATCTTTGAATGTTTCTGTGTTTCTGATCCGTGGTGAGGTATTTATCCCGACCGTGAGTGAGGCTTATGGAGGTTTATGAAGCATCACATTCTGAACATCCTTACCGAGTCCTTCCGCGCTCGAACTTAACCGAGGAGCTCCAAGGCACGGAACGATCCCTTTTCACGAAGTTCTTTCCTATCCTCATAGCTAGGCTTCACTTCAATAATCTTAGGTTTTACTCAACGGCTTTGGCAGACTCGAGTCGTGATTTAGAGTTAGTCGCAGCGCCGGATTCGAGGGTGTGGCTAATGGATGGGAATTAGGGAAGGGAGGTAAGTGACGCCTGGAGGACGGAAGAAGAATCGAAGAGGGAGGCTCGTTGTACCTGAAAATTAAGGGTATTACACCGAAAGCCGACGCGCGGAAGAGAAGAATGGGTGAGGCTGAAGAACCAATACTCCGGAGACTGAGCATGGAACTGGACTTGGGGGAAGGGAGATGGTGATCATTTAGCTAGATATGTACATCTTAGTCCAATCCTCACCGCGTCTTCAGTCCTCTTCCTCCTCCAAAGGACAAACTTCAAATCTGTACCACGTCCTACCATCGAGGTTGACGGCGACTCATCCATCGGCTATGTACATAGAGCATTGATCACGGGATTGCACCCGTGCAGAGCCAACCATCGAGCGTGGAGACTCAGACTGGGGTAAGTATGGGGTAAAAGGATCATTCCGAGATCAGCTTCGCCCTCGTGGAGCCACCCGGTAGTTTGGTTTGACTTTGCTCTGATGCCTGCATCGGTTAGAGTTGCAGGTATCTCCAATGGGGGTTGGGACTTCCCAGATGTGGATATTTCTCCGGGCGTGCCGCCCCTTGCCGCGCGTCAACTCGAAATCGCCGTTCACTTTTCACTGGCAAAGGTTAGTCTACATCGACGCACAAGCGAAGTGAACTCCAACGGAGAAAAAGGGAGGTAAGACCCGACGGCCGCCCTAACTCTTCACATCCATCAGATATCATAGGTTCGAATTCGGTGAAGCACAGAAGAGTCGGTCTTGTTGTGAGTGCTTCGAATAGCTGTCCTTTCGAAGGTAGAGCGGGGTTTGGGTGACACAAGACGGTGATAAGTGGATGAATGCGATTTTTTTAAGTACATCGAAGTTATGTAAGTCGTCTGAGGGCGTACTAAGGACACTTCTCTTGTGTGTGGTCATTGATTTCTTTCTGTTACGAAAGCCGACAGCCAGCAACTGTGGGATAGGGATGTTGAGGAAAACGTGGTGATGTGGGATTTTAAAGAAAACGTGGTCGAGGCGAGGCGAAGAGCTAGGCGGGCCGCTTTGGGCCTGTTCGATGAAGAGAGGTGAGTGAGAGTGCGAGGATGGATCGATGGATCGTCCTTCCTCTATCCCTTCAGTCAGTATTTACCCACCGGGAGTATATCACTCAGGCGTCCGACCTCAAGCACCTAAAGCGTTCTTCCGAAAACCACACTTCCATTCGAGCGAACTCTGGTCTACGCACGAGTATAACGGTGATATGATGGTACAGAAAGAAGTCCAAAGTTAAATAGTGTGTACGTAGACGTCGGACGGAGGGGAACGAACCTGTGGGACTTCGGCGAGGCACTTACTTCGGGAATGTCAGCGTGCGCGTGAGTGCGAGTGCGACTTGTCAGGGTCTTGTCAGACAGAAGAGCCTCTACCCGGCACATCAAAAAAGCAGAAAAAGGAAGGAAGAAGGGGCTGCAAGTTCTATTTACCTTGTATGGATCCTTCAAGCTTCTTCGAGTTCGCGCGTGGTTTGACAGATCATACGCCCGTTGGATTCTGGACCGAGTATACTTTTCTTTCGGTGATGATGAACCTTTTCTCCGTCGACGAGCTCGGTGTTAGGCTTTGTACGGGCGTTGGATGACTCGAAGTAGACCCGGGCTATTAGTGGATGGAAACTAATGAAAGAAACTCGCTGTAGAGATGGTAAAGATAGAAAGGTTAGATGGTAGTTGCCCTGAAGGTTAATCCCAGGCCCAGTGAGAGTGGTTTCCCCGTAGGATGGCATGAGACCAAAGGCACAACGAATCTTGAGAAGAAGCCAATACCACTCGGTGAATCTGGCTGTTCGACGATGTATTGCCGTCCTAGAGCGGCTTTCGGATTGAGGGATTTCTCCTACTATTTTCCAGAGGCTTGTGACTTGGAACCGCTTCCCTCGGATGGAAGAAGATTAGCAGCAAAAGAAAGTGAATTGAATGAACAGGACTCGAGGCAAGAGTGAGGTCAGCGAGATGGTGGCTGACTGGGCCGTTTGGCTCGGCGCTGCTCGCGTGCTTAGGGTGCACAGCCACTATGTTCCCAGGAGCCACGTGCGCGTCGGGCATTTGCTCGGAAGGCGGAATGAGGGTTTGCTGCGAACCGTGACCTTGGGGGAATAGCGCTTCAAATCGACTTGAATCGGCTGCCCACATGAGCGTTGAAAAGCTCTATACGCTATAATCTCGGGTGGCTACATCGACTATGGACAGCCTGGCAATCGCTTTTTACCCGAAAATTATCAGGTCGCGGAATCCCTCGTGGCCCTGGACTTCGACGATCAACGACCCTTCTTATTCACGCAATTGGCCCTTCGCTAGCCGGAAAAAGAATCTATCCAGGTTCTGAACCTGCGATTTCCGACTCGACTCGCTTTATTTCTCCGGAACAAGACACGGTGATTCTGAACAACGGTGATTTGGGTTTTGTTATAGTCGATTTATCGTCGCAGCGCGACGCTTCGAAATGTGCGAAGAGGTCCATTCTGGGATCGAACAGCGGCCCGCCAATCGTAGCCCAATCCCAATCTGGTTCCTGCGATCCATGGTCAGTCGTTTTGGGTACCACATTCTCCGGTCATATAAGAACTAACGCCTCTGGTTTTTTTGGATCCTTGAAGGTTCTTGGCAGCAATTCCCCCCGCGAACTAGTTGCAGGTGCTCGACATCATGGACGCACTCAAGCGTCCTCTTGTCGCGCTTGCCCTGGCGCTGCCAGTTCTCGCATCCATCGGTTCATGGACAGTCGGTCAGTATTTTATTCTCTTCAGTCAGTCTCCACAACTCACCTCGTGGTAGGTGGAGCCCATGATTGGTATGGCGATTCCTATACCAAAAACATCCCCAGTCATCTCGCTCCACTCGACGTGTCTTCTGGCTCCGACTCGTTGGTCCGTCGACAACAACCCCCAAATTGTGCCCCGCCAGCAAATCCGACGCTTGCACCAGTCGAACGCCTCAACAACCCATTCGTGTTCCTCGATGGAAGACCAGTCGCCGACGACGCAGATTGGTATTGCCGTCGTCAGGAGATCGCTACACTCTTCCAACGATACGAACTCGGTACTCTTCCTCCCAACCCTGCATCGGTCTCCGCATCGCTTTCTGGAACGACTCTCACCATCAACGTGGCTAGCAGCAATGCGACCACTTCCTTCGAGGCTTCGATTGAATACCCCCAAGGAGGCGGTGATGGTCCTTTCCCGGCCATCATTGCCCTCGGAGGATCCTCGTTACCTACCCCAGCTGGTGTCGCCGTTATCTCCTTCAACAACCGAGAGATTGCCTTTGACAGCGGTCCTATCGGACGCGGCCAAGGCAAGTTCTACCACCTCTACGGCGCATACCACCCCGCTGGCGCGTTGATGGCATGGACCTGGGCCGTCTCCCGCATCATCGATGGACTCGCCCTCACCCCTGGTGCAAGAATCGATGTCGGCAAGCTCGCAGTCACAGGTTGTTCGGTCGCTGGCAAGGGTGCCCTCGTCGCAGGTGCTTTCGAGCCAAGGATCGCCTTGACAATTCCAGTCGAATCAGGAACTGGAGGTGCAGGTTGCTGGCGTATCGCGGACGACATTCGTGAAGGTGGAGGTGCTATCGTTACTGCCTCCGAGTTGGCCAACACTACCACCTACTACTCTACCTCCTTCAACGCCTTCGCGACCAACATCCCAACCCTCCCCATCGATCACCATCTCCTGCAAGCTCTCGTCGCACCCCGTGGTTTGTTGATCCTCGACAACAGCCAATACTCCTGGTTGGGCCCTGCTTCCGTTTTTGGATGCAGTAAGACCGCCAACGGTGTGTACCGTGCTCTCGGTATCGGTGATAGGCTTGGTGTTTCCATCGTTGGAGGCCACGACCACTGTGTCTTCCCAGGTCAACAATACCCCGAGTTCCAAGCCTACATCAACAAGTTCTTGCGAGGAATCGACGGAGAGAACACCAATGTCCTCAAGAGCGACGTTCCCAACAACGGTGGCTTCGACGAAGCCAAGTTCGTCAACTGGACCATTCCTCAACTCGTTGCGCCTCCACCGCCACCCCCGCCTCCGGAGCCTGGTACGTGATAATCGGATCATCATGACGCGTTCAAGGTCACTGATGTTTTAACTTTTTAGGTGTCTGCGACGCGCCCCTCGATCTCGACCTTACCACGCCCATCCCGCGTCTCAACAATCCCTTCGTCTTCCTCAACGGTTCCGACGTCAGCGACACGAACGATTGGTACTGCCGTCGTCAAGAGATCAGTTCCTTGTTCCAGCGTTGGGAACTTGGTTATCTTCCTCCTCGCCCTTCGTCTGTTACTGGTACCCTCTCCGGTAACACCCTCACCATCTCCGTCACCAACGAAGGACGCACGATCTCGTTCACGGCTTCGATCACCTACCCCGAAGGCAACGGTCCGTTCCCAGCCATCATCGCCGTTGGAGGTTCGACCATCCCAGCACCTGCCCAAGTCGCCATCATCACTTTCAACAACCGCGAGCTCGCCGTCGACGATGGTACTCGAGGCCAAGGAAAGTTCTACGACCTTTATGGCAACAACCATTCGGCTGGTGTCCTCATGGCGTGGGCCTGGGGTGTTAGTCGGGTCATCGACGCCATCTCCTCCGTCCCCAACTCGCGCATCGACCCCGGTAAACTTGGTGTCACGGGTTGCTCCAATAACGGAAAGGCTGCTTTGATCGCTGGTGCCTTCGAGCAGAGGTTGGCGTTGACGATTCCGGTTGAGACTGGCACTGGAGGTGCTGGTTGCTGGAGGCTTGCTGATGATTTGAGGGAGAATGGAGTCGGTCTTGTTACCGCTCGTGACCTCGTCAGCACCACCTCGTACTATGCCACCGCCTTCACCCCCTTCGCCGAGAACATCCCCACGCTCCCCTTCGACCACCATTTGCTCGCATCGCTCGTCGCACCCCGAGGTCTCCTCGTTCTCGACAACTCGCAGTACCCCTGGCTCGGCCCACCTTCGGTCTACGGGTGCATGGTCACCGCCAACAAGGTGTACCAAGCCCTCGGTATCCGTGACCGTCTTGGTGTTTCCATCGTCGGAGGACACGACCACTGTGTCTTCCCAGGCCAGCAGTACCCCGAACTTCAGGCATTCGTCAACAAGTTCTTGCGAGGAAGCCAGAACGAGAACACGAACTTCATCAAGACCGACGTACCCAACAACGGTGGCTTCGATGAAGATGAGTGGGTTGACTGGGAGGTACCGAACCTCATCCCCGTCGTTGAGCCCCCTCCACCACCTCCCCCTGGTGTTTGCGACGCCCCTCTCGAACTCGACCTCACCGCCAACCCTACCCTCAACAACCCATTCGTCTTCGTCAACGGGTCCAAGACCGTCGAGAATACTGGGGACTGGTACTGCCGTCGACAGGAGATTGGAAGTCTCGTCCAGAGGTTCGAGTTGGGTTACCAGCCGGAGAACGCGACGACTACCGGTTCGCTTTCAGGGAACGTCCTCACCGTCAACGTCTCCCATGAAGGTCGCTCGATCACCTTTGCCGCCACCATCACCTACCCCACTGGAAACGGACCGTTCGCCGCCCTCATTGGTATTGGAGGATCGACTGTCCCTCAGGCTCCCGAGATCGCCACCATCACCTTCAACAACCAGGAGATCGCTGTCGACAACGGTGTCCAGGGTCGTGGTCAGGGCAAGTTCTACGATCTCTACGGGTCGAACCACTCGGCTGGTGCGCTTTTGGCGTGGGCTTGGGCTGTCAGCAGGGTCATTGACGCGCTCGCTGCTACCCCCAACGTTCGCATCGACGTCGGCAAGTTGGGTGTAACGGGTTGCTCAGCGAGTGGTAAAGCCGCGCTCGTCGCTGGTGCCTTCGACCCTCGTCTGTCGCTCACCATCCCCGTCGAGTCTGGTATCGGTGGTGCCGGTTGCTGGAGGATCGCTGATGACATCAGGGCTGGTGGTGGCGCGATTGTTACGGCTGGAGAGCTTGCGAACACGACCTCGTACTTCACCCCTGCGTTCGCTGCACTCGCCAACAATATCCCCACCCTTCCCTTCGATCACCATCTCCTCGCTGCTATGGTCGCTCCCCGTGGTCTCCTCGTCCTCGACAACTCGCAATACTCGTGGTTGGGTCCTCCTGCTGTCTATGGATGTATGGTCACTGCCAACAAGGTCTACCAGGCTCTTGGCATCCGTGATCGTCTTGGTGTGTCGATCGTTGGCGGACATGACCATTGTGTCTTCCCAGGTCAACAGTATCCCGAGTTCCAGGCCTTTATCAACAAGTTCCTGCGAGGCGCTGTCAACGAGAACACCAACTACATCAAGACGGACGTGCCGAACAATGGTGGCTTTGACGAAGCCAAGTGGGTTAACTGGCAGGTACCGAACCTCGTCCCCGTCGTCGAGCCTCCTCCCCCACCTCCCCCGCAAGTCTGCGACGCACCTGCTGAGCTCGACCTCACCCCTGTCAGCCGACTCAACAACCCCTTCGCGTTCGTCAATGGTTCCAAGACGGTCGAGACAAGCGATGACTGGTTCTGTCGTCGTCAGGAGATTTCGAACCTCTTCCAGAGGTTGGAGTTGGGCTTCATCCCTGGTCGTCCCACCACCGTTTCGGGCTCGCTCTCCGGCAACACGCTCACCATCAACGTCGGCCACGAAGGACGCTCCATCTCGTTCACCGCTACCATCACCTACCCTCAAGGCAACGGTCCCTTCGCCGCCATCATCGGTATCGGTGGTTCCACCCTCCCTCCTCCGCCAGAAGTCGCTGTCATCAACTTCAACAACCAGGAGATTGCGGTGGACAGTGGTACGACGCGTGCGCAGGGCAAGTTCTACGACCTGTATGGTGCTAACCGCTCGGCTGGTTCACTCGCTGCGTGGGCGTGGGCTGTCTCGAGGATCGTCGACGCCGTCTCTTCGACTCCCAACATCCGAATCGACGCTGGCAAGTTGGCTGTCACTGGTTGCTCTGCAGCTGGTAAAGCCGCTTTGGTCGCTGGTGCCTTTGAGCAGCGTATCGCGCTCACGCTCCCTGTCGAGTCGGGTATTGGTGGTGCTGGTTGCTGGAGGATTGCCGACGATTTGAGGAATGGAGGTGCTGCGATTGTCACGGCTGGCGAGTTGGCGAACACCACTGCGTACTTCTCCAGGGATTTCAACCCCTTCGCTGCGAACATCCCCACCCTGCCGTTCGACCACCATCTCCTCGCTGCGCTCGTTGCGCCTCGTGGTCTCCTCGTCCTCGATAACTCGCAGTATTCGTGGTTGGGTCCGCAGTCGGTGTATGGGTGTATGGTTACGGCGAACAAGGTCTTCCAGGCTCTCGGTATCCGCGACAGGTTGGGCGTCTCGATCGTTGGTGGGCACGACCACTGTGTGTTCCCCGGCCAGCAGTACCCCGAGTACCAAGCCTTCGTCAACAAGTTCTTGCGCGGTATCACGAGCGAGAACACAAACGTTATCAAGACCGACCAGCCTAACAATGGTGGATGGGATGAAGCCAAGTGGGTCGATTGGACTGTGCCTAACCTTGCTCCTGGTCAGCCTCCTGTTGAACCTCCCCCACCGCCGCCACCGCAAGTCTGCGACGCACCCGCCGAGCTCAACCTCTCCGCCGTCGATCGCCTCAACAACCCCTTCGCTTTCGTCAACGGCTCCAAGAACGTCGAGGACGTCAACGACTGGTACTGTCGTCGCCAAGAGATCGGTAGCTTGTTCCAGCGCCTGGAGTTGGGCTATGTTCCTGCTCGCCCGTCGACCGTCACCGGCTCCATCTCTGGAAACGCGCTCACCGTCACCGTCGGTCACGAGGGTCGCACTACCAGCTTCACTGCTAACATCACCTACCCTCAAGGCAACGGCCCCTTCGCTGCGATCATCGGTATCGGTGGCTCCTCCGTCCCCGCCCCTCCTGAAGTCGCCATCATTACGTTCAACAACCAGGAGATTGCGGTTGACAATGGAGTCGCTGGTCGTGGCCAGGGCAAGTTCTACGACTTGTACGGCACAGGTCACACTGCTGGCACTCTCGTCGCGTGGTCTTGGGCAGTGTCTCGCATCATCGACGCCCTCCAGTCCACTCAGAACTCGCGTATCGATGCTGGCAAGTTGGCTGTGACGGGCTGTTCGGCTGCTGGTAAAGCTGCCTTGGTGGCTGGTGCCTTCGAGCAACGTCTGTCGCTTACCATCCCTGTGGAGTCGGGTATCGGTGGTGCTGGATGCTGGAGAGTCGCTGAGGAGTTGAGGAGAGGAGGTGCTGCGATCGTTACCGCCGGTGAACTTGCGAACACGACCTCGTACTACTCGCGGGATTTCAACCCCTTCGCGGCCAACATCAACACTCTTCCTTTCGACCACCATCTCCTCGCTGCCATGGTCGCCCCTCGCGGTTTGCTCGTCCTCGACAACTCTCAGTTCTCGTGGTTGGGTCCTCAGGCTGTTTACGGATGCATGGTCACAGCGAACAAGGTTTACCAGGCTCTCGGTATTCGCGATCGTCTCGGTGTTTCGATTGTTGGAGGCCACGATCACTGCGTGTTCCCTGGTCAGCAGTATCCCGAGTTCCAGGCGTTCATCAACAAGTTCCTCCGTGGCATCACCAGCGAGAACACCAACGTCATTAAGACCGATCAGCCCAACAACGGTGGATGGAACGAGTCGAGATGGGTGGATTGGACTGTTCCCACCCTCGTTCCTGGCCAGCCTCCCACTGAACCACCCGTCGAGCCACCCCCACCTCCTCCACCCCAGGTCTGTGACGCCCCCGCCGAGCTCAACCTCTCCGCCGTCGATCGCCTGAACAACCCCTTCGCCTTCGTCAACGGCTCCAAGAACGTCGAGGACGTCAACGACTGGTACTGTCGTCGCCAGGAGATCGGTAACTTGTTCCAGCGCTTGGAGTTGGGCTATGTCCCTGCTCAGCCCTCGACCGTCACTGGCTCGCTCTCTGGCAACTCCCTCACCGTCACCGTTGGTCATGAAGGACGAACGACGAGTTTCACCGCCAACATCACGTACCCTCAAGGCAATGGTCCGTTCGCCGCCATCATCGGTATTGGTGGTTCCACTGTTCCCAACCCTCCTGAAGTCGCCGTCATCACGTTCAACAATCAGGAGATTGCGGTGGATAACGGTGTTGCTGGTCGTGGCCAGGGCAAGTTCTACGACCTCTATGGAACTGGTCACACCGCTGGCAGCCTTGTCGCTTGGTCGTGGGCCGTGTCTCGAATCATCGACGCCCTCCAGTCTACCCAGAACACTCGCATCGACGTTGGCAAGCTCGCCGTCACCGGTTGCTCAGCTGCGGGTAAGGCTGCGTTGGTTGCTGGTGCTTTCGAGCAGCGTCTGTCCCTGACCATCCCCGTCGAGTCTGGAATTGGAGGAGCTGGATGCTGGAGAGTCGCTGAGGAGCTTCGTCGTGGAGGTGCCGCGATCGTCACCGCTGGTGAGCTCGCCAACACCACCTCGTACTACTCTCGTGACTTCAACCCCTTCGCCGCTAACATCAACACCCTTCCTTTCGATCATCACCTCCTCGCTGCTATGGTCGCTCCCCGTGGTCTTTTGGTTCTCGACAACTCTCAGTACTCGTGGCTCGGTCCTCAGTCTGTCTACGGCTGCATGGTCACCGCAAACAAGGTCTATCAAGCACTCGGCATCCGCGATCGTCTCGGTGTTTCGATTGTTGGAGGCCACGATCACTGCGTGTTCCCTGGTCAGCAGTATCCCGAGTTCCAGGCGTTCATCAACAAGTTCCTCCGTGGCATCACCAGCGAGAACACGAACGTCATCAAGACCGACCAACCCAACAACGGCGGATGGAACGAGTCGAGATGGGTCGACTGGACTGTCCCCACCCTCGTTCCTGGTCAGCCACCTACCGAGCCTCCCGTCGAACCTCCTGCACCTCCCCCACCTCAGACCTGCGACGCCCCAGCCGAACTCAACCTCACAGCTGTCGATCGTCTCAACAATCCATTCGCGTTCATCAACGGTTCGAAGACTGTCACCACCGCCGATGACTGGTATTGCCGACGACAAGAGATTTCCAACCTCTTCCAGCGACTCGAGTTGGGTTACGTTCCTCCCCGCCCGGCGACTGTCACTGGATCCCTCTCTGGTAACTCGCTCACCATCAACGTCGGGCATGAAGGTCGTTCCACCAGCTTCACCGCCAACATCACCTACCCTCAGGGCAACGGGCCGTTCGCGGCTATCATCGGTATTGGCGGCTCGACCGTTCCGGCTCCGCCCGAGGTCGCCATCATCACCTTCAACAACCAGGAGATCGCAGTCGACAACGGTGTCGCTGGTCGCGGACAAGGCAAGTTCTATGACCTCTATGGAACTGGCCACACCGCAGGCAACCTCGTCGCTTGGTCCTGGGCCGTTTCACGCATCATCGACGCTCTTCAATCGACGCAGAACACTCGCATCGATGTTGGCAAGATCGCTGTCACTGGATGTTCGGCTGCGGGTAAGGCTGCGTTGGTCGCTGGTGCCTTTGAGCAGCGCATCTCTTTGACGATCCCTGTGGAGTCGGGCATTGGAGGAGCAGGATGCTGGAGGGTTGCTGAAGAACTTCGTCGTGGAGGAGCCGCCATCGTTACCGCCGGTGAGCTCGCCAACTCGACCTCGTACTACTCGCGCGACTTCAACCCCTTCGCCAACAACGTCAACACCCTTCCCTTCGATCATCACCTCCTCGCTGCTATGGTCGCTCCCCGTGGTCTCCTCGTCCTCGACAACTCTCAGTACTCATGGCTCGGTCCCCAGTCGGTGTATGGATGCATGGTCACTGCGAACAAGGTTTACCAGGCTCTGGGCATTCGCGATCGTCTCGGTGTCTCCATCGTCGGCGGTCACGACCACTGCGTCTTCCCCGGTCAGCAATATCCCGAGTTCCAGGCGTTCATCAACAAGTTCCTCCGTGGCATCACCAGCGAGAACACCAACGTCATCAAGACCGATCAGCCCAACAACGGTGGATGGGATGAATCGCGATGGGTCAACTGGCAAGTTCCCAACCTTGCACCCGGACAGCCGCCCGTCGATCCTCCCACTCCTCCCACTCCCGGCTCTTGTTCCGCACCGCAGAACATCACGTTGACCCCCAACACCCGCCTCAACAACCCGTTCTCCTTCGTCAACGGCTCCAAGTCGGTTACGACCACTGACGACTGGTTCTGCAGACGCCAAGAACTTACCGACCTCTTCCAACGCTACCAACTCGGTACCCTCCCCGGACGGCCTTCGACCGTCACCGGCTCCCTCTCTGGCAATACGCTGACCGTCTCCGTCTCCAACGGTGGTCAAAGCACTTCGTTCACGGCCTCCATCAACTACCCGACTGGTGACGGACCCTTCCCCGCCTTCATCGCCATCGGTGGTTCGACTCTACCTCAACCCGCCGCCGTCGCCGTGATCACCTTCAACAACCAGGAGATCGCTGTCGACAATGGTGCCGCCTCTCGAGGCCAGGGCAAGTTCTACGATGTCTACGGTTCCAACCATCCCGCTGGTGCTCTCGTCGCCTGGTCATGGGCTGTCAGTCGCATCATCGACGCTCTCGGCGCTGTTCAGAACTCTAGGATCGATCTCGGCAAGCTTGGTGTCACCGGTTGTTCCGCGAAGTGGCAAGGCCGCTCTCGTCGCTGGTGCGTTCGACCAACGTCTCGCTTTGACCATCCCCGTGGAGTCTGGTATTGGAGGAGCTGGAGCTTGGAGGATTGCGGATGAAGTTAGGAGGGGAGGAGGAGCTATCGTCACAGCTGAAGAACTCGCCAATTCGACTGCCTACTTCACGCCTAGCTTCGGTCAGTACGCGAGCCAGGTCAATTCTCTTCCGTTCGACCACCACCTCCTCGCCGCCCTCGTCGCCCCACGTGGTCTTCTCATCCTCGACAACAGCCAGTACTCGTGGCTCGGTCCTCAAGCTGTGTACGGTTCCGCTGTCTCTGCGAGCAGGGTCTACCGATCCCTCGGCATCGCGGATCGACTTGGCGTCTCCATCGTTGGCGGCCACGACCACTGCGTCTTCCCTGGACAGCAGTACCCCGAGTATCAGGCCTTCGTCAACAAGTTCCTCCGAGGTAGCCTCACCGAGAACACCAACTTCATCAAGACCGATGTTCCCAACAACGGAGGCTTCGATGAAGGACGATGGATCGACTGGACCCTCCCCACGCTCGCCCCCGGTCAGCCACCTACTGAACCACCGACTCAGCCCCCCACCAACCCGAACGTTTGCGCTGCACCCCAGAATCTCACCCTCACCGCGAACACTCGCCTCACCAGTCCTTTCACCTTCGCCGGTAGCACTCGAGCGGTCACGTCCACCAACGACTGGTTCTGTCGTCGTCAGGAACTCACGGACCTCTTCCAGCGTTACGAACTCGGTACCATCCCAAGCCCTCCTTCGTCTGTGACCGGATCGATCTCGAACACCACCCTCACCGTCAACGTCTCGCATAACGGTCGATCGACCTCCTTCGTCGCCTCGATCACCTACCCCACCGTCGGTGAAGCGCCCTTCCCCGCCATCATTGGCATTGGCGGCTCGGCTCTCCCGACTCTCCCCGGTATCGCGGTCATCACGTTCAACGCCCAGGAGATCGCTGTCGACAACGGAGCTGCTGCGCGTGGTCAAGGGAAGTTCTACGACCTCTACGGCTCTGACCACTCCGCTGGTGTCTTGGCAGCCTGGTCCTGGGCTGTTAGTCGCGTCATCGACGCTGCCGGCTCGACTCAGAACAGCAGAATCGACGCCTCCAAGATCGCCGTCACCGGTTGTTCCGGCTCTGGAAAGGCTGCCTTGGTCGCTGGCGCCTTCGATCAACGTATCTCGCTGACGATTCCTCAAGAGTCGGGAACTGGTGGAGCAGGGTGCTGGCGTATCGCTGATGAGCTTCTCAGGAACGGACAGGGTATCGTCACCGCCGCCGAGTTGGTTAACTCGACAGCCTACTTCGCACGGGACTTCAATCCATTCGCCTCCCAGGTCAACAACCTCCCCTTCGACCACCATCTCCTCGCCGCTCTCGTCGCTCCCCGAGGCCTTCTCGTTCTCGACAACACTCAGTACTCGTGGCTAGGCCCTCAATCCGTCTACGGCTGCATGAGGACCGCCAACAAGATCTACGAGTCGCTCGGCATCGCGGACCGCATGGGTGTGTCGCTCGTCGGTGGTCATGACCATTGTGTCTTCCCTGGGCAGCAATACCCCGAGCTCAACGCCTTCGTCAACAAGTTCCTACGCGGCAGCTTGAACGAAAACACCAACGTCATCAAAACGGATGCGCCCAACAACGGAGGATTCGACGAGTCCCGATGGGTTGATTGGACCACTCCGAGACTGTGAGTTATGCCTTTCGCTTTCTCGTTCTTTCCGTTACTGACTTCCGCGCTCGCTTTTCAGATCATAGAGGGTTGTGATCCCATACCATCTCGATGAATCTTTGTCGCGTCAATGTACGCATTTCCTTATGTTTCCGCTCGCTCTTTTTTCAATTCATTCACCACACGTGTAGTTTACATCATTCATTTCTTCATTCATTTCTTCCTCGTTCCTCGTTGTCAGTCGTGTCCACCAGATCTCTAACGCTGTATCATTGGTCAGTGGGGCTTTCGATTGTATGTAGTTTTATACCAGGCTTCTTTCCGTATATCCGAAATTGTAGCTATCGCTTTTTTCCATTGTTACTAAAGTCCATAAATGCTCAATACATTTTTCTTCTTTCATGGCTTCACTCTTGTTCTCGTCTTGTAAGGATTCGTAGGACCGCGGAAGTGTTCTTCCCTCTGAATTGTCTGGTTTTTGAAGCGTTCGTGCTACGACTCTCTTACATGAAGGCAGAGGTACGAAGGCCTTTGTTTAATCTCGCCCAATTCTGTACGTTTGTTTGACAGATGATTTATTGAAGACGTTTATACACAAGCATTGTCAAGGATAGGCAGGATGAACAGGATATACCTTTGAAAGATGGATTACATGATCGCTTAAACGCCGGTCCCAAAGGTCTCGATGGGCCAAGCGCTACCACTGACGCCCGTGGCATAGGCTTTGACATGGCTACCTGGGCCGAAATTGTTGATCCCCGCTTTGACCTATCGTCAAGGACGCGTTTTGGCTTGAGTGGGTTCAGCGTATATAAGTCGGGTGGAATCTCGACGAGCTGGATCATCCACCAACCTCCACATCTATCCATCCAACGCTGATTCAGACGATGTCCGCCCCAATCCCGAACGACGCAGTCCATGTGTTGACTCTTCCTGCGCACACTCTCATCAAACTTGACGGCCCTTCTGGTCCCCGTGCCATTCAAGAGTTGAACGAGAATGAACGCGTGGATTACGCATATATCCTTCCTCGAAGAGAGATAGCGTGCATCACGGTTGTCAGTCTCATGTCCAATGGTTCCATGGCACCCAGACTCGTAGAGCTCGGTAGGTACGCGACATCTACTTCGCTTCGACTCGAGCTTGTAGAAAAGGTCATCACCCCTCATGCGAAAGTGGCCGAGAAGAATACGCTCCGTCTGGACTTTGCCTCCTATGTCAGGGAGATGGAAATTGAGACGCCGGAGCCGGTGAGCACTTTTGATGAGGTCGTCAAACGGTTTGTTCTCAAGAGGAGCGAAGATGACCCTGGTTTTGTCATTACTTGGGCGTATTTCATTGCGTCCCAGCTGTTGAAATGGGTCAGGGAAGTACACGAATCGGTGACGGCGCTGTCCGCGCTACCCAATCTTCACCGCGACAGTTTCATCGGTTTATATCCTGTCAACGCACTTCGGGTGGGAGGGTTCATCTATGACCCTTACGCTAATATTATCACTCCCATTTTGCTGGTTTCCCCACAGACGGCGATATGCAAGGATACGAATCGCCACCCCGGATTCTAGTACATCTTTACTATTTGCCCTTAATTACGATTTCTCCTCATGTTCCATTCGATTTTGTTTTTCAATTAGATGAAATGCGTCTCCACCTGTTTACAACTCCAACTTGGCTTAGAATCTAACTTGGAATACGCCGACTGAATTCGCCGCGCCCCTGCAGCGATCAAGCGTCTGGTGGCTGTGTCCACTTTACGGCCGGTTCATTCGCGTTCGAAATCCAAAGCGCTCGCAAAACCAAGGCGTGAATTCAAGCTCTACTGGTTTCTACAAGCTTAGAGAGAGCCTATTGGAATCCTAGATACTATTTATCATTATCCTAAGTGATGTGATTGGCTTCGGTTTATCGCATTTGGGTCGATGTGTAGCCCCGCGTCGGTGGGCGTTACAGTGGCTGTAGTGTCAATGCTCGAATAATCAGTTTAGTCGTACGTCTTTTGTATTTAAGTATTCTTGAATAATCGACTCCAATCGGTGAACAATAACGAGTCAATCCTTCGTGGCTCGAACTTGGAACTTCGTGTGGTTCGCGATCACATGGTGGACTGTGGGAAAGTTCGGTTGCAGATATCTGATGTCCGCCGTGGCTCGCGCGACCGCGGCCACAGCTTGACTTCTAACCACCACCATCTCCGAATCTATCTGCGTCGAAACCTCTATCTAGTAGATTCTCTGTCACAATGTCCAGCGAATTCTCGACGTGTCAGGTCGATGAATTTTTCAAATCTTATCTCCCAGACCACAGGATGCACTTCGACGCTGTTATTGCAGACCTGAAGAAACAAAAGACTCTCGTCGATCGTAGCCCGTCCCAGCAAAAGCGCAGTCGTTCTTCGTCATCGAAGAATAGGCCCGCATTTTCCCATGTCTTTAAGACGCTCAACAACTTGTTCCAAACTGGGTCTGCAGCACCCAATCGAGTTCTAAAGTCCTTTCAGACCGTCGGGAACGCGGTTCGCAAAGCCCTGGGGAAGGCCAAAGCGCCAACCAACGAACGGGGCATTCGGGTGGATGAAAGCAGCGAGAAAGGCGCCAGTGCCTATCTTACAACGAATCTTCGTTCTCCAGCCCATCTGACGGATGTCGTGGTCCCGATTGAGATCACAACTTCAAAGGTACGTGACGTTCATTTCGAACATTATTGTGGTCCTAACGCACCCCATTCTTCAGGAAACCAAAATCATGACTCACGCCGCAATGATTCTTAACCGCGATGCTCGGCGAGAATTCTCATACGCGGTATGTCGGATCGCACCCCTACCGTTTCTTGATGCTGATTTCCCTGCAGGTCACGATCGAAAATCAAAACCTGTCAGTGTGGTACCTGTCCAGGGCCGTGGCCGTCAAGTCTAAGCCATTTGATATGCAACAGGTATGCCTCAAGTCCGTTAGTCTGCCACTGGGTACTGAAGACCTTTTTATCGCAGCACGCAGATCTCCTCGTCCAGCTTCTCGTCTCGTTGTTCTGCTCTTCGAACGAGCAGTTGGGATACGATCCGCTCGTAACACTCCTCCCAGACAGGAGCTTCGTGTATCAGCTCCCTCCCGATGGCGACAGGACCTTCCCTTTGTTCTACAGAACGTTGGGGGTCATCTGCGACCGCCAATCCGCACACCTCTGCGAGCGTCAGTCCCGAGTATGGAAAGTCGAGCAGGTGACCTCTGCCTCACATCCACAGAGAGTTTCGGGGACGTCGACCATGGTTTTGAAGGATTCGTCCATCGATGCTCTCGCACCCGTCGAATCGGACGTACAACACAGGCTGTTCGGAGACATCACGGACTTTGCGCGAAACAAGAATTGGCGGTCCCATCCGTTGCTGAAGGACGCCAACAACGACGACCTGCACGCTCTCGGGGAGGCTTTGAAGGGAGATAATTTCAAGCAGTTCTTCTCATGCATTGTTTCGAAGCATGTCGCCCTGATCGACCCTATCTCCGACATGGATCAAGAGACCAGTCGTCATCGTCGAGTACGACTTGTTTACGAAAATGTCTGCACTGCGCTACACGATATCCCTACACTCGGGGAGGCCATTGATATCGTCAAGCAGACTCTTCTTGGTACGTGCCCTGGAATTTGACGCGTGCTGAATACTTATTCAGCTCGTTCGGTAGGGCTCCGCCTCATGTTTTGTGCAGGCTGGGTTCATCGCGACCTAAGCCCCGGCAACATCCTCGCCTTTCGAGCAACGTCTGACTCCCCTTGGCAAGTCAAGATCTCCGACCTTGAGTTTGCGAGGAGGTTCCCTGATTCCGAGGTCGCGACAGACTCGGAACAACTGACGGTATGTTTTATCGACTAGGTATTTAAACCGTGTGACTTACGCCCGAGTTTAATTAGGGCACACCTCACTTCATGGCCTATGAGCTACTGCGCTCGCAGTATCTTCTCCCAGAATACACTGCGACCGGGGAACCATTTCCCTTTGACCCAGAGGTTTCCGTTATTCACAACTACCAGCATGACTTGGAGGCAGTTTGGTGGATCATTCTTTGGTTGGTGTCAACGAGGGTGAAACAGAAGCTTTCCCGCACATTCGGCGAGGACATGTTCAAGCAGCACGTCACCCCCCTGTACGCAAAGTCTCGATGCTGCGTCTTGACAATCCCGCTCATGCGTGACACCGACCTTCCCAAGGCCCTTCCCTCCTCACTGCGGTCCTCCTCCTTTCTCCGTTGCCTTGACACTCTGCGGCGAGATCTTCATCACCAATACCTCGCTCGAAATGGAGATGGTAAACAGAGCGACATCGGCACTTACTCTGGGATTGTATGTGACTCATTTCCCAGATTCCTCCGCGGCATAGAACCCTCTCGTGATGATTGGGGATCCATTCAGCTCATTGTCGAGAGTGAGCGCCTCGAGAGGCGAAGGAGAAAATTAGAGGCCATGCGTCAGCAAAAAGCGGGATCCCGCCCAGCTGACAATCTTATTCGACCCGAGAAGCGCAAGAGAGGCCCCGAACGGAATCAGCAACCATCTAAAAGGACTCGCGCTTCAGCTGCAGTGCCCGTCGAGCGAAGGGGCCCTGTCACTCGATCAATGACCAGGAACGCTCGCGTGGTGACAAGATCAATGGCTCGCCAGATGGAACAGGCGAACAAGGGACGTCGCTGATTGCACCGTAATGGCATTATGTATGTTTGTACTGCAATATGTTTAGAAGTTCATATGGAATGACCTAGTCTTGAAGCTTGAAGCTCCATGAGGGAGCGCGAAAAGGGAATCCTGATGCATACGACTAATGAGAGCTGTAGTTGTCTTAGCCTACCTTTGGTCCATGCCGCGCGAAATGAAAACGGTCAAGGGGTGAATCAATGAGGGTAGTAAGAAGGTAAAGTTCAAGACACACTCCCCAACGCACCCTCTCCAAACGCAAACAAATCAATGCGATCTACAGCTCTAAGGGCACGTCTCTTTACAACGACGGTCGATATTTCCGAGTAAACTATAAAGCTATCCTCCTTCCCTCTCTCGTAGCAGACTGTTTTCGAAAGTGTGCTCGGTGTACCCCTCGGTATCACGATGTTTGGGGTGAAACTGATAATGGATGTATTGATGTTGATAAGTGTACACAAAAATAATTCTGAAGCCCGTCGACCTGCGAGAAATACACTGTAGTTCCCTGTAACCTTCCTTGGGCTAAATGACATATGTGCAAGTCTGGCAGCATTAGGACTCAGCGTGTTCAGCAATGGCGAGATCGCTTAAAAGGTCTCTTCTCATCATTCTGAGGCGTATTGGGGGTAGTCTTGGTCATCGACCTAGTTACGGGTCTCATAGACACGTCGCCGGGGAGGGTCTCGTTTTGACCAAGGTGCCCATTCGGTAAGGCGGCATATTTCCGTGGTTCCACTCTGCCATTGCCGCTGCTCTTACCCACAGTAGAGGCCTTCTTTGCTTCGTCGCTAGTCCCTTCCATCTTTGAGGCCTTGCGCTTTAGCTCTTCTTTGCGGACTGTCTTTGACACAATCAATTTGACAGGCGCCCATTCGTCCCTCCTGGCACGCAATCCAGAGAAGAAGTCCGGAAAGGTTGTTCCCAGAATGCGTGAATAGGAACCAATTATGGTCTGCTTGTTGGTGGCATTCCGATTGACGTACTCCCGCTTCAGATCTTTTCGGACCTTCTCGAGCCCTTCAAGGATGGTTGACCGGAAAGGTCGGGGCAATGAGCGGAGCAGGTCTTGCTCCTGTGTTAGGGAATACGACAGACAGTGGTTGCGCCCCTTGATATAAACACCAGACATGGTCTGTTGGAATGTCTCTTTTCCAAACGCTCGGGGGAGATTCTGCCTCACTCGCATTGTCACGAGCCAGAGCAAGATCCACCATAGAGATTCGAGATCGTGCTGGGGGTTGTGAATGATTACTGTGTTGCTTGCCTCGGAAGTATCAGTGAGGATAAGCTGTGAGCTTTGGACCTCGACAGCCATGAAGTACATGGTTCCCTGAAATGTGAAGCGAGTGAGTTTCAATTGAGACTATGTGACCAAGATCGTGGGACATTACCGTTTTGACCTCCGTACTTGCAGTTGCTGTAGGGTTGCCCGGAAAACGTTTGGCGTACTCGAGATCGGACAACTTGACCTGCCATGGTGTACCTGGCGAGGAACGATGGGCGAGTATGTTTCCGGTGCTGATGTCCCGGTGAACCCATCCCGCGCAGAACATCAGGGTAAGAGCTGTAATCGAATGATAATCAGTGGCCGCTACAGCAAGCCTCAGAAAGCTTGGACGCCACTTACCCAAAAGACATTGCTCTAGGATATCAACTGCCTCTCCCATGGTGTGGACGTTGTGAAGTGGGGTGCATACGTTCTTGTAGATGAATCTGCACTGTTGTTTCGGTTCGAAGGGCCGAGAAAGATCATCTCCATCTGTACTTTCGACACTGCTTCCACAGTCTGACATGTCGTCTTCAAATTCATAATCATCGTCATCCAAACCATTTGTGGCCTGGTATTTACGAATCGTCTCAGTAGCATTCTCCTCCAAGGGCTCGACATTCTGGAAGGTGTCAGGGGCATCCCATGCCTGACTTGCGACAGGAAGGCTAGGGCTCCCAACGTGCTCGTCGATAATGCATGAGAAATAGTTCCTGTACATCTTTCCGTCGCCTTCCAGCAACTGTGCCAAAGCCGCCTTCCTTTCCTCAGATAGGTCCTTCAACAACTCGTGCTTTCGCCATTCCGTTTTCCCAAAGGTGTCGATGTCAAGGAATAGATCTCTCTGGATGTCCCCCTCCGTCGGTGTGTTGCGATAAAGGGAGACATCCTTGAGTATCATGTCGTGCGTACCCGGGACCCGACTATGATCCTTCGCGGAGACGACTTGCATAACCTTCCAGATGCGGGTGTTGCGCCCAACCAGGTTTAGAACACGAAATTCGGAGAGTGAACCGAGGGTGAGATAGAAGCTGCTATCCGTCCTCTCGCCACTGGGCGGGAACTCGTAGACGTAGTCTTTATCCCCCACCAACGTGACAAGTGGGTCAAATCCGAGTTGCTCGTCGGTGGCGCAAAATAACGAAACCAGAATCTGGACAAAGAGGTCGGGGTGCTGAAAGACGGGGTTAGATATGAAACGATCTCAAAGGACTAATTAATGTTGAACGTACCTCGACCATACTGAAGGATCTGGATTTGGCCGAATGCGAGCGAGAGAAATACCAAAGAGAAACTCGATCGTTCTCAATGGTAATCTAGAACAGAGGACAATGAGTACCGGTCTACTGGCAGTGTGAACACAGGACTTACACCGTAGGTCCATTTTCGGCGTGCATCATCGGTCATGGCGTGGTTGACGTGAGACGCGAGCTGAATGCGGTTCTGAACGCGCTCATTAGTGGTATATTCAGACAATCCCGGATACAGTGCTCTCATACCTGATAAACCTCGCCCGGCGAACGATTTAGTTTGAATTCAAAGGGCACTGCAATGTCGGTGATCGAAAGTCGCTTGTTCAAATTCGTGTTTCTTGTCATCGCTGCGTCAATCCGATGATCCGACCCTTCGATGGGGGACTTGAGACGAGCATGGGGGCACATGCGAATGGAATGACCATTGACAGTGGCACCTTTCACCTTGCGCAGGCTCTCAATGACCGATGCACCGATTGTCGCCAAAGAGTCGAAAACCATTATCTCGTTGGGCTTCTCCGCGTCGTTGGCGTCGGTACTCTCCTCGATAATGGCGGGCGGGCGGAAGTTGTTGAAGACATGGGAATATACCTTTCTTCCGTCTTCACTCGAGGATACTGTGGCCTTCTTCTTCTTCGACTTTGCGCGTGGTACGAGGACGTTCTCCTTCTTCAGGTTTGCTATGACCGATATGACGGTCCTCTTGTTGCACTTGGGCATGTAGTGATTGAGGAATTCTTCGATCGAGCAGCCGACCATCTCTGAGTTCATCACTTCCGCGATCCCTCCTCGGAGCTGCGTGGTTGTGGCATTAAGCCCTGCCCTAGCTGGTGCGGTTCGCGGAGTTACCAGCTTCTTAGCGAGGGCGCTCCAATGGGTAGATCTTTTCTTGCCCGGGGGCGTTCTATTCGAGGCGAGTCAAGTGGCCAAGTTGGACATACAAAAACGGCAACGAGTAAAGCGTCATCGTTGCGCTCTGGGTACTTTGGATATAGAGAGTATACTTCGTATTCTGTTAACGGCCAACTCCCGCAATGGATGGTAGTGGTTGAAGATCAACAGGCGTTTCAACCATCCTCGCTTTCTAGTCCCGCTCTGCAGCATTGATGGCGATCATTGTCCAGCTGTTTCGATTCGGAAAATACTACCCACGCCAAGCCATATCAATTTCTCCCGTGGCGTTTGTCCGCGAAATGCATTGCCGCTCAAGCCATACGAGATGAGGGAGGAGATAATATCAATATCGATCTAGCTTCTAATCACCATACTGGAAGACAGTGTGACAGTGACCACCTAGACCCGGACTAAAATAAAAGCATGAGTTACAAAGGCACAGTGATTGTGATACGGTGGTCTGAGCGGGAGTGGCAATGGCAGTGAGAGAAATGACAACGGGCTCAAAAGTGTATTTCAGTTAGCAATATATCATACAGCCACCAGTAGCTTGAGCCTCGAGTGAAAGCTTCGGTTAATAATCAGACCTGTGTGTACATAATTGTATGCGTGGTGGTCGGTTACTCTAGGGTTAGATGGCGTTGGGCTACTTGCAACATAAAGTCAAGAATAATAGCAGACCTGTGGGTTGAGAAACCGTATGACTACTCTACAGTGACGTACTGTACAGAGTCCAACGTTGTCGACGGTCAACCTTGGTCATCCATGTCGACATTTCTACGTTTCTTAGGAACTTCGACAGTGGGCGAGGGGGTAACGGCGTTCCCGTGGACCCTGGTCCTGATTTCGGTGGCTCTCGGTCGACCATAAGTTCGACGGGGGCCACAAATCACTGAGATAGAGGCGGCTACAGAACGAGGTTTTCAGCTCTCTGGGAAGTGATTCTATCATATCCTCGTCGCCCAAGATGATCTCCATGAACAAGCCACTCCATACCCCAGCGTGTGGCGGGTCGACTCACTGTTGGAAGCAAGCTTGTCCGAAATTTCTTGACAACGTCCAGAGGGGAACCTAGGTGAAATCCGGAAAGAAAACTCTCCAAAAAATCCGGATATTTTTGCTCAAAAAGGATCTAGGTTCCCCCTAGGTTTTCCGGGGTCCTGTCGCTGCCCAGCTGTGATATGAAGAAAATGTTGGGTCGAAGGCTTGCGCTGCGGCATTCGACGAGCATCTTCGCGATCACCTGGCGCATCGTGGGAACTGTGCTGCCAGCCGGTGTTGATGGTACGGTGGCAATGCGTCCGTCACCTCTTGTCCCATTCACCATCCATCCGCGATACCTGACAACCCATTCCTTATCGCTTTCGTCTAAGTATCGTTCTCAGAAGTCATCTCGATATGAACGCTGATATATCCACATGCAAATCCGAGGATTTCCTTGAGAATTACCTACCCGACCACGAAATCGAGTTCAACACCGTGATTCAAGACCTCAAGAAACAGGGGATGCTGGTTGCTCGACCTTGGTCTCTGAAACAGGTAGAATCTTCGCCCGCCAAAAGGCCACCGTTTACGCATACGTTTAAGTCTTTCAAAACTGTGTTCCTATCCCGTACCACCAATTCCACCCGCGTCATGAAGACGCTGCAAACGATCGGTAACGCCGTTCGTAAAGCGCTCGGCAGGGCCACAAATTGCGAGGTCAACGACTGCTCCATCAGAGTGGAGGGCAACCGGGGATGCATAACGTCGAACTTGGATAGCACCTTGCATCCCACGGACGTCGTAGTGCCGATGGCAGCCATTCCAGACGATTCCGACGACCACCCATCATCGAGCCAGGAAACTCGGCGGTTGCTGACTTGGGGCTCTGATATTTTGGACGAGGATGCTCGCCGCCGATTTTGTTTTGCAGTAAGCTGCTTCCCACCACAGCTCATTCCTTTCTAACTAAGTCCCCAGTTGACGGTCGAAAGGACCGAAGTAACCCTTTGGCGCCTATCCCGGTCTTATATCATGAAGTCTACCCCATTCGACATGACTCAAGTATGCATTCCCCGCCTTCTGTGTCTGTCTCGTTCTCTAACCGTGTTCTTGTATAGCACGCTGACCTTCTCATTCGAATGTTCGTCGCCTTCTTCTGCGCGCGCTCACCACAACTGGGTTACGATCCCCTTGTCACTCTTCTTCCCGACATGTCGTACGTCTATGAACTCTCGTCGCACAGCCCCGAGTTCCCCCCGGTTTACTACAAGACGACTACCCTTCTCTGGGACCATTGTCCACCTCTGGCCACTGGTCGGCACCTGCGTATATGGGAGGTTGAGCAGGTGTGCTCCCCGTCTGATCCAACCAGAGTCCAGGGCACGACGTTGAAGGCCCTGAAGGATGTGTCTGTGGACGCCGATGCGCGACTGGAGCCTGACGTCCAGGACGAACTTTTCAACGACATCGTGGAGCTAGCAAGCGACGACAACTGGCGCTTGAGACCCATCTTGAAAGATTTTCCTCAGTCTGACATCGATTCACTGGCGGAGGCGCTGGAGGATGGGAACTTCAAGCAGTTTTTCTCCTGCATCTCAGCCAAGCACTTCGGCGAGCCTGACTCGACATTTCCTGCGTCGACCATCCCCTTGAAAAGATCTCAGTCCAACACGAGCCGTCAACCAAGGCGTCGTTGCTTTTTCATTTACGAGCACGTCTGCACGCCGCTTCACGATGTCAAGACCCTCGGCGAGGCTGTTGACATCATCAAGCAGTCATTGATACGTGAGTCCATTCCTTGCTTTTTCTTTACCGGTCATCCTCACCTCCAACAGCTCTTCGACTCATGTTTTGCGCAGGATGGATTCACCGCGACATCAGCGCCGGAAACATCTTAGCCGTTCGCTCATCTCCAGACGCTCCGTGGCGCGTGAAGCTTGCCGATCTCGAATTCGCGTGCCGATTCCCTGGTCCAACTGAAAGTAAGGGGAAATTTACGGTAAGCTGTCCGTTCGTATCTTGCCTCAATAGAACCTAATCTTCGATTCCAAAGGGGACACCCCAGTTCATGGCTTCGGAGATGTTGGACGGCGAGTGTATTCTTCCAACGTTCGTTGGTGGGGATGAAGATGAGGACGAGGAGGCACCTAGTGACCCCAGCGTGCCCGCTGTACACAACTACCAGCACGACCTTGAGTCCCTTTGGTGGATTCTACTGTGGTTAGCGACCACGAGGATTAACCAGGACCTCCCGAAGAGATTCGGCCAAATTTACTTCCAACAGCGAGTCGACAGTCCGTATGCATCTACGCGACTCCAGCTCTTCCTTCAACCCCTCATCCGCGCGCGAGATCTCCAGGAATCGTTACCCGAGAGTTTACAGTCCTCCTTCATCACCAGCCTCGATCGTCTGCGATATGACTTGTACGCGGGATACGTCAGGCGTAATCGGAGTTCCAGACAAGCTGACTCTGGCGCTTATTCTCGCGTTCTGACGAAGCCGTTCGCGCAGTTCTTCGAAGCTTTGGAGGGATCCCGGGATGAATGGGCAGGTTTAGAGCTGATTGGGGAGGGCGACTCTTCGGAATCGGGATCCGTAGACAGCAAGGAGGGCGACGTGCATCCGGAGGCATCGGCTGCGCCAGTTTCTCTGCCTCCAATACCACCACCATCCCGAAAGCGCAGAGTAGCCGATTCGGAGCAAACCCAGCAGCCTTCGAAAAGGGCTCGTATGTCTCAAGCCGCGGTACCGCCCAAGAGAAATGGCCCTATCACAAGATCGATGACGAGGAATGTAGGTCGGGTTACGCGGTCTATGACCCGACGCCTTCAGAAGGAAAAGTAGATTATACGTAGTCTGTTAGCATGGGTAGGGTAGTTGCCCTTTTCGAATAAGACTGGTTCGTTGGTCTTGATTGACGAGACGCCTCTCGTGAAGCAATCGTAAGTCCATTGTAGTTTCACTCAGGCAATGGTCCTTCGTTGTTATGAAGTGATGGTTGGGAGACCCTTGAATTAAGTGCCGGATTAAGATGTTGCATTTAAGGCGTGTCATTTCGGATAGGGGTAGCCCAATGTCCTAGTTGGTCGACATGGAAGCAAGTACATTCTCTCAGCCTGTATTTGTCAGGCGTTCAATTGGTTCGGGGGGTTGGAACACAAAGGAAATTTGCAGTTATCTTATCTCGAAGTGAATACTGATCTCGTTCCGCCTGTTCAGAAAATCAAACACTCCATTCACTTCCTAAACACGGAACGCGACCCATCGTGCTGCAGGATCCCAAGACTGCGGTAGAGGTGCGATCAATCTCAAAAGACTGGAACATTCAAGGTCACACTTACCGATTTGTAGTTCATATGCGGGTCAGTGACGAGTGGCAAACCTTCACAGATCTTATCGCCGTCGTTGCAGAACGTCTTGCGTCTGTTCTCCATCGCACCAGGGAGGGCTCGTTTAACGTAGGGGTCACCGAAGGTGATAACGCCATTAATGCGGGATTGAACGCTACTGGCGAGTTGAGCTGCCGCGAGGTGTACGACCTGGGCACCTTGGCTGTAAGATTTAGATCAGCATTTGTGTTCGTCTCACCATGCATTCCCCACCAGACTTACCTATACCCACTCAAGAAAATCTTCGCCGACGGGCAGCTCTTCGCAATATTCGCTGCAGCAGTGGCCATCGTCTTTGCTCCCTCTTTGTCACCACCCTGAAGATACCCGAGGTAGCTCGCGGCATACGAGATACCAGCGAAACTCAATGTCCTCGAGCTCGGCAAGACCTTGATCAGGTTGTCTCTGAAGCCTGGGCCGACGACTTCGCCGAGGGTGGGTGTTTCAGCTGTTCCTCGTGCGAAGAGGACGTGCACGGAGCGACAGGTTACCTGACGCGCTTCGAGGAGGTCGCGGATGTCGAGGTCGTCGTGTTCGATGATGGGATTGGGAATAGGAACGGGCGTGGCGAGAGTGAGTGATGCAAGTGTGATGAGAGGTAGAAGAGGTGAAAGTCTCATTGCGGGATGGAGGAACTGGGCTGGTAAATTGAGGCCTAGAGAGCTGGAGAATCAGATAGGGATGACTATACAGGTTTTATAGCTGGAAACTCGGTTGGCTAAGAGATGTGAAGAATTGATTGAGCTATCGTAAGATGAAATGGCCTGCTAAGTGCTAAAATTCTTACCGCTCCCGTGACCCCTCTAATCCGCGTTGCGAAGAGGTAGAGCAGCATCTCGAGGACATTTTTGTGATCTCTGAAGAAGATACATACATTGACTGCCTACACCATAATTCTGTGATCTAGTTCCATCATTCGACCGACGTCTCAGCTCGGGGTTAAGTCGATACGCACCCACGATTGATAGATGTTCTTTGAAACCTTTTCCATTGTGAGGAGATCTGCAGTGATACATCATGTCAATCCCTACTTCGACAGTCTTGGGGACATCTACGACTTGCTTAGATGCGATGGAGATGGAGCAGTCTGATCTATCCGCCTTCACTGATTAGTCCCAGAGACCAAGTCCCAGGCGCTGTCCATTGGTCATGACTCGAAAAAAATGTCCTAATATCTATTCGATGTGTTTTGCGACAGTTCCTGATCTGTCCTTGTACGCCACCCCTCTTTGTTTCACCCTGATTCCCGACTCGAAATTGACCTCCTCGTCGCTTATCAAGGGCACGCCATACTTCATGCCTTGCTAAATTACGACAACTGGACCATCCCTTCACGGGGGCGCGAGGACAACGACAAACATACAACAACCTCGAGTTGGCAGCAGCGAGCCCAGTAGAGACCTCCGCCAATCCACCTCACCAGCCGTTTGAACTCATATATGATCCATTGTTTATGTTACTCAAGGAGTCTTTTGCCATACCCACTTAGTACATTTTTCCCCCTTCGGTATGGTAGTTAAGGTTCCCAAAGTCGAACTGTAGTAAGCAGCGATTCTGCATTGGTCCCTAGGCATTAGATATTTTACTGTACCAAAGACCGGTGCCACAGATTGTACTTAACAACGAGGCGAATTACCACTAGCTGTCTCCTCCCTTTCCAAACCTCTCCACGAGCTTCCCAAACTCAGCCTTTACCCTGTCCATCTTGTCCTTGGTGACCGAAATATTCAGCACCAGGTCTCCGTTCTCTAACCAACCGTTCGTAAAGAGGATGTTGACGACTGGGATAGGGGAAGGCGACAATCGATAATGCGTGAGCGTTCTCCCTCCCTTTCCACCTTTCATCGCCGGACCCCAGCCCAAGAACGCTATCCTCGCGATGCTGGCATTCGTCATCAGCATCGTCTCGTCCGTCCTCTCCGTCACTGGAAGTGCAAGCCCTCCAAGCCACTGCGCATCGACGATCTGGCTGGTTTTGTAGCTGATAAGGAAGTCGTCCACGCGAGAGGTGGTGGCACGGGTTTTGGCGAGGGTGTAGGCGATTTGGTAGAGAGGTTGAGAGGATAGTGAGTGAAGGTAAGGGGAGGGAGATGGAGAAGTCGTGAAGATGGGGTAGGAGATGGACGTGACGCTGTTGTGAGGGTAATTGGATAGTTTGGCGGGGTATGTCGAACGAATTGAGGCTACATTGCCTAGGCTGACGGTTCGATTCCTATTAGGGTCGTCCTTGTACAACGACTACCATGACCAGTCAGTGGACCAGCTTTGAATAGGCTAATAATTGGAGAAAACGCACCTGAAGAAGCCAAGCCAAAACAACATCCCCACCCGAAATCCTCGTGTCCGTCAGCCCATTGTCCTCGGCCTCCTTCCTCGTTTCGTTCGCCAGTCGTGTATGGATGTCGCGAGGGAGGACCACATGTGTTGTCGAAGCACCATAGACCCATTTCTGGATGAACAATCCAATCAACCACACGATGATTTGGAGAAGGTTTACGATTTTCATCGGTGGAGGGTACCGTCTCAAGTCTTCGGGGAAGCCAGAGCGTGAAGTCGCTGGGGAACCGGGTTTGGATCCTGCTTCCGTCCAAGGTAACAATGCGTCCAGCGCTTCATTTCTCTCCTTATCCTCCAACAGCTTCTCCAGCTCCTCGTCCAAAATCTCCTGCAGTGGGTTCGGGTGTAGGCCAGGGGTCGAAGGGTACCACGGCACCGTCCATTCCTTTCCATTGAGCTCGGCGTCCAACGCATGAAGGAACATCGAGTTACCGACGGCATCGAAGAGCCCGTGAGAGTAGGTCACTCCGATGCAGGTGTACCCCAACTCCCCGTTCTCGGGGCCAGGCGGGAAGTAGGTGAAGTGCCAGTGGGTAATCGGTGTGCCGTTTTTTGCGTAGTCGGCCAAGGAACCGAGTTTGTGTCTGCCGTCGTCAGGGATGAAGAGCGAGACCGGCGGACATGGCGAGAACGTCCCCAATGGCAGTTCAATGAAATGTGAAAGCGGGACGGAGGAGGTTCGGGAAGTGACGCAGTACGTTTCGTAGTCTTCACGCAAGTCGGAGAGGGCGGTTGGGACATGGACTAGGTAACGCTAGAGTGCATTCTCTAGGCATTAGGGAGCAGAAATGGAACCGGTTGAGCGACATACTCGTTTTCCAATCATCTCCACTCGACCAGCCATGGTAGGCCACTTCTCGACAACTCGATCGAGCGCCTCGCGGATCTTCTCTGTTTCGACAATGCCTTCGACGATCCATGCTTTCACCATGCTTGCCAGTGCAGCTGGCATGTCCATAAAGGTGAGAGGGTAGATAGCAGCATTTGGAGGCAGCTTGGGTGTTGACGATTTCCGTGCCATGCCTCCGTCCGTAGTCCTGTGAGATCGATGAGGCGGTGGTTGCACAAAGGGAAATAGAAGGAAGCAGCTGTGCCTGAGCCGCTGGCAGGTAGTGTTATGAGAGCGCAGTCGAAATCTGCTGGGAGAACATGGTGGTTTTTAACAGAGCGCGAATGGAGCGCGGAGGCATTTGCCATGTGGCATTCTGGCGTTCTCATTCTCCATCCGTTTCCGTTTCGGCCTCAGTGACAGCGTATGTACGTCCTCTATCCGCAAAAGCCGCCGTTTCAAAATGATATGCACTGCAGTAAGGAGAGCAGGGCGATACGGTTATCATTGGTTCGTGGTTGTAGGATCAATGAGTTGGTAAGTAATGGAGACACGCAAGTGCCGACAAAGCTTACTATTGCTGGTTGACTGACCCGTTATTTATCGACAGCATGGCGATATCGCGGCAAAACTGTAGAATCGCATCCCTCGGGACGAGTTACAAATCTCAACAGCGTAATGGTATTCTCAGGAAGCAGGAGTAGACTAAACCTCGGCCTGGTTGAATACCCAGTTTCTTCACTCTCTGGGGCTACGCGGTCGTGTATATTCTGAGGTAACGACTTTAGCATTGGACCATGACGGTACTCTCGCAAGAGTGAGTGTATTGGCAATATGGCGAGGGTATCGCGTGGAGGTAGATAAGGTATATGAAAGGTAGACAACTGGGATCTATGGGGGTATGGGTATCATCATCGGAATGTAAGATAAGATAGTACTATAGGACTACGATACAGAAGAGGACCACGGTATTGCTCAGGGTCAGGCGTGGAACCCGGTAGCAGGGAGATATTGGAAAGGAGATGTTCATCGACGGGTCTTCTTGGCCGCTTCCTCCCGCAGCCGTCGAGCAGCCGCTCTCGTGACGGGGCCAGCGTGAAGGTTACGAGCCAAGTATCCCCGTCGGCCGCCTGGCCACAACGGGCAATGGCAGAGCCAACCCCCAGAGTGCACGATTGTGCGCAGACCGTTATCTTTACAACATGGGCAATGGCAGAGCCACCCCCCAGAGCGCATCAGAAATGACAAAATTTGACGTAGACAATGGCAGAGCCACCCTTGTAGTACACCAAAACACATATGAGACATGTCAGGCCCAAGACATGTCAGGCCCAAACACCACGACCTGCGCAGGGGGATACTGACCTGGGTTGACGATACACGCTGCGAGGAGGGCGTCGAGCAGCGGTGAAAATTGGTCACTGATTGACTAAGGGCGGTGACATCAGCACGGATGAGGCGGCCCGGGAAGGGGCGGGGACCCACGGGCGTCAGGGCCTACGCGGGTTTTTTGGATCTCGACCTCCGAATACGATGGCGAGCAACAGCCGCAGCTCAGGCTGACCGAGGGGCAACACCCGTTCTCCAACCCGGCAAGACTGACGACCTGTCGCTGCCCCGGCTCACGTCGCATCCGTTTCCTCAACCTTGTACCGCCCTCGATCGTCTTGGAATGCTGGGCGAAAATCTAGTAGAAAAGGTCTGCTGGTGCGGTACTGGGCACTGCTGGGACCCAACACACACCTCCCATCGGTAGCAGCTGATTTGCGCACAACTCGTGCACTACGAAGGCGACAGCTGCTAATGAACGTCTTGAAGCCAGACGATATGGAACGCATCCGAAGCGTGGGGAGCAGGAGCACCGACCAAGTGCGCATTCTCATTAGCATCGACAAGGCCAGCGAGATAGTGGCACCCTTTGCGTACAAGGTCATGAAGACGGTTCGACAGGTAGCATCGTAACACACAAACTGCCGCATATATATATTCGAGAACCAATGTTTATAAAATAGGAAGTATATGGGAGTATTTGTGACCCAAACACGGGAGAAATCGTGAATTAAAACTCCTCGGGTTGTCGGCTACTCTGGGATGGACATCGACTACCTACGGGCTGGCGACAGTCGCCCTTTGTCCCGACAACTTACTGGGCTGATGAGAGTTCTAGGAGTTCCTCTCTATTAGTCAGCCTGGGGGTTACGGTGCCCACGAGGCTGCTGGACCTTGGAAACACACACACACACCTTCCTTGGCATGCGACCATCACCCCCATCCGCGCTTCCATCCATCTCATCCGCTTTTCGCTTATGAATGGAGGAATTATCAGGATTTTCTGCGGCGCGCTGAGCTCGAAGTTGGCGATTGGCGATCAGATCGAGGTCGCCCCAAACCGCACGAGATTCGTCGATACCGTCGAAAAACTGAGTGAGCGACTCGCCAATCATATACGAGTACGTGCCAACGTCGTCTTGCTTCCCCTCCGCGTTCCGCATCATGTATTCGAAGAAATTTAGAATCGAGCACCAGAACAAGCCAAGACAATCAAGCGAAAGACAGACAGCGAGAGGTGAACGAACACCGATACCCCGGCACCCTGGTAGAGCCAGGGAGCTTACATAGTTCTATTTCTATCGATGTAGCGAGCCAACCTAGGGCAGACTAGCGGAATCAGTAGGTCCCCTGACCCGTCTGACCCCTGCAGTGCTTGGGTCGATTTCAGAGCTGGGTCCACTTAGGTCACTGCTGCGCTGACAGCCCACCTTCTGACAGTGGCTAGAATTTCCATTCGCCCCAGCCCTCAGTTGATATCTCGTGGATACGACAAAAATGGAAACTGTGTCTATGTTTCGTCTCAAATGCTATGATACAGACAGAATATTCGCAACAAATCTAGTGTAGAAGTTACAAAGTATTTCCTTTTTGCCACCTTGCTACTCCTTGCGTCCGAGACGTCGGGTCTGAGATCGTGTCACTGGTCCTGTTGTTCTGGTCATAGACCTAGTGATTGGACGACGCGCAACAGGAGCCCCTCCCTGTTGAGTACGACGCCTTTTGGGTGCAAATCCTTCCTCACCGGCATCCCCTAACTTGCGTTTCTTCTGCGAGGTATCTTCCGGAGGCGTAGGCTGAAGTCGAAGGTGAGCCGGGGCACTTAACTCGCTACTGGGATATGGACCTTGCGGCAGAGTTTCGACCATCAACTCCATTGACTCCCATCGAGCTCGGAAGCGGTTTGCATCGTCGAAAAAGCTTTCAAAGGCCGGCCCAGTGATAAAAGAATATGTCTGGATGTCGTAGACCTTGTCGTCGTGATTACGAGCTGCATACGCCCTGTACAAATCGCGTCGTAGGTTTTCAATGGCCACTATAAAGGGCTCGACAGCTGAAGGAATGGCTTTCCTCAACAGCCGGTCGTCGATAATGCATTTCCTGAACAGGTGCTCGCGTACCGCGCTGGTCGACATTTCCATATCTGATGTAAAGAGCTCCGAACCGAATTCCTGTGAGCGCGTCTGCTTCAACCTGGCCGTCGTTAACCAGAGGAAGATCCACCACAGAGATTCCAGGTCATGTTGGTAGTTGAAGACGACTGGGCCTTGAGGTTGAGGTTGGTCTGGGAGTACGCTATCCATATCGACTCTGTCGTCGCAGAGTTCGCGGAGGATATATGTAGATGTTCGTATTTCGCAAGCCATAAATGGAGGCGTTCCCTGTGGGCGTTATTAGCAGCCAGAAAACGGAGGCCGAAATGAGAAAGACATACAATGACCTGGCTTGCAGAAGCATTTCCTGAATGCGTAAATTTCATTGCAAATTCGAAGTCGGTCATTTTGACCTGCCACGGAGACTCTGGCGTAGAACGGACAGCGAGGATATTGCCAGGGCTGACGTCACGATGGACCCATCCTGCACAGAACATTAATCGCAAAGCTGGAGGAAGTTTGGTTGTTAGATCAATGAGCGAAAGAAGGACGACGTGATACATACCGGTGAGAGACTGCCTGATAATGTCGGTAGCCTCGCCAAGGGTTGGGATGTCGTACAGGGTCGTGCAAACATGCTCGTAGACGAAGAAACATCGACGCTTCCGAGGAGGGGACGACGGCGGTGCGAGTGGAAGGGATTCGACATAACAATCCACGATACAGGAGAAATATTCGGTGAAGCGGTCGTTCTGCAGCGCCTCAGCGATAGAGTCGATGGTAGCCGGGTCGAATGCGCTGAGAATATCGCGGTTCCGCCAATTGGGGTCCTGAGACAGCGCACGGATGTCGTGAAATAGCTGCCTCTGAATCTCAACCTCTGTCGTGGTCTCCTCGGGGACCGACACGTCTTTGAGCACCCGGTCAGAGGTACCTGGCACTCTCCTGGGGTCTGTGGAGGAAACAACCTGCTTGACCCTCCAGATGCGCGCACGTCGACCTGTGAGCTCGGGGGAGCGATACTCGGACAGGAGAGCGATGGTCCTGTAGTACACGGATGACTGCCTCTCTCCTTCCGGTGGGACCTCGTACACGTAGCTTCCATCGGGAAGCCGCGTCACGAGGGGGTCGTACCCAAGTTGCTCTTCCCTCGCAAGGAATAGAGCAACCAGTAGCCTGACGAGCGTATCAGGGTGCTAGAAATGGGGGTTGAATACTTGAGGGGGCCGGGATCTGGGGGGATCGCGTACCTGGTTTATTTTCAGTGGCAAAGATTTAGCAACGCGAGAGCGATGCATAAACCAGATAGAGAAGCAGTCGTGTTCAAAGGTTATCTAAGTTCGAATTAGCGTGGATCGAAAGCGCGGTAAGAGGAAGGAAACTCACCCCATACGCAAATTTCCGTCGAGCGTCTTCGTTCATGATACGATTAACATGAGAGATGTATCTGAGGTCCTGCGGTTTCTGGTCAGACATCGACGCCATCAATCTCAGAATTCGTGAGCATAGGCATACCTTGTTCTCGTCTTCTTCCGCCCGGTCAGTTCTGCGGCCAGTGACTCTGACAGGGACAACGACGTCGGGGGGAGAGATTTCCCCATCGCGGTTAGGCGTAATGCAGGCGTCACCGGTCGAGCCCATCGCTTGGACCTCGAACCCATTGACGGTGGCCCCTGTGATCTTTCCTAGACCTTTGCGGACAGCGTTGCCAATCGTTTGAAATGATTCAATAATGCGCTCGGGTTTCGCGGAACTAGATCGAAAAAGGGTCTTTAAACCCTTGAAGACGTGGGTGTAGGGAGGTTTCCGAGCTGACGAGGACGCTCTCCGAGCCACAGACCGTCCCCGAGCGACAAGAACCCTTTGTTTCTTGAGCGTATCCAGCACGGTGTCGACGGTATCTGTGTGGCCGTTGGGCAGGTAAGAATCGATGAATTCCTCAACGTGGCAGGTATGAATTTTGCTATCCATTTTGTGCGCCGAAAGGACTGGTATTGGTGGAAGGCAAATCGATTTCGTTTCGCGATGATGGTGGTTCAAAGACAAGATGGGACCGTCGCGCGTCTCCCATCAAACGGAAACAACGGTCTCACGAGATCATTTTTCCACGGGATCGCGTCAACTCCGATTCTATCGGAGCCTTCCCTCCAACGGAACGAGATTGAAAGGAAAGGGGAACACAGGTTCATCGAACGAATCAGGCTGACGCCCATCGGATGCCAGAGCACTAGACTCTATCTACGTAAGTACATTAAGTCGGAAAAAATCGAGATGAGTAAACTAGTCTGTGATAGGAACAGGGAGAGAGAACTCGGCGCTCAGGGTTGCACGACGTCGAGGGGCTCGGGATATGGGAACAGGAGAAGGGGGGAAACGTGTCGAGGTGGGTAAAGCGATTTCCTTTCCCCAGTTCACTAATGACGCAGAGTGTAAGCCTCGATGAATCCCTCAAGGATGGTCTCACAGGCATGCTTCGTTGGATCGCGCGGAGGACGTTTGACGTCTGACGTCTGTCTCGCCCTCGACTCCCTACCTACTCTCGAATGGGCGGTAGGTATATAAGTAGTCGGAAGTCTCGGGCTACTAGGTACCTCGGGGACACATCTCAGTATAGGGGACACAGCGGTTGGCAGCATCCGGGGGACATGGAAGTTGGTAGGGGTAGACTCGGCGTGGGTGCGAGGGGTATTGAATCGAATCAAGTCGGGGTTTAGCGCTTTTAGAAAGTCCACAGTCGCGGTGGGCGGGGGGGGGGGGGGGAGGGGAGGATTTAGAAGGCGTTGTAGTATCGACTAGAGGTGAATAAACTGACGTGAAGGAGGGAACTCGGCATGGAGTGAGCCCGCCGCGAGGGATGGGATATCACAATCCAGTACCGCGAGGGATCCTATGTATGGCGTTTCACGGATCCATCGTCGAGGGTAGGAGTTTCCACAATCCATATCCACAATCCATGATTCAATCGCTCGCGGTCAACGTCATCTTCGAATTTGTCCCATTTGTCCCCAAGTCAGGTTCGAATTTATCCCAAGTCCGAGTCGCTCCCAGTAGTCAGGTTCGAGTCTGCTCCCAGTCTGCTTGCTCCCAGTTACCAGTCAGGTTCGGAATTCGAAGTTCGAACCACTCTCCAATCCATTCGTTCGTTCCCAGTTATCCGTTCCTCTCTCTCCCAGGTCGCTACTCAAAATCGCTCTCAGATCAGATCGTAGCTCCAAGGGTGGAAAGTGAAAAAAGGCGGGTGCTCGAACCTCTGCCAGTCCCATCGCTCCCATATCGTCGATCCAAGGCAGGAAGATGGGGTGTCCGTGCAAGCGTGGGGGATACGAAGTCGAGTCCAGCGCTGCAGAATGATCAATTGTCGTTGTCTAATTCCCGCCCAATCCGATGTTAGAGCGGTTGGAAGTGGGCGGCGGGTAACGAAGGCGATGTCGTCGTCCCTCGAGGCTCAGAGGGGGGTGGGTGAGCTTGAGGCAGCATCTCGTCTTGGGAGACGTGGATTTGAGTCTAGCGCTGGTGAGACATCCATCCACAGGTCGGCGGATAAGTTCAACTGGTTTCAGATTTCCGTCAAGGATTGGATGTTGACCTCCAGCAGGTGGACAGCCTCAGAGCATCGAAGGCGTAGATTTTGACCGAGGCCGAAGCTGGTGGTCTATCGTCCATGGATGGCGGCGTCGTCGAAAAGGTCGATGAAAGAGAAAGCTGCACCGCGTCCCCGCACGTTGGAAATCGGACGATTGTGGGCCGACGCGCAAGCTGAGAGCTTCTGAATCTAACACTTACAAGCATTCCGTTTTGCGAACTGCCCCACCCTCCGAACCTAACACCTCCAAGCAAGCTTCAGCCATCACAAAGCCAAACAAACAAATGCGTCCCGACTCCCGAACCTTCCGACGACGATGACCGCGAAACGCGGTTGACGCTCGCCTTCCTTCATTCTTCCTCATCTCGTTTTCGACTGTTGTATTCTCAAATGAAGAAAGCGAAAGGATCCCAGCAGGTACGTTCCTAGTGTTTCTTGCTTCGATGGGAAGGAATTGACGAGAGCGTGATATGGCAGACTATGCAGTTCCATCAACGACCATAAGAAAGGATGTGCCCAGGTGCGTATTTTCTGTACCTTCGATGCACGGGGAAGGAATTGACTGGGCGGTGTCACGATCGGACTACGCAGATACGTAGATTTATAAACAGACCATCCACGCTCTCCTCCGTCCCCTCCGACTCAATCAGCTTCATCCGATGGTCGCCCACCTCCCCCGGCCAGATGCTCGTAGCTAGTTTTGGGATACCGTACGCTCTTTGCTTCTCTGCATTGCCTAGTCCTTTCGTGGAATGCCTAGCTGATGTATTGGTGGAATAATGCTACAGACGATGCGATTATATCGGACATCGGCGATGTACCGTACACAAACGGCTGACGACCCTCTGAACAACGCCTCGAAATCGACCACAGCGCGCCCGTGCTCGCGCGTGCGTGGGGAGAGGGAGGGAGTATCGGCAAGTGGGATACCGGTGTCCGAGGGTACGTTTCATTCTCTCGCGTTACTTTTTTCTGACTGGCCAGTGGATGCGCTGGGTGTAGGCTCGATCTGGAAAACGCATTTGGGCACGCATAGCGACGAGAACCCTGGTCCTCGTTGTTACCATCTTCCACGCTTCCAGTTCCAGGCGTCTGCGGGACCCGTTTCTTCTGATTTGACTTTCGTCTATTGCGATACCTTGGGCGTCGATGGAGCTTAGGAAGACTGTTGAAGAATTTTTGGCTGAAAGTGTTCGCTTTCAGACTGGAAGAATTTAGTCTTTGCCTGGATGAGTTTTGGCTGTTCCATCTCGCATCTGTTTCTGATTTTCTGTCGCTTTTCTCTGTCCTTTTGGGATGGTGGTCTTGGGTGCTGCCGAGGGCGATGGGCGCGTTGGCGTGCACCGCCGGTGATTTAGCTTCGTCGATTCCCTGGGATACGGAAATCCAGTGCCGTTTGCGAACAAGGGACATTGGCGCGATTTTCGCATACGTTTGTCGCCATTGCGCATTGAGCGCGCGTTTCTTCCACTTCGCCTCTTGCCTTCTCTCCTCCCTGTCCCCCCTTCCTTCAGTCTTTCATATACATTGTTCTACGAGCGCTGTTTCATGGGAGAAGAACAGACTATCCTGGACGTTCAACTTTTGGTCGTTATGTGCGTATTTGGAGCAGAGTACGAGCCTCGATGTCTGATCGAAGGCTTTGGAGATAGGTATACGACGATATCCCTGGTCTGGAATAGCTGGAGTCGCCCTTCACTGGAAGCTGCGTCGATTCATTGGCAGTATTATTATCCATCCCGACCTTTGATCGGCTGGTTGAGCAGGGATCCGTATGAGCAGATGCTGAATCAGTGAAAGCAGCTGACACATTTACCAGCTCGGTTACATGGCAGAAGCACTATTAACGAACATCGTGTGATTCAGGTCAGTTACGAATGTTCAAGGGCAAATGGGGAGGCTGTATACAAGAAGGGAAACACTTGACATCTCCTATATGATATTCACGAAATGGAACCTAACCACATAGCACTTGGTCGGGGAATACAGAAATTGGGAAGGGTCAATCATCTTCTTCGTCTGAGTCCCCGTTCGAACAGACTCGCTTACCGGGTCTCTCTTCTTCCCCGTCATTACGGCGTAAATCGCGTTGCGCTGTTGTTGGGGAGGTAACCGTAGGGCTAATATGTGTCATGTTTATGGCTATCGCAGGCTGCTGAGGCTGAGACAAAGTGCTGAAAATCCTTTGAAATGGTTACGGGTACGAACATCCACAGTCGCGACTGCGACTCCGAACCAATCGGAAGCCGATGGTGGGTGTCCTCTCGAAAAGAAGTACGATACCTGTACCACTTTCAAAGGTACTAGCCACGAATCTCTGCGCAATACTCATAGTGGGTCGTGTTATTGGTTCCATTGTATATCTCTATGACAATGACATTGCTAGATAATGAGGGAACGATCGCGATCACGTGTGAACGTGGGACTCCTAGCTTTTGATGGTCCCATCGACCGGCTAGGGGCCTTGTCTTTGAACCACCATCATTGTCGTCGCAGACTCAGTCGATCCACGAACCATAACCGTTATTTTCATCTGGACTGAGACATGCCCAGCGAATTTCAGAGCTACGGAATCGACGACTTCATGGAGCTTTTCATGCCCAACAACCACCTCGCCGCCCTTGAGCCACTCCTCAAAGACCTGAAGAAACAAAAGGTCCTCGCACCGCGTGTCCGGTCTGGTGTTCGAACCACTTCCCCATCAACCGGCCGTCCCGTCTACTCTCATTCTCTCAGGACGTTCAAGACATCCTTTGGTTCCTCTACGATCAATCCAAAACGCGTTCTCAAATCGCTTCAAACCGCCTGGAACGCCGTTCGTCGGTCACTTCACCGAGCAAAGTCTGCTCCAGTCAACGCGTGTTCCATCAGTCTAAATGGGAGTCTTGGTGGCTGCGTTACCACCAGTCCCGAAGGTCCTAGGGAATCCACCAATGTCGTGATGCCGCTGAGGTTCATAACGAGAGATCCGGATCACGATGATGAACGCGAGGTAAGAGTCACATTCTCGTCCTTCGTTCTTGTACTGAGATTAGATATCGTCCAGATATCGCCCGGGTTCATCGCGGACATCGAGTCGATCATGAAGGAAGATGCTCGCCGGACATTTGTTCGTGGGGTGAGTTCATGCGGACCCCGTGCTTTACCGTTTGTTGACTCTTTTGTCTCGATCAGATTACCATCGAAAACGACATGCTTTCACTCTGGTATGCATCTCGATCACATACAGCACAATCTGTTCCATTCAGTATGGTCAATGTGAGTGTCGAATTTTCGAATTTCGTGGCGGTGACTCATGGTCACTTAGCACCCGGATCTCGTTGTCGCGGCGTTCGCCTCTCTCATATGCGCGACGCCCGCTGGCCTGGGCTATGACCAGAAGGTCACCCTGTTATCAGACCAGACGTACGTCTACGAGCTTCCCCCAGATACGGAAAGGACGACCCCCGCCTATTTTAAGACAATCCACCTACTCTCTGACCGCGAAGCCTCAATACACAGAGCTCGCGTTTGGCGCGTGAAACGCGTCGTCTCCAATTCCGATCTGCGACGAGTACCTGGAACCCGTGACGAAGTGCTGAAGGACGTCTATGTCGATGAGCACGCGAAGACCGAAGCAGATATCCAGGATGACCTGTTCCACGACATCGCTTCATTCGCGCGCAACGAGGACTGGCGCAGCCATGTCCTCTTAAAGGACCTCGAGAAAGAGGACCTTGACCCGTTGGAATCAGCCTTGGAGGGGGAGAACTTTAAGCACCTCTTCCTGCGCATCGTTGCAAAACACCTTAACGAACCAGGAGATCCGCTGTTATCGGGAAAAGGGAATCGTAGGCGTCGGTGTCAGTTTGTCTACGAAGATGTCGCCACTGCCCTTTATAACATCCCCACACTTGGCGAGGCCATCGAAGTGATCAAGCACTGCGTCCTTGGTGAGTACAGGCCTCACATTCCTTCCGTAAATTACTTCGTTCTGATTGTTTCTATTTTAGCCCTTAGGCTTATGTTCTGTGCCGGATGGGTGCATCGAGACGTCAGTCCAGGCAACATTCTTGCCGTGAAGCTTGATTCGACCTCAGGATGGAAGGTGAAGATATCGGACCTCGAATATGCGACCAGGTTTCCCCGCCAGTCGAGTTCTGAGGTGACCGGAGATGATCACATTCGGGTACGTGCTGTGTAAGACTTGTATCATTCAACTTCTGACAAACGCACCAGGGAACGCCCTCATTCATGGCATGCGAGGTTCAACGGGGGTCATACTGGAAGGAGTCAAAACCGACGGGGGGTCGTAGGGGTCGGCAGAAGCAATCGTCGACTGAAGATGCACCGACTCACCCCGTTATCCATAGTTATCAGCACGACCTCGAGTCTCTTTGGTGGATCATCCTCTGGCTCATCGCGATGAGAAGGCGGGATGGCGCTGATTCTCGAGCGCTCACAGAGCACCTATTCCAGCAGACAATGGACACCGGCTACATCTCGATGAGATGGCTCTTTTTCAAAGAGGGACTCGATGAACTCAGCACAGCCTGGTGGGCCAGCTTTCCTTCAATATTGAAGGACGACTTTCTACCCCACCTGGATGACCTTCGAGGGGAGTTGTTGGCGTCGTATACGCAGCGCAACGAGGCCAACAGCGTAATGGATGTGGAGTCGTACTCTTGGGTCATTGGCGTTCCCCTAACATTGTTCTTCGCCATTGTTGACCAAACACGTGCGCAATGGGGTGGTATCGAGATGGACCTTCGCGACGCACCAACCGACGACTCGCCTCCCACGCCTGCCCGAGAACAGGACGTTCACCCGTTACCACCACCCTCACACCAAGCCTATCATGTCGCAGCCAGGAAACCAAAGTTAACGATAGGTAGACCTGCGGTTGAAAGGACTGAAGGCCCGCGAACCAGATCGATGACCAAGCGCATGGCTGAAAATCAGCTCGATGCTTCGCGCGGTAATCGTTCCAAGAGGCCCACCCGATATATGTAAGCTATGTATACTAATGTGACAATGTACACGATTAGTTAGAAATTCTTATATGAATTATTTCGATCTCATGGTGCTTGAAAATGACCCTTCTGCGAAAAGACAATGGATGCGGCAGTGATGTCAAGCGATCAAATACGTGGGAAGTATCGATGCCACAGATCGAGAAGTTGAAATGGGCTTCGCCTGGGCGATCCAGCTCTTGCCCTCTAACCACGACCATCTATTCTCCAAACTCATTATAAGTCACCTCTGAGAATATCTCCACGCAAGGAATAAGATGTTGCCCGCATCTTACCCTTACCGGTACGTCTTCTCTCCTAGTATTACCTCTCCCCATCGCTAACATCGTCTTCATTGTCGCGGTATAGGACACCCATTCGCAAGATATTGCGAAAGCAAGTGAATGTAGCCGCGACGGGGAGCGTTACACCGAGATGTGTGGCTGACCTGGCCCCCGCGAACGCGAAAACCACAGAGCTACGTCCAGACATCGGCCAAGCGATGCGCTCTGAGATGGTTGCTTGCGATGTGGAATATTTCGTCAGCCATTACATGCCTAAGTGCTCCCCAGTGATTCTCGAAGCAGTTCTCGAGCACCTGAAGGTATCTAAAGCTCTCGTGCCACGGCCCAAGAATCAAGCAAAGAGCAAGGGAAAGGGAAAGAAAAAGCCGTCGACCTCCCCGGCGACTGGTAATGACTCTGAGGCGCAGGGTGCGACAGAGGAGCGAATCCCGGGAAGGGAGTCCTACTCTTACGTTCTCAGTGACTTCAAGCACAAGCCTTCCCAGTTGAAGAAGATCTACGAGACCAACAAGAAAGAAATCGCCCCTGGAGACGACGATGAGCCGCCCAAAGTAGACGAGAAATCGGTGTTCAGCCCACTTGGAGATATCATACTAGCCATTCAATCCAGCCTTCGTCAGGTTGAAGGTGCAGAACCTAACCGATATGGGATTCGCATGTGTCCCGACACCCACATCACGTCCGACATCACCGGGTGTAACCACAGGATCGACGCGTGTTTGACCAAGAATGAGGCCGATGGACTGCATATCACGGACATTGCTGTGCCTTTCGAGTTCAAGCTGAGTCGTACGAAGGATGAGGTGTATAAGGTATTTTTCTACCAGCTCATCTGTGACTAGTCACTGACTGACCTGTCGCTCTCAGAATCGGCTGCAGTTGATGTCCCACGTCAACCACACTATGAACGACGATTCCCGCCGCATGTTTGCCTACGGGGTATGTATAATTAGCTCTGTCTACAGGAAACACTGTGCGCTAACATCCTTCTGCGGCAGATCACCATAGAAGATGATCGGATGTCTATCTGGTACTTTTCCCGCTCGCACTCTGTCAAAGCGATGTCTTTCAGCATCATCGCAGTACGTCCTTCAGTCCATATCACATCAGTGCTCGTGAGGTGCTAATGATTCCGTAGCACGCCGATCTTTTTGTGGAGATCATGATTTCTTTGCTATGTGCAACGGATGAACAGCTCGGCTACGATCCACACATTACATTACTCGACGATCGCAGTTTTATCTACGAGTTCCCTCCCGATGGACAGAATACAGGGAGCGTCTATTATCACACCATTGAATCCATCAATGAATCGCGTACCCTTCGCCTTACTGGCAGGTCGACGCGCATCTGGAAGGTACTTCAAGTCGTGTCCAAGACTGATAGCACCCCGGTGAAGGGGGCGACAGAGCTTATCCTCAAGGACGTCTCACTGGATTCCAATTCGCCAACCGAAGCGGATATTCAGGACATGCTGTTCAAAGACGTCAGGTTGTTTGCGAAGGATCCCAATTGGCAGGAGCATCCGTTCCTTGAGGACTTCCCAGAACATTACAAAACCTTGCTCGCTACAGCTCTGGAGGGCGATAACTTCAAGAAATACTTCTCCTGCATCACTGCGAAGCATGTTGGGAGTCCCACACTGTCTGTTCACCCTGATGCTTGGCCTGCACCGGATATCTTCCCAAAGGAAGCGCCACCCAAACAGTCAATGCAGTCCACCTATCACTCCGTACGGATCGGCCACCCCACGCCCGCAGATTCAATCCCTCCTCTGTCGATCTCAGAATCAAAAGCGCCTCAGAAAAAGAGAGTGAGCGCAACTCAAGATCCCACTCCGGTAGCTGAAAGCGATTGCATCCCAGGGAGGACTCTGGCACCTCGACACCAATGTCGCTTTATCCTTGACAGTGTTTGCACCCCCCTCCACGATATTCCGACTCTGGGGGAAGCCATTGATATTCTGGAGCAGACCCTTATTGGTACGTCACACACCCTTATTTACACTACTGGCTCAGAGGAATGGTACTGACTACGTATGACAGGACTTTGGATTATGTTCTGCGCTGGTTGGGTCCATCGTGATATCAGCGATGGGAACATCCTCGGGTTTCGTGCTACACCTGAGGGACACTGGCAGGCAAAGATCTCCGACTTCATGAATCTAGATTTGTTTTAACGTGTACCTTAAAGGGAACGCCCTATTTTATGTCGTGTGAGATCCAGACCGGAAGGTACCTTAAAGAGGCCAAGAAGACTGGAGGGAAGCTCGGAAAGGCAAAGGGGAAATCTGGTGAAGGCAAACGCGAATCACGGAGCGAACAAGTCGCACACAACATTCAGCATGACTTAGAATCCATTTGGTGGCTCATGCTTTGGTTGGCAACGACACGCCCGAAATGCCTTGCCACCGGAACTGCATCGGTTTTTTTCCAACAACGACTTGACGCCGAATACGCCTCGCTGAGAAAGCTGCTGTTCACAGAGTCTGAAGGACTCGCCGAGAACGAGCACTTGAGCAGAGTGCCAGAACCATTGAAGTTTTTCATCCATAGCGGTCTCGAGGACTTGCGTAATGATCTATACGCTGAATACACTGAGCGCAACAAAGCTCCAGCATCAAGAGACGACATTACCTCCTACTCGTGGGTAATGAGCGTCGCATTCTCCCAATTCTTTGATGTCATTAGAGAGGCGAGGGACGACTGGGGTGGAATCGAATTGGTTATAGAGACGGAGCTTCAGCGCGCTCTCAAGGCGAGTGCAATGACAAGGAAAACCGTCACTTCGGTTTCTGTGAAGCGCAAGCTATTTGAAGAGGAGTTAAAGGCTCTCAAAGAGGATAGAGACTCGGGAGGGGTTGAAGGGGCATTGGAGGCGAGGTCTTCTCTCAAGAATAATGCTGATCAAGATCACCAGGGACCCCAAGACTTGAGGCGAAGTCAAAGGCTGCAATGTGGTAAACTCAAGGACGATGTACAGGGGCAGGATGTACAGCCTCGACCCTCAAAGAAGGCTCGGCGCTGAGTTGTCGTATAGTTCTCGCTCAGGCTGCATTCGATGTGTAATAGTTCTGAACAGCTCGTTTTCTTACTCTTAGACCTTACGGGTTGTTGCATGCTGTAAGTAAATAGAGTAGTTTAGGATTAGTGAACAAGCTATGAACACATTTCGGTGAAAGTGCCTTTTCGAATCTTGAAAATCTAAGTGACATATACATCGGGTAAGACGATACAGCTTCTCTACATCACTAGGCAGTGCGGCCGGCTCCGCCGTCACCTTAGACCTCGGTCCACGGTCAGAAGTGTATTAGGCGTCGGCTTGGTTGCCTTACGGTCGCTCACGCAGTGCGCACCTCTCCACGTGCTTACAGTTGCTTTAATAGTGGATGCCAAATCCCATATCAATAGCCTCACAACTCGTTTCTAGCCTCAAGTCACCCAGAAAAGCAGGGTAGGAGACATGAATTTGCTTTGAATAAACCCGACGTAGCCATTGAATTATACCGATATGAGTCCATTGCTGAAGAAGTTCGCGGAGTCTGGGGTACTCCCGTTCAAGTCGCGTCCACATCGTTCGTTCGAGGGGTAGAAGGCATCCAGAACAGGTCAGAGAGGCCTCGAGAGGGAGAAAGCTTAGGAATCTTTGAGAAGTATAAGCTTGGAGTGGATTCAGCACAGCGGGTTCTGGATGAAAAATGTGGTGCAGCATTGATCAGAGGGGTGGAAGGCTCGGCGCTCAGCGCTCAGCGCTCAGAGGGAACGAAAGGGGATCAATTAAAACAGTGGTTGGTGTTAGACTACATCGAGGGTGAGAAACTCGGGAATATGGAGGCGTGGGGATATAGACAAGAGGGGAGTTCAATGGTCTCCCTCATAAAATGTTCTCCGTTAAGGATTGGATTCCGGTCGGCGGATGGGGGAGACATCGACTTCCAGAGCGCAGGTGGACAGCCTCAGATGTCCGCAGGCGTGGATTTTGACGGGGGCCGAAGCTGAATGGACGATCGAGGGAAAGAGAACGCTGCGCCCCGTCGAATACTTCGGAGTCATGATCGCAATTGATGGGGTGTAGGCCTTTCCGTCTTGTGACACTTTTCCTCAACCGCGACTGCCTACGGGACCTCTTAACATGAAACCAAGCACTTCCTCAGTCTCTATTGAACAATTCGTGTCAAATCACGAGCCAGTGTGATCGCACGTCCTCCACCCACGCGCCATCCCCCTGCTCTCGGATGACGACCGATCCCTGTTCTTTCGTTCGTCGACGCTTCCAGACCATTCCGGGTACCGTTTCGTGTTCACACTACACGCTCGTCCATGGTTCAGCCTTGCTTGTCGATGAAGTTTGGGTTTTTTTTTTTTTTTTTTTTTTTGACTGGAAGAATTTTGGCCATTTAGTTTCGCATCTGGTTTTTGCTACGCCGTTGAGGAGACTGAGATTTTAGGGTGCGCGTCGCATTCGAGGGCGTGGGCGGTGCATAGTCATTGATCTCGTTCTTTTATTTGATCCCTCGGGGTGGGTATAACGGGGGTAGGTTGGTCAAGTTGGGGCTTTTGACTTCCGGTTAGTTCGGTGGCGTGGAAGCGTGATGAGGAAGATAATGGTCTTTCATCGTAGACGTGGATATAGCTTGCTATATGCATTAAACGTCGGTGTGCTTGTGTGTTCGCTTGTTCTTAACGGTATCAATTACTTTTTCAAATCTAAAACTCTCTGTTGTGCGTGTTTTGGGTATGGGTATGGGTGTTCTAGGTCTTGCCGACTGGCTTGTACCACTTTGCTTGGTTTCGCCTTCGTCGTTAGATAACCGAGGAAGGGGAGTGGTGGAAGCAAGGTGGAGGAAGCAGTGTGTAGACGGTAAGTATGAGGTCAAATGCGGCGGTTCTTCGGCCCTGGTTAGTTGTCGACTGTTCCCGCGTCCATTGTCCACATAAACCGTGGTTGGACCATGGGTTGGCGAAGGTCCAAAGGACAAAGTACACTTGATGACGTGAGAAATCAAATCCCAATTGAGTCCGGCCTCGACAATGGTGTTCAACAGAGCGTTCACCTCCTTGCCACTGCTTGACTCTCAACCACATCGTGGTTTAATCCATCGAGCTTCTAGAATCCGTCTTATCTCTCTCTCAACACACCTACGGGCCCAACAGTAGCTACGATGGCTCCCCGAAGTCTTCCACCGCGGTACGTTAGACTCAATCTTCGCACAGACTCATGTGGCTTTACTCATTTTCGACCAACCTGCAGGACTCCCAAGAAATACAAGAAGAGGCCTGGACATGCCAGAACCGAACCCAAGCCAAAGGACACTCCACGATCTCTCCCATCGCTGGCCCCCCTTATCAAAGCGCACAGGCTTCGCGTCAAAATTGCCGAGTTAATGAATTCGGAAACTCTCGTCTGCACACCCGATGAGTTCATGGACCGCTACATGCCACCCCGGGACGAAGGAACGACACAACAAGTGCTGGACCTGTTGCTCGACGCAGGAATCCTTGTCCCTCGCAATGCCAACCTGCCGACGGCTACAGAGTCCACGCAGGGTGCATACCGTTATGTGTTCAAGGTATTCCAGCAAAAGCCCTCTGAAGTGAAGAAGGGAACGAAGAAGCGTCCCCAAGGAGACAACGGCGAGATCAGTGACAAAACCGTGAATGAGATCCTGATGTTCGACAATCTAGGCGAAGTTGGCCAGGCAATTCTCGAGGCCTTGAAGAATGTCGAGGGGGTAAAAACCAACGGCCACCAGATTCGCATGTGCCCGCACAAGCCAGTCACATCGACAATCGAGGGACATGGCCACAGGATTGACGCTTCACTCACGAGTAATCTTGACAAGAAGATACCGCTGCTCGTTACCGACATCATAATTCCGTTTGAATTCAAACTCACGCTTACTAATGAGGACGGGGTACGTAGTGATTCACTCTCTACAGCGTAGTGATTTTCACCTTTGACATATTCTCTTCTTTCCGCAGAACCGCCAGCAATTGGTTTGCCAAATCAACCACACAATGAATGATGATCCCCGTCGCCTATGGGTCTACGGAGTCAGTGTTATTCTTCTCTTCACATACCCGATACTAACCAAGCTGGGGTAGATGACTATTGAGGATGACCAGGTCACCATCTGGTATTTCTCCCGTTCTCACTCGATGATGTCAATGTCCTTCAGCTTTCTCGATGTAAGTCGCATGTTCTCCCATGGTTCTTCCTCTCTCTGACAGTCACACAGCGCGCAGACTTACTCGTCGAGATGCTTGTCTCGTTCTTCTGTGCGACAGATGAGCAGCTTGGCATTGACCCCAATGTCAAGCTAGTGGCAAAGGACAAATACGTCTACAGGTTCCCCAGCGATGCCACCAACCCCGAGCCTGCCTACTATTACACAGTAGACTCCATCGTGGAGTATCGCCCACAGAGACTGCGGTGTCGCGGGACTCGCCTTTGGAAGGTCACGCAAGTCAAATCGTTTGACAATTACGATCGCATCTCCGACAAAGACTTGGTCCTCAAGGAAGTCTTCCTCAATAACGACGCTCCATCCGAGATGGATATCCAGCAGAAGCTTTTCGAGGACGTAAAGAAGTTTAGGGGTGACAAGGGATGGCGTCAGAGGGAGATTCTGTCGGCCTTTAGTGCAGAGAGCAAAAGAACCCTTGGTACTGCACTCAAAGACTTCAAGAAATATTTCTCCTGCGCCATCCGCCAACACAGTGGCCATCCTGGTCTCGAAGTATCGCCCAAAGCACGGGCTGTCCCTAACATCTTCCCCGTCTACACACCTCCCCCCGAACAGCCTCTCGGGACCACGGTTAGACATATGAGTGGGACTCAATCGGCGTTGGAGCAGGCCCGCATGAAGAAGTCCACCCGAAATAAGCCCTCTGAAATAAAAGCTGATCCGGACTCTCTCACTCCAAGGCGTCCGTGCCGAGTTCTCTTTGAGAATGTCTGCACTCCCCTTCACGATATACCAACCCTCGGAGAAGCCATTGACATCCTGAAGCAATGTGTTATCGGTAAGTAAATCCGCCGGGCGTCTCTCGTCGACTCATACCGAATCTAACGCGGAATTATCCAGCCCTTCAGATCATGTTTTGTGCTGGATGGGTGCACCGGGACATTAGTGCGGGTAACATCCTCGCCCTTCGGGGTAAGCGAGGGAAATGGCAAGTGAAATTATCCGACCTTGAGTATGCGAAGAGATTCCCCTCCAACGCACCCGCCAGCTCCCAGCCCAAGACGGTGAGTTGTCCCTTCTAGAGTCACAGAAGTTGTGTTAATGTTCGGGTATCTTGAAGGGGACACCCTACTTTATGCCTTTGGAGATCCTCATGAAAACACTTCTCGTACGTCCGGAGTATGACCGAGTCATAAACATGGGAATAGAACGTACCCCAACCATTGTTGCCCCAAGGATCGTCATACATGGCTTTCAGCATGACCTGGAGTCCGTCTGGTGGATCATCCTCTGGCTGATTACCATGCGAGTTGCCGAGGACTTGCCCAGAAAGTTCGGGAAAAGGGTGTTCCGCAACAACCCCATGGTAGGCGCTCGCAAGGCAGTTCTGGACGAGATGGAGCTCTACGAGCGCCAAGACCTCATTGACTCACTTCCAGCACCGTTGAAAGGCTCCTCGTTTGTTGTTGCCCTCGACAATCTGCGCAGGAACCTTGTGACCGACTATTTGAATCGTAACAGGGACAAGACGCATGATGACCTTACAACGTATTCGTGGATTATTGGAGAAGGATTCAAACTGTTCTTCAATCATGTCTCGCGCACCCAAAAGGAGTGGACCAACATTGAGATGATGGAGAAGATGATGACCGCGGAAGATTTTGAAGTTCTGGAGGACAGTTCAGATTACGCTGAACCACCATCGCCTACCCCAGCTGTGGGAAGGTCATCCAAGAAGCCTCGATTATAGCTGTTGGAAAAGTTAGAAATGCGGAAAGAGTTACTTAGCGACGTTGAAGTGCTTGGGATGGATTTTCCGACTTTTTTTTTGTTTTATCTACGCTTCCAAATCCCTCATTCCGTTCATCGACATGGTCATTGTTATGTAAATACGTCATGTACATACCCCTTGTAACTACAACAGACCTTGGCCTATCGTTGGGACAGAGTTGTACAATTGTTGTCTATTCGACGTCAGCCAGTGCGAGGCCGAGGGCCAAGTTTGAATGAAGTCTGAAGATTTGTGTACAGTTCGCGCCTTCTTACCTACTACCAAGTGGACTGTCTCTAGTCTCGCTGAATTCCACGTTTGTTTCAAGCTACCCGACATCGTGCCTATACTTCAGACGGGTATCCTATCGTCGACTGGCTCGGGGATATGTAGGAGGTGATTGACATCTGTGGCCTATCGGTGTCCCGTAAGAGTTTGTCGCTGTATAGAGTCTTACATTGTTCCCTTGATTGTCTTAGTAGAGGGCGTTCGAAGGGAAGTAAGCTCCTCGAAAGCGGCAGAAATGCAATTAAGTTACCGGGTCACGTGCCGGTCGCGATACAATGAGACAATGGCTGCTCAGTTAGACTTTACTTACAATGTGGCAGAAGGCCAATATATATATACAACATACACATCTCTTACTACTTGTCCACGTGCTTCAAGTTTGCGTTTGGACTCGAATCCCTAGAGGATTCCATCGCCCTTCGAAGTTGGGAGTCGGGATTATAAACCGTGGGGCGTGAGAACGGACCCGGTGGATTTGATGGCCCAAGCTCAAGTTGAGCGCGACGCCTTTTTGTCTCCGAACTATCACCATCCTCAAAGGGTTTTTTTCCTTGTGGCATATCCCCTTCCACGCCTACCACCTGCGAGAGCCCGAAAGATGAAACCAACAACTTCCACTGTTTCTATTGAAGAATTCGTCTCAAATCACCTACCAAGCGACAACGCGAACGCTTTCGACACTGTCTTCACGACTCTCAAGAGCGAAAGGCTCCTTGTTTCTACCAGCCAGCCAACAGCCCAGAAATCTTCGGAATTTGGATATGGAATTACAGCGTTAAAATCGTTCTTTCAATCCTACTCCCCCAATCCGAGCAAGATCGTAGAATCTTTGCGAACAGTCTGTGAGGTCGCGAGCGATGCCTTGCAAAGGCTCGGAATTCGGGCGACAGGTGGCGACAGACTTTCGATCCGAGCCAACGAGGGGATAGATCTCTCAAAGAACGCTTGCATCGCGAAGAATTTCGAAGGACCGTTAAGTCCTTGCGATGTCGTTGTTCCCATTACAATCCTTTGTGGAGGACACAACGAAGAGGTATGGACCTTTTGCATCGCACGATGTACGCTTTAGCTGAAACAACCTGACATCAAGCCTGGGAGTGATATCGTGGAGCGTGTAGTGGCTACCATGAACGACGATGCTCGGAGAACGTTCATTTACGGGGTGAGTCTGCAATTCGTCGTACATGGTCAGGTCGCCCTGATTTGTTTCAGATCACTATCCACCGCGAGCAGGTGACTGTCGGTCGGTTTAGTCGATCGCACGTAATCCATTCTCGCCCATTCACTTTGACAGAGGTACGGATTCCCAATTCAATTTAACGCCTCGGCGAATGATGCTTACTGTATCCAATAGTCCGCTGATATGTTGATTCGAGTCATCACCGCACTCCTAACTGCCACTGACGAGCAGCTCGGATATGACCCTTTGGTGACGCGTCTCCCAGACAATAGTTACGTTTACCAGCTACCTCCCGAGGAGGGGGGCTCGAACCCACTCTTCTACCACAGCCTCGAACTTCTCTCACACTACCCATCGACGAGTCTTGGTGATCGCACCGCACGGATATGGAGGGCTGTTCAGGTTCTATCGCCAGACAATCGGAGACGCGTGGCAGGAACCCCGGACAGAGTCCTTAAGGATGTGTGGGTCGATGCCGAAATGCGCACCGAGGCAGAAATCCAAGAAGATCTTTTTCGCGATATCAAGGCCGTGACGACAGACGTCGACTGGCGTAAGAGGCCGATCTTCCAGGATTTCCTCGAGCGCGACGTCGAGTCACTGGCCGAAGCTCTACAAGGCGACAACTTCAAGCGCTACTTCTCGTGCATCGTCGCCAAGTACGTTGCCCAGCTCGACACCCGCGCCACCTCGACGACTTCACCCAGTAAACGTCGATGTTTCTTCGTGTACGAGTCGGTCTGTACGCCCCTCCATGACATCTCCACCTTTGGGGAAGTCATAGACATTCTCAAGCAGTGCGTGATAGGTACGTCTTCGACGAGTCCGTGCCCAATCTGTTTGTTGATACATTGATTTCAGCCCTTCGCCTGATGTTCTGCGCTGGATGGGTTCATCGCGATATCAGCACTGGAAACATACTCTCAACTCGTTCGGGGTCGGGTCAGCGATGGCAAGTAAAGCTTTCTGACCTCGAATACTCCAAGAAGTTTCCAGACACTAGCCACCCAGAGGATGAGCACATGATGGTATGTTCATCCGGATCCTTACTCGACTTGTCCCTGACATTTGAGCGCTTAGGGTACACCTTTCTTCATGCCATGCGAGATCCAGATGGAGAGGCATGTATTCCCCATCAATCCAGAGCGAGAGCGATCTCAAAGGTATCCGAAGCGTCCTGTCGTCTACGGGTACCAGCATGACCTCGAGAGCATCTGGTGGATAATCCTCTGGTTTGCTACGATGCGAGTCGACCAGGACCTCTGCCCCAAGTTCGGGCGTCTGCACTTCCAACAACCTATGAACGAGTACTGCACTGATCGACGCTGGTTACTCTTCAGGGACCCAAGCCACCTCGCAACGGTTCCGCTGCTCGACGACGCCCTTCCATCTGAGCTCCTAGACTCGAACTTCCTCGACGAACTCCAGATGCTCAAGCATCAGATACACGGCGAATACATGATTCGTAACGCGGAAGGGAAGCAGGAGGACATAGGAACTTACTCGTATGTCATCAGCCAATCTTTCACTCTCTTCTTCGAACGCCTTGAGGAATCCCGCGCCATATGGAAGGACTTGAAGCTATCCATCACCGCCGAAAGCGAGGGGTCAACCAAACCATACCGTTACCAACGAAAGCGAAGGGCAAGTGATAGGGAGGTCGATAGGAAAGAGGAGGGTGTCTGGGTCGAACGGAAGGTTGTCGAGAAGAGGAGAAGAAAGGACGATCGACCAAAGCAAGACAGACCGACGAAGAAAGCCCGCTTCGATGCCCCTGTCCCAGCAGTTGAAGCCCCGTTTCGAAGATCAGGACCGGTGACGAGATCAATGACCCGCGCGGCTCAAAACACTGGCCCCGTTACGAGAGCCGCTGCTCGCCGTATGCATGAGGCTGCCGCATCAAAAAACAAGACGACCACCACCACTACCAAAAAATCGCGCCGCTGACCGTTCGCATCTCTGCCGTTTACTTCGTGGTCGGCCAGTATATTTCTTCTGTATTCACTCTGTGTACTTATAATACCCTATCCTGTCCCAACGGCAAGGTTGGCGGTTACATTCATTCTCTTTGATCCATCTGCTCGCACCTTCCACCTATCATTACATCTCGACGTTACTACTCAATCTTCGTGGTCAAGTTCTCCGAGGGTCTATATAATCTTTGAGGTCTTTGAGGCGGCGGAAAGTTCTGTGGCTGTCAACTCACTCACTCTCTTCTCGCGGTGTCGGTCCCTCTGCAGAGTGAGTCCCACGTAGTATGAAGTTTGGTGGAGAAGAGAAGGTGCACCGTCTTCCGCAGTGGACTCGCAGGGAATTCGAAGAGACTCGGATGTTTCGCAAAGAAGAGAAGGTGTGGTTGAGATGACGACTAGAAGCCCACCACTACCGTGACGAAGGGCGTGTGGGGATTGGATATCATTAATCATTTGTTCCACACACCTGGCATTTGCGTGACTCGAGTCTCGCATAATGGATGGCTCAACTGAAAAAGCAGATGTGAATCTGCGCGCCAGCATACACAGAGAGGAGTATATATAATATACTATCGTAGTGGAGCTCCGAAGCTCGGATGGGCGGTGTGCTTGTTGGAAGGCGGAGTGGGATCGTTCAGCCTCAGGGCACTCTCTTCGGGCTAGGTATCGGTATCTTGGGCTCAGGGGCACGTCTCATCTCGGGATCAGGGGCACGCACATCTCGGGCTCAGGGGCACGCACATCTCGGGTAGGGGGTACATCTCGGGTAGGCACCATGGGTTGGAAGCGAGAGATTTAACGTGGGCGTAGGGGGTATTAAGTCGAGGCGTAGGGAATATTAAGTCGAGTACGATCGAGTCGGGGGTAGTGAATCTGGAAGGAAAGACCACAGTCGCGTTTCCATACGAGGATAGTAATACGGAGTTCGAAGTTCGAAGTTCGGCTTGGCGTCGTCGTGAATGGGGATGCGGTAAGTATCGACCACGGGACAGGTGAGACTGGATGGAATGGAATGGAATGAATTCTGCGTGGGGGGATGGCAATCGAGAGTTCCACGCAGGCAAGGCACCGCGGGGAATGCTATGGGGGTTTCACAAAGCCATCGTCATCGTCGAGGTAGGAGTCCGCGCCCCAATTGATTATTCGAGCTCGAGGTCATCGTCGCATTGAGTCGCACCCAGTGTCCCAGTGCCCTTCCATTCGTTCGCCGGTATCTTCGAACCACTCCTGGAAGTCAGCATCGAATCGCTCCCAGGACCCAGTTGCTTCTCACATTGCTTCTCGTATCGGTATCGTCGTCGGTCCAAGGCAAGAAGCTGGAGCGGGTGTGTGTCAAAGGCGAAGGCGATTGAGTCAGCGCTCAGCCCTCGAGGCTCAGAGGGTAATCGATAATCGGTGGTTGTGAGGCGGCGTCTCGGCGTGGGGGATACTAAGTAATACAAACTCCGTTCTGAATATTCGATATTCGATCGCGGTTGCCCTAATTCCCAGTCATTCCGGCGGTTGAAAGAGTAAATGCTATTCACCCAGGAAAAAGGGGGTGACAAAGGCGATGTCGTCATCCTCAAGCAACTTAGACTCAGAACCACATCTCGGTGCGAGGGATGTACAGTCTAGTCTAGTCCTAGGCTGCAGAAACGTCGGTCGGGAGGTGTGGGCATAAGCTGGTTTCAAATTTCTGTTCAGGGATTGCGTTCAGGTCGGATGAGGCGGGAGAGGTCGGCTTCCAGAGCGCAGGTGGACAGCTAGCGTCGAGTGCGGTGCTTAGCGTTGAGGGCTGGACGTTATAGACGGCTTTGTAGCGAGGGTGAAGCTGGGGCGGTCTGATTGAGACTGGATGGTGGATGGATGGCGGCGTCGAAGGGCGATGGGAAACTGAAAGCTCCAACCCACCCCACATGGTTGAACATCGGATAATCGTGGGATAGGCGCAAGCTGAGACCTTTTGAGTCTAACACACTCAAACAGTCAAAATTTCCCCCGTGTTTGCTTGTTGCCCCAACCCAACGCCCTAAACGCAACACCCTCCGAACCTAACACCTCCAAAAAGGATTGAATCCTAACAAAGCCAAATAATTCCGTTTCGAACCCGCGCGCGCCGTCGGCGGCGTTCTTCATCTCTTCTTCCGACGACGACGACCTCGGAACGCGGTTGACGCGTGCTCTTTCCTTTGCTCTTTCTCATCTCAATTTCTACTGTTGTATTCTCAATAGCTCAACTCTATCCTTCTCGATCCGGACGAAAACGCTTCTGGAATTTCGCTTGAACAGGTAAAAGAACCGAAAGGATGTCCGCAGGTGAGTCTTCCTTTTCTCCACCTTCCAAGAGAAAAGTCGGGAAGAAACTGACAAAATGGTGATATGACAGACTACGCAGATCCATCAACGACCATCACACTTTCCTCCGTCCCCTTCGACTCGATCAGCTCCATCCGATGGTCGCCCACTTCCCCCGACCAGATGCTCGTATCTAGTTGGGATACCGTGCGTCACCTCTCTTGTCCAGTCTTTCCGTTGAATTCCTAGCTAACGTATTGGTGGGATAATGCTACAGACGGTGCGATTATACGACATCGGCGACGTACCCTACACAAACGGCGGACGACCCTCCGAACAACGCGTCAAGTTCGACCACCGCGCGCCCGTGCTCGCGTGTGCGTGGGGGGAGGGAGGGAGTACCGGCAAGGCGTACAGCGGGGGATTGGATACCGGTGTCCGAGAGTGCGTTCTCATTCTCTCGCGTTCCTTCTCTTATTGCTGACTGTTTGGTGTAGGCTGGACCTGGAAAAAGAATCGATGACGCATTTGGGCACGCACGGCGATAGCATCAGCTCGATGGTCTGGTCGAAAGAAACCAACAACCTAATTACCGGTTCGTGGGACCGCACACTCCGATTCTGGGATCCACGCGCCTCTTCTTCTTCCACCAACGCACCCACATCCCCCACCTCCTCGTCGCCCTCCAACGCACCCTTCGAAAACTCCCAACACAGCGTCCCCGAGCGAATTTACGCGATGGATATAGTGAACACGAACCTGGTGGTGGCGATGGCGAGCAGGCTGTTCCATATTTATGATGTGAGGAATATGAGCAAGCCGATGCAGGAGAGGGAGAGTAGTTTGAAGTACATGACCCGGAGTTTGGCGTGTATGCTTGATGGGCAGGGTGCGTTCCTATTCTCTTTTTCAACCCTACCCTTCTTCCCTCTTACCCGTGACTCGCTCTAGGCTACGCAACAGCCTCAGTCGAAGGCCGCATCGCCGTCGAATACTTTGATCCCTCGCCCGAAGTCCAAGAAAAGAAGTACGCCTTCAAGTGTCACCGGCAGACGGTCAAAGAGGTGGACCCGGCGAGTGGGAAGGAGCAAGAGGTGGACCATGTGTGGCCTGTTAATGGTTTGGCGTTTTGTCCGAGGTGCGTTTCCTTAGTTTATCGACGCCTTCTCCTTTGTTCTTTTTCCCTCGCTTTCCTTTCTTTCATCCACTCTCTCTCCCCTTTCCTCCAATAAACAATTCTGACCATAACCGTACAGGTACAACACATTTGCCTCTGCAGGTTCAGACGGCACAGTCAGCATCTGGGACTTCAAAGTCAAGAAACGACTCCGCCAGTATCCTAAATTCCCGAACCCGGTTTCGGCTATTGGGTTTAGTTGTGATGGGGGGAAGTTGGCTATTGGTGAGTTTCTCGTTTCTGCTTTTGAGTTTGAGTTTGGGGTTTTGGGTTTTGGATGCGGGGAGGTTTTGGTGTGGGGTGCGGGGAGGGTTGGAGGGGTTGGTGGAGGCGGGATCTGGGGGAGGTGGGGCACACCCGTTTGGCGCCTCTGTCGCTCTCTTTGGTTATCCTCTGCGCCTGATGGCTTGCCCGCTGTTTCCTATCTCGCTTTTTTTTTACCTTTTTTCCCGTTTTTCCTTTTATCCTCTCGTTCGCGGCTTCTGTTCTTTCCCTCGCCCATGGTTGTCGACGTTTTTGGGCCCTGCACTACTGGACGCGGTGTGTGCTGGGCTGTTGAGAGACGTGGCTGGCGTCTGCGCTATGGGGTTTCGATGCGGAGTGGTGGTCTGGTGGGTGCAGGACCGCTGTCATCCTTTCTCGTGGGGCCATCACCTTGCTACCAACCTTTGCTACCAACCTGGGCGATCTGGATGCAGTGTCTGGCGCGCGTTTGGGAGACGTGGTGAGCGTCAGCGTTGCGTGGTTTTTGATGCGGAGTGGTTGGTGGGGTGGTTGGAGGAAGACGTGCTACCGTCCTCCCTACGCCCCGGGGACATGGCGGGGGTGTGCGTTGAGTCGTTAGAATGTGGATGGTAGTCTTGGTGGGTGGGGGGAGCCCGTGCTACCATACTTGCTCGCGGCTATCGTCTTCGTCTACGATCGTCGTGCTACCACTGTCGTTCTCGTGCGTTCACAGGACGACGCTGGTCCCTGTAGTTCCGTTCGTCGACGCATCCAGGCCACTGCGGGTCCCGTTTTGTGTTTTGTCCTCGCGCTCGTTCATGGCTCTGCCTTGATTTTCCTCCGATTTGGTTTTCGTCGATCGCGATGCCTTGGCGTTTGGGTTTGTGGGCGAGGTCTCGGCGTCGATGGAGTACGACGCGGTTGGCGAGGGTTTTTGGACTGGCAGAGTTTGCGTTTCGACTTGTACTTTTACCAGGAGAGTTTGGGGCGTTCTTGTGTCGCATCTCTTTTTTTTACTGCGACTGCGCCGTCGCTTTTCTCTGAGGGTCTCTGGGTTCTGGGCGCATTCGAGGGCCTGGGGCGTGGGCGTGGATGGTGCATGGTTACACACCCAGCCGTTCGTATGGCCCCAGCTCATCCGAGGCTCGGATGTGCTGGGTTTAAAAGGAGTTTGAACCCCGGGATGTGATCGGGTTCAACCTCGCGCATTCAGCACAATTATGAGCGCGGGTGAACTTCCGTTACAACCCCTGTGCCAATTTCAATGATTTGTCCCGAACCCAATATTCGTTGAAACCTGGGTTGAACGTTGACCATTCGTTGTCCCAACGCCCTATCTGACTTCTCGCGATCACGTGCGCGAAGTTCGAGAAAATCAACATGTTCGACTTGAACGTTGAACGAACTTGCGTTCTTCTGTTCTGAACCACCACCATCGCCACCCACGCTGCGGCCCATCAGTTAGCATATGAGCAGTTTGGCAAAGGGGGTAAAGTGACGCATCTAGACAATATGAATGTGCCCTTGCTGACGACTTTTCGCGATCGCCACGTCCGCAGCTTTGGCACGACCACACCGGTGAGTTTTGCTCCGGTCTCAGGTGAGCCCTCTCTTCGTCTAATTCCAAATCCACACGCTGAGTTAACTTTCTTGCAGTAGTTCCTCGTCTATTGGCCGTGCTCGATTATTGCCTAAGGGTTGACTGTAGCCTGTCAACGTTGACAGGCTACAGTTCTCAACTCCAGGTATGTTTGTCTTCGCTTCTCTAAACCACCATCACTGACGGGCTCATGGTTCTTTCCAGGTATCGTGGGTTGCCAGTGCAGCCTACCACCGCTATTTGCAAAAGAGCACGCCGCCCCGATGGTATGTCCCCTCACTCCTAAACCGTCTTTCCTCACACTGACTTGTACTTTTCCCTCTCAGATAGTTGACTTGATTTTGGTTTGATGTATCGTTTCGTCGGCTTGAGCACTCAGTACAGTATTTTGTATGGTAATGTGCAGTAGTCTAATAGGTAGATGCAATAAGAAAAATTTGTATTCAATTTTCGAGCTAGATGAAGAAGAAATGGAAAGGCGGGAGGACCCGGAAGGTCGACGAGCAGCAAAAGAAAAAAGAAAGGGCAATGAACCCAAGGCCATTCGGTGGTTTAACCTGGGTGCATTGACGGGGCATACCAGGGCTATCCCGTGCAAGATAGCCCTGGTATGAGTCGGCCTAAGTTAAGCCGTGTTTGGCCCGCGATGAGTCTGGGATCATGGCCACAGGTTTAACCTGGGGTTGTCCTCCGGGTCCGGCTGTGTATTAGTGTTGTTCGTTTATCCGATCCTACGATAATCATATCCTTGGCGTTGTTGATCCCTCGGGGTTTGGGTTCCAGTGCTGTTTGCGGCTCTTGAAGTGCTATCGTTGGTTCACTCGAGCTTTGAGCTGCTGCCAACCTCTCGTCGGTTGGGTGGGCAGGGATTCCGATTAGCATGTGGAATTAGGGTGGTGAGGAAAATTTGGAGGGTGAAGCAAGTTGTCTCTGCAACCAACCCCATGTTTCTGGAACGCCTGACAGAGTTTTCAAAGACGTGTGGGTCGACACAGGGAAAAGGACGGAGGCGGAGATCCAGGACAATCTTTTCTGAGATATCTCAGCCGTAACAAAGGATAAAGAGTGGCGCAGTCGAGCTATTTTTCAAGATTTCCTCGAGGGCGACCTTGCTTTTGACCTCTTAAAGGACACCACACTTCATGCCGTGCGAGATCCACTGGGAAGAGCATCTGTTACCCATCGACGCTCAAAGAGGACGGACACAATCCTACCTTAAAAGCCCATTGTCTACGGGTACCAGCATGACCTAGAGAGTATCTGGTGGATTTTCCTCTGGTTCGTCACGATGCGAGTCGACCAAGACCTGCCTCGGGAGTTTGGAGATCGGTATTTCCAACAGCCAATGGACGAACACTGCATCGGGCGCCGCTGGTCACTCTTCAAACATCCAAGCCACCTCGCAGATGTTCCTTTGCTTGTCGAGTCCCTTTCACCCGAGCTCCTAGATTCAAAATTTCTGGACAAATTCTCCTCTCTCAAGTACCAGATCCGCGGTGAATACATCATCGTTCACTCGCTTCTTCGAAGAGATCGAGGAATCTCATGCCATGTGGAATGTCCTCAAACTATCAACTGTCACCCAACTTCGACACGAACGCAAAGCAGAGAGACATGGGCACCGCGCCCAGCGAAAGCGACAGGGGGATGATGGCGAACTATCCGCTGGACTAGAGGAATTCTTCACTGGCAGCTGTATCAATCCATCGGTATTCTGTGCAGTAGTCTCTCGTTGGATGGGTGGGCAGGGATCTGGATTAACTCGCGGAATTAGGGTGGTGGGAAAAGGTTTGGAATGTTCGAGGGTAAATGTGCGGAGGTCAGCTAAATAAAGGGAAATGCTAGATATCTCGTGTATGATATCCAGACGACAATGGAAAATATCTGCATAGCGGCGCTAGCACCAGTCGTAATCGTTGGTTAAGCCCTGAAGTCGTAATGGTATTTACAACTCGGAAGATACGGTGAAAAGAATGTAGAATCGATTCGAGGTAACCTACCCTGTATACAAGTTGCATTATAGAATGTAACATCCGCCAGTGGGGATAAATGGGGGGCCCCAATTCTACTCTTTCGTTCGAGGGAACCAGTCTACTGAAAAACACATGCCACTCCGAATCAAACGGACAAAGGCCCTGACGCGATCACATGGAGGTTCGTGGGAACTCTGTCGTTACCGTGCCGTTAATGGCCAAGACGCGGCGGTCCTTGCTTGTCTTTGAACCACCATCATCGCGCTTCAAAAATCCATTAATTCCACTTTTATTTCACCCACACCACGCGCTCTACCATGGTTAACGAATTCTCCACTTTGCAGGTCGACGAATTCTTCGACTTGTACCTCCCAGGCGGCGGCCAGGACACTCTCGACGCCGTAGTGAGCGAGCTGAAGAGCCAGAAGGTCCTCGTTCCTCGTGGAGGGCGGCTGGACCAACAGCAAAAAGCGTCGGCTTCGACGCAGAGACCTGCGTTCTCCCATGTCTTCAAGACTTTCCGAAGTCTCTTCCGATCTGGTTCAACCAACCCCACCCGCATTATGAAATCGTTCCAGACGGCTGGTAATGCCGTTCGCAGGGCTCTCAACAAGCTCAAAGGGCCAGCTCCCAACGAAAATGTCATTCGCACTGTAGAAGCGGACGAAAGTGCTCTCAATGGCTGCCTCACGAACAATCGCGAAGGGGAGCTGCGGTTGACTGACATCATCGCTCCGTTCAAAGTCATCTCGACGAAGCCGCAAGTGCGGAATAATGTCTTCGATGACAGGGTATGTGATCCCCTGCATCGTGTCATTGTCAAATACTGAATTTTCCCTCCACAGACCCTTCACCCTCTCATTCCCATTGTAATCGACTTAATGAACGGCGACGCACGCCGACGGTTCATGCACGGGGTAAGTACCTCTGTCAATTTCTTTCTTTCGATTGCTAACCACCCTTTGAAAAGATAACTATCGAAGAGAGCCAGGTTACCCTCTATTACTTTTCACGCTCAGTATGCGCCAAATCTACGCCTTTCGATGTAACCAAGGTGCGACACATGTTTCTAAATGAAATTCATATGGCTAACTCGGCCCTAGCACCCTGAATTCCTGATTCGGGCGCTTGTTGTGATGCTTACAAGCGCCATCTCGCACCTTGGCTTCGACCCCCTCGTCACACTGCTCCCTGATGGCAGCTACGTGTACGAGATACCACCAGAGGGGCCATCGATGGCCCCGAAATTCTATCAGACTCTACGGATGTTATCCATGCGCCATACACGACGTCTCATTGGTCGCATGGCTCGCATTTGGCGAGTGCGCCAGATTGTCTCTCTCTCATCCGTGGCACCAGTACCAAACACCTCCGATTTCGTGCTAAAGGACGTGTCTCTCGAGGCTGACGCACCCACGGAAGTCGAGATACAGCATCAGCTCTTTACTGACATTGTCGCCTTTGCAAATGACCCTAATTGGCGAGCGCATCCGATACTGCAAGACTTTCGACCGGAAGATCTTGATAGCCTCGCGGTTGCCTTGAGGAAAGGCGATCCGCTGGAGTTTTTCTCTCGCATCATTGCCAGCCACTTGGGAGAGCCGGAGCTCTCCTCTCCAGGGTGTATCACGCGTCGCCAATGTCGCTTTGTGTACGAGAAGGTTTGCACCCCGCTCTACGACATACCGACGCTCGGTGAAGCTGTCGATGTACTCAAACAGACCCTTATCGGTGCGTTGGTTTGCAGTGGGCTCTCCGTGTCTTTTTCTTTGCTGACTTTGTTTTTGTGTAGCCCTTCGTATCATGTTCTGCGCCGGATGGGTGCATCGCGATGTCAGCGCCGGCAATATTCTGGCTTATCGAGCCGCCTCGAACGGTGATTGGCGAGTAAAGCTTTCGGATCTCGAGTTTTCCAAACGGTTTCCCGCCTCAGACGACTCGAAGCCTGAGATAAAAATCGTGAGTCCTCTTTCAACACCATTTTCGCTCCAACTCACAACGTGATGCACAGGGAACCCCATTTTTCATGGCATGCGAGCTTATGCGCGACATTCCGGTCGCCGCGTCGGTGCATGAGCCTGGTAATTACCGGGATGATGATGCCGTTGGACCCCTACCGGATACTACCTTCAGGCCTCTCTATAATTATCAGTACGACCTGGAGTCCGTGTACTGGATACTCCTCTGGCTTGTCTCAGCACGGTTGAAGGGCGAGCACGACCCGGATAGGCTTCCAATTATCTTTCAACATCGCCTCGACGCGGAGTATGCCGCCGTTCGAACAATGGTGTTTGTTGACACGCTCCGAAACAACAACCTCGTTCGCAACATCCCTCCACCTCTGGAAACCTTTGTCATGGGCTACCTGGACATACTGCGGCGAAACTTGCTTGGTGAATATGTCATGCGTTACAAAGCCAAGGCCAGAGATGACGTATCTACATACTCTTGGGTATCGAGCCGTGCCTTCTACCCTTTCTTCACTGGCATTGAAAAATGTCGCCCGGAGTGGGAATCCATCGAACTTCATGTAGAAGCAGAACACGAGCATCTGGTGAAAGGCGAAGGGGTGAAGCTGTCGAAGAAGAGAAAGCGCGATGGTGACGGCGATGAAGATGGGGAGCCTGAACAGGCAAGGAAAACGGTCAAGCGCCGGGTTGTTGAACGTCAACCAACCCCTCGCCAGGGTGGTCCAGTGACCAGATCGATGTCAAGGTCAGCTGCTCGGATGACGCGCTCCGCAACCCGTCGTCTTCCAGCTGATAAACTCCGTTGCATTTCTCGATAATTGTACTGTAGAGTTATCACTCATTGTAGTACATAGTCTCATGTTATCCTATTTTGATACACACGTCAGTCCATGAGTACCTAGAACCACAGCCACCAACCCGGGCTTGAGAGTCGACATCCACCCAAAAGAAAGATAAATTTGAATAATTCACGCTACCGAGGATAAGTAGTACATGGGGCTCAAGTGTGCTCATATTCTGTGTCCGATCGCAAGTAGAGCTTGAATCCACAGATTGATTTAGCTTGGGCCTTCTGGGACGTCCAACGCAGATGGGCCGGCCCTAAAGTAACGAGCGCCTAACGTGTAGCGCCCACCCCAATGCGATATTCTGACAGGTCACAACAGAGGTCGGGCTAGCTCACCATGCTCCACCATAACTGCGGCATGAAGCGAGATAACTGACGAGGTAAATGAACCCATGAACAATGAGCATTGAGGAGTCCTTCGGACGAATTGCGATCAGTGGCACAGCGAGTGTGGGAAAGCTCTCGCGCTGTGATCAGTTAACCATCAAACTCCGACAAAGCTCGATTCGTTCGAACCACCACCTCGTTCTTCTTGAATCCCATTCCAACAACCTCCTGCAAACTTCTACGAGTCCCGTATCACAGAAAGCCCCAACTAAATTCAAAGGCGCACTGATGGCGTCGACCCCTTACCAGTAAGTCGTCCATTTTCAAACTTGAGTAAACCCTGACTCCGAGAAAACAGAACCCCTCCCCGAAACGGGAGTCGACAAGCACTGGGTATGGCGGCAACGACTATAAACAATAAAGTCACCCCGCGTCACGGCCCCGCACCCCCTCTGCAATACGACGACACCAATACCCAGCTTCGCCCAGAAGTTGGTCACTTCATGAACTTCGAAATGGTCGGGTGCAGCGTGGATGTTTTCATGAGCCACTACATGCCAAGCTACAAGCGAGCAACTGTCAAGAAGGTCATGAGTCGTTTGAAAAACCAGCTCCCACCTTCTCTGGTGAAACGCCACTCGTCCCTTGTTGAATCCAACGGACAGCAGCCAGAGAGGAATCCTTACCCTTTCGTCTTTGATTCGTTTAAGTACCGCCCGGCCACAATCAACGGAGTGAAGGACTTCAATGAGAAGTACTCGTTGAATGTATCGACAAAGCAGATTGAGAAGGCTATCTTTGAGGCCATCGAGAAGATCGACGCGGCTGTCAGAGACGCACTCAAGTCTCTTGGGATTGAGGTCAATGAATTCTCCATCCGCATGTGCCCTGACACCAATCTACTTGCCGACCTCGACGGAGCCACTCAGAGGATCGACGCGTGTATGACGGCCAAGAGAACTGGGCGTCCTCATATCACGGACATCATCGTAGCTTTCGAGTTCAAGGTCAAGCGCACAGAGGCGACTATTGAGCAGGTGAGTACTGCTTCATTGTCTAACCAATTTAAGCTAACCTTCTGTAATAGAACCGTCTTCAGGTTGTGTCGCACGTCAACCATGTGATGAGCGACGACCCTCGACGTCTATTTGTATATGAGGTGAGTATCCGAACATCCATTTTCAAGGTGCTTCTTGCTTATTCCACGGTTCTCAGGTCACGATCGAGGATGATCGTGTCACGCTTTGGTACTTCTCGAGGTCCCACTCTGCGAAATCCGAGTCGTTCAGTATGATCGAGGTGCGTTAGTCTTAACTCCATTTCCGAGCAACAATTCATTGTCCCTTATCCAGCACCCGGATCTCTTTGTCGAGGTAATCGTCTCGCTCGCGTGTGCAACGGCGGAGAAACTTGGCATTGATCCCTACGTTCACTTGGTGAATGATCAGCGCTATGTCTACGAGTTTCCTCCCAATAGAACACGACTCCAGTCGGAGTTTTACCTGACTGACGGTGTTCTCTCCGAATATCGCTCCCTACGGCTCACTGGTCGCTGCACACGGATCACTATGGACTCCATACCGCGCAGAAGCTATCCGGTTGCCGTACAATGGCTTTTGTTATCCTCAAACCGGACGATTCTGGTCAACTCAGAAAGTCGCGAAACTTCTAACTTTTTCCTGATTTCACACCCCGTATGAATACTATCCGGTTCTAGCAAAACCGGATAGTATTCATACACGTCTAAACCGCGAGGGAGGCTCTGAGTTCCCCAGGCAGAAAAGTATCCGGTATTCATCTCCACGGAAATTGAATTGGATACTGTACAAGGGGCTATATTCAGGATACAAAGGAGGGCTAAACAGAGAGTATTAGACTACTACTATGGCTCATAACGTACAAAACAAGAATGGTATACAAGTACAATGGTGGATCACTGCATAACAAATGAATACGGCGAGAGAAGGAAGAGGTCAACAGGAGAAAAGCTTGAGACAGAGTTTAGAAAGGGGAGAAGAAAAGAGAGGCACAAAAGAGAGCCGCCTAGTTGTCGCTCGCGAGGGGGTGCAGATCGGGACCTTCAACGAGGAGGCGGTGGTATCTATCCCGTTGGGCCAATAAACATCGACGATAGGCCCTAAATTGTCCAAGAATGATACGGCTTGAGGCATCCACGGTCTGCAGCTCAGTGTCGATGTGATACATTCTCAGGCGTACGTCCCAAGCCCAAGGTGCATCAGTGTGTAGCGTGTAAGGGGAGTATGGCGACTGTGGCTCGACGTTCAGAATGGACGGCACCTGTGTCGTGGAGGGGTGGTCGTGGTCCGATGACAAAGAGCCTAAATACTGGTTTGGGGTGTGGTGAGCTCGGTTACACTGAGGAGGCGAGTGCTGGGTGGGGGCATGACCATCAGAATAAGGCGAGGAAGAGGCTCGAGGTTGACGGCGTGGTCGTAAGTAGCTCAATGGAGAGCTTTGCAGAGCCATGTAGACCTCTCTCTCGGTTGAAGGAGGGATGATTTCGTGATTAGTGGATGGGGTCCTAGGGCTAGACTGAGAAGTGCGAGGTGTAGAAACATTCTGGATATCATGGTTGGGGCCGACGAAAGGAGAGCTGCACGGAAAGTCGCCGGTGTTGGCGTTATTGCTAGCGCTACTGCCATTGACCTCGTCACAGCTGGCTTCTTCTCTCTTGCCATTATTGAATTCGCTGCCAGCGTTGTAATCGCCCTGTGCATCTTTTCTCCCATCACTGTCCGAAACTTCGCTGTAGCTGTCGAGTTCGCCGTTGTTCAGATCGTCGTCGGAGTCCTCGCCGCTGCACTACATTGCTATTAATGATGTTATTCTTTTGTGAAGATGCAAACTCACCGATTTAGCAAGTTCCCTTGCCTCTGCAGCAAGCCTTTCCGTGTGGAGATCCCAAGCCTTTCGCTCGATGTACGACATGGTGATACTTTGGCTATGTGGCTCCCAAAAGCTTCCAAAGTCCTGGTGTAAAACGTTGGAGAAGTCGAATTCTAAGGATTCGTCCATAGGCGGTATCGCGTGAGGATAATTAGGGTGGTGGTGGTAGCGGGTTGTGGTGGTTGAGGTTGAAGACGCCCCCGGCGGGGTGCCGCGACTTAGCTCCCCGCAGTGTCGTTCTCACGATTGCTAGGCATACACAGACCGATAGATAGAAAGGCAAGAATATATTAGAAGGACGAATAGTCCTCTGGGCTACAAGAACACTTTACTGATTAATCTCCAATCACTCCGACTCGTCGACAAGCTCAGGGGGGATTGTGCCTCCACTGCGATCATACAGAGCCCATAGGCTCTCTTCCCCCCACCTCAAACGCGCAACCAAAGCCTGTATAGTGGTCAGGTCGACAATTTCGGTACCTGACTTCATCCCGCAATACACGTAGATAGGAAGGCTTTTGAGTTTTTTCGAGCGCGCCAATGCTTCGGGGTCATTGGGGTCGAATTGACAGGGGTTAATTTCAGCGAACACGACCACCTCGCTTTTCTTGATTCGCAGTTCCTTGGAGGGGGGCATCTCGATGTAGAAGATCCGCTGAAGTTCTCCAAAGAAGGATTCTCGCACCAGGTCTTCTTCAGCCTCGTCATAGGGCAAAGCTGCATTGCGATCAACTGCGAGGTCATACTGGAGAATGACAATGTATGAGATCTTTATCCATCTACGAGGGAATGAGCACGACGTACCCTGACAAACGAAGCTTCCCGTGAGTCCAAGGCTGTTGTCTTACATACAGCCGCTGCTCGGATCGTATCACCCCCATTCAAGCACTTGATACGGCCAAAGATTTGCACTCTATCGCGCTTGAAGTATTTACGGACTGTCTTCATGGCGATGGCAGGTTTTCCTACAGGTGTATAACGAGTTGCAAGGGCCGCCACAAGCTTGCGTTCAAGTCCACTGTCGATCTTGGGATCCTTGATACGAGGGTAAGAGAGCATATAGTGACCAGAGTCTGAAGAGGCGACGTGCTTAGAGATCGAGTATCGGAAATAAGGACGAGAAAGACATACAGAACGGCTCTGGGATAACGAAATCCTTCATGTTTTTGTGTTTGGGTTTGAAAGAGAGGACCTCCTTAAGGTTGAAGTTCAGTATGATCTGTTGGACCTGGGCGGCAAGAACGACATAATTATCGAGTGCCGCCCATGGGTGACGTTTACTGTGGAGGTAGGGGCGCAGCCGTCCACAGAAACGCTCCATTGCCCACGCCCAGTAAGCCCAGACTGGCCCGTTTGCTTCGATGCCATCCGCAATGTGAAGGAGGGCGTGGATTGTTGATGGGCATGCTGGAAGCCGATCCATATCATACTGAAAGTAAAGTCTAGTAGGATTTAATTTTCGTTCGACATTAGTACTAGGCTCTAGCTTTGGGGTAGTGACGGCGTACTTACCGTTCGTACTCAAGCACCCAGTCAATAAACCCCGAACGTATGTCTTGAATGTCCTTTTTCGAGTGTTCAAAACTCAGGCAAAGATTAATGAGGCGAACGAGGTGTCGAAAATGGCGGTAATAGTCGTGGTTTTTGAATTGACGTCGGAGAAGAACGGGTCCAAGGCAGAGGGTCCAGAAGGACCAAGTGTCGGCGGTGGTAGCACCAATGTCGTTGACTATGTTCTTGGGGCGGCTGCTATAGGCATTCGGGATGGTTTTTCCTGCATCCTCTCCAGCCTTGGCAATTGCATTCCAGATGGTTTTGTCGATGACATAGTCTTGACCTGTGTGGTCCAGGTTTTTGAAGTCGCCAGTCCAAAATAGAACGAGATTCTTGACGAGGTTTTCCCAAATCAGATGCATGAAGTCGAATGGAAAAGAGTCGGGAAAGAAGAAGGATGGGATCTCCGAGAGAATACTGACACCTTTGATCCCCGACGCCTTTGCTCGTTTCTCGCGCTCCGTTTTGCTGACGGTGGGGTCTTCCGCGGCCTTTGCATCTGCCATCCATTCCCGGTGGGTTCGAAGTGGCAAGTCAGTAGGGTCGTAAGGTTCCTCATCAAAGCGCGCCAAAGGGAAGTAGTGGGTGGTTGCTTTAGCAGTCGGATCGCGGATTCCTTTGATCTTGCAGTCGCGGCAACCACAGATACCATTATGGCCTTTTGCACACAAGAACATGGAGACTGCAGGGATGTCGCCAAACCCGTCGATTGGGAATGCGCGGAGCTGGAAGTTGGAATTTGCCCGTCGCGAGAAAGCCGTAATGCCGACGGCCAACTTCTTCATCTCGTTTACGAAAGGTCGAAGAAACGAGTTGCTGTCTTTCGGCTTGGTGGGACCTGGGATGACGCCAAGGCAGAGGGCCCACTTGAGATGGAAACGGATTTCGGGGGGGAGGTTGTAGTTGAACAATAAGATGGGCCAGCATGACTTTTTCCTCCTTCGGAACGGGCAGAACCCGTCGGTTGAGAACCCCAGGGCGACGTCGGTCTTCTGCTCGAAAAAGCGATGGGCATATCGAACACCGTCGACTTCAACGTGTTTCTTGACTAGGCGGCGATAATTCCTCCCATCAAAGATATCCTTCGTCTTCTCTTTGACGACAAAAGGATTGTCGTCCGGGTCTGGTGAGTATTCCTTAGAGCGATAGTCCATGAGGTCTTCGGCTTCGCGGTTGCTGAACAGTGCTATGAGGCGGGGGGTGACTGGGATGTATGTCCAGACTTTGTAGGGCTTGCCGTTAGCGTCGTAGCGAGGGTGGTCGCATTTAGGACACTTGTCCAAGTCCTCGTACTCGCCGACAAACGCCACACAGACACGATAGCAGCAATGGTATGTCTCCGGCTTGAAGTCGGCGAGTAGGCGGAGCTTGGCCTTGCTGGCCTTAAGGGTTGAGAGTCCAGATTGGTCAGGGAAAGCAAATGGGAGTTCGTTGAAGGCCTTGTCGGTGAGTGCGTTGCGTAGTTTGTAGACAATTGCTCGCAGAATTGAGCTGGTGTCTCCGTCAATATACACTTGGCCTGGTTGGTGGGTGTGAGAAATGTAAAAGAAAAACATGAGAGAATAACCTACCACTGTCTAAGGCTTCGGCCCAGAGCCGCTGGAAGTCTTCATCGTCATCATAGGTGTTGTATACATCGTCTTCGCTGTCATCCAAGCCATCGTCGAGACTTTCTCCATCCCCTTCCAGGTCACTCTCACTTCCCTCCTCCCACAGATTCTCTCTCTCTCGCTCCTCCTCCTCCGGCACCTCCTCTATCTCAACTCTCCAGGTCCTCTGCCCTTGCGGGCTACCGAATGCTTGCTGCTCTGGACTGGGTGGCTGCGGAATCTCCATCCTCTCCTCCTCCTCCTCCTCTGCTATATCTTCCATCTCAACCGTTCTTCGAGGGCTGTTATGAACTTGCTGTGGAGAGCCGACCGAGTCCATAGACACTGATTCGTGTGTGAGGGGCTGTGGTGAGGGAAAGCGAGGGTCAGAGATCTGCATGGGTGAGCTGAACCATTGAGAAGGGGACAGTATTGGCGGGGTCCGTGGTGTATAACAAGGAGCGGAAGGTCCTGGAGAGCGCAAGAGGCTCATTGAAGCCCGTCTCAAGAGCTTCTTCCCTTTCTCCTTCAACTTCTCAGCCAGCTGTGTTGCTTGTGTAAGGAAAGGTACGTTCTTGCCCTTTAAATGGCGACGAATTTGCCGTTCACCCAGCATATCACCACAATGTGGGCATTCCCAACGTTCACCCTCGTCCTCGCTACCGCCTTCGTTGTCGGATTCGTCGTCGGGTTCACCGGCGGATTCATTGTCTGGGATGGGGGGCCTGCTGGACAATCTATTTTGTTTGCGTTTTAGAAAGGAATGCATTGGTAGGTAGACGACAGTGGTAAGAGGACGCAGGTAAAGCAAAACGGTTCCTAGAGAAAACTTAGAAGTCGGCGCGCAAGTCCTGGGGCACGTGATCGCATGATACCGTGAACGGCGAACCACGCCCTATCATCCTACTTCTCAACACTCTACAGCCGTCCTCTGGCTACTGTCAAGTCACCATCCTTTTGTAAACCACACTCGCTTTCTCTACGTACTCAACCCTTCATGCCGCCCAAGAAGAAATCAAAAAACCCAAAGAAGAACCCCGGCGCGAATGACGACTCCGACTTCTCCAACTCAGGCGACCCTCCCCCAACGTCCAAGGCTAAGTCCAACACCGCCCAGAAGAAGAAGGCCGCCAAATCAACCAGCAAGGGGGGTACCTCCAAGAAGGACAAGCAGGCAGCAAGAAACGACAGTGATGACGAGTCTGAACACCTGAAGGCGGCTCCTAAGAAGAAAGCCAAGCCCGCCACGAAGGGCAGTAGCTCTGCCACGACTACCAAGAAGGCCACCCAGGACGAGGAAAGCGATGTCGCCATGGGCGATTACGACTACGATGACTCCCCCTCAGTTTCAAAGAAGACAGCCAAAGCCACTACCGCCTCGGGCTCGAAGTCTGCCTCTGCCAAACCCGCCAAATCGCAAACACCGCAGAAGAAGATTTTCAAGGGCGAGAAGGGGGGGCATGGATCCGAGAAGAAATCAACTAAGAAGTACCGTGCACGATGGTATGATTCAAGTAAGTGTCATTCCCTTCCCTTCTTCATGCTCACTCACCTCAAAGCTCAATATTGCAGTCAGTCTCGAGCCGAGCGCCCTTGCGAAGTTTGTGGCTTCCACAGCTACCGTCAAACACATCCCAAAGCCTCCTGGAGAGCCTGGAGAGCCTGGTGGAGGCGGATATACAATTGAGACAAAGGTCCGGCTAGACCGAGCGCGTTATGGAAAACATTTCCGGCGAGAATATCTCGACATTCAGGTATGTGGTCTATCCATCCCTGAACCTCGCTGACCATACTTTACTAGCAAACCATTCGCAATTTCTGTAGGGCTGCTAAACTTCCTCCGTATGCGCTTCTCAAGGACCAGGACCTCGCAACCATCGGAAGAATCATCACGATGGTAAGTGGTTTCCCTTCAGTGGTTTCTATGCTGATCCTCTCGATTTAGGTGGCACTTAAACATCCTTACATGGATTCTCGACATTTTCCCAACCACTGGTCCATTGCTGCAATGCTCAAGACATTCCTTCGGGGCCAAAGAGCAGGTGTTCGCAAGAAGGAGAAGGAGTTGGGCGATTCAATTCTTGCAGAGCAGGGCGAGGACGGTTCAGACATTGACGACGATGAAGAAGAAGGGATTGACGCAGAGGGTCACCCCACCAAGGCAGACATCCTCAAGGCATTCAGTGCCAACGCTGATAGCGACTATGAAGACGATCCCACTGAACCGGGGCAGTCAAAAAAGGTATGATTTGGCAATTCTCTTTATTTTACATATTGATCTTTCGATGCAAGGGAAAGCAGCCCTTGAAGACGACTAAACCAAAGAAGAAGAACGCTGCCCCTGTTGTCGAGGAGGAGGAGCAGGACAAGGAGGACGATTACGAAGCTCCTCGACCCAAGCCGAAGAAGAAGGCCGTGTCCATCGTTGAAGAGGAGGAGGAGGACGAAGCTCCTCGACCCAAGCCAAAGAAGAAGGCTGTGCCCATCGTCGAAGAGGAGGACGACGACGAAGCTCCTCGACCCAAGCCGAAGAAGATCGTTCCCATTGTCGAAGAGGATGGCGATGACAACGAAACTCCTCGACCCAAGCCGAAGAAGACCGCTCCCATCGTCGAAGAGGACGACGACGACGAAGTACCTCGACCCAAGCCGAAGAAGATCGTTCCCATCGTCGAAGAGGACGACAACGACGACGAAGCTCCTCGACCCAAGCCAAAGAAGAAGAAGACCGCTCCCATCGTCGAAGAGGACGACAACGACGAAGTACCTCGACCTAAGCCGAAGAAGACCGCTCCCATCGTCGAAGAGGAGGAGAACGACGAAGTACCTCGACCCAAGCCGAAGAAGAAGGTCATCCCCGTCGTCGAAGAGGAGGAGGACGAGGAGGATGAGGCTCCCCGACCCAAACCCAAGCCAAGAGGAAAGGTGAGTGACCCTCGCCTCGACGAGAATGACGCCGGCGATAGTTCCGGTGTCTCACCTGTGGCCAAACGCAAATCGGCAACAACGGACGACTTCTTCGACCTCTCTCACAATCGGAAGAAGCGGAAGTTGCCATCCATCGCGTCGACTCCATCAACTCGAAGCACCACCCGAAGCTCAGTCCAAGCGGGTTCAAAGGCAGTGGAGTATTCTGGGGATGAATTTGAAGTCGACACCACCTCGGTCTCTTCAAAGGCTAGGGGTAAACAGAGGGCACAAGACGTTGACGACGATAGCGAGTTCGAGTCCTGAATCCGGCCCTTTCGAGGTTTATCGACCATCCTTTCTTTTTTTCTTTTTCTTTCTTTTTTGCAGTGTAACCTTTCTTACTCCCTCGTCTCCCTCTACCCTACCATCCCTGCGACCCCTGCATTTGTATCATACATCACTCTGGCATTGTATCCTAGTTCTGACCTGTATCCCCTGTTTTCAATCGAATTGTAGCCTTTTTGACCATACACAAAGAATCCGTATTGAGAAGAACCATCCTGGGTCCGGATAATTTCCATGTATACTACGTATGCACTGCGCTACACACAACAATCCCCTGGAGGGATAAAAATCATCATCACCAACGTCCGATATCGACCCTCGATGGACCGGATAATCTGGACATATCCCGCATAGAGACTATCCCTCTGCCGGATAGTCCGGATTATCCGCCCACCAGATTATTTTGTTCCAAAGTAATGAAAACCACCCGCTAGCAGGGTAGTCTTTCCCCAGCCAACGGGTACCTTCCCGGATACTTTTGGTCCTGGATTGGGCGTACAGTGGATCTGGAGAGCCAGGCGCGTCGTATCGGTGAAGGATCACAAGCTTATCGACAAAAACGAAGTGTTGGCCCTCAAGGATGTTTCCCTGGAAGTGAACACAATGACTGAGATGCAAATTCAGCACAGACTGTTTGCGGATGTCAGGGCCTTTCGTGACTCGGATTGGCAGAAGAGTCCTGCGGTGAAGGACTACGGCGAAGAGGAATTAAATCTCCTGGCCGATGCGCTGGACGGTGACAGGTTTAAGAGGTTCTTTTGCTGCATCCTGGACAAGTATGTCGGAAAGCCCTCTCGTTCGCTTTGCCCTAAGGGGTCAATCGAAACGAATGTGTTTCCTGAATACAAAGCGTTCAAGAGCCACAACAGTGGCGAGTTCCTCCCTTCAATTCGTACAGGCCAGAGCACGGCAAAGCCAAAGACATTGAAGAAAGCGGAAGATGCCAACCTCACCCGCGCCTTTGATCCTCGAAGACAGTGTCGCTTCATTATGGAATCGGTATGCACCCCTCTCAGCCAAGTTGAGACTTTGGGCGAGGCTGTTGATATTATAAAGGTGCTTATGACCGGTGAGTGGCATCAACATTCACTAAAACCAACAACAATTCATGCTAACGATCTCGTTCCTCATTAACCAATCCAACCAGGTCTCCGTATTATGTTCTGCGCGGGCTGGATTCACAGAGACATTAGTCCAGGCAACATCCTTGCTTGGCGCGCGTCAGAAAGCGAGCCATGGCAAGCCAAGCTCTCCGATCTCGAGTATTCGAAGAAACTCCCTTACACTGGGCCAGCTAGCCGGGACCCTAAGACTGTAAGTGACATCGTGTACATTTTATTCTAAATGACTCTGACACTGGCCATGGGACAGGGAACACCGTATTTCATGCCCTGTGAGGTTCTAAAAGGGGCATATTTCCTTCCCCGTTCCACCGTCAACTATAGGGATGACAACGAGTCAGGGGCGAAACCAGCCTGGGATAAGGAAAACAGTGTTACCCCAAATTACCAACACGACTTGGAGTCCATCTGGTGGATTCTTCTGTGGAAGTCCACGGCAAGGGCCTGGGAAGACGCTCCAATTGAGCGAGACATCTATGTCTTCCAGAAGAGGGTAACAGACATGTACACAAATGCTCGGGCGGCTTGTTTTCGGGTTCCACTTGGCGATGAGGCTAAAATTATGAGCCACGTCCCCCCGCGACTGGAATTGTTTGTCGGGCAGCACCTAGATTTTTTACGATCTAGCCTGTACTATGAGTACGAATCTCGCGCCAAAGAGGACAGAGACAATATCGGGTCTTACTCTTGGGTTATGAGTAAGCCGTTCACAAGATTTTTCGCCAGAGTTGAAGAGTCGCGGGAGGAGTGGGGGAGTCTCAAATTAGTGGTGGACAAACAGGTCAGGAAGATGGAGGACTTGGAGTTAGTCAGCCATACGGATACTGACGAGCCCAGCACACCTGCGGGGGAAACCATTGGAGTTTCTGAGGAAGGAGAAGCTACAAACATAGAACACAATGAGAGAGCTCAAGGTAGCGAGCAAGATGTCGCTGATCCAGATATCGAGGAATCAACCAGCCGACCAATGAAGCCATCGGGAAAGAAGAGAAAGGCTACCGACGTAGAAGAAGACAAGGTCGTTGATGGTCGCGGGACTGCAGCAATTCACAGGGCCGAGGAAGATGGTGATGTTGACGACAAAGCGCAGTCGAGGCGTACGTCGAAGAGGCTCCGCTCGGCACGGGCAGACACACAAGAGAAACTGGCGGATACGCACATTGGAAGGGTGACTAGGTCGATGACCAAGGCCACGACAGCGACCACGCAAGGAGGCAGTGCCGCCAACACCGATAGCGTCAAACAAAACCACGGACTTTCGAAACAGAAGAAGAATACGCGCCGCTAAGATCATTTTGTTTTTGTTTTTTTGTGGAGTTTGGTAATGTCTACTTAAACTTGTGCTGGACGCGAGTTCCCCTCACTACCATTAATTACACTGTATCTCGCTGGACGCCTAGTACTGTGGGTAGTCAACGCTGGTCGTAGCATGACTGGTTCAATATATGTCATCTAGAAAAATAAGGTCGACGGGAATGTGTGAACATTGTCTCTGAGCAACAGGGATTTTCGGTAGAAGTCGTGCACTCATAGCATTCTCCCTCCCTCCAGTTTCTCAACAGGTTATGAGCCCGTTCGTTGCTGAGCATGGTGTAGAGCTGCTCCTGACCACCACCAAGCCTAGAGTTGTGTAGTTGGGAATTGAGAAACCCATTATCCGAGTCATGCAGGGGCCAGATGTGTGAAACAAACTCCAATGGTATTTGACGGAATGTGCTACCAAACAATGAGAAGAATCTATAGAAAGGAATCGTGCGGAATCTTTAGAAGACAGGTATCGCGAAGGAGGTAGGTTTGAAGTAATCAGTAACGGGTATCATCGAGTGTGGCAAGGTTACAACGACGAAGGAAGACGAAAGTGGTGGAAACAAAAGAGGGCAGGGTATCGTAAATACACACAGTGAGTAAAGAAGAGGTATACTGGCCGACCACAAAGTAAACGACGAGCGTTTAACGGCGCGATTGGCTGGTAGTGGCGGTGGTCGTCTTGTTTTTTGAAGCGGCAGCCTGACGCATACGGCGAGCAGCAGCTCTCGTGACGGGGCCGGTGTTTTGAGCTGCGCGGGTCATGGATCTGGTCACAGGCCCTGATCTTCGAATAGGGGCTTGGACCTCTGGGACAGGGGCGACGACCCGGGTCCTCTTCCTTGGTCGGTCTTCCTTAGGTCGATCATCCTTTCTTCTCCTCTTCTCAGCAGCCTTCGGTTCGACCCGGACACCCCCCTCTTCCCCATTGTCTGCCCTTCTCTTTCGTCGGGGGTGGTACGGTTGCGACAGTTCTTCGCGTTCGCCTTCGTGTCGCTGTTCGGTCGAGGTGGATAATTTGAGGTCATTCCACAGCGCTCGGGACTCCTCGATACCTTCGAAGAAAAGGGTAAAGGACTCGCTGATGACATACGAGTACGTGCCAATGTCGTCCTGCTTCCCTTCCGCGTTACGCATGATGTATTCGCCATGGATCTGGTACTTGAGCTGCTCGAATTCGTCGAGGAAGTTGGAGTCCAGGAGTTCCTTTGGCAGCGAATCGAGGAGTGATGGGGTGGAAGAGATGTGGGTTTGATCCCTGAGCAGACCACGACGTCGACCGATGCACTGCTGACTCATTGGCTGCTGGAAATGCAGACGCCCGAACTCCCGGCAGAGGTCTTGGTCGACCCGCGTCGTAGCAAACCACAGGATGATCCACCAGATGCTCTCCAGGTCGTGTTGGTAGCCGTATACAAGAGGCATGTCAGGATAATCAACTTGTTTACCCATACGGAACTCGACAGGGAAGTAATGACGCGACGTTTGGATCTCGCACGGCATGAAGAATGGTGTTCCCCGAGGGGAGAGTCTCAGTACCAGGCGACTATGACGTCAGTGATGAACGCACCATGATCTGCTCGTCTTCAGAAAGGTTTGCACCGGGGAATCTCGTGGAGTATTCCAGGTCGGAAAGTTTCACCTGCCATGGCTGGTCGGGCCCCGATCGAAATGCGAGTATATTTCCAGTGCTGATATCGCGATGGACCCATCCAGCGCAGAACATAAGTCGAAGTGCTGCAGGGAATGTGTTAGCAAATCAACCACGAGAGCAGCGATCAGGATCGTACCTATCAAACACTGCCTGAGTATATCAACGACTTCTCCGAAAGTCGATATATCATGCAGAGGGGTGCAGACAGACTCGTAGACAAAGAAACATCGACGTGTATTCGATGAGGTGGAGGGGTCGTCGACCTGGCGGACGTACTTGGCAACAATGCACGAGAAGTACTGTTTGAACCTATCGCCTTTCAAGGCTTCGGCGAGAGACTCAACGTCGCGCTCGAGGAAATCTTGAAAGATCGGCTTCATGCGCCAGGATGCACGGTCCTGGACAACAGCCGAGATATCTCGGAACAGGTCCTCTTGTATTTCCGCCTCGGTTCGCGACCAGGAGTCCACCCAAACGTCCTTCAGGACTCTGTCAGATGTACCAGCAACACGGCGCCGGTCGGTTGGAGAGACGACCTGCTTAACTCGCTAAATCCGCGGACTGCGATCACCAAGACATGTCGACGGGTAGTGCGAGATAAGCTCGAGACTGTGGTAGAAGACTGGGGTCGATCCTTCCTTGTCGGAAGGTAGCTGGTAAGCATAACTCCTGTCCGGGAGCATGGTCACGAAGGGGTCGTATCCTAGCTGCTCGTCGGTAGCAGTGAGAAGCGAGATGATGACTTGGACGAGAATGTCAGCGGACTATTAAGCGCGGACGCGATGAGTACGAATTAGCTATGGTCGAGTCGGAATTCGTACCTCAGTCCAGTCAAACGGAAGAGAGTGGATGACTTGGGATCGAGAAAACCGACTAAGGGCCATTTTCCCGTCACGAATAGTGATCTAAAACGATGAATTAGGTTGACCTAAGTACGACGTTCGACAAAGAGCACTCACCGCGTAAGTAAATGTTCTTCGAGCATCATCGTTCATGATAGCAACTATGCGCTCCATGACGTTGCTTGCATCCTATGCAACTTATCTTTGAGATAATGACGTCGAATGCAGTGGAAGAGACTCCTACCTCTTTGTTCTTTTCTCTCGGGAGCACGGTAACGGGAACAGCGGCGTCGGAAGGAGTCAGCGGTCCATCCAGATTCTTCGACAAGCAAGCCGTGACAGAGGGATCGCCGTCCTGGCTTACTTGGACCGAAAGACTGTTATGTCCCCGAATTCCGAGACTTTCCAAAGTGCCACTGACGAGCGTGCAGACCGTTCGCAAAGCCTCGACTATCCTGCTAGGAGTGGGAGAGTGGGACAGAAACAGAGACTTCAACGATGTAAATCCGTAACCGACTTTCTTCGATTTCTGGCCCTTGGATAGGCCAGTAGAAATAAGGACCTTTTCCTTCTGCAGAGCCGTGATGACAGCGTCGAACGCGTTCCCGCTGTTGTTGGGTAGGTGATCTGAGACGAATTGGTTAATACAAACTGCGGAAGTGATTGGTTTCATGTTCAGAGGTCCTGTAGGAAGTATACGTAGAAGAAAGTTGCCCTAGAGACTCTATGGATTAAGCATCAATGTGGTTGAGAGTCAAGGAGTGGCGAGAGGGTGAGCGATCATTGTCGAGGGATTTGATTTCTCACGCCATCACGTGTAGGTGTCACCATGGTTACTCGGCTTAAATAAGCTGAGTGTAATTTTACGCGAGCGCGCGCGCACAAAATGGCCACTCCCATCAGTCAACTGGGAACTTATTCCCTAATTAGGAACGGAGTTCCAATTTGTCCTTCGCCACTTTGCTCGTTCTCCACTTCTCATTCAACAGAGTATATACTGTCCCCTTCCAATTTGTTTTTGTTAAACTTAGTACCAACGTGTATTTAGTAATCGAAAATTAATGATGAAAATTGCCCTTTCAACTTACCTTTCCGCTGAAACTGTTCGCCATGCCCTTTGTCGGAGTTTCAATTGTTTCCTCCACTGGAAGCAACTCGTTTCTGCTTGTCGTATACCGTGTATCCTAGTTCTCTTAAGTGTCTTATATCGTAGCTCTCCTTTGGTCAACTTCTTTGTGTATTAGTTAGAGAACTAACGCTAGTAATATGATTCTTTTATTAAACTACCTATGGAATTAGGTCGCAACACTCGGTTTCCCAACCCCACTCGTGCTCGTACACGTGTAAGCGCATTTGCTCTACGGTGAATTCCAACTCGACATCGCGTACCCTTCTCATCAAGCTCCTGGAAACCGTTGTCGGTGTTAGTCTCCCGCGTACGCTAAGAATTGATTGTGGCACCTTGTCAGTTCTTCCAGCACCCGTCCAACATCGTCGTCTGTGGCATCCACCAACGTTCCTTCCTTGTCTTTCAGGATGACAAGGATGCCACCTTCCTCACCTATATACCTGCCTGCATTGCCGACAATCGCTTCCATAACCCTGTTTTGCTATGGGCCAATTAGTACTTTAGAGATACTATCGGCAGACCAACTCACCCTTCGTCCTTCTCCGTTGACGGATAACCCCACCGCATCTTTTTCATCGTTGATCTTTAAGTGATCGGCCCGCCATGTATGTCGTTCGTCTCCGACCGGAAGATAGATAGTCGGAATGGTAGCAGAGATTCCTGCCCCCCGTTCGCTACACCTGCGAAGGGGCACTGGCACCATGACCACCGAACTTCGGTCATCGACCAACAGAACCCCGGTCACCCAGTCATAGCCTCTCTTTAAAAATACATGTCAGTTTGCTCCACTCGAATGGCGAATTGGTAGCTACTCACCTCAATCATCATCCATGCTTTGGTCAGAGAATTTCGCGTACGTGCCCCGAAGCCAGTACTGCGACGATTTCCACCGAAACTGTGAACATGTCGCAAAGCCTCTGGCAGGTGTACAATGGTCTGAACCCGCGAAAGGGCCTGAGTACATAGCACCTCTGTAACACGGTCGAACAGCAGCCTAGAGGACAAAACTTCATAACCGTTGTCGAAAATACCTGAAAAGGTAACACTTACCTCACAAAACCCGCAGCGAAAAGCTCAAAATCACCTGGTTCGCTGTCCTGTAGGTGCCCGATGGCGTTTGTAGTAAGAACAAGACAGGCTCCCTTGGTACGAAGAACAGAGCGGCTCCAGGATGAAGTCATCGTTGTAAGGGTCGGGTTGCGGGGCGATCCCTCCTCGACCTCACTTGCCGAGAGCATGATCCAGCACCGTCCGTCTGCGAGACCGTACACAGGGAGGATGCTCAGCCTTATCGTCCCTTCCACACTCCCTATCCACGGTTCCGTCTCCAGCCCTTCGACACTATCGAGTCGATCCATACCCGGTTTTAATGCCACTCGGACCATCGCAGGCGTTGAGCAGTCAGAGGGTTAGGGATACCACAGGGACCATCCCCAGTACTCTAGTCAGGAAGTTAATTGTAATATTGAAAGAGGTAAAAAGCGTATTCCAAACATACTTGGAGGGGCGTTACCTCGGAAAGATCAAGGTGATAGAGAATTCTACTGCAAAACCATGCTAACACTTTTGAAGCCCTGGCGGAGATGGAAGGACTTGCGCAACGTGGATGAATCATGGGATGAAGCGTTTGTGGGGCATAAATTCACAGATGAACAAAAAAAGCTACTAGCAAACTTCAATCTGCGCTATGAATGTTTGGATGACCGGGACGACTATCACCGTCAAATGCAAAAGCGACTGAGAGAAGCAAAACAGTTCACAGTCGGCCTGTGGGATAATAATTCTGGTTTTGAAGATTGGGATGAGGATGACTATACCCGGTTTATTGAACTCGAGAATAAACTCGCAATGGATATTGCTGAGGACAAATTAGGGAGCAAGTTCAAGAACAAGCAAAAACAAATGCATGAGGCACAAGAACTCATGAAGCGTGTTGGTTGGACGAAGAGAATAATTGCAGAAACAGCTAATGGAGTGAGTTCCATTAAAGAGAGGATATCAACTGGTTTTACAGCTAATAGTTGGAGAGAATCAGTCAAGTCTGCCAAAGAACGGTTGTTAAGAGAAAGGAGAAAGTACTTGGGGTCTAATATCAATGAAACAAAAGAGAATAAAGACAATGATGAAAACGTAGCAGACAAGAAAGGTGAACAAGTGAAATTGCTTAATATAAATTGGTTCCAGAAAGACTACAAGGCGCAAAAAGAAGAAGAACAGGATATTATAGATACCACTGTTAAAGAGTTCAGCCTTAATGAGGAACAAGAAAGGGCATTTAGGATTATTGCTAATCATTCAACAAAGTCAGGTGAAGAGCAACTTAGAATGTATCTAGGAGGTATGGGAGGGACTGGAAAATCCCAAGTTATCAAGGCTGTAATTTCTATGTTTAATAAACGTAACCAAGGTCACCGGTTCATTGTTTTGGCACCTACAGGAACAGCAGCCGCTCTATTGAACGGGTCAACTTATCATTCAATGCTAGGCATCCGAATGGCTGATGCTGAAAATGAAATAGTGAAGTCAGACTCTAGAACAGTTCAGGAGGTGAGGTCAAGATTGCTGGGTGTGCAGTATATTTTCATAGATGAGGTTTCTATGATTGCGTGCCACGAACTGTACACTATAAGCAAGCGACTTGCTCATATAACCAATAAGCCTGATCTGCCCTTCGGAGGAATGAACATGATTTTTGCTGGGGACTTCGCACAATTACCGCCAACCAAGGGGATGTCTCTTTACAGTAACGCTATGGAGAAGGTTCAAGATGCACGAATGACAAGACGTCAGCAAGAGACTACCTTGGGAAAGATTCTATGGCACCAGGTGACAACAGTTGTGATTCTACGCCAAAATATGCGGCAAAAGTCACAGACTGAGGAAGACGGAAAGCTTCGAAAAGCATTGGAGAATATGCGGTTTGCGGCTTGTACAGCAGAGGACATAGAGTTCTTGAGAACAAGAATTGTAGGTGATCGCCCTGGACGCCCAAAACTTACTGACAAAGAGTTCCATAATGTTTCCATTATTACAGCATGGAATTCGCAGAAGGATGCATTGAATGAAATGGGGACAGCTAGGTTTGCAGAGGAAACTGGACAAGAGATCAGGTACTTCTACTGCCAGGATTCCGTTGGAGCTGACTCTAACACTGGACCTGTTGAGAAACTGGAGAGAGGGCGAATGCCCATATCGATTGAGTAAGTAACTACGAACTATTTATACACAATCGAGTAGTCTACGGATATATAGATGTAGAATTATCGAGGAAATAAGAAGATAATTAATCTCCTAAATCCGTCCGATGAATAAGCGCCCGGCACAATTACCGAGTGCCGAGCTGATTCCCAACACTCCCCCTCAGATCGGCAGTCGGGGTGAGTCGAAAATATCTACCTAAATCTACCTAAGTGCTTCTTTACTAAGTAAGGCAGTCCGTGACGAAGTTAATACATGCTGTTAATGTCCTACAGCACAAACACGAGTCCGTTAGCGCTTCCAAACCTCTTGGTTGGTCCGTGACCACAACCATAGCCAAAAAAAATCGAATTGTAGGTGACGGGGAGCTCTCCCGGCTCTACCAAGTCCAACCCTAGTCCGAATACATCCGTGATGGGCAGCGTACCAGCTTACACCACATCTACGCGATGCCAAAAATAGTCGTGCCTCCCATGAGCGCACGTAACCCGGCCTATGGCCCAAAAATAGGATCCCGGCTTGATCCACTGGCGGAATGCGCGCCTAACGCGGCGGTGATGGTCGTAAGACGTCCGAGCCGTGCTCCAAGGACGAATGATGGGCGGTGTTGATAATGAGGGAATAAATGAGTGACGATGCCGGCGTCGGTGACGGAATGATGAACAAGAACAATAACCCTCCTCCCCCTCTCCCCAGAATGGCATAGTCTCCCCCTATTCTCTAGCTCCAGCCTCGGATGGTGATAACGAGCCCAATAGGGATGGCGATGGGCGTAGCCGATGCACGACAGTCAAGGCGTCATCGGGGTTGATAGCGGCGAGCGAGATAAGATAAGATAGCGAGGGTGAAGACGAGATAACAGTTCTACAACATGTTCAGCAATGAGCGGGGCTCATAACCTGTTGAGAAACTGGAGAGAGGGCGAATGCCCATATCGATTGAGTAAGTAACTACGAACTATTTATACACAATCGAGTAGTCTACGGATATATAGATGTAGAATTATCGAGGAAATAAGAAGATAATTAATCTCCTAAATCCGTCCGATGAATAAGCGCCCGGCACAATTACCGAGTGCCGAGCTGATTCCCAACAGGACCTAGACAGAGAGGAAGGCCACGGAAGAAGAGAGCAAATGTTACCGAATTTGAAAAGATCCAGAAGGTCTTGTGGTCCATGAACCCATGTACATCTGATCACATACCCGCTGTTCTTAAAATTTGTTATGGACTACCTGTCATGATTCGCTACAATGATGCTACAGAGCTCTGTATAACAAAGGGACAAGAGGGAAGAGTAGTGGGGTGGGACGAAGGAGAAGGTTCTCATGGAAAACCTATTTTAGAAACATTATTTGTCGAACTGATTGATCCTCCTTCAAAGGTTCAAATCCCCAGACTTACTGTGAACGTTGTACCAATTCCTAAAAGTAGTAACCGTGTCGAGTGCCTAATGCCCAATGATAGCGTGGTTCGAGTGGAGAGGACCCAAGTGAATATCCTTCCAAACTTTTCAATGACTGATTATGCATCACAAGGCAAAACTAGAACTTATAATGTGATTGATTTAACACATTGCAAGAATCATCAGTCTTACTATACCTGTGTTTCACGTAGTGCATCTGCAGCAGGGACAGCAATTCTCCAAGGATTTGACACAGAAAAAATTACCAAAGGGATCAATGGATACTTGCGACAGGAATTCCGTGAGTTGGATATGCTAGATACAATTACCCTTTTACGGTACAATAAGTTAATACCTGAAGATGCAGTCAGACCTTTGCGAAATCCAACAATAAGGGCATTCCAGAAGTGGGCATCAGAGAACAACATTGACTATTCATCCAAATGGCACAAGTCCCTACAATGGAGAAAGAATGAGAAGATTATACAGGAGCCAGAAAAGGATGGCACTTGGAACTTGGCATATGCTAAGACCCGTGAAGTGATAGAGAGAGAAAAGAATCAGCTTGGTAAGAGAAAGGCAACTGGTAATTCAGGGCAAGAAGTTAGTAGGCGAAAGCGACAAGTCACTACACTGGCCCCTAATCCTTTGAATCTTCCGTCTGAGGTATGTATTGGGTTAGAATGGGATACGGATAACTGGAGCTGCTCATACGACTCACTCTTTACAGTCACTTATAACCTGTGGAAGGAAGCATCACCAAACAGGAGAGATGAAATCATGGATCTCAGTACATATATGGGAGGATTTATCTCAGAGATAAATCATGATTCTTCTAAGGAGGGCCTGGAAAAGGCACGCAATATAGTGCGGAATCAACTATATGACCATTCGGCGACATTATTCCCCAAAGGGAAGGCTTATGTGGACATGGAGGATTTACTAGATGTGTCTCTAGGGAAGATGACACCAAGGGCAAGAGAAAAGACAATATGCAATACTTGTAAACATACATCACTTCTTAAAGATCAGCCAATGTTCTCTACTGTAACTGTGGCCACAGGCCGAAGGAACATAGTTGTTCCAACAGAGATGGACCCCAAATCTCTACCACTCGACTGGTGGTTGAATGAGGTTATGAGAGAACCAAGAAAGGCAATGTGTAAGAAGTGTAAAAATAGAACGATAGTCAAGACTACAGAAGTCTTTTCAGCACCGGTCCTGTTAAGTTTTGTCATGGAAGGTAAAAAGATTATTCCTAGTGAAACTTTGACTGTGAAAGTGAACGGCCATCCAGTATTGTACCACCTAAAAGGCCTTTTATACGGGGGTGATAATCATTTCACTTGCCGCTTTGTGGATCGATGTAACAGGATTTGGTACCACGATGGTATGGCTAGAAAGGGTGAAGGCTACTATGAAGGTGACATAACCACAGACTTTGATCTGAAAGTACTTCAAAAAGCTGGAAGAAAAACATTGATTGCATGTATCTACGCTAAGTCTGACATTTTCTGAACCATTTAAGTAAAGGTGTTTCCGGCGGAGCCTTATTTAAGCCGAGTTATTGCCATGCATGTGCATTGGCCCGTATACTAGTTTATATGTAACCTAAATACATAGTCGACAACTAACTAGGGACAGCGAGACGCTGCTGTCGACTTAATGGTTACCATTTACACGTACACACGCGGGTGTTACAAAAGTAACTTTCTCAACTAACTTTTCCTTACTAAACTAACTTTTTCTAACTTTATATGATGCAAGCTGTCATTGACATACAATACACTCCTGTTTCCATCTAACGTCTCCGACTACACTCTTACTACATTCTTTTGACGCCAGATACGTCTCCCCATCATGATGCCAAATATACACATCACCTTGGTTTGGCACCTTACACCCTCAGTGCTTAGTTCTATAGGTCATTCCAGTCATTCCCTGGTTTATACTCATTGACTCGGATGTCCTACCATCCGAGCTACTACTCGACGCCCCTCCAGCTCATCCTTGTATATCCCTGCCCACCCAGCCGACCGCAGGTTCGAGAAATCACGTCGTATCTTCAAAGAGCCCTAGAGTAACCCTAGAGGCTTGAGCTCTGCTCGAAGCAAGGAGACAAAATAGCTGAAAATAGACCTGTTAATAGTTAGTTCATCTACCATGAAAGAGAGCTCACTGAATGGTAACCGTTTCCCCAATCGACATCTATTATCCACCCACGGTGCCGCACATGGCGCAGAGTCCAAAGGTCGCCCAAATCTCATTGAACCCTCAAGTCCCATCAAGGAAGAAACAAGGGGAGGGAAATCCAGTGACGACGACGAGGACGAACCCCAGCAATGACCCAGCAATGTGAAACGTGCCAAACAGAGAGACCCGGAACACCCATACCCAAAACACACACACAAAAGAGAGCTTTAAATTTGACAAAGTGGGATAAATTGATACCATTAAGAACAAGCGAACGACCTAGCACAAGCCGACGTTTAATACACAGCAAACGATATCCACGGCAACGTTGTCGGGCTAACACCCTCCTCATCACCCTCCCACGCCGGCTCACCAACCCCACCAAATCGAAAGCCCCAGCCTATCCAGCCCATCCCTCTACAAGACCGCCTACTTAACCCACCCCGTTATACCCCGCCCAAGCAACCACCCGTTTCCGAAACACTGCCAACCAACCCACCCCCTACGAAACACGTCTAACCAACCCATCCCTTCGGCCTAACCTCATCACCCAACCTCCTCACTCCCAACCACGGCGCTTTCGCACTCTTGAGCCCATGGTCACCTTCATCCCATGTATACGATGCAGCTGTAAATCAGAATGGGAAAGATTAGCGACCGTCGAGGTAATACGGAAGAAGAAACACGAGAAGAGGAGGGGGAGCAGGAGGGGGACAGGGAAAGCGAAACACAAGGGAAAGGATGAGAAAGGTAGCAGTGGAACACCCATAGATGGTGTCGACCGTAACACTTCGAGGTGTAGGTAGAAAACATGGGAGGGAAAGGGAGGGCAGGGGAAAAAAAGCGAAGCGGAGGAAATCCAAGCAGGAGCCTCGGAGGAGCAGGACAAAAGCAGACAGGCGGGAGTAAAACCGAAACATAAATCGACAGAAACGAATAGAATCGTCACGCCCTCAATTCATAACGCATGAACTGGTAGGCGGGAAAAGAGGAACCCGCCCGAAACTCAAACAAAACAAAGCGAGACGAGCTGAAAGCTCGAGTGAACCAGCGATATCACTGGAACACCACGCCCAAGGACTCAACATTGTTAAGCCACAGGCACGAGCGCCGTAGACGACGGGATAAAATGAACGCATGGCACCAACAGCCACGCGCCATCCACGCCCACGCCCCAGGCCCTCGAATACGCCCAGAACCCAGAGACCCTCAGAGAAAAGCGACGGCGCAGTCGCAGTAAAAAAAAGAGATGCGACACAAGAACGCCCCAAACTCTCCTGGTAAAAGTACAAGTCGAAACGCAAACTCTGCCAGTCCAAAAACCCTCGCCAACCTCCTCGTACTCCATCGACGCCGAGACCTCGCCCACAAACCCAAACGCCAAGGTATCGCGATCGACGAAAACCAAATCGGAGGAAAATCAAGGCAGAGCCATGAACGAGCGCGAGGACAAAACACAAAACGGGACCCGCAGTGGCCTGGATGCGTCGACGAACGGAACTACAGGGACCAGCGTCGTCCTCTGAACGCACGAGAACGACAGTGGTAGCACGACGATCGTAGACGAAGACGATAGCCGCGAGCAAGTATGGTAGCAGGGGCTCCCCCCACCCACCAGACTACCATCCACATCCTAACGACTCAACGCACACCCCCGCCATGTCCCCGGGGCGTAGGGAGGACGGTAGCACGTCTTCCTCCAACCACCCCACGAACCACTCCGCATCAAAAACCACGCAACGCTGACGCTCACCACGTCTCCCAAACGCGCGCCAGACACTGCATCCAGATCGCCCAGGTTGGTAGCAAAGGTTGGTAGCAAGGTGATGGCCCCACGAGAAAGGATGACAGCGGTCCTGCACCCACCAGACCACCACTCCGCATCGAAACCCCATAGCGCAGACGCCAGCCACGTCTCTCAACAGCCCAGCACACACCGCGTCCAGTAGTGCAGGGCCCAAAAACGTCGACAACCATGGGCGAGGGAAAGAACAGAAGCCGCGAACGAGAGGATAAAAGGAAAAACGGGAAAAAAGGTAAAAAAAAAGCGAGATAGGAAACAGCGGGCAAGCCATCAGGCGCAGAGGATAACCAAAGAGAGCGACAGACGCGCCAAACGGGTGTGCCCCACCTCCCCCAGATCCCGCCTCCACCAACTCCTCCAAAACCTCCCCTCCCCGGCACCCCACACCAAAACCTCCCCGCATCCAAAACCCAAAACTCAAATCGAAGAGAGAAACGGAAAGAAAAACTCACCAATAGCCAACTTGCCTCCATCACAACTAAACCCAATAGCCGAAACCGGGTTCGGGAATTTAGGATACTGGCGGAGTCGTTTCTTGACTTTGAAGTCCCAGATGCTGACTGTGCCGTCTGAACCTGCAGAGGCAAATGTGTTGTACCTGTACGGTTATGGTCAGCATGGTTTGTTGGAGGAAAGGGGAGAGAGAGTGGATGAAAGAAAGGAGGGCGAGGGAAAAAGAACAAAGGAGAAGGCGTCGATAAACTAACAGAAGAGTAAAGGAAACGCACCTCGGACAAAACGCCAAACCATTAACAGGCCACACATGGTCGACCTCCTGCTCCTTCCCACTCGCCGGGTCCACCTCTTTGACCGTCTGCCGGTGACACTTGAAGGCGTACTTCTTTTCTTGGACTTCGGGCGAGGGATCAAAGTATTCGACGGCGATGCGGCCTTCGACTGAGGCTGTTGCGTAGCCTAGAGCGAGTCACGGGTAAGAGGGAAGAAGGGTAGGGTTGAAAAAGAGAATAAGAACGCACCCTGCCCATCAAGCATACACGCCAAACTCCGGGTCATGTACTTCAAACTACTCTCCCTCTCCTGCATCGGCTTGCTCATATTCCTCACATCATAAATATGGAACAGCCTGCTCGCCATCGCCACCACCAGGTTCGTGTTCACTATATCCATCGCGTAAATTCGCTCGGGGACGCTGTGCTGGGAGGTTTCGAAGGGAGCGTTGCTGGGCGACGAGGAGGTGGGGGATGTGGGCGCGTTGGAGGAGGAGGAAGAGGCGCGTGGATCCCAGAATCGGAGTGTGCGGTCCCACGAACCGGTAATTAGGTTGTTGGTCTCTTTCGACCAGACCATCGAGCTGATACTATCGCCGTGCGTGCCCAAGTGCGTCATCGATTCTTTTTCCAGGTCCAGCCTGCACCAATCGCATTTATTCAGTCAGCAAGAAGAGAAGGAACGCGAGTGAATGAGAACGCACTCTCGGACACCGGTATCCAACCCTCCGCTGTACGCCTTGCCGGCACTCCCTCCCTCACCCCACGCACACGCGAGCACGGGCGCGCGGTGGTCGAACTTGACGCGTTGTTCGGAGGGTCGTCCGCCGTTTGTGTAGGGTACGTCGCCGATGTCGTATAGCCTGACCGTCTGTAGTATTTTTCCACCAATACGTTAGCTAGGCATTCAACGGAAAGACTGGACAAGAGAGGAGACGGACGGTATCCCAACTAGATACGAGCATCTGGTCCGGGGAGGTGGGCGACCATCGGATGGAGCTGATCGAGTCGAAGGGGACGGAGGAGAGTGTTATGGTTGTTGATGGATCTGCGTAGTCTGTCATAACGCCGTCCTGTCAGTTCCCTCCAATATTCCGATCGAAGGTAGAGAAAAGGAACACCCACCTGCGGACATCCTTTCGGTTCTTTTACTTGTTCAAGCAAGCGAGGTTGCCGAATGGCTTTCGGCGGAGATCGAGAGAAAAGTAGTGTTGAGAGATTGAGAGGATTGAGAGTACAACA